CGAATTTGCTGTTGTATGCCGGGGTAGACATCGACAAAGATCCTTTCGCAGGTTCACCTATAGAATACTTGTTACGTGTTCTCTTTTCTCTAAACTATAAGGCTTACTGGACTTCTCGCGTTGACGCGGCTTCGTCGGCGCCCTTGCACGAATCCTCGTTCGCAATATACGGCTGGTCTACGGGTCCGTGAACAGCGTACAAGGTCTCCGTTCGCGATTTTCTGTTGTGACGTGCATCGCAGGAAATCCATTTTTGCTGCCTACATATTCCCGAAAATCCGCGCATGGGTTTTTTGGGGCGCTCACTCTGCCTCGATGGACGGTTTGACCGGCATTCCTACGTCGGGTCACGAATTCGATGTTGTCTGCCGGGGCAGACATCGACAATGATCCTTTCGCAGGTTCACCTATAGAATACTTGTTACGTGTTCTCTTTTCTCTAAACGATAAGGCTTATTGGACTTCTCGCGTTGACGCGGCTTCGTCGGCACCCTTGCGCAAATCCTCGTTCGCAATATACGGCTGGACAACGGGTCCGTGAACAGCGTACAAGGTCGCCGTTCGAAATTTTCGGCCGTGACAAGCATCGCAGGAAATTCATTTTTGCTCCCTACATATTTCTGAAAATCCGCGGAGGAGTTTTTTGGGGCGCCCACTCTGCCTCGATGGACGGCCTGACCGGCATTCGTACGTCGGGTCACGAATTCGCTGTTGTCTGCCGGGGCAGACATCGATAATGATCCTTTCGCCGGTTCACCTATAGAATCCTTGTTACGTGTTCACTTTTCTCTAAACAATAAAATTTACTGAAATTCTCGCGTTGACGCGGCTTTGTCGGCGCCTTTGCGCGAATCCTCGTTTGCAATATTCGGGTGGACGAGGGGTCCGTGAACAGCGTACAAGGTCGCCGTTCGCGATTTTCGGCTGTGACCTGCATCGCAGGAAATCCATTTTTGCTGCCTATATATTCCCGAACATCCGCGTATGAGTATTTTGGGGCGCCCACTCTGCCTCGATGGATGGTTTGACCGGCATTCCTACGTCGGGTCACGAATTCGCTGTTGTATGCCGGGGCAGACATCGACAATGATCCTTTCGCAGGTTCACCTATAGAATACTTGTTACGTGTTCTCTTTTCTCTAAACGATAAGGCTTACTGGACTTCTCGCGTTGACGCGGCTTCGTCGGTGCCCGTACGCGAATCCTTGTTCGCAATATACGGCTGGACGACGGGTCCGTGAACAGCGTACAAGGTCACCGTTCGCAATTTTTGGCCATGACCTGCATCGCAGGAAATCCATCTTTGCTGCTTAGATATTCCCGAAAATCCGCGCAGGAGTTTCTTGGGGCGCCCACTCTGCCTCGACGGACGGCCTGACCGGCATTCGGACGTCGGGTCACGAACTCGCTGTTGTCTGCCAAGGCAGACATCCACAATGATCGTTTCGCAGGTTCACCTATTGAATCCTTGTTACGTGTTCTCTTTTCTCTAAACGATAAGGCTTACTGGACTTCTCGCGTTGACGCGGCTTCGTCGCCGAACTTGCGTGAATCCTCGTTCGCAATATACGGCTGGACGACGGGTCCGTGAACAGTGACAAGGTCGCCGTTCGCGATTTTCGGCCGTGACGTGCATCGCAGGAAATCCATTTTTGCTCCCTACATATTCCCGAAAATCCGCAGAGGAGTTTTTTGGGGCGCCCACTCTGCCTCGATGGACGGCTTGACCGGCATTCGTACGTCGGGTCACGAATTCGCTGTTGTCTGCCGGGGCAGACATCGACAATGATCCTTTCGTAGGTTCACCTATAGAATCCTTGTTACGTGTTCACTTTTCTCTAAACGATAAAATTTACTGAAATTCTCGCGTTGACGCGGCTTCGTGGGCGCCTGTGCGCGAATCCTCGTTTGCAATATTCGGGTGGACGAGGGGTCCGTGAACAGCGTACAAGGACGCCGTTCGCTATTTTCGGCTGTGACTTGCATCGCAAGAAATCCATTTTTGCTGCCTACATATTCCCAAAAATCCGCGCAGGAGTTTTTTAGGGCGCCCACTCTACCTCGATGGACGGCCTCACCGGCATTCGTACGTCGGGTCACGAATTCGCTGTTGTCTGCCGGGGCAGACATTGACAACGATCGTTTCGCAGGTTCACTTATAGAATCCTTGTTACGTGTTCTCTTTTCTCTAAACAATAAGGCTTACTGGACTTCTCGCGTTGACGCGGCTTCGTCGGCGCCCTTGCGCGAATCCTCGTTTGCAATATACGGCTGGACGATGGGTCCATGAACAGCTTACAAGGTCGTCGTTCGCGATTTTCGGCCGTGACGTGCATCGCAGAAAATCTATTTTTGCTGCCTAAAAATTCCCAAAAATCCGCGCAGGAGTTTTTTGGGGCGCCCACTCTTCCTCGATGGACGGCCTGACCGGCATTCGTACGTCGGGTCACGAATTCGCTGTTGTCTGCCGGGGCAGACATCGAAAATGATCCTTTCACAGGTTCACCTATATAATCCTTGTTACATGTTCTCTTTTCTCTAAACGATAAGCCTTACTGGACTTCTCGCGTTGACGCAGCTTCGTCGGCGCCCTTGCGCGAATCCTCGTTCGCAATATACAGCTGGACGACGGGTCCGTGAACAGCGTAAAAGGTCGCCGTTCGCGATTTTCGGCCGTGACGTGCATCACAGGAAATCCATTTTTCCTCCCTACATATTCCCGAAAATCCGCAGAGGAGTTTTTTGGGGCGCCCACTCTGCCTCGATGGACGGCCTGACCGGCATTCGTACGTCGGGTCACGAATTCGCTGTTGTCTGCCGGGGCAGACATCGACAATGATCCTTTCACAGGTTCACCTATAGAATCCTTGTTACGTGTTCACTTTTCTCTAAACGATAAAATTTAATGAACTTCTCGCGTTGACGCGGCTTCGTCGGCGCCTGTGTGCGAATCCTCGTTCGCAATATTCGGCTGGACGAGGGGTCCATCAACAGCGTACAAGGTCGTAGTTCGCGATTTTCGGCCGTGACGTGCATCGCAGAAAATCCATTTTTGCTGCTTACATATTCCCGAAAATCCGCGCAAGAGTTATTTGGGGCACCCACTCTGCCTCAATGGACGGCCTGACCGGCATTCGTACGTTGGGTCACGAATTCGTTGTTGTCTGCCGGGGCAGACATCGACAATGATCCTTTCGCCGGTTCACCTATAGAATCCTTGTTACGTGTTCTCTTTTCTCTAAACGATAAAATTTACTGGACTTCTCGCGTTGACGCGGCTTCGTCGGCGCCCGTGCGCGAATCCTCGTTCGCAATATACGGCTAGACGACGGATCCGTGAACAGCGTACAAGGTCGTCGTTTGCGATTTTTTGCCGTGACGTGCATCGCAGGAAATCCATTTATGTTGCGATGACTCTCCATTAGAGCCGAAAACAAGATGACTCTCCACCAGAGCAAAAAACGACATGACTCTACCGGAGCCGAAACGACATGACTTCACCGGAGCAAAAAACGACATGAGTCTACTAGAGCCGAAAACGACATGACTCCACCAGAGCCGAACACGACATGACTACACCGGAGCTGAAAACAACATGACTCTCTACTGGAGTCGAAAACGACGAGAGTACTCTCCACAAAATTGGAAATAACGGAACTCTCATTGCAATCAGAAACATGACTTTGGAGAAATGCAGCAGACGGATCGCAATCGCAGACATATGCGCAGACATGACTTCAATCGTAGACAAAATTAGGATTCAAGATAAAATCAAAATCCGAAAAGAAAGAGTTATAAACTATAGAAAAAATTTCAAAATTGGGAGACCTCCTGGTACATCCCATGTTGAATGTACCCGGAGAAACGGGGGTTCGTAGGCTATATCTACGTCATGAGAAAAATAAGTTCTGATACCATTTTAGAAATTTTGGGGGAAAATAATGAGATTGTCTTATTGATCATCAAAATAAAAAGTCTATACAGAGACAATACAAAACAGACTTGATAGGCTCAAATCTAAATAATATAATTTATAGATAAGATCAAATCTAAATATAAATCTACTAAATCTAAAATCGAATATCTAAGATATCTCAGCATCAGCAATTTCCGTTAGTTTTTTAATTGTGGGACCAAAATTCATTGAAATTGTTTATATTATGACTAAAATTGATGAGTTTATTATATTGGGACCAAATTTATAAATTTTGATTATATTGAGACCAAAATTGATTTTTTCCCTAAATTAAATATAAAATTTTAAAAATTATAGTATTATATATATATATATTTTTTTAAAAAAAACAACAAATCCAACATAATCTAAAACACTGCCTCCTTTTCAAACAAGGTGCAACATCTACTTTTGGCACGAGTTTTTAGGTGAGTAGTATTAAGTCGGATAATTTAAAAATTAAGTTATGTGATGGAGAGTGAAATATATATTTTTTTTTTTATTTGGATGATGTAATGAGATAGAATGTGAAATAGAGATTAAATATGATTAATTATTTCATATTTTGGAAATATTGTAAGTGTTTGAGACATACCAAAGAAAAATGTTGCAAGATATTTGAGATGGAGGGAGTATCAAATATTAAGGGTGTGTTTGTTTGGGGGTTTGAATTTTGAGTTGGGATTTGAATAGTAAAAATTTTGAATTTGAATAGTTGTATGATATGATATAAATAGGTGTTGATGTGATATTTTGAATGTAAAATTGATTTTAAGTATAATATAAAAAATAAAAAATAAGTGTTTGATTTGATATTTTTTAGAGAAAAAAATTGAATAAATAGTGAAATTAAAATCCAATCCCAAAAACAAATCCACCCTAAATATACCCAAGTAAAGCAATTTTCTGTTTAAAAAAATGGAAAATAAACATAAAGTCGAATTAATTCGTAATTAACTTTCTGCAAAAAAAATTTGGAAAAAACCAATGCAAAAATTATTACAAAAATATGTTGAAAAATCCCACGCAGAAAACCCGCGGAGTTAATACGTCGTCGTTTTACTCTCTTCCCTCACGTTTCACTTTTTATTTTCTTTTCAATTTGTTGCTTCGTTCTTCAGTTACCGGCGGTGCCGTTCCGATCACGGCGATTTCAGTCAGTCAGTCGTCGGAATTCTAGGAATTCGCGCTTTCCCCTGTTGAGATTAAAATTTTAATTTTTGTAATTTTCATTTTCTCGGGGGATGATGAAGGGGATTGGCGCCGGCGGAGGGGTTTTGGAGCTCTGCAAATCAGGGAATCTATTAAGAATTCCAGCATTATTTGTGATTACAGTGATGTTCTTCTACTTGGGGAAGCGTTTCTCCGATGGATCCTCCCAGCAACTCGTGTTCTTCTCCTCCCGCCAAGCCGAAGAACCCCAAAGAACCGCCGGCGGCGTATCTCCGAATGTCAACAAGACGTTCGACGTTTCCCCCCTCGGAAGCGGTAAGGACTTTCCGCTTCAAGAAAATAGTCGGAATGAACCGCAGAAAGTCCTCACTCCTCCTTCCGCGCCACCGCCGCCGCCGCCGGTGCTGCAAAGAATGGGAGTGTTGGATAAGAACGGAAGGATGACAGAGAACTTCGAGGTCGGTGAGTACGATCCAGAACTGGTCAATAATTGGTCAAAAATGAACAGCACCGATGACGTTGATACTCCGGCGAAGGGCGATAAGGTTTTGCTTAGGGTAAAGAAGTTCCCGTCGTGTCCGGCGTCGATGACAGACCACATCCCCTGTATGGACAACGAAGATTTCATTAAGAACATGAAATCCGCCAATAAAGGGGAAATGTTCGAACGCCATTGCCCTGAACCAGGTAAAGGATTGAATTGTTCGATTCCTGCTCCGAAAGGGTACAAAACTCCGATTCCATGGCCAAGAAGCCGTGATGAGGTAAAATCTCGATCACTTCAAATGATTACAGGTTTCTCTTTGCGATACGGTTACAATCTAATTCGTTTCTTCATTTAATGATACCTACCTTGACTGGAATTGGATTAGTTATAACCCCTTGGAGTTAGCGTTTACTGAGTTCAATTCTAAAAGGAAACAGCATTTTGTCTTTTCTTTAGTATTTTTTGGATTTTTTCTGTTAAAGTGTTGAAGATATCTCGCAATGTATATGATTGATTTCTTGGTCGTAAGCATTAATGGTGGAACATACCGATTGTAATCTTATACACATTTGGTTTAGCAATGGTTGGATGATGGATGTTAATGTGTTGAAGATAGTCACCATGTTTATCGTCAATGTCTTCTGTAATCATTAATGGTGGAATGTACCAATTGTAATCTTGTACAGGTTTGGTTTAGCAATGTTCCGCATCCTCGTCTAGCAGAGGATAAAGGGGCTCAGAATTGGATCATGATCAAGAAAGACAAGTTCAAGTTTCCGGGAGGCGGCACACAGTTCATTCACGGGGCTGATCCGTATTTGGATCAGATTGAAAAGGTGTCTTCATTGTACAGTTTTACAGGGACCTCCTTGATTTGATATATTACGTGGATTTGTGTTAAAACAGGAAGTAACTATGCTTTGTGTCGTTTAGATGGTTCCTGAAATTGCGTTTGGCCGGCACACTCGAGTCGCTTTGGATATTGGTTGTGGTGTTGCGAGTTTTGGCGCTTATTTACTGTCACGGAATGTGATCCCTCTTTCTATAGCCCCAAAAGATGTTCACGAAAACCAGATTCAGTTTGCACTCGAACGCGGTGTGCCTGCAATGGTGGCAGCATTTGCAACGCGGCGTTTGCCTTATCCTAGTCAAGCATTTGATCTGATGCATTGTTCGAGGTGTAGGATCAACTGGACTCGGGATGGTATGTTACTATTTCTTTATATATATATATGGTATTAGTTTGGTGAGAAATATATCGATAGCTCCATAGCCCATTTAATTTCTTGAATGATCCTTGTGTTTATTTGTGTTTGCCGAGTTTGTTGTGTCAAGAATTTATACCAAAAGTGCCAATCTAGTTACTTGTGTTTATTAGAAAACTCGCAAATGGCCAAATAGTTCAACTTGTGCTAGAATTGAAGATAAAGAAACTTAACAATCTTTGCTCGGTTGCAAACCTGATTTTCCTTTTCTAGCTTCGAATTCACAATATTTGATGCTGAAACTTGAAATTTTGATAACTCTATTAGTCTGCCATTGTTCTTGATGGAATGTGTCGATTATAGATATAGTATGATTAACCTTTTAGTTTCCATTCACTTACGTTCCAGATGGGATTTTACTAATTGAGGCCGACAGGATGCTCCGGGCCGGAGGTTATTTCGTTTGGGCAGCCCAGCCAGTTTATAAACACGAAGTAGCCCTCGAAAAACAATGGGAAGGTAAGTTTAATTTGAAAATACGCTCAATTTTAGTCCGCCATTTTGTTTTATTGTAGTCTTTTGCGTCGTTGTTTTCTTATTTTTTCATTGCTTCCAGAAATGACTAACCTTACCAGTCAACTTTGTTGGACCCTCGTAAAGAAGGAAGGTTACATTGCCGTATGGCGGAAGCCCTTTAATAACAGCTGTTATTTGAGCCGTTCCAACGGAACATCACCGCCGTTGTGTAGTTCTGACGATGATCCGGACAAGTTTTGGTAATCGTAGATTTGGATTTAACTTCTCGATCTATTTAAGAAAGTCGACGTTTTAGATTTTTCACGATTTATTATATTAGGTATGTTGATTTGAAGCCTTGCATAACACGTCTACCCGAGAATGGATACGGCGCAAATGTGTTACCCTGGCCGGAACGTCTGCGGAATCCCCCGGATAGGCTTCAGAGCATAAAGATCGAAGCTTACATATCGAGGAAAGAACTTTTCAGGGCAGAGTCGAGATATTGGCACGAAATCGTTGACGGCTTCGTACGCATTTTACGTTGGAACAAATTCAAACTTCGAAACGTGTTGGACATGAGAGCGGGTTTCGGGGGGTAAGTTTTTTATCGTCGCGTTATCGTTCTTATTTTATCGCTGAATTCCGAATTGATATCATCGATTGCAGTTTCACAGCCGCGCTCGTCGATCACAAGCTTGATTGCTGGGTGCTCAACGTTGTCCCGACTAGCGGACCCAATACGTTGCCTGTCATATACGACCGCGGCCTCGTCGGAGTAATGCACGACTGGTAAGAAATTCCGGCACCGTTCTTCTCGTTGCTTTACGAGATAATTAATTTACGATCGACTTTTCAGGTGCGAGCCGTTCGATACATATCCGAGAACCTACGACTTAATTCACGCTGCCGGACTCTTCTCAGTCGAACAAAAAAGGTACTTACTTGATCGTTTTTCCTTTATTTAACGATGATTAAACAATTGTATAATGAAACGTCGATAGGTGCAATATCTCGACAATCATGCTCGAAATTGATCGAATGTTGCGACCCGGCGGGCATGTGTACATTCGGGATACGATTACCGTAATGGACGAGCTTCAAGAGATCGGTCGAGCCTTGGGTTGGCGATTAGTGTTACGGGACACGTCCGAGGGGCCTCATGCAAGTTACCGTGTTCTTACGTGTGAAAAGCGATCTCTGCGTAAATGAACGATAAACGAGGTACAGTACATTTCGACGAATTCGAATAACGGGTGCGGATTCATGATGAAACCCAATATGTTTTCGATGCAGGAGCAACCGGCGGCGGCGCTGAATACTAGCTCGGTCGTCGTGTCGTTGTCGCCGCTGCCGCCGTCATCGAGGTTTGTTTGTTTGGGTTTAATTCTTGTCTACTATGAACTTGAGAAGATACGGTCTATAAGATGTTTAGAAGTAACGTTGTTTCCTTTTGATGAAATTTGTGTGAATATTTTTTTTGGTTCTGTTGGCTTTGTTCAACCAACAATATTTTTGAGTTGTGATTTCAAAAAATACTGTAATAATAAATAATAGAAGATATCTTTTATAAAAACTCAAAAAAAATAAATAAATAAATAAAAATTCAAATACTCGTTAGAAACAAGTTAAAAATTTAAAATATATATTTTATATTTTTGACACATTTTTTAGTATCACATAAAAAAATCAATCTATTTAAAAGTAATTTTTATAACATAAATTTAAACTATAATTATAAAATAATATTTCTATATTTGTTAGAAGAAAAATTTGCGTCAATTATTAATAATATGTGTGATTTTAGTTAAGTTGTCTTGATGTTATTTTCAAAAATTAAACTCTAAAATATCCGAATCAAATAGCTTCCAATCTAATCAAATATGACATAAATGAATCAGATTATGAATCAAATATTTGAATGATAATGTTAAAATTGTATTTTAAAATTAAAATACTTGTATTGAATTGAATAATTAAAATTTTATTTCAAATTGAATATAAATATCATTAAATTAAATAAATCACAAATCAAACATTACACTATTCGATTCGTATATAGCCCTACAGTTCCACAACAATAAGACACTCCACATACCTTTAGGATATAGGAATCTTGCCGAACCTCGTAATTTATTTATTTATTATTATTTTTTTTTAATCTTTTAATTGATCATCGTCTGTGATTAACATTTCATAATTCAATTTAAGCAAAAGACTTATATGCTGGCCGTAAAAACAAAGACTTCTCTAACTATACGTGCTACGTGTTGTAGTAAGTGATGCATGAATTAATTTAATTAATTTGATAATAATTGTATTTATTTATTTATTCTCCCCGTCCGCCAAATTTATTTTCATTTTTCTTTTTAGTTCATTAATTAAATTTATCTCATTATTAATTTTGGCAAAGTCAACAAATCAACATTTAATTATTATCCACAATTCAATACTTATTTACAACAAATACCAATAATTTTATTATATTTTCTCTATTTATTTATTTTACTTTTTAATTAAATTTTTAAAAATATCCCCAACTATCTATATTTTTCAATAAAATATTTTTTTTTTTTTAATTTTTGTGGCAAATTTAAATGTGCTAATTTTAATTTTAATGGACGAATGGACTATTTATTTTCGAGAAAATGGATGGAATGCACCTCAAAAATATATATAAACATTTTATTCATTTATTCATAAGGAAGTGCTAATCATTTGACCAAATGTGCCACGCCATAGTTAATAAAAGTGATCAATTTTCAAAGTCAAAATAGTGATCATTAAAAAAATGAACAAAAGCAATAAAAATATAATAATAATAGCGAGGAAAAAAATAAATAAATAATTAAATAAAGGTGTGTTATGTGGGAAGTTTAGAAGAAGACCACCACCATCACCTAACGTGGCAAACGTACTTATAAATTATTGTAATCCATTTGTTTTAGGCCAAATCCAAATTTCACAATATATTTTTGGATTGTAATCCTCCGTCAGTAGTTCAGATCTATGTTCATTTTCTATTTTGGGTTATTATCGAAAAAATATTTTAATTTCGTTTTTAAGTAAAAAATTATTACATTTTTATATTTTTTTACTATAAAAGAAAAAAATAACAATTATTATTCATTTTTATTAAAACTCGTGTATGATCAAGTGAGCACATATTTGCATGACGGAGAGAGTATTATTTTATATTAAAAAATAAATATATATTTCTAAAATTATTATATTAAATAACTATTTTAAAAGTAAAAATACACAACATAAATTGTTTGTCTAACGCTATGTATAGAATTCAGTAGTAAAAATCTATTGAAAAAGAAAATAATGTGTAATAAATATACTTCTGCAATATATACTCCTTTAGTCCCATAATTATATATCTGTTTGCTTTTTGCATAAAATTTTAAAAATATTAGTATTATATTGAGATATAGTATAAATAAAATATAAATAATTAAAATAACCTTATTAGTATTGCTTGCTACAAGGGTAATGTCATTTGTGTAATATATTGTAAATTGTAAGGGTATTTGTAATGATAGATAAATAGTACAGTTACTAAAAAAAAATAAAATGAATACTTTATTATGGGACGAACTAAGATGAAAAAATAAATAGTTTGTTATGAGACGAAATGAATAAAATATTCATTTTATTTTTTTAATTAATCAAATATAAAATATTATATTTTATAGTATATTTTTACTAAATTCTACTGTACTAAAACTCTTTGTCCATTTCTAAAAAATATAAATATTTACTTATACATTAAATTTAATAAGTACTGTAATAATTTTTAATTAGAATAAATAGTTAAAAGTACTATGAAAATAAATTTACTCTTTGAGGAGTATAAAAATAATGATAAATAATAATATAGGTGTATTAATAAAAAAAAGTACAGTAAAAAAAAAAATTAATTATTTTATAATTGGAGAAACTCAAATAAAATTATGTATACTTATGAGTGAACAATATTAAATATTATTCTATCTTAAATAATAAAAATAAAATGCAAATAAACATAGCACAAGTGTAAGTTCTTTTTAATTTTTTTTTAAATAATAATTTAAACGTACTATTCTATAAAAATGAAAATATTTTTTTTTTAATAAAAAATTAAGACAATTGTCTATTAGAAAATATTGAACCTAAAATCTAATTTTATTTTTTTTTAAAAAAAAAAACCCACCAAACGTTTATCCGAAAAATCAATGGCCAGATTGGTTCTAATCAACGACGTGGCACAATCATGGCCGTGGTTCAAGGGTCGGACCACATGCTCTACAGCTGTCCCTCTCTCCTAAAAGCTTACAGTCCCAAATCAAACTGGGTCCCTACAAATATCTTTATTTATTGCTTCAATTTTCAATTATGAGTTCGAAACACGTCCCCAACAATATATATATATATATATATTTATTTTTTAAAAAGAAATAAATAATAAATGAAGAAAAACATTATAGGACATTTCTCCAATGAAATAAAAAAATAAAATATCTTTCCGAATGTTGAACAAACATATTAGTTCATAGTTCATACTCATCCAACTTCTTTTAGACAGACAGACAGACAGAGACACAGACATACAGTGCGAGATTCCATTAATTTTTTTGTGGGCCCCATTTTATGTCCATTTAATTATTTTTCGACAATTAGCTAAGCCTTGTTTGTGCGACACCTGTTATGTACAGCTAACCCCAAAATGAAATTTTTGGGGTGTCCGCATTAAATTTTACATTTAGGGTATGCCACTTTTTATAATTTTTTGAATATAAAAATAAATTTTGGAAAAATGTTGAAAGTTCCCAAATAGAATAATTAAATAAAAATACCACTTGACATTTAATGATTATGATGATGAGCTTAATTAGCTCGCATCATTTTACATTTTTTTTTTCTTCTGAAAATTAGAAGAACTAATCGAGATCTAAATCTGGCCGTTGAAAATTATATATCCCTTTAATATAATTTTCATTTTTTTTTAAAATGTATATATAATATTAATATTAAATAATATTTAAGAAATTTGTTTTCCGATCCATCGTTCATGGAGTTCGCCGGAGATCGACGACGACGACGCTGACGTTATCCGTGCTGTGGCGAGCCAAGGCGAGCTTCGTCAGAAGAATCGACGCGTCGGAACACGCCTTGTCGGAGCTCTGCTCCGCCTCCGTCACGGTGATGTCATTTCCCGGCGATCCAGGGGGAGACGGCGGTTTCCGCGACTGGAGGCACATGCGCGCGACGCCGCACGCCGTCTCGTTTGATACCACGTCCCATAGGCCGTCGCTGGCGAGTATTAGACATTCGTCGTCCGGCGACCTTTCCGTCACCGTCACCTCCGGCTCGGAGATCACGTAGGGTTTCAGATAGTTGTCGCCTGAGGAGGAAGATGAAATACGATGAGTTTGAATTGAATTTGAAGATAATTTGGGGGAAATTGATTTGGATTGATTGATTTACCGATTGCTCTAGACATTGCTAGCACTCCGAGAACTCTAGGACCGTCCCAGAATATGACACGGCCGCCGGCGTCCTGGATCCGATCGAGTTCGTCTGGTCGGTCAGGCTGTGAGGAGCAACGGAGAAGAACAAGTTCAGTATGTTAATGAACTGGGCGACTCAATCTCAGATTCTCAGAAGAGTATATGGTTTAGTTAAATCTTACCTTATGATCGACGGAGAGGGGAATAGCGACGCCGTTCCGGCAGAGGACGGCGCGAGAGTCGCCGCAATTGGAGACGACGATTTTGTCTGGAGTTACAACAGCAACTACGGCGGTGGATCCGACGGCGTCGCACTGCGGAGTCTGGAGCTCGCAGCGGCAGGCGGTGGTAGGGCCGCCGGAGCACTCGACGACTTCCTTATCCATCTTCGAGAAGCTCTCGACCATAATTTGCTCCCACGACGACGAGTCTCCGTTCTGGAATTCGCCTCTCACAATTTCGTGCATCCTGTCGCGGCAACGCTTCGCAACCTGCAGAAATCGATTGAATGAATCAAATCAGAATCCGTCAAGCAAAAGCCATGAAAGTCGTTTCGAGGATTCAATTCTTACGTGAGAGCAGCCATGACCATCGTAGACGCCGAAGAAATGCAATCCGCTTCGAAAATTCGGATTATGGCGGCAAAACGCCGGATGAATAGCTACAGCGTCTTCCATATCTCGTCTCCTGCCGCAGACGGAAGTCATACCGAATTTGGGGCAATCCTGAGCAATAGAGCTTTCGTTAATCAAATCTAGCGGCGGAGATGATAGATCAAACGACGGCGCCGATTCTTTCTCCGCCTCACCGGCGACCTGATTCTCCTCCTTCACCGCCTTCTCTTCTCCAATAAGATCGGACTTCTCAACAGCGTTCGCGCACTCTCTCGACGGCAAAACAGGCACCACAGCGTCGATCTTCTGCCTCTTCACCTTACCTCCTCCTTCAAGCGGCGGCGCCACCGCCGAATCGGTCGGAACAAAGTTGAACTGGTGGATTTCCATCCTCCTCCTCCTCGCCGATTTCGAACTCGGCTCCACCGGCGCCGTCGCCTCCGTCTCACCGATATTAACTCCACAGCACATCCCCGCCATTACTCCTCCAATCCAAATCAAAATTCCTGCTACAATTCACACAACCAAGAATCGAAGCTCTCCACAGCTATTATTCCGAGAGCAAACAATCAATCAATCAATCTGAGAGATACGAAAATCTCAAATGAGCGGACCCAGAAGAAAAAGAGAATGCGGAGGGGGACGACATTATACTAGTTGATTGAGCGGGCAGCCCGTAGCGAGGCCGGGCAGGAAAGGGAAATGTATCCGACAGACACAGTTGGTGTGACGTAGAAACGCTGAATGCGAGAGACCTTCAATCTCAGCCGTCCATTGAAACCATCTCTACCCCACAACCCAACACGTGGAACAACAAATTCGCTACGTGGACCAATCAGGACGCGACGCGAAATACCTAAGCCGAGGGACCTTTCTTTACTGACACGCATGTGGTCCGTCTTCCGGGCCGGGCCGGGCCTGCACTGTAAGTGGGTCCACCTACTTATTCGCCTTTTTGCATTTCCGGTCCGATTAAAAAAATAATAATAATAAAAAAAAAATTGTTTTTTCAAGTATCGGGTTTCTGCGAGATCGGCACCACGTGGCGGAATCGTGGAGTAGGAGATCCAAGCGTTTGATACGGCGTTCGACGCGTCTGATGGGCGCGTGAGAAGCACGTGACGAGTGGGTGGTGGGAGGTGGGAGTGACGCGCGGAAGTGTGGGAGTTGGGGAGGGATGAAGTGCAGTAAAGGCGTGTACGTAAGAAGAGGAGATGGGGACACGTAAGGACGGTCCCATGGCAGAATATCTAGAGCGGTATCGACACGCGTCCAAGGGTGACGTGGATCCTATGCTACATTACTGCCGTCCAAGCCTCACCACACCACTCATTTAATGCATCACCGCCTACTTATTTACTTTGCCTGCGTTTGGTCATGTAGTTTGGACTATTAATTTGAGTTTTTACGATTAAATTTTAATTAGTGGTTGTTTCTTTTATCCATAAAAATTTTTTAGTTTTTACTTTTTTTATATTAAGGTGGGAATCCGCAGAAATTAGACTCGACAAGTCACGTAGCAACATAAAACATATTAAATTTAAATTTTAGTTAAATATTTTTAAATCAAATAAGAAACATACTAATTAATGCAATATAATTAATTTTATTTTCATTTTAAATGATACTTTCTATGTGCAATATTTTATCCTTATTTTTTATTTTTATTAATCTCACATAATTTTGTCCTTTTTTTTTAGAAAAATAAAATTACATTTAAATCACATTTTAAAATTTAAATTTAATTTTTTTTAATCTTAACTAAACTATTTAGTTATCTTAATCTATAATTATTTTTAGTATATAATAATTATTTTTACTAATATACTTATTAATTACTTACTAATTATATTTTATCTACTTTATCGTATCTACAATAATAGACTCATATTATCTATAACGAATGGAGTATTTTTTATTTAATATACTTCATCCGTCTCATTGGAATGTTACCATTTTCTAATTTAATAATTGTACTATCTACTTAACATAATAAATACATTTTCAACTTAAATATATGACACAAATGTCATTACTTTTATATTACATCATACTAATAGGGGTATTTTTGTCTTTTTACTACAATATTAACATTAAAAAATCTACATGCAAAAAATAAACGTCATCTTTCCAATGGGACGGAGAAAGTATTATATTTTCTCTTTCCCTTAATAAAATATCTATTTTTGTTCTATAAAAAAATATATATATATTTTTAGTAATTATACTATTTAACTAATATTACAGATACCTTTACAATTTACAATATACTGTACAAATGTCATTATTTTTATATCACACAATAATAATAAATTTATTTTAATTATTTAACTTTATTCCTACAACATTCAAATATAATACTAATATTTCTAAAATTTCGTAAAAAAAACAAACAGATATATAATTACGAAACGATGAGAAAATTTAATTAATTAATAATACTACATTACAATATTATTATATTATTTTTATATAAATGATATTACTAATAACTTTACAATAAAAATTTATATATAGAATTAAAAAACTAAAATATGTATTTAACTATTTTAATATAATAAAGTATACCTAGTAATAAAAATTTTTTTAGGTTACTCCATTTTATGAAAGATATTTATATTTATATTTTTATTCGTTTCATAGTTTTTAAAAAAAATTGATCATATATTTTAATTATGCTCTAAATTTTATAATATAATTTTTTTAAAAAAATATTTATATTTGAACCGACCGAGTTTCACTGGCCGTGCTAAAACTGTTGTAGCTTGAATTATTTTCAGCAACCTAACGAATTAGTCGGTCAAAAATTTAGGAATGCTCCAACTTTCCCAAGAAATGATCCAGGATCGAATCTGACTGTGCCTTTGATTATGCCTCATTTCTCATTTACCTGGTCAACAGTTCAATTCAATTTTGACCGGTTCCTTTAGATTAAATAAATTATTAATAATAAATTATAATAATATTTTATTATCTTTAATTTTGATTAAAAAAGTTATCCAAACAAATCAATTAATGCGATATTTTTAAATTATTTATCTTTAATTTTTTAAAAAATAGAATGTAAAAAAAAATATACTTGAATTGATATGTTTATTAAAGTTTTTTTTTTTAAAAAATATTTATATATAAAATAAGAGGAAAAATTCTAAAAGAATTTGTCTTGACGGATTAGCTCGGCAAACCTGGGCCGGGTTTTGATTGAGCCGCCATTTGAGGTTTTGGGGTTTCATATGGATTTCTATTTGGGCCTATAAATGGGCCTTTATTTCTATGGAAAGGCCCAAAATGGATTTAGGCCATTAGTGTGTTGAATGGCTCAATATTTAACACATAATTATTTTGCTTACTAATATTTAGAGATAATTATGTTGAGAGCTAGAATAGAACACAACATTAATTTAAATTTTATCCAATCACTAAAGTTACAAGTTTACTTGGTAATTCCTTAATGGTAAAAAAATAGATAATGCAAAAATAACCGTAAAAACACAACAAACGGACACCTTTTAAATTCAAATTAACACACAGGCATTTAATTTCAATTAAGTAGTTGAAGAGTTTGTTGTGATTTTTAGGTTTTAACCCATTATTCAATTTTCACATACGTGGCTAGCAATTCCCAACTACAATTTAGCCATTAATTAAATAAAATACATATTTTCCAACAACCCATTTGTGATACTGACATAGTTAGGTCATCTTATGAAGAGATTTTTGAAAATTTTGAAATATTAATAAAATTTAAATCAATTTTTAATTTCAAATCAAATTACTAATTAAATATTTAATACATAGATAGATTTTATTGCCACAAAATCATAATCTTGAATCAAAATATCATCCGCCAATCTTTTTCAATTAATTCTCGATAAGAAAAGAGATTTTTCAAATTAAGTAATTGATTATCAATTAAGTATAAACAGGATCCACCTGTTTGTAAGACCACAAAAATTAATAGGAAATTAATTAATATTTCAGTCCAAGTAAATCATGACACCAAACAGACCCTACACGCCGTCCCCAATACGGCCTTCCTCACCGTACGAGAAGCAATTCCACATGCGTCAAACTGACCCGCCATTGCAGCCTCTCAACTCCCCTGTCAAGCATTTATTCCGCCATTAACTCCGATGAACAGAAATCGAGAAAAATCGGGGCAAATGAAATCGACGCCGGCGGAGAAATCCGGCGACCTCCGAACGACGTCGCTTAAGGCGGCGGTTACCGTCTTCATAGTCTTATCTGTGTCGGTTGCTTTTTACTCAAGTTTCTACAGCGTCGGCCGGCCGGACTTTTTCCGGTGGTCGGACATCCCCGACCCGGCGGTTTACATGGGCCGGCTCAACTCCGACCGGTCGCCGACGAATATTTCGCACATCGCGTTCGGAATCGGCGGGTCGACCCGGACGTGGGGGAGTCGGGTTCGGTACGCGGATCTGTGGTGGAAACCGGGGATTACCCGCGGGTACGTCTTTCTAGAGCGGAGGCCGGACCGGGTTTTCCCGAACCGGCCCGGGGTTCCGATTAGGGTTTCGTCGGATTGGAGGCGGTTCCGGCGGTCGAGCGGGCCGGAGGCGGCGGTGAGGATAGCTCGGGTGGTGGTGGATTTATTCCGGTCGGGATTGCCGAACGTGCGGTGGTTTGTGATGGGAGACGACGACACGGTTTTCTTCCCGGAGAATCTGGTGGCGGTGCTGTCGAAATACGACCACCGTGAGATGGTGTACGTCGGCGGCAACTCGGAGAGCGTGGAGCAGGACGTGATGCATGCGTACGGCATGGCGTTCGGCGGGGGCGGCTTCGCCGTCAGCTATCCGCTGGCGGCGCAGCTCTACGGCGCGATGGACGGCTGCCTGAATCGGTACCATTATTTCTACGGCTCAGATCAGCGGATCTGGGCGTGTGTAGGGGAATACGGTGTGGACCTCAGCAGAGAATCGGGGTTCCACCAGGTGCGTTATTATTTTAATGTTTATTTTTAAAAGTATTTTTTTAAGGTTGCCGCGTCACCGTAGGTGAGAATATATTTTTCTCCTATGTTTGAAATGGGTAGGATACGTGGCTGATTTTCTGTGGGTTTTTGCTAGAGTCACATGGCTGTGGGTGACCTACTGAATGGGCTCCTGCCACGTATGTACCTTTCGAGTGGGGTGCTTTTTCGGCAGAATAGTGACGGAATATTTATGGTTTTTGTCTGTTTGGGGGTGACTTGTTTTTTAACTTTTTTTTACTAAATATTTTTTTTTTCATTGGTTGATGAAACGGAAATTACAATCGTGGGTATAATGTAATTTGGGAAAGGCTTGTGGGCATGACAATGAGAAAAATCGAATCTTGATTGAGACAGTAGAGAAGAGTTTGGATTTTCTTTTGCTGATTATGATTCATTTGCCTTTCTGATTTGTGATTTTATTTCAATTTTGAATAATTCTTTAATTTTGTAGTTTTTAGAAAGTTGATTAGATCCTCTTTGCATTGAGTTTAGGGTGTGGTTCCATGGTGATTTTAATTTGTATTTTGTGATATAAATAGGTGATAACGCTATATTTTGAATATTCTTGTTAGAATTTTTTTCTACTTTTCATTGCAAGATGATCTATAACAACATAGTTTCAAATTCTAACAACACCATTGTCGTTTACTATTGTATTGTCAAATTCTCCAGCTCGATATACGAGGGAACCCGGGGGGCCTCCTGGCTGCGCATCCGTTGGCGCCGCTCGTGTCGCTCCACCACCTCGACGACGTGCAGCCGCTCTTCCCCAACAAGACCCAGATCGAATCGCTGGCATTACTTACGAAAGCTTACGACGTCGATCCGTCCCGAACGCTGCAGCAGTGTTTCTGCTACCACCGCAAGCGACGGTGGTCGGTATCCGTCTCGTGGGGCTACACGGTGCAGATACACCCGAAGCTGATGACGGCGAAGGAGTTGGAGATGCCGGTGGCGACGTTCAAGACGTGGAGGAGCTGGCACGACGGGCCGTTTACGTTTAACACGCGTCCCGAGAGTCCCGACCCTTGCAAGCACCCGGTTGTTTTCCACTTGGCTTCGGTTAACAAAAGTTCGAGCAATTCGACGTCAACGGAGTATAAAAAGCTCGATGATTATCCGAAGCACTGCGGTAAGGGCTACGCTCGAGCTCTTGCCATTGATAACGTCGTTGTGATTGCGCCCAAGATGGATCCTCGGCAATGGAAACAGGTTCGTTTCGTTTCGTATTTGATCGATCGTATTTTCGGGTTATATTTGCGTGTTTTTTTTTTATCGTTTTAGTCGTTTAATTGAAGAAAATTGGGTAAAGTATATTTTTGGTCCATTCGCACTCTACTATCTGATTAGTTCATTTTTAGTTCTTAATTATTAACTCCGTTAAAATATTAGCAGATAAATTTATAAGAATGTTGTAAAATAAGTGATATTTTAACGGAGTTAGTAAATATGAACTAATTTGATAAGAGGGGCAAAAAATGTATTTTTCCTGAAAAAAGACCGAAACTAGTTTCATATTTTTCTCGATCATTGCTCTAATAGTTTTAATTTTTCGTATTCTTATAGAAGAGTAAGAATTAAGACTGTTATAGTATGATCGAGGAAAATATGAAATTATTTTCGAGCAAAATTGAATTGAAATTTTTATGATTATTCATTTGAATTTAATTATTTCAAAAAGTATATATTTCGTGAAATACTTGACTTTTTACTTACTTTTAAATATTTTGGTAACGACAGAGCCCAAGAAGAGAATGCTGCGACATAAAAGGGAGCTTAGGACAAGGAAGAATGACTGTAAGAATAAGGAAGTGTAGACATACAGAAAGTGTCACTATTTAATCTTTTGGGGGTGTGTTTTTTTACCCAAAATCTTTCAAACTTTACACCAAAGTCTGTGTGTATATATATATTGAGAGGAGGGCATTGGTGAAATCCCATTTTTATTTATTTATTTTTATTTAAATTTTATATTTGGGATAATAAGTGAATGATGAGGTGGTAATGAATTTCTTGTACTGATACTATGAAGATGTGTTTTTGTTGATGGTTGGTTTTTTGTTTTTTGTTTTTTTTTTTAAAAATGTGAAAATATGGAGCTGCTACCCAAATCGGGCCTGACGAGAAAGTCACATTAGGCGTCGGGGGTTTGAACCTATGACCTCACTGTCACAAGTTCATCAATATTGATGGTTGGTTTTGTTTATGATGCATGTTGGGTTAGATGAGATTTATTTAATTGGTTCTTATTTATGAAGATTAAAATAAATTTAAAATGTATTTAATTGTTTTAAAATATATATTTTTTTTTATGTAATAATTGATTTTTAAAAAAAATTATATATATTATTTTATTTACATAAAATATAATACTACCTATTTTTGTTGAAAGAGTAGTATTTATTTTTTATATGGATATTAAGAAATGTTATATTTTTAATAATAATCTATGATATTTTAGGGTGTAGTTCTTGTCATTTTTTATTATATTATGTGAATTTTATATTTTTTGATTTTTTTTTCTTTATAAAATATTACTATATTATTAATCCTCGTAACGAATTAAAGCAACAAATAACAAAAATATGTAGTAAAACAATAAATATTTGACACAATAATTATTCTATTTGAACAATTGAAAAAATTGGTTTACTAAATATTCATCATATTAAAACATAACAAATATTACTCAAAAAAAGAAAAAAAAAAACAGCTTAACTACGTGTAATCGTCACATTAAAAGTCCACTAGAAATCAAACAACATCAACAACACACAAATTCATTGAAGCAACATAGACAAGCATTGTCTCGGGATTGGATCTGTGACCGTGAGGTCATGAGTTCAAACCCCCGACACCTCATGTCCCCTGCTACAATTTTGCCTAATTTTTATTAGAAGGTTTCGGGTAATGAAAAAGTAGTATATGCGAAAATTAAAAGTGCACGATGAACCTATTCGATTAGTTAACCAAACATTGATATTTTTACATAGTAAAAGAAAACCATTTGATAGAGAAAATTTATTATACATTTTGGTACATAAAAGGGGCACAAATAGAAATTTAGCAAAAAAAAGTTGAATGCGAGTAAACTACCATTGGAACTTGGACAAGACAAAAGGCTCATAAAAACATTACACTTATGTCATAAAACCATATCTTACTAAGAAGAACAAGGCAAAGTGATTGAGATTCAGTCTAAAATTCTTGTAATATAAGAGTAACTATAAAGTTTTTAAGTTTGAGAGAATGACATAGTTGTACGTCTAAAAGACAGAAAGATGCTACTTGGTGTCCGATGAGACAGAACCTATAGAACTTGTCAAAGTAAATAATTCATTATCAATGTGATGCTTTTATATGACCTGGCTAGATCTGTCTACGATTCCAATGAAGATAGTATTTGGTAGAAAATTAAGAATTTTCCTCTTCCTCGAAAAAAGTTCCAACTTTAAAAAATTTAACAATCAAGACATAATAACAAAGTCATTGAAATCAGTCACAAAGAGGTTTTTAATCGATAAGATACTTTTCTTTCATATTCCAACGAGTATGAGAATATTTATAAGTTACTCTCAAGATATTTTTATTATCGAGTAAATCATCACGTAAGTCTCCTAAATAAAAATTACATACATATTCTTATTGATGCTTGTATTGTAGATGATACCATTAAGCAGTAATAAATAATACAAAGTCACGTATCAATAATTTGGAGGCTAAATATAGAGAGGAGACTAGCAGACATGGATTTAACTTTAACTTAGTGCTTCAATAGCAAAAAAGCCCGGACACGAATGTCAATGATCTAAGGGTGTGTTTGTTTAGGGATTTGTCCCCAAATTTACTATTCATCCTCTTTTTTTTTTTTTTTTTTTTTTTTTTTTCTAAAAAAATATCAAATCAAACACCTATTTTTTATATTATAGTAAAAATCAATTTTAAATTCAAAACACCACATCAATACATATTTATATCACATCATACAACTATTCAAATTCAAAATTTTTACTATCCAAATCCCCAAACAAACACACGTTGTTTTAAGTTTGCAAACACTTATCATAGAGATAATAACAAATTTAGGTGGAAATAGTTACAATGTATCTAAAATGAAAAAAAAAATTAATGAATGCTAATCAAGCTAAGATTTTGAGGATCTCAAGAATTTTAGTATTACAAACCATATAAGTAGGAGAAATTGTGTATTGCTATGAAGAGTTATTTAAACCAAAAATCTATATAGAGAGAACCATAATATAATAAACAAAATATGGATTTTTGTTTATCTGGTGTGTTTGTTTGGGGTTTGGATTTTGAGTTGGGATTTGAATAGTAAAAATTTTGAATTTGAATAGTTGTATAATGTGATATAAATAAGTGTTGATGTGATATTTTGAATGTAAAATTGATTTTTTAGTATAATATAAAAAATAAAAAAAATTGGGTGTTGATGTGATATTTTGAATGTAAAATTGATTTTTAGTATAATATAAAAAAATAAAAAATAGGTGTTTGATTTGATATTTTTAAGAGAAAAAATGGGATGAATAGTGGAAATGTAATACAATCTCCCAAACAAACACACCCCTGATTTGTTTTCTATTATTTTGAATTTATTTTAAAAAATATTAAAGTAAATACTTATTTTTTATATTATAGTAATAATAATTTTAAATTTAAAATATCATATTAATTTTTATTTATATAACAACTAAAATTCAAGTTTTGACTTTAAATCAAAATTTTCAAACAAAAACATATTTCTCCTATCTTTTTTATGTTCAATTATTATGATTTTTAATAAAATTATGTTAATTTTTATTGTAAAATATTAAATTAAAATACTGTTTAAATACAAATTATATTTAAAATAGAAGACAAAGTTCAAAGTCATGAACACATATTTTCTATGCATTAAATCAGCTAGTTTAAAGTGGTTAGGTGTTAATTTATTTGATTTTGAAACAGCAACCAAAATAAATGTGACAAGTTATAGCCTATATATTTTTAGAATAAAAAATATTTCATTCGTTTTAATTCCAAATTCAAAGTTTTTTTTTTTTTGTTTTTTTACCTATTACACTAAAAGTATCTGTTTTTTATTTTAAAAAAATAATCACATAAAATATTAAAATATTTTTAATTTTTACTTAAATAATACACACATTGGTTACATATATAATTACTTTACGATTAAAATTAAAGGACAAAAATATCAAAATCTCATATACATTTTCTTTAATAAATAAAATATTAATACTACTAGTATTATTTTTCAATATACTATAAAATCTTGAGATGAGGTAAAGGAAAAAATAATTAAAAGTGTGTTTTCTTGCATAACTTATTTAAATTCTTTCCCATCTTATTAAAAAAATGTACTCCCTCCGTCTCTTAAATTTATTCTCACTTTTTTTTTTAATTTATTCACTAAATTTATCTAATTATTAATTTTGGCAAAATCGACACATCAATATTTAATTATTATCCTCTATTCAACACTTATTTACACCAAATATCACTAACTTTATTACATTATCTCTCTTCATTTAATTTACTTTTAATTAAATTTTCAAAAATACCCTCAACTATCTATCAGTTTTTTAATAAAATATATATTTTTTTTAATTCCCATGACGAATCCAAATAGTCTAATTTTAATGGGCGGAAGGAGTATGTTAATTCTTCCGGATGACGAATCACAAGTAAAATAATACGAATAAACTAAATCTAGAAACTGACGAAGAATGTGACGAGAGTAGAGCTGACAAAAATTGACCCACACTACAATCCGATACGAATTCGACACGAAATAATTGAATTTGAGTCAAAAATTTCAACCCGATTATATATATACAAGTTGATGCGAACCGGACACAATAATAAACGGGTAAGGGTTAAGGTTGAGACTCTCAACTCGAACCCGACACGACAACCCCGATTATAATATATTAATATTGATTGATATATTTATTATATATGTAAAATATTCATAATTTAATAATTTTCTCATAAATTAATTTAAATTAAATTAAATTTTAAATAATTCAACCTACGCTCAAACCAATAAAAACTATCATAATATGAAAAACACCACAAAAAATAATTTAATTTGATAAAAAATTTCAACTTAATTATGTATAAGGGTCAACGCGAGTCAACCCGAGCCCGACACGATAATAAACGAATTTAAACAAATCGAATTCTGGTTAAATAATTTAACTCGCTTAAAGTATTCAACCAGACACAAATCTTTCCCCGATCTAGACAAGAGGAAGCCATTGAAAATTAAGAAAAATTAATTTCACAAAATACATTTTAATAACTTATAATAATAATAATAATAATAATAATAATAATAATAGTCTAACCTTATTACAGCTTCCAGATTTCTTGTTATTGCAGAGATCAATGGGCGGTAATCTGTCTGCAGAATATTCACTCAATAATTACCCATTTTAATTAGCTTCAATAAGGAGGAGCTGGGCATGCCTCAGGACCACAAAATCCATCATTTCGAACTATATTATACATCGCCGGCAACGCCGCCGCCGCCGCCTTTGGTTGCTCAGCCGGAAGCTCTTCCTCAATGGCGGCGGCGGCGTCGTCGTCCTCCAAAGGCAGCCGCTCATAAACGGCATTTGTGTACGTCGCCGCTATCACCATCACCGGCCCCGACGCCGTCAGCGCCCCCGCCACCGTGCCGCCGACGACCTGCCCCTGCCCACCGCCCAAATACACCGCCAGACCGGCGGCGCCCGGCGGCGACGGCGCGGGGAGGAACGCCCCTGATAGCGATAATATCTCGAATCTCCCCTGCAGAGTAATCACTCCGCCCGGCGCCGCCGGCTGCCGGAGCGCCACGTCAGCGACGGCGCCGGTGCCGCTGAGGATCGAAACCCCGCAGCGGCGCCGCCGCGCGAAGGCGGCGATGCTCTCGGCGACGTCGCTGCCGCTGCTGATTTCCAGCACGTGACTTCGGAGCGTGTTCGGAGTTTCTTTCGCTATTACCACCGGCGGCTTCGGCTTGTTCTTCGACCCCGGCGGCCGGCCGCGCGGCCGCCGGCCGGCGGAGGAGGACGACGGCTCCGCGAATTCGAGATCTCCCGACGGCGGCGCCGGCGGCCTGATCTCCTCTTCATCGATTTCTTGATTTTGACCGTTGCGAGGGTTTTGGAGATTAGGGTTTCGTCCGCCTCCCACATCCCAAACGACATCGTTTTCGTTTCTCCCTACCCACCACCTACTCGCCATGGCCGAGTCTTCAAACCCTAATTTCACCTCCCAAAATCAAATAAATTATTAAACAAATTTTCAAACACCAAAATTCCAAAATAAAATAAAAAATTCAATTCCCAAAACACTTTATAAAATTTCTTGCAATTTTCAAGAAAGAGATCTAAAAACCCCAAAAATAAAATTCCAAAAGATAAACACTACTACTACTGCCACTACTCCAAACCTTATCTCTTTTTCTTTCAAACCGTTTGACTAAAACTATGAATTCCCGTAACAAAATTGTCTTCTTCTCACTTGATCAGATCAGATCCACAACTGCAAACATTAAAAAACAAAAAAACAAAAAACAAAAACCCTCAAAATTAGGGCACAAGAAGAAACTGTATCTGGTAATAATTGTAAAGAACTTACACAGAGTGTTAGTTAGGGTTAAGTTGTACTGAGGGGTAGTTGAAATGTCCCTGGATCTCTCTCTCTCTAGATCTCTCTCTAGATATCTCTGTGTCTGTGAGAGTGTGTCTGTGTCTGAAAGTAGCACTGATGAAACTGGGAGAAGGGACTAAGGAAGTACGATGAAGATTAAGTGATTATAGCAAGTGTACGATTGAAGGGTGGTTTCTGAGACAGTAGAAATTTGTTGTTACTCTGGAAATGAAATGAAATGAAATGAATCTTGAAAAGGGTTGTCTAGCTATACAAAAGAGGCATCTCCAAATAGTTTTAATTAATTTGGGGGTTTTCACTTTTCAAAATCACCCCTTCAATGGTTGGTTTGTTTGATTTTGCTTTTATTTATAATTTTGGTTTAAATAATATTTTGATATTATATTTCAGAAATAAAAAATTTAAAAAATGTCTTTCTTTTGTATCTTTAAATTTATATATATATATATGAAAAAGAATGTAATATAATTTTTTAAAAAATAATATTTATATTAAATTAATGGATAGAATATATATCATTATCTATTTACATATTATAGTGTCAAGCAATATTATTTTTTATGATAATATTCATCGTGTCATATTAAATATATACTCATATATTTTCATTAAAAATCGATCTTACTCTCCCCCTCCCGTCCAAAAGGGCCTTTTGGGTTATATAATATATTAAAAAATAATAATATTTTATTATTTAATAAAAGTGGGTAAGAGGTTTTGGTATTTTTGTTTTTTAATTTCATATAAAAAAATAATTGTATGTGTAATGATATATTTATAATTTAAATAAAACTTAATCATATTTTGATATTATGATTATTTTTATTAAAATAAAAAAAATATTTAAATTGAAACACAAGAAAATAGTAAGAAAAGTAAACTGAATTGAGACAATGGAGTATCAAATAATATTGAACAAACACACATTAGGTGTTATATAAATATTAATATAAAAATAATTTTATATTAATAATTTTCTTTGAGAAATTTAATAAATATTATAAAAATATAATATACTATTATTTATTATATACATTCAAAAAATTTATATTGTAATATAAAAATACTTTTTTACATTATTGATATAATTTTTTGTTATATAATCCCTTAAACAATACTCGAACGAATGCTTGTATCAAATTTCAAGGCTTTTATTATTTGGATATTGTATTTTTTAAAAACATATTTATTTATTTTTATACAGCATATCATCAAATATTATTTTAATACTAAAATTAAATTAATTGTTTTTTTAAAAATTAATCAAAAGAAATACACTATTATGATTCCTACCATAAAAAAACATATCTAAAATTTCAAATATATAGACTTTGTTTAGATAGGGGTTTTTCGAAATTTGAAAATTTATAAAAAAAATAAAAAGTTAGAATTTGATTTGATATTTTGTTAGAGAAAAATGTATTTGATATAATATTTTTTAAAAAACTGAATAATGTCAAATAAGTGAAAGTGTATTGTATAAACATAATATAATCGCTTAAAATGGTGCTTGAGCGTAGCGCACTTTTTTTTTTTTTTATACCTACAAACGCAAACATTCACGCATTCCACAAGTATCGAACTTCCAATCTTTGTTCTACTAGCCTACCCAGTCTCATTAAATATATTGTGTATATATACATAATATATACGATATATATAAATTTAAAATATTTAGTTTTGACACAAATATTTTAAAAATATAAAAATAAAAAAAATAATTGAAAGTATTTTTTAAATTTTAGTTAGAAATTTAAAAAAAATAATAAAAAAATAGAAGATGATAAATGTAACGAGAGTAAATTTGGCAAAAAAAATAAATAAATAAATTTGGCGGACGAAATAAATATAATGTATGTAACTATCTACACAATTAAATTCTCACGTATTTGTGTTTATAAACAATGAAACATATAAGCTTTTTACATAAATTGATTTTTTGTGTGTCGTATTAAAAATTGTGTCAAAAATATATAATATATTATTTTAAATTAAATATTTAATTTTTTAGTGATAAATTTGATTTATTTTTTACTTTTTGAATTTTATATATTTTGTATTATTTATTTATTATTATTGGGGAATTACAATTTAAAAATAGTGTTTAGTGAACAAAGTTATAATTTGTTCATTTTATTATTTAATATATATTTTTTATATCAAATATAAAAAATTATGTTAATAATATAAAATATATAATATTTTGTATTAAATTATAGATATTATATGAATAAATAAGAGACCTCAAAATCTCAAAACGCCGTCATCCCTAAAGCAATAGTGTCTTGGATGCTAAAGGCGTGGGTAGAAAAGAAAATGACTGCGCGCAAACATTGACGTCGTCGTTGATCGCCGTATTGGCTCGCCACTCGTACATGTCAATCACGATAAACTTGTTTGATGTCATTCCATAGATTTAAATTTAAATAATTTAGCAGATAAAAAAAAATAATTTAAATTACTAAATCTAAAATAAATCAATCTAAATCAATAATAAGTTAATTTAAAATATTTCAACACTGAGAAGGGGATTTGAAGGTTTATTGAAAACATTAGGGCAAGAACAACATGAGGTTTTCGGGGAATTTTGGATTTAGGTTTTGATTTTGAACAGTAAAATTTTGATTTGAAATAATTGTTTGTTGTGATAAAAATATGTATTGATATGATATTTTAAATATAAAATTAAATTTCAATATAATATAATAAATAAAAATATGTATCTAACTTAATATATATTTTTTGAAATACTCCATTCATCAAATTGAAAGGATGATGTTTATTTTTTACGCGTAGAATTTTAAATATTAGTATTATATTTGATTGTAGTTAAAAAAAATTCAAAAATACTCATATTAGTGTGTAATATAAAATTAACGACATTTGTGTAATATAGTGTAGTTTGAAGGGTATTTATTATGTTAAATAGGTAATACAATACTAAATTATAAAACAATAACTTTGTTTTTGCACTAGAAAATGACAATCTTTCCATCGGAGGGAGGGAATAGTAAATTATAGCCAAAATCTAAACACAACCGAAATTTTCCAAACAAACACAATGAGGAGAAAGAAGTTTGCCTCAGTGAACTGGTAAGACTTTAGTCTAATTTTACTATTTTAATTTTTTTTTCTCTAAAAATATCAAATTAAATACTTAATTTTTATTTATTTTATTACATTAAAATTTAATTTTACATTCAAAATACCATATAAATATATATTTATATCACATCAAATAATTATTTCAATTCAAAATTTTATTATTCAAAATCAAAATCTCAAAATAAAGATACCTTACAGAGCTTTGAAGATGGCGAAGTTTGGACAGTGGTATGGTGTCCTAAAAAGTTGAAGAAGATAGGGTTTTATGACACGACATTTAATGCCAAAATATGGCCCAAGTATCAATCCCATTCTCATCAGATCTATTTTTATTTTTTATATTTATTTTAATTATAAGTTTATTATTTGGTACCTATTTACTCCATTGAACATTACAAATAAAATTTTAATTACATTTAACTACACAAATATTATTATATTATTTTACATACCAATAAAAATATCAAATGAAGTAAATAAATTATTAAACATAACTACATTTTAACAAAAATTAAAACTTACATATTTAACTAAACAAATCGAAATTAAATCAAGTAAAATTAATCAATAAAACTAAAACAAAATAAAAAATATTAAAAAAAAAAAAGAGTGTGCGCATATTATTGGATCACATATTGGGCCTGGTATCGAATTGGACAAGATTCGTTGGCCCATTACTTTTCGGCCTTAAATTATATTATAAATATTTAATTATTAATTTAATGATGGAATTTAAAATATTGTTACACAGGAACGAGTAGCGCCTCTCGCCCTACGCTACGCCGCCGTTGCCCGATTAGGGCAGCCCTTAGTATCCCAAAACCGCCGTCGTCGGAGGACGGAGACTGTCGGACGAGTCGTCGGGAGGCGTTGGTTACGCACGAAAGGAAATCGAGACGTGTAAGTGAAATCCTTCTTCAATAATTTTGTGAGCGATTTTTTTATCATCGATTGAGTTGCTGATTTGATGTGAATTGTCTGGGAGAATAGTTAAGAGCCTGTTTTTATGTTCAATTGATTTTCCTGAAGTTAAAGCTTTGTAATTTTTACCAGATTTCGATGTCAAGTTATTACTCTCAGTTATCGTGCTGCTTTACACTGATATTATTTTGATAATACGAACGTGTTAATTTTGTTGCAGAGTTTGAAAGAGGTGCATAGCCATGGCCGCTGCTTGTGACTTTACAGCGGCAAATTTCTTACGAGTATGTTTGTTTACTGAGATCAAATGCTTTTAGTTTGAGATTATATGCGTTTATGTATCTGTAGGTAAAGATGAATTTTGAAACATATGTATTGTGTAATTGTAGGGTTCCTATAGACAGAATCTGGTTTTGCCTAGACATTCTTCGAGGCAGTCGAATAGGTTACTTTGGGGAGCAGTGCCAAAGAGGAATCCATCTCTAAGAATTTCTCGTAGAGGAAGTGCATCAGAGCCATGGAAAGTGAGAGCAGTTGTAAGCAGTCCGGTGGGGGACAAATCGAAGATGGATAGAAGTATTGCAGAAAACGTTGTCCATTTTTACAGGATTCCATTAATTCAGGAAAGTGCGACAGCCGAGCTTCTCAAATTGGCTCAGACCAAAGTGTCAAACCAAATAATTGGTTTGAAGACAGAGCAGTGCTTCAATATTGGGGTAAACAGCAATCTATCTAACGAAAAGCTTTCAGTGCTGAAGTGGCTTCTTGGGGAGACTTATGAGCCTGATAATCTTGGCGCCGAGAGTTTTCTAAGTGAGGAGATGAAAGGGAACATCAACACTGTTCTGATTGAAGTTGGTCCGAGGCTGTCATTCACCACGGCATGGTCTGCTAACGCTGTATCAATTTGCCAAGCTTGTGGTTTGACAGAAGTAAGCAGATTGGAGCGATCGAGGAGGTACTTGTTGTACGTTGCTGCTGGAAGTGCGCCATTGTCGGAGGTTCAAGTCAATGAGTTTGCTTCTTTGGTGCATGACAGGATGACTGAATTTGTTTACAGTCAGAAGCTCATATCCTTCGAGACAACTTTAGTCCCTGAGGAAGTTCGTTATATACCGGTCATGGAAAAGGGCCGTAAGGCACTAGAGGAGATAAACGAAGAAATGGGCTTAGCTTTCGACGAGCAAGATTTGCAGTATTACACAAAGCTTTTCATGGAAGACATTAAACGCAATCCAACAAACGTTGAATTGTTCGACATTGCCCAGTCCAACAGTGAACACAGCCGTCACTGGTTTTTTACAGGGAATCTTGTTATAGACGGTCAGCCTGTGGATAGAACTCTGATGCAGATTGTTAAAAGCACTCTGCAAGCGAACCCGAACAACTCAGTCATCGGCTTCAAGGACAACTCCAGTGCGATTAGGGGTTTTCAAGTAAATCAGCTGCGGCCAATCCATCCAGGTGTATCATGTCCGCTAGATCTAACTATTCGTGACCTTGATATTTTATTTACTGCCGAGACCCACAATTTCCCTTGCGCCGTGGCTCCTTATCCGGGTGCTGAGACAGGTGCTGGAGGCAGGATAAGAGATACACACGCAACTGGTCGGGGTTCGTTTGTCGTGGCATCTACAGCCGGTTACTGTGTTGGAAATCTTAACATCGAAGGTTCTTTTGCTCCATGGGAGGATGCATCTTTTTCTTATCCTGCAAATTTGGCTTCGCCGCTTCAGATTCTCATCGACTCCAGCAATGGCGCATCGGACTACGGAAACAAATTTGGGGAGCCACTGATACAGGGTTACACAAGAACTTTCGGGATGAGGCTTCCATGCGGCGAAAGGCGAGAGTGGTTGAAGCCAATAATGTTCAGCGGAGGTATAGGTCAGATCGATCACACTCACATAACAAAGGGAGATCCAGAAATTGGGATGCTAGTAGTCAAAATTGGCGGGCCAGCGTACCGTATCGGAATGGGTGGCGGTGCTGCATCGAGCATGGTTAGCGGCCAAAACGCTGCCGACCTTGATTTCAACGCCGTACAGCGCGGAGACGCAGAGATGGCGCAGAAGTTGTACCGAGTTGTTCGTGCTTGTGTCGAGATGGGACTGAACAATCCCATCGTTAGCATTCATGATCAGGGCGCTGGCGGAAACTGTAACGTCGTCAAGGAAATAATACATCCGAAAGGTGCTACCATCGATATCAGGGCAGTTGTAGTTGGCGATCACACGATGTCGGTTTTGGAGATATGGGGAGCAGAGTACCAGGAGCAAGACGCGATTCTAGTTAAGCCTGAATGCCGAGACCTTTTGGAATGGATATGTCAAAGGGAAAGAGTCTCGATGGCTGTCATCGGTTCTATTAGCGGCGATGGACGGATTGTTCTTGTCGATAGTTTATCGCCGGAAAAACCGCCTGCAGTCGATCTTGAGCTTGAAAAGGTGCTCGGCGACATGCCCAAGAAAACTTTTGAATTCCACCGGATTTCTAATACCAGAGAGCCTCTCGACATTGCTCCGAGTATCTCTGTTATGGATTCCCTGAAACGAGTTTTGAGGCTTCCTTCGGTTGCTTCTAAACGATTTTTGACGACTAAAGTTGATAGGTGCGTGACGGGTCTTGTGGCGCAGCAGCAAACTGTAGGTCCGTTGCAGATCACACTTTCCGATGTCGCCGTAATTGCTCAAAGTTATACGGACATTACGGGGGGAGCTTGTTCGATCGGCGAGCAGCCTATCAAAGGTCTTTTAAACCCGAAGGCTATGGCGAGGTTAGCCGTGGGAGAAGCTTTGACGAATCTTGTGTGGGCTCGGGTTACGTCTCTTTCTGATGTGAAGGCTAGCGGCAATTGGATGTACGCCGCGAAAATGGATGGAGAAGGCGCGGATATGTACGACGCAGCTGTCGCTCTTTCAGAAGCTATGATCGAACTCGGCATTGCTATCGACGGCGGCAAAGATAGTCTTTCGATGGCGGCGCATTCGTCCGGGGAAGTTGTCAAGGCTCCAGGAAATCTGGTAATCAGCACTTACGTCACCTGCCCGGATATAACAAAGACTGTGACACCTGATTTGAAGCTTGGAGACGACGGTCTTCTTCTTCACATTGATTTGGCGAAAGGGAAGCGTCGTCTCGGCGGATCTGCTCTTGCTCAAGTGTTTGATCAGATCGGTGACGAGTCTCCCGATCTCGACGATGTTCCCTATCTTAAAAAGGTTTTCAACGCCGTACAGGATTTGATCGAGGAAGAACTGATCTCAGCTGGTCACGACGTTAGCGATGGAGGATTGCTTATCACTGTGCTCGAGATGGCGTTTGCAGGGAACTGCGGCGTTAATTTGAATCTGAATTCGCCCGGGGACTGTAACATATTCCAGACACTTTTCGCCGAGGAACTCGGCGTCGTTCTTGAAGTCGGAAAACAGAATCTTGATTTGGTGATGGGGAAGCTTTCGGCTGCCGGAGTATCTGCGGATTTGATCGGGGAAGTAGCTACTGAACCCAAAGTAACACTCGTAGTCGACGGCGTCAGCCATTTAGTCGAAGAAACGGCGCAATTACGAGACATGTGGGAGGAAACCAGCTTTCACCTCGAAAAATTTCAGAGGTTAGCGTCATGCGTCGAGCAAGAGAGGGAAGGTTTGAGAAGTCGCCGCGAGCCTTCTTGGGAGCTTTCCTACACGCCAACGTATACGGATGAGAAATATTTGTCCGCGACTTCGAAACCAAGGGTTGCGATAATTCGCGAGGAAGGCAGCAACGGCGATCGAGAAATGTCTGCTGCTTTCCACGCCGCAGGTTTCGAGCCGTGGGACGTGACCATGTCTGATATGCTCGACGGTACCGTCTCACTCCACAATTTTAGGGGGATCGCCTTTGTCGGAGGATTCAGCTACGCAGATGTGCTCGATTCTGCGAAAGGGTGGGCAGCGTCGATAAGATTCAACAAGCCTTTGTTGAATCAATTTCAAGAATTTTACGATCGAACAGATACTTTCAGTTTAGGGGTTTGCAATGGCTGTCAGCTCATGGCTCTTTTAGGTTGGGTCCCCGGACCCGAAACCGGGGGAGTTCTTGGCGAGAAGGGAGATCAATCGCAGCCGAGATTCATCCACAACGAATCCGGAAGATTCGAGTGTCGTTTCACGAGCGTGAAAATCGACAAGTCGCCGGCGCTGATGTTCAAAGGAATGGAAGGGAGTTCGATGGGGGTGTGGGCTGCACACGGCGAGGGAAGAGCTTACTTCCCCGATAACGACGTCTTCGACAGCGTCGTAAAATCGAATTTGGTCCCTGTTCGATACTGCGACGATGACGGTAACCCCACGGAAGTCTATCCCTTCAACGTGAACGGATCTCCTTTAGGCGTGGCAGCGATTTGCTCGCCGGACGGGAGGCATCTCGCGATGATGCCTCATCCCGAACGTTGCTTCTTGATGTGGCAGTACCCGTGGTATCCAAAGAATTGGAATGTCGACAAGAATGGCCCGAGTCCCTGGCTTCGTATGTTCCAAAATGCTCGGGAATGGTGCTCGTGAGGTTAGTAAATTCTTTAAATCAAAACTTTTACACATTTTCTGCGTCGCGCCTTATCGCATCTCATTGATTTCTTGTGCAGATTCGACGACATTTTACATAGGCACGACCGTGGTGTGTTATTTAAGGCTTCTTATATCGCAACGAGGTAAATTACGCTACGGTCTCTTTAATTTATGAAATGTGCAATTGTTAGTTATCGTTCGATAGATCATAAAGTTTATGTTTTGAGATGCATCGGTTTTTGACTTAAATAAGATACTTTCGTCGTTTTTGTGGAATCGAATTTGGTTCTTCGGTATGTTAAAAGCTCGATCTTTTATTTGTATATACTTCAATTTCAATATCGAGATGATCGTTTATTAGTTTTGATCAAAAAATATATGCATAATTTGTACAATAGGTACTAAAATCTTCGAAACTCTTTGCCATTCGATCACATTATAGAGCAACCAGTAGCGTTATCGTCGCTGAACATAGTCGTAGCTTTTTCTTCGAGAGTAACCGGATAATAGCTAGGCTGTTGGTAGTACCCGTCGTTGTCGCAATCGACGTAATTCGATTGTGTGTCGACGGGTACATAACTATCGCGCCCGTAGTACCTAGAGCCGTCGTTCGAATACAAATTATGCCCCGAGCTCCCGTAATAGTCGTTAAAATCTGCGTTGTACGGGAATGGCCAGAGCTCGACGCTCCGGCCAGTCTTCTTCACCGTTTTCAGAACATCGTCAGGATTTGCCCACCCCATCACCGTCACTTTCTGCGTCGCCATGTCTATTTCGACGCTGTCGACACCTGAATTTCGAAATAGTCAAATGGGTTAGCATATTGGTCGCCGCCGCCGTCGTCGTCGTCGGAGTAATATTAGAGTTATATATTACCATCTAGTTTGGAGAGAGCTTTTCTAATTCTTCTTTGGCATCCATGGCAGTCCATGTGAACTCTCAACTCCATCTGAAAAATCAACAATTTGGATCAAATCGAATTTGTCAAAAATTAGAAATAAAAATCGTCTCTTTGAGCCACATTTTGGAAGAAGACAATATTATGATTCAGAATATTGTTATAATATCAAATAAATGATAAACTCACAGCCATGTTTGTGTGCAAAGTAATTGTAACAAAATTGCTAATTCAAATATAGTATTTATATATAGAGATAGGGTATAATGTTGATTTGCTGTATTTAATTGGACAGCAAGTTAGATTGATTTTGCAAGGAAATCCTTACTTGTGCAATTTGATTTTCGATTTTATTATTATTTTAATTTTATTTTTTTTCAAAAATATTAAATAAAATATTTATTTTTTATTTATTATATTACACTAAAATTAAATTTTACATTCAAAATATCACATTAATACATATTTATATCACATCAAACAACTATTTTAATCTAAAATTTTTATCACATTAAACACACTCAATAATATCTTATTGTATTTACGACGCGTGAGCTATCTGTGGAAATTATTCCGAAATTTCTGTCATTTTATTTTATTAAGCATCATTATTAATATTATTATTATTGTTGAGAACAACTATGCAACTACTAATTCATATATGCTTGTAAAATTTGTTTAACTTTTCTATTTTAAAATACTATTAATATTATAGTATGAAAATTTCGATTATTTATTTATTAAATGATGGATGAGAGAATAATTTTGAAGCAATTAATTGAATTGAATTTCCCTAATTTACCGCTGTCTACAATAAATCTCATTAATTAATAAATAGCGCCTCATCTATGCCAATTTTCAACGCAATTTATGCTACTATAATATTCCTCCGTCGTTACACTCTAATTCGAAAATTTAAAATTAATATAATTAGTAAATATATTAATATAAATAATTATAAATTAATATAATTAGATTAAAAAGTATAGGACAAAAACGGAAACATAACAAAAGATTAAAGAAGTAAAAAGTAAACATAATATCAAGGTGCCTCCTTGCAACAGAAAAACACATACTTCCTCGCGGTATTCATTTTTCATTTTAGTCCATCTCATAACAAATTATTTTTTTTTAATAACTTTACTATCAACTTAACATTACAAATGCCTTTACAATTTACAATATATTAAACAAATGTCATTACGTTTATATCATCGCATATATTAGTTATTTTTATATTTTCAAAATAATTTTCTATACTTCACGTCATAAAATATTTCTTCAAAATATTTCACGAAATAAATAGCACCCTAATTAATTTCACCATTTTCAACAAAGAATCGATCGAAACCTTAAAAACTTTCGATTTGAGAATCAAGAATTCTAACGACTATTTTCATTGTCGCCAAAAACATGCAATGCAAACAAAGCATTGTAATGCCCATTTTGTATCTCCTCATCCTTCACATCATGGAGCAAAAGTGTTTCGATTATCAAATCCTCCCAATCGATCCCCGACTCTGATCTCTTCCTCTTCCTCTTCGTCGATTTCTCGAGATCAAAAATTTCAAAATCCTCGTCGCCCAATCGAGGTTTCATAACCCGCTCGATCCTTTTCTTGGCCGCTCGTATTTTCTCGCGCCTTCTCATCTCGTCCGAACACGCTTTTTCGAAACTCGGCGGGTTTCGATCCAATCCAACATCCTTCTCCAAAATCTCTTTCAAAAGAACTCTCTTGCTCAATTCCGATTTCCCCCTCCACCAATCCATACACTCATCGACGTCGAAATTTTGTCGCCTTTTCCGACTATTCGCTACACCGATCTCCTTAGAAGCATCGATCGACGAAATTTCATCCACGAAATTCGAATAAATCATTGCCAACGTCTCGTACGAGATCTTAAACTTGTCAGGACGATCGATCCGATCAATTGCACCGTGCCCGGATTCGAAATAACTCGAATCACTCTCGACTACATCCAAATTGAACTCGCTAAAACCATTCCCGACCAATTCCTCGACGTCGAACACGTCGTTCACGTTCTCTGCTGAATTTCTTTTCTCCATAGACTTCATCTCCATGTACTGAATCACATATGGCGCATTCTTCATGATATTCTTCGTCGTTACGTCGTTCCCCCACGGCAAAACCTGAGCGACTTCGACAAGCCTCGCCAATAGCTCCTTGTGCCGTCGACGGCATGTCGAAATCGCAACGTGCAATTCCCTCGCCACGCCATCGATTTTCACGTCTAATTCGTTCAATTCCGCGACGAACACTAACACCGCCGCCACCACCGGAATCGGCTGCCGCCCCGTCGTGACGAACCATTTTATCAAACATTGCACCAAAAACACACCCTGCTGCAACATCCTCTGCATCACTTCCCCGCTAATTTTTCCGAAACTCGGAATGCTCTTAAGAGCTCGTTCGAAGGAATTAACAATGTCGAATTCCGGCAACTTCTGATCAGTATAATCAACAACACGGTTGATCATTCGACCTAATTCGTAAACATCACAGCCTACCAAATCAGCTATTTCCACCATTGGCAACATCTTTTGATCCTTTCTCATTACCACATAACTACAGGCGCCGACGAGCACCGGAAACCACTCCCCGCTGCCGTACTCGCCGTCGGTGACTTTTTCCACCAGAAGCTTAACCTCCTGTGACTTGGAGCCTTCAAGCCCTAATTTGTACATAAAATCGTCAATCAGTTTCTGAGCTTCGTAGATTTTGGTCTGCTTGTAGCTGTATGCGCTTCCGCTGCCGGCGGTGCCGACGCGCACGTAGGTGCCGGCGTCGCCTGTAATTCCGCCGATATGCGCCTCGAAATTGTCGAAATCCTGAACGACGCTGCACGATGAGCAGACCATATTGCCGGTGACGTCGTCGGGGACCAGCGTCCTCTTCCTGCAATTCTTGCAAGCTTGAGAATTCTCCATTTTCGCCTCGAAATTTCAGATAACGCTGCTACGATTCTTCAGGATTACTTCGCCGACGAAAGGATCTGGTTTTGCAATCAGATTATCGAAAAATTCACCACACTCATAATCGAAACAAACATTTAATGTAAGAGGAAGAAATTATTGTGCCTGTTCCTAATGAAAATCGCTGCGCGAGAATCTGATTGACAAGAAATTTGAAAGAATCGTACCGGTTGAGATCGATTATTGGGCGGACAAAATTAGGGTTCTTCAGTGTACACAGTATATATATCTGAATTCGGACTTCTTTCTGTACCCTACCCGCTAGCCCGGACGATCCGTATTCAGTCGGGTCAGGATCCGTGTTCAACCAACACTAAAAATTAAATTTACAGAAGAAAGGGAGTATATGCAAAATACTAAAATCCGACCTCTGGTTCACTTCCTCACCGAATTCACGACGGCGTCTTCTCCGATGATTCCTTCGCGGCGGCAGAAGCGGGCAAAGAAGGAAAGGAAATACCAACATTTGAAAAGAGAGAAAAAAAAAAGGAGAATGGTGCAATTGGGCCTGGGCGCCGCGGCGGTAGGGTAAAAGTAGGTTGGTTTGTCTGATTTAGACATCTTTTAACCCATTAATTCTATTTTTTCAGTTTTAAATTTTATAACTCAATTTTTAATTTTTATTTTTTAAATATTCAATTTTTCATACTATTTTAAATAATTTTTATTTTTATAATTCAAAATAATTTTTTTTTTAAATTTTAGAAAATAAAAAATAAATTTAAAAATGAAAAAATTAAAAAAAATAAAAAAATAGCAAACATTAATAACGTTGGGTTGAAGATGGCCTTATTGAATTATATATATATATATGGAGTATTTTATATTATTAGTACTAAATTTTAATAATAATAATAACTGTTATTAATTTCTAGTTATAATAAATAGACATAACATAGAGTATAGGTTTATAAAATTAATATTTTGTATTAAATTATTAATTTATTATATTGATATGTATATTAAACCAAAGTGTTTTTTTTTTTTTTTTTTATCTCCAACGAAATATTCTATATTCAAATTTTAACTTCACTCCAACCAATTCAATTTTTTCTTCTAAAAAAAATATTATATATATTTTTTTATTTTAAACAATTACATAAATTTTATTTGTTTACATATTAACTCTAAAATATTTTTTCATAATTTAAATTATAAAATATGAATAATTGTTTAAATAATAATAATAATTTATTTTTAATATGAATATTTTTTTTATCTAATTTATAATTTCTAAATAATACGAAATATAAAAAATAAATTAAAATACAAAAAAGTATAACAACAAAATAAATTAAAAGGACCAAAATATAACTAAATAAAATATTCCTCTATTTTTGGAGGAATGCAAAGTGTTCCTTCTATTTGGATCCTCAATAATTTATCCGCATTTTGAATGCGTGAAGATTAAATACCATTAATACAATTGAGTGAGTTACATGTAAAATTTACAAAGAGTTTAACACATTTTTAAAAGGACATAAAATTTTGCACAATTTAATAAAATCACAGAGAGGATTTTGTGTAATTTAGCCTATTTAAATATTAATACTCCCTCCGTCACGTAAAAAAATATCTATTTATTTTTTGTACGTAGTTTTAGAAATATTAGTATTATATTGGGATATAGTAGAAATAAAATGTAAATGACTAAAATAACCTTATTAGTATGTGTGATATAAAGGTAATGACATTTGTATAATATATTATAAGTTGTAAGGGTATTTATAATGTTAAGTAGATAGTACAGTTACTAAAAAAAAAGAAATAAATATTTTGTTACGAGACGGATTAAAATGAAAAAATAAATATTTTGTTATGGAACGAAAGTAGTATTTTAAATTTATAAGACAATAAAAATAAAAGAAAGATATACAAAATGAAAGGAGGAATAGTTTTTAGTATGAGGTAGAAGCTGACATCCTATAAAAAAAAAATATTCCATTTCCCAAATGACTTTTTCTTATATTATTTACAAATGCTATTTGAATTTTAATAATACATAAGAAAATTTCAAACTAGTTTTTATAATAAGCAGCTTCAATTAATTTTTATTTATTGCTTATAATAAAATTTCGAAAACAAAACTTATTAAATTAATCACATCATTACTTCGTGAACAAGATTTTTATGTATACATATATATATATATATAATGTTTAAAAAATAAAAGTCATGAATTTTCGTAGTGACGTGTTAGCAAAATTTATATGCCTAACAATATTATTAATTTTTAAAAAGTTTTGATTGTATCGAACTATTAATAAAAATAATAATTATTATATTATAATTAAATTGATTAAAATATAGTAATAATAAACTACTTTATGATTTGTCCCCTATAAACTAATCTAATCTACACGTCTAGTATGTATGTATATATTTATTTATTTTATTTTAAACCTATGTTACCATCAAAGTTGAGAGTCAACTACAAAATTGATAAATATTGTTACAGGATTATGCAATATTATTAAAATACATCTAATTAGTTGGCAGGATTTAACAAATGTGTCGCACCACCTTTATATATATATATATGAACATTCCTTTCATTCAATAAAATAAAATAAAAATAAAATCATCCAAAATAGTATTTACATTAAAATTCAAGATGTATTATTATAAAATATTAATATTTTTATATTACTGAGACAATTTTTTATATTTTAATAATTCACTCAAGCATAAAAAGACAAACTTAATTGATTTTTTAATATGATGTATATTTTTCGTTAATTCATACTCCTACTACTTTATATAATAAATAGAAAAAGTAATAGTATAAAAATAGAAAAATTAGTATTTTTTCTTTCATTTAAAGTCCATAAAAAATATTATTATTTTTCCTTTTAGTAAAGAATTATATTATTTTTTATAAAAAAATAATAATTATTATTATCAATTTTAATTAAAATTTATATCCAATCAAAACAAACATAAAATTAAATGTCGAAGGAGGATATATAAACTAGTAGAATTCATCTATTTATTTTTCTAAATGATAAAACACAGTATTAAGGGTTTGTTTCTTTAAGTTTGGATTCTAAATTTTTACTTTTTTGACTCTCTGAAAATAAATAAATATATAAATAAAAATACAATTTTTTCTTTTACAAAACATTCAATTATACATTATTTTAATACCAACTCAATCAAAATTTTACAAACAAAATAAATATATCCTAAACTTTTAAAATTACAAAAAGTTTATATATCTAAAGCAAAAATATAAAAATAAAAAACAAAAAATGTTGGAATACCGCTTGAAATCCATTGACTCAAGCAGGAACACTTGAAGCATAACTTAAAAAACCAAATTTACATTTGACTTCCACCCCAATAATTATACTAAAATGAAATTCGCCCCCAAATTTCATCCAAATGTCAAAATCACCAACCTAACCTAAACCTCACATTTTAATTTTATTTATTTATTTTTTTTGCCATCAAACATCCACTTCCCCTTCTGCCCCCTTTTCCAGTTTCTTCCCCAATGCCAATCTTCATCTTCATCAATGGCTGACAAAACCCTCCTTTTCTTCTTCCTCCTAAATCTCATCTCCCAAATTCTTGCAGAAGAATTCCTCTTCCAAGGATTCAAAGATTCCGACACCAAAAAATTACTACACCTCGACGGCGCCGCCGAAATCCAACCAAACGGCGCCCTAAAACTCACCGGAGATTCCACCCGCCTCGTCGGCCACGCCTTCTACAAAACTCCATTAAAGCTCAAAAACTCGAGCTCCAAAAATGGCGGCAACGGTCAAAAAGCTGTCTCCTTCTCGACAGCCTTCGCCTTCGCGATTGTTCCAGAATACGAGAAGCTCGGCGGCCATGGATTCGCCTTCACACTGTCCAAATCCCCAAATCTAATCGGACTCCCCAGCCAGTACTTAGGGCTCATGAATTCCTCCGACATCGGCGATTTCTCCAACCACATCGTCGCAATCGAGTTCGACACAGTTAAGGATTTCGAATTCGGGGACATCAGCGACAACCACGTCGGCGTCGACATCAACAGCCTCGTCTCCAACTCCTCTGTCAATGCCACCATTAATGGCGGACAGTTAGATCTCCAGAGCGGCAGAACGATTCAGGCCTGGATCGATTACGATTCCTTCGGACATCAATTGAAGGTCTCCCTCTCTCCCTCCTCGTCAAAACCTAAATCCCCAATTCTCGTCTTCCCCGTCGACCTCTCCCAGGTTTTAATGGAGTTTATGTACGTAGGGTTCTCTGCCTCCACAGGTCTGCTCGCGAGCTCTCATTACATCACAGGATGGAGTTTCATTACAGGTTTTGGGGAAGTTAAAACCCTAGATTTGTCTCGTCTTCCATCGATTCCATCTCGTTCGAAGAAGAACAGCCATAATCTGCCATTAATTCTAGCTTCTTTATCAGCTTCCGCCATTGTTGTCCCTGCAATTGTGATCTTAGTTTTTTGCATCGTTAGGAAGATGAAGAACAGAGATGTAATAGAATCATGGGAACATGAGATCGGACCTCATAGATTTTCTTACAAAGATCTCAAAAAAGCGACGAAAGGCTTTCGCGACAAAGATCTCTTAGGATTCGGTGGATTCGGCAAAGTTTACAAAGGTACATTGCCAAATTCGAACATCCAAGTCGCCGTAAAACGCGTTAACCACGGGTCCAAACAGGGGTTGCGAGAATTCGTATCGGAAATTGAAAGTATCGGCCGTCTACGCCACCGAAACCTCGTTTTATTACAAGGTTGGTGCCGTCGTAAGAGCGATTTATTGCTCGTTTACGATTTCATGCCTAACGGGAGTCTCGATAAGTACATATTCGATAAACCCGAAAGTACATTAAATTGGGATCAACGATTTAAAATCATCAAAGGCGTCGCGTCGGGTCTCGTTTATCTGCACGAAGGATGGGAAAAAACGGTAATTCATCGCGACGTCAAAGCGGGGAACGTTTTGCTAGACTCGGAGATGAACGGACGCCTCGGAGATTTCGGGCTCGCGAAATTATACGAGCGCGGCGAGAACCCGAGCACGACGAAAGTCGTCGGCACGTTGGGGTATTTGGCGCCGGAATTGACGAAAACGGGGAAGCCGACGGCAAGCTCCGACGTGTTTGCGTTCGGGGCGTTGTTGCTTGAGGTCGTGTGCGGGCGACGGCCGATCGACGCAAAGGCGATGCCGGAGGAGCTCTTTCTCGCAGATTTCGTGTGGGACAAGTGGAGAAACGGCCGCGCGAACGACGTCGTCGATGCGCGATTGCGAGGCGAGTACAACGAGGTCGAGGCGATCCTCGTGATCAAGCTCGGGTTGTTGTGTTCTAACAATGTCCCGGAGAAACGGCCGACGATGAGACAGGTTGTCCGGTACTTAGATGGGGAAGCCGCGCTGCCTGAAGGGATTGCGCCGCCGGACGACGAATCGGAAGGTGGTAATAACGTCGTCGATATTGACGATCGGTCGTATCCATCGTCGTCGTGCTACGAGAAAGTGAGTTCGTGGTCGTCGGCGTGCAATGGCGATGGGGATACTGATGTCGAGGGCGGTGCAGCGTCGCCGCCGCCTCCGCCGTTGTAGGCGTCGGAGAAGATATAGGGTAGTTTTTATTGTCTTGTAATGTTGTGTTGTTGTGTGTATGTCTGAAATGTCCCACAGTATTATATTGATAGTTAAAGTAAAAAAATTTCTAAAAAACTAAAATACTGTAATTATTGTAATAGTTGTGTGAAAAAGGTAAATAGATAGTTACCAGAAATAAAAATACAAACATAAGTTTTGAGACGCATAGACCTAAAAGACTAACCCAATCAAGAATTTTAACTCCAGGTTGTCTGTGTGTGAAAGATTTTTTTAAATTTATACTCATACAACTATTTCAATTCAAATTTTTTACTCTTAATTTAGACAAAAGTATCATTTTTTTTCTAAGATTTAAAGAAATAATTGAAAAATATTAGTAAATAAAAAAGTTAGAAGAGGCTTTGATTCTTTTGTACAAAATTCTTTACATGTTTCTTTTTAAAAAAATTAATATAGTAGTGTCTTTGTCAAGAATTGGGACATTAATGGGCCTGGCTGCCTGCCTAGTTCAATTGTGTCCACACTAAGTGGGATCATATCAGATTTCATATAGTGACTCAACATCTTTTGATACGCACAATCTATGGCTAAACTCATAAATTTAATAAACAAGCCAAATTGAATTTTGTACCAATAATATGTTGGAATTAGACTTATAAATCAACTACACAATATGCATTTAAGCACTTCTAATATTTAGATATTTATATTCTTATTTTTTTATACTTATTTACTATATAAACATCCTTAGTAACATCCAAAACGAAAACAATCTTAACATTTAAGAATCAAACCAACAAATAAGAACAAAACTCAATTTGGGTACTATAAATTTCTATATTACATTTTTTTTAAAATTAATTTAAATAATTAATTTGGAGGACAAAACGTGACAATATACCTCCTGGCCCGGCAAGTATTCAGCCCCCTCGACTCATCGTAAGCGTAACTCAACGCGCGTGGGCACACCGCCTTGACCGTCCGCGCGTACGCCGTCGGCTTACAGGCGGCGCGTCCGGCGTACGCGCCTCTGCAGCAGTACTCATCCTCCCCGATCGCCAGGCACGGGCTCTCGCAGCCGACGACCTTCCCGCCCCGCCGCACCGCCAGCCTCTCCGGGCACGCCACGTTCACGTCCGCCTCGCACGCCGCCACGCCGCAGCCTCCGGAGCTGCCCCCCGCCGGAATCACCGCCACCGGCAGATTGAAGCCGTCGACCAGGCTGACGTCGTAATAGTGAATTGGATTCGTTTCCGTCCCCAGCGTCAGATCCACGACGGTCGCCGGCGGCTGCCCGCTGACGCCGCCGCACCGAAGCTCGCCGTCGCAGTCACCTGTCTGGCACGTGCCCCTGCCGGAGTTGTCGAAATTGCAGCCCTGGCGGGCCCATATTCTGCCGGACCACCACTTCGGCGCCTCGACGGACTCCTGGCGGCCGCGGCGGAGAACGAAGCCCCCGCCGCCGTTGAGTGGCGGCTGGCCGGCGGTGGGCAGAATCGCCGGCCAGATTGTCCCGTTGCAGTTGTTGGCTATCGTTATCTTCGTCGATTCTGCGAATTTCAAGAAATTGGAAATTGCAATTTTTATCGACAATTAATTAAAGATTAATTTTTTTAGGTAATTAAAAGATAATATTCACCTGAAGAGAAGACTGAAGTTGTTAAGGAAGAAATGATAAGACAGAAAAATATGATGCAATTAAATCTCCCCATTGCTTTCTTCAATCGAATAACTGAAAAATGTATTTAAAAAAAAAAAAAAAAAAGAATTGATCGAAACCAGAAATTCAAACGTGATTTTATAGAGATGGAGAAAACGGTTATTCCCACAATCCACTTTCTTGATCGAGTCCCACGTTTTGTGGATTAAGGGCTAAATCGTGGATCAAATATATCTAAAATACAAATTATTGCAATATAATGTTCAATACTTACATTACAAAAATAAGAAAAATAATAAAATACAAAAAAAATATATATATATTAAATATAGGAATTAATTAATTAATTAATTAATTAATTAATTAACAATCGATCAATGGAGCACGAAACTAGTGACAAGTTTCTTCAAAGCGTCGGCGAGGGGATTCGTCGCCGGCGGCGAGACGCTGCCGTCGTTTCCGGCCAAGACACGGTACTTATCCTTCCTGGTGAAATTGGTACACTCAAACCCTAGCGCCGCCGCGAGAATCCTCTGGACATAATTAGCGACGTCGTAGGGGCTTTTTCCGGCGGAGCAAGTGGCGTCGGCCGGCAACTGGTTGAGGAAGGTGACCTCGTAGACCGGCCGGGGGTTCATGAAGAAAAAAATCGGGTCCATGGCCTTCCAGCCGCGGGCGGTCGTGGCGTGAAAAAAACCGACCCGGTAATTCATGGCGACCGGCACGATCCGGTCGGTCAGCTCGGCGAATAAAGCGCTGAACCGGAGTAGGAACGGTTCACGGCAGGTGGTGCCCTCCGGGCAGACGGCGAGGTCGCCCTTCTCCAGCTCCCGGCGGATCTTCTCGGCGTCGACGGCGCGGATCCGGGTCAATCGGACGGTGGGGATTGGCGAGAGGATCTCCGACAGCCGCGAGACGGAGTAGGTCACGGCGGGGATGCGGCGGTGGAGGACGGTGGAGAGGACGACGGGGTCCATTAGGGTGCGGTGGGTGCAGACGAAAAGGACGCCGGAGGTCGCCGCCGGAGCTGACGCCGGCGGCGGAGGGTTGCCCTTGACCACGACTCTACCTCCTAAAATACGTGCCACGTGGCGTACGGCCCACATCGGAAGCATTAAACCGACGGCGATGCGGACGGCGGCGAGAACGACGCCGATGGGGATCCATAGTAGGATTAGCAGCGCCGTCGCCGGCGTCGGACGTTTTGCTAGACGGCCGTCGTGGAAAATCACGGGAAGTGGACGGACGATGTGGCGGCGCCGCCCCTTGATTTTGCCGGAGTTTGGGCGGTGGCATACTTCCTGTCAAAATAATGATATTTTAAAAAACAATAATTATTTTCAATAACAAAATTCTAAAAACATATAGAAAAACACTTCAAAAACACTTTCCCTTCTTTTCTAATAAAACAAGTATTTCATCCTATGCTATTTTTAACATATAAAATCTATCAAAAACATCTAATCTAACTATTATTTTTTTTACTATTTTCATATCTCTTATTTCAAAATATTTTTTTCTATTTTAGCAAAATAATCTTACATTAATACTAAAATACCTTTAATTTTATTTAAGTTACAAACATATAATTACAAATACAATTACTTTGTACATAAAGTTAAAGAGCAAAAATATCAAAACATCTTTTACACTTTCACTAACTAATAAAATACTATTATTTTTAATTTACTACAAAATCTCAAAGAGCCCATTTGAAATGGACCGGAGGGATTATTATTTTTATTCTAGAATTTTCAAAGGTTTAACTTTAAAAATACTAAAAATATGTTACAAAATAAGAATAAACGGCTCAAAATTTTCCGAACTAACCTTACACAACGACAAAAACATCATATTAGGCCTCCCAAGGCCTAAACTAGGTTGTCCATCTTCAAACAAATCCTTCCTCGAATCAAAACCCCGTTTCAATAATCCAGTGGCAAATCCAAACCGATTGATCGACAATTCACTTCCAACAACTTCATCCGCCATCAAATGTTCTTTAACAAACCTTTCAACCAAAACCCTCGGCATTTTAGTCACGACAACTCTCTTATCATACGAGCTAAAAACCCCCCACGTCTCCATATCAAGATCATCCAAGAAGAACTTAGGCAAGACGGCTCGTGCCACGGCCTCAATCTCCGAGAAGGAAACCCCGGCCGTGGCCACAAACATGGTAAGCCTAAGCCCACAATCCTCTTTCCCAATCGCACCAAGAAACCAAATCACGGGCCATATGGCTAACAAGAGCCCGAACCGGATGAGGCCCGATGCCTCGAATGCAATCAACATGAAGTATGAAAAGACATTAGGGTCCTTCAACAATGTCCCTTCAAGTTCACAAACAATGGACTCCATGAATGAATGAGAATATATGACAAGCAAAGAAAACCCTAATCTTGTCTTAAGGGGTGTTTTTTTTGTGTTTTGAGGATTGGTTGTTGAGAGAGAAGAAGATTATTAAGGACTGTTAGATGAGAGTGGATATGACTAATGTGATGAAGAAATATATATATATATATATTTATATTATGATCAAAGGGATGAATTGTTAACCAACTTTTTTCATTTTGCTATTATTTTTCTAACGAGGCTTAAATGGGTTTTCTGACACGTCAGCAAGAAAAAGCTTGCAGGTAACTAACCTCAACAACTTGGGACACACTACACATTCTAAGATTACATGCTCCACGTGTCCAAAAACTATTGGAAACGATTTTTATAAAAAAAATAGCAGATCTTGGCAACACCCTGGATCCGAGATCCGGAAACAACTCAAGAGTCTCATGATACGTACTGGGACCTCTGATCCTGTAACCTGTTAAATATCACTCATAATTCTTAACCAGTGTTTTATTAATAGAACAAAAAAATTGGAAAATACTCACAAAATGTAAAGTTACAAGGCATGACTTTAGTTAACATAATTTATGTTGTTTATCTATTTTAAATCTTATATATAATTAATCCTAATCAATAAAAATTAATCCTAATCATCCTTATAAAATAATTATAGTTTGAAAATTTATTACAACATTTTGTGTAAAAAAATTGTACTACTAATTGACAAGGGTTTTTACCATAATAAAAAGGGGAATCTTTTCAGCCAAATTATGCAGACCCAGATGGGTAAATAAATTAAATTTTATTTATTTATTTATTTTTGTACACCATGCAAGTCGAGTAGAAAGAAAGAAAGAAAATAAATAAATAAAATAGTTACGTAGACAGAAAGACATATATAAGTTTGGTAATAAATTCAATTAAATTTGTCACTATGCATGTTTTCAGACAGACCAATTTTTGCTGCCAACTTTCTTCATATATATATAAATAATTCATCTATATGATCACTTATTTAATTTAGATTAAGGAATTAATTAATAGGCAAAATTCTTATATGATGTGCTGGTCAATTGGTAGACAGGAAAATTTATTTCATTTGGTTGAGAAAATTTTGTACGAACTTTCAAAATTATCCTTACCATTAATATAATTATTCATTCTTAAATACTCCTCCATGCTTGTTTACTTTTGTCATAAAAAAATAATACTCCATCTTGTCCCCGAATAATTATGTTAGTTTTTCTTTTGGTTAAAAATTTGGAAATTTTATTTATGATAAAATAATTTATCTTCCCATTACAATTTTATATTAAAATGTTGAGATATTTTAGATATTCAATTTTAAATTTAGTAGATTTATATCTAGATTTGATCTTATTCATAAATTAGATTACTTATATTTGAGTCTATGGAGTTTGTTTTGTATTGCTTATATATAGGCTCCTTATTTTAATAATTAATAAGACAATCTCGTTATTTTCCCCTAAAATTTCTAACATAAAATACTACTATTTTTAAATTTTTATGGCCGAACAATATGGCGCAAAGAGCCACACGGATAAAGTATTTTATATATTATGGATGATATAAAACTATATTAATTAAAATATCTTAGGGTTTTAGGGTTTCGTAGTGTTAAATAAATAAAAAAAAATAATCGTATTAATATGTAAATAAAATGGTATATATATATATATAATAGATGAATAACCCTAAAAATTTTAAAAGATTATGTGCAAATAGTGTCTTGAAAATAGTTGGGGGTTTGGATTTTGAGTTGAGATTTAAATAGTAAAAATTTTGAATTTGAATAGTAGTATGTTGTGATATAAATAGGTGTTGATGTGCTGTTTTGAATGTAAAATTGATTTTTAATATAATATAAAAAATAAAAAACAGGTTTTTGATTTTATATTTTTAGAGAAAAAAATAGGATGAATAGTGTATTTAAAATCCAATCCCTAAACAAACACACCCTAATCTTTTGAGTGGGTAATGCAGTTAGGCAAAGTGATTTATTTCAAGTAGGTTGGAAGTATGTTATTATTATTATTATTATTTATTTATAAAGCCAAATTTCATCTATGGGAAAACTTGCAAGAAAACTTAATTAAATTTACACTTTAACTTTTTTAAATAATAATATTTTAATTATATTGATATTATTTTCTTAATTTTGGTTTAATTGTGCAATTGATAACAATAAGTTAGGGTGTCACGGTAAAGTATATCAAAATTTTTATTTCATATTAAATATTGTACTGAAGATATTGGTTAAAAAAGAAAATTATCATAATTAATTATTTTCTATTGAATCATTTAATATACTGAACATGTATTGCTTTTTTGGTATACTATACTATTTTTTTTAGTATACCAAAAAAAATATATATCGAAATTAGCAATTCAGATAAATACAATTTGAAGTGTATAATATAAGAAAAGTTGCATTTAATAAGCATGTATGCATATAGTATTTTTTGTTATAAATAAAAAATGTATATTTTTTGGGATAATAATAATAATAATAATAATAATAATAATAATTAATGAAATTGTTTTTTCATTATGGGCTTTGGATGCTTAGGAGGTTTAAGTGGGCTTAATGTTAATGGATTATGACTTTATGAGACGCACCACCTCACAAACTAGGAATTGTTTATAAAACGTTTGAGGTAAAATTGCTTATAACTCATATGTGGTTTTAAAATTCAGCGTAAAATATCTCTATACTTTAAAAATTGCATGGTACCCCCTTATTCTTTAAAAAACGTTGCATGAAACCCCACCACCATGAAACTTTCATCGTGTGATAAGAAAATGATTTTCTATCTATATATTTTGCATGGCATGCGGGTTTTATGCAATATTTTTTAAAGTATAAGTGAGCGTCATGCAATTTTTTAAAGTAAAATGGGGATTTAAGCTGAGTTTTAAAACCACAAAGTGGTTTCATGCCACATTTTTTAAAGTATAAGGGGACGTCACACAATTTTTAAAATAGAGGGAGAATTTATGCTCAGTTTCGAAACCACAATGGAGTTATGGACAATTTTGCCAAATTTGAATTCCAAGTTTAATTAATTAAAATGCTATTTAAACCAACTTAAATTTTAAAATATTTTTGAAATACATCCAAGTATAGAGATGTTTTTCAGTGCATTTGTTTGTGAGTTTGAAAACTGATTTTAAATAGTAAAATTATAATTATAATATATATATATTTAATTTGATATTTTTTAAAAAAATATATAAATTAATAATAAAATATAAATAGATACCACAATTTTTTTTAAACGGATACGAATAAGTTGAGTCCCCATCTAAAGACATGAGTGACAAACTGGCGGCCATTCTGTGGCCTCAACATTTCGCATTGTTTTTTTTTTTTCTTCAAAAAATATTAAATCAAAAATTTATTTTTATTTTTTATATTATAATAAAAATTAATTTTTTATTTAAAATATCACATCATACAACTATTATAATTCAAAATTTTTACTATTCAAATTTTACCTCAAAAATTCAAACCTCCAAACAAATACACCCTTAGTATAATGGTTTGAGTAAAAAATATTATTCTCTCAATCCCTTAACAATCTATCTATTTTTTTTTTGTTCTATTTCATAACAAAATATTTATTTTCTTTTTAGTAATTGTATTCTTTACCTAACATTACAAATATCGTTCATATTTACAATATATTACACAAGTGTCATTACTTTTATATCGTACAATACTAATAAGGTTAATTTAGTATTTTTACTTTTATTTCTACTACATCTCAATATAATACTAATATTTTTAAAACTTTTTGCAAAAAATAAATAAATAGATAAATATGATACAAAGAGAATATAAAAATATAAAAAATAAAAATATGTATTTAATTTAATATTTACTTTTTAAAAAAATGGTAAATAAAAAAGAAATGTGATTGACAATAAACGCCCACATATTTACAATTTTAACTTAAAACTGAAATCAAAATTACATTACAAGTATCCCAATTAAAACTACATATATTTTTTTTTATCCCACTTAAAACATACTCGCTCCGTCCATTTACAAGGGTTATATTTATTTTTGACACGGTGTTTAAGAAATAATAATATTTTAATTATAGTGAATAGTTAAAAATAGTGTAATAACATTTTTGCCCTTACCTTTTTTTGTGTAAAAGTAATGATGTGATGTAAAGTAAAGGTATTTGTAGAAAAAAAGTAGAGTATTTATTGAAATGTAAACTTTGTAATTGGATGTCCCAAAATAGAAACATGTAAACTTTATAAGCGGATGGAGGGAGTATTAATTTTTTTATTTTAGTAAAATATATACTTAGTAAAAAAATACTTTTAATTTTTATTTAAATTACAAATATATTATTACAAATCTAACTAATTTATATAAAGTCTGTTAAGCACAAAAAATAATAATAATAATAATAATAATAAGGTATCCAGAGTCAGTCGGTGGGTTCTCAGTCGGTTGGTTCTCAATCAGATAAGCAAGTCAGATGGTCCGCGGTCGGGCAAGCAGGTCGGATTATCCGCAGTCGGATAAATGGGTCGGTTGATACAAAGGTTGGCTGCTATGGGGGTCGGTCGAAAAAGGAAGTCGGGCGAAGAAAGGTCTGTTGATAGGTCAGACGATTGAAGAGACCAAATAGTGGTCGTTTGATGGGGCGACCAGTGAGTCTTTTGATCTGGCGACCAATTATGTATCTAGATTGGTCGTTGGTCGGTCGTTGGGTTATGCGGTTGGCGAGGCGGTTAAAGACATGTGTCAATGAAAGAGGCAGTTCTGAGTTCTGTAACTGGTGGGAACGGTTGGTGAAACAGTGCGACTGTTCTGAACGTTTTCTTCAAAGAATATTTAAGGATTTGGATCATCATTTGGCAAGGCATCTTCAATCAACTTCAACAAAGCAAAGTCAGATTTGGGGATCACCACTTTAAATTTCAGTCTTTTATTTTCCAGTTTATTTTCTGTACCATACAGTGTTTAGAGATTCCTAATCTCAGGCACTAATTAATCAAGTTTAAGGATATTTTCTATATCTTTGAATTTTACTTTATTTTTGTTGAAAAATTACATCAACAAAGTCAAATAGCAAAAAAGGTTAAAACATCTTAGACAATTCTATTAACAATAAAATATTATTATTTTTTAATTTAATACAAAACTCCAATGACCCTTTTGAAGTGGGATGAAAGTAAGGACAGAACTACACTAGGGTTTGGAGGCAATTGACACCCAAACTCAATTTTTTATAGGTTTTTTTTTAGGGTTAAAAATATTAATTTTTATGTATTTATAGCGACACTTACAGGGTTTAGGGTTACAGTGTTGAATTAAAATTCAGCATCATAGTGATAGTATATGATATTACTACATGTAACATATCATTTATAATACTCCCTCCGTCCCAATACAATAGTTTACCATTTTTGTACGTTCTAAAATAATAGTATTATTTTCATAAATAATCATATTACCGTAAAACTATCTCTATTTTTTCATTATTATTATACAATTACATTATTTTTTACACTAATATACTCACATGGGCAAAAGAGTTATTTATCATTACTTTTTACCAACTACCAATATAATATTAATATTTCTTAAATCTCGTACTCAACACAATAAGACTATATTTTTGGAACGGAGGGAATATATTATATATACAACATATAAATTAATAACATATAGCATACTCCCGCCGTCCCAGAACTATAGCATGAGTTGTATTCGGTACGACATTTAAAAAATATTGATATTATATTGACAGTGGGTAAAAAATACGAATAAAAGACCTTTTTGCCCTTGTGAGTGTATTAGTGTAAAAAGTAGTGGCAATTATGTAATAATAATGAAAAAAATAAGGGTAATTTTATAGTGATATGATTCTTTATGGAAATGAGACTATTGTTTTAAAATATACAAAATAAAACTATTATATTGAGACAAAAGAAGTATGATTTAGTCTCGCACGTCATATATTTTATATAAACAACACATAAAATATGTGTGCTGATTTGCACTTTGCTTATTTTTATAGTTGAAAACAATTCTTAACAGCTTCAACCAAATCATACTGATTTTAATTCAATAATTTGTATTTGACTAATTCTGACAAAAATAAGCGGTGGATGTTCGAACAATGATTACAAGTCGATCGCGCATGGCAGGACTGAAGAGGTCGTGGCGTTGAGGTCCCGGACCTTGTAAATGAAGATCAACATCTGCAACAACTTTTTGTCACTTTTCTTTTGGTCTTGTTTTTCTTCTTGCTTTTGTTTTTTCATATATAAAATTCATAAAAAAAAAAAAAACATGAATAGTAATATATTAATTGTTTATTTCGTTAAATTCTCTTTTGATGTTTTAATTTATTTTAAACTAATAAAAGTTAAATTTAATTTTTTTTTTATTTAAAACAATATTTGAATAGTAATATATTGAAATATAATATTTCGAATAAAAACAATTATTTTATGCAATATTTAACCAAATAGTTTACAAAAATGAATTTACAACTATTGAATGCTTTTATTAGATAATGGATCAACTATTATATTAAATTATTTTATTATTAAAATATATTACTTCTAACTAGTATTCCCATTCAATTCTAATCTATAGGGCTTATCTGGCTGTTATTGAGATTGATTAAAATGATATGTTTGATTTAAATTATTATTATTATTTTAATACTCTCTGCCTCCGTCTTAATTATTTATTCATTTTTTATTTAAATTCGTCCCAAAATAATATATTTATTTCTTTTTTTAAATAATTCTAATATCTATCTACCATTAAAATTATCCTTAAACTTACACTATATTACAAAATTGTCACCGTAATAATTACAACCAAATTACAAAATTAAAAATACTTTAGTTTTTAATTAATAAATCAAACTAAACTTAATTTACAACACTTATTACCAACCACCCCCCGTTGTTCTCCACCAGATCGATCAAGGGTTTTTGAAATTCTTTCATTGCTCACGCAGTAGCCTTATTCGTTCCCTCATCGGCGTTCTTTATATTTTCTCTCAAGTTCTACCGACGATGTCGCTTGCCCCTCGGTCTCCGGCGCCGGCCGAAGGACGTTCCCCTTTACAAAGGGTTGGACGTCCCTCAAACCGTGATCTGAGTTATCTAGTTTTCGAATCCGATGGCTTATTTGAGTCACTGCTCGATTATGATAATATTGTCAAAGAGGTGGCCAGATCTACACCGTTAGCCGTCATTTCGGTTGTTTCCCTTGGTTTCGTTCCCGATCCGGAATCGGAGCAGAAACCGGAGAACGAGTTCCATTTTACGGATATACGTCGATCTCGAATGTTGTTCCGGCATTCCTCCTACGTACCGTCGTCGAATGGAAGTGGCTTCCTCGAGCTGCTCTTCGACTTGCAAGGTTGTGCTAAGTATGCTTAGTATTCTTTTAGTCATTTAATTTGAAGGCATTTTAGTCATTTTATTTTTATTTTCACTATATCACAATATAATACTAATATTTCTAAAATTTCGTGCATAAACTAAATGGATAGATAGATTGGGGTAGGAGGAGTATAATATTTTATGAAATAAATAGTATTTTACATTCAATTTTTATTCTTTTTTTTTTAAAAAAAGAATATGTACTCCCTCCGTCTCAATACAATAGTTTTATTTATCATTTTTGTCCGTCCTAAAACAATAGTCTTATTTCCATAAATAATCATATCACCATAAAATTATTCCTACTTTTTCATTTTTATTGCACAATTGCCACTACTTTTTACACTAATGCACTCACAAAGACAAAAAAGTTTTTTTATCTATATTTTTTAGCAACTACCAATATAATATCAATATTTCTTAAATTTCGTGTCCAATCCAATTAAGACTATATTTATGTGACGGAGGAAGTACCATTCAATCTAAGAAAATACTCTTCGCGCGTCTTACTTTTTATGTTTAATTTATTGTATATATGAAAATTTAGGTGAAATATATAATTAAATAATTAAAATGTATATTAATAAAAATAACTATTAGTATATAATATAAATAATTATAAATTTAAATTAAATTAATTATAATTAAAAAATTTAAATTATGATTAAAATGTATAATATTTTTTATAAAAATACATAAATAAAATAAAATGGACACAAATAAAAATAATACAGATAGAGTATAATTTTATTGAAGCTATAATAATAATAATAATAAATAATTTTTTTTAAAAAAATACCAGTGTGTTTCTTTTATGAATATTTGAAAAATATTTAGTTTGAGCTTGATATAAAAAAATTTAGTTTGAGCTTCATGAGTTCACTTTTAATTGGACCTCCCAAAAATATTTAACAAAATTTTTGTGAGAGAAAAGAAAAATAAATTTTTTTCGAAAGAAAATTTTTGTGAGAAAAATTAAAATAATAAAATTTGAGAAAAGTCTGCAAACAAACATACCCTAAATTTTAAAATTTATTGCTGCTATGCCTAAGCTAAACCAACACGTGTTCGCCGTTTGACGCGTGAACAGCACGCGAATAAGGAATTTGAATAATACCCCCCATATTCCTACCTTATTACACATTCATACCCATCCCCAACTTGGTGGTGCTTCCTCTTCCTGTTCTCGGCATCCAAATAAGCATTATTCTCCCCAGCCCCTTTTCTCTGTTTTTTCTTCCAATCGTTTCGTTTCAGCCTGAAAGAAAAGGATTATATTCCACGGATCTGAACCCGGTGCGCTGTCCGATTCATTTTTGTTTACCCTTTTCAATTGATTTCGATGTCTTCAACTTACTGGTGTTACAGATGCAACCGCTTCGTTAGGGTTTCGAATCAAGATTCCATCAATTGCCCCGATTGCAACGGTGGATTCGTCGAAGAGGTCGACGTCCCTTCCAGATCTTCGCTCTCCGACTCCAGACGCCGTCGTTTCCCCGCCGCGGCGATGTATATGATGCGCACTTCAGATTCAGGATCGGGCCCCGGTTCCGGATCCGGATCCGGCTCAAGCCCGATGCCGAGAAGAAGCCGCAGGAACGGCGGCGACCGCTCTCCGTTTAATCCGGTTATTGTTCTCCCTGGCCTCAACGACGGCGGCGGCGGAGGAGGTGAAGGCGGCGCGGCCCCCGCCGGAGGAGGAGGTTTCGAATTGTATTACGACGATGGATCCGGGTCGGGTCTACGGCCGTTACCAGCGAGTATGTCGGAGTTTTTACTCGGGTCGGGTTTCGACAGGCTTCTAGAACAATTGGCGCAAATTGAAGCCAACGGAATTGGGCGAATTGACAACAACTCGCCGGCGTCAAAAGCCGCGGTCGAATCGATGCCGACGATCGAGATTACCGATCAACACATAGTTGTCGAAGAGTACTGCGCCGTCTGCAAGGAGGCCTTCGAATTGGGGGCGGAGGCTCGAGAAATGCCCTGTAACCATTTGTATCATCACGACTGCATTTTACCATGGCTTTCGTTGCGAAATTCCTGTCCAGTGTGCAGACACGAATTACCTACTGATAACGAGAGCTTCAATAGAAACCCTAATTCCGGCGAAGTTAACAGAGGAGGATCAAATGATGTAGGGAACGAAGACGATACTGTAGGATTGACAATATGGAGGCTCCCCAGAGGGGGTTTTGCCGTTGGAAGATTCTCCGGCGGGAGGAGGGGTGGGGAGAGGGAGTTGCCGGTGGTTTACACCGAAATGGACGGCGGGTTCAACAACAATGGTGTTCCGAGGAGGATATCGTGGGCATCCAATGGGAGTGTTTCGAGGGAGAGTCGTGGATTGAGACAAACATTGCATAGGATGTTTGCTTGTTTTGGTAGAGGCAGATCATCATCTTCGACTAGTTCTAGCTCTAATTCAAGAACTAGTCGAAGGGGTGGGGCTTTGATGTCGATTTTCAGCTCCACTTCAAGACAGCGTCGAAGGTGGGGTGTTGATGGAGACGAAAGCCAATGGTGAAAAAGGAAGGTAAAAATGCTACGGTATTATTCAGTGTAAATACCTTGAAATGGATCGATAAATATGATGGTTCTTACAGTTTTGGATTACTCCCTAGCATGATTAGTTCAATTTCCATTAGTTTGTCCAAAACTAGATGGAGAAGATAGGTTCTTGAAAGTAGGGATTCGAGGCGGGAAGATGAAAAGAGGGATAACTCTTAATTTGCTAGGGATTTATAGTGGTTTCAAGAACTATGTCGAGCTTGCTTAAGAACGCATTCTTTACATCCCTTTTGCGACATTTGCGGGCGACATGTTGCTACGTTAGTTAAAGCTTGTGTATGCTCGATTTCTGTAATTTAATTTCCGCCGGGGAAGCTCGACGAGGAGCAATGCATTTGATTTCTTTTCGATATTAGGTTGACTACTTGAATCTTTTCATTTCCTTAACAAGAAAGAAGAAACATGACAATGTAGATCATAGAAGTGGGAATCCTATATACCATTGTGGATTTGTAGGCTGTAGATTGCTTGCCTTGTTGAGAAATGTATATATGTGTGTAATGCCAGCTCTTGTTCCGACACGGGGAGGGGAGTTTTGATTTGAATTTTAGTTTAAATATGAAATTTTGTGAAAACAAGAGAAAAAAAAAAAAAAAAAAAAAAGCAGTTTATTTTCGTTGAAAGTTATGCTGTTTGAATAGTGGTTTTAATTTGAATTTTTTTTTTTTTTTTTTTTTTTTAAAACCAACACTTCATTCTTGCTTACCAAATACTTTGTGGTATTGTGACCTTAGAGAGAGTATAATATCTATTTTATTTATTTGCATGATTTTTTTTTATTTTATTTTTTAAATCAAAATACACAATCAAACTGTCTTAATAGAAGATAAAATTTTGTACTTCTCCGTCAGGCTATGACATATATTTATTTTAGGTCGGAATTTAAAAATAATAATATTTTAATTATAATGTATAATTAAAAATAATATAAAGATAATATTTTGCTATGATGGTAAAATATAGATATTTTTTTAAAAAAATATATTTATACATGATTAATATAATTTAATTTATAAAAGATAAAAATAGAAATAAATTTATATAATTATATTTTGTTTATTTAGGAGATAAAAGAAAATAAGAGATTAGAAGCAATTTTCATTTTTAAAAATACTTACGGAAATAATTAAAGTAATTACTAAGAAGTATAAAGACAACTTTAGCAATAATTTTTAACCAAAATGATCATTGTATTTTATTCATCAATTTCTTGATCTATATTTACATTTCTTGAAAATATTCTACTTGATATTGAGAGGTCGCTACAGTGTGAATTTAGTAGAACAATATTACAAACATATAGTATGTTGTTTTTATATTTCCGAATAATTCGAAAAATCAACACGGTGAGTCCAATTAATAATTATTTATTGTTTAGATTTTTATTATTTTATTTATAAAAAAATATTAATATTCTCTTTGTCACATTGAAAGGTTGTCATTTTTTATTTTCGTATATTACAAAACAAAATTATTATTTTTTAATTTAGTAATCGTATTACCTACTAAGAGCATTTTCAACCAGCGTCATTAATGGCGCTGGATTGCTAGAAATGATGTTGATCCACTCCAACGTGCGCTATATTTTGACACCATTTTATGGTGTTGCACCGTAGCAACGCCGTAAAATGGGGTTGTATTTGTTTTTTTGTTTTTTTAAAAAATTAATTTAACATATTAATTCTTTTTATTTATTTTTATATTTTTCTAAAAATATAATATTAATTATAAATATAAAAGATAGTTTAAAATAATATATAAAATATAATATTTTAAGAATATTTTATTTAAAAGTAAAAATAAGAGTCGTGGGTTTGAGTAAAAATACTGTAGTAACGATAGTCTAACGTAATAAATATTTTTTCGAACATACACTATGTTACACAAATATCATTACTTTTATATTATAAAAATACTAATAAAGTTATTTTCATATTTTTTATTACAACTCATTATAATAGTAATATTAAAACATTCACATCCACGTGAGTAAACGAGACCCTTACATAAAGGAATACTATTTTCTCTCTCAGTCAAACCTTCTTTCACATTAATTTTGATTTATTATGCCATGATTCAAAAATTTGATTTAATGTGTTTTTGCCTATTTCACAATATGAAATCTATTTATAATAAAATTACAATAATATTTTCATTTTAATTTGTTAAGCGACAAAATAATAATACGCACTGCATTCGTCACAGAGAAGAAAAACACAGAGCCACCGCGAACCGACAGGCAGCAAACGACGTCGTTTTCTGAAGAGGAAAAACAAAGAAAAACCACAAATCCCTAGCACGTTCTAGTTGATTCGTTGTATTCGTCTTCACTGATTCCTCTTCTGTAGAGATCTAACGAATTGTTGTTCGCGTAATTCATTTCGTTTACTTGATTGTTCGCATACGGATCCCCCCTGGCCCCTGCAGAGCTAATCGTTGTGAGTGATTCTCTCTATGTTCTTCAATTTTAAGAATCGCAGTTTTTCTTTGAGGATTATGCATGCAAGCAATTCGCTGCTGGATTCGAACATCCTTCCAATGTGTGTATATGTATATGTCATATCCTGGCTGTGGCAAGGGTTTTGTGATTATTTTATTTCATTAAAAAATTATATTCCTTGATGCGGATGCTAACTGGTGTTTTTCCTTCTTTGATTGTCTCTACGAGCACATAATTTGAAAATTTTAGCTAGATCAATGGATTTCTGCGAGTAACTACACCGGTAAATGGTAATTGAGGCTAATTCTCGCTTATTTGTTGTTGGCTTTTGGTCATAATCTTTGTTCTATGGCGAAATGCAAAATTTCTTGAGCTACTGAAACCTGAGCTTTGTAGAGCAACAATGTATGTATGGTTTCTTTAACATTGGAGTCAATTTGGTCGAATTTGGTGAAATTTAAATTGGTTTTGGACGAGATGTTGTAGGTGATTCTCTTTAAATCTAGAAATGAACTAATTAACTTAGTGAATAGATATTGAGGAATTTTCTGGTCCAGAAGCATATATTTTTGTTTTTCTTGTGAACGAATTTTGTATTGCATTTTGGATCACCATTGAGTAGATTCCTTGTGTTGATATTTTAGAAATGACTCTTGATTTGAATGATTGATTATTAGCTATAATTCTTCTTATACAATAAAGTGCATTGCAGGTGCATATTTACAATTTCAAATTGTTCAATAAGTGCTTCTGAATTCTCTTAGAAGCCATGAGTTTTGTATTCCGAGGAACAAGAGGTGAGCTGGAAACCGGATTTCCAGGACTTATTCCCGAGCGACGTGCAGTGGTGATTATCTTCTGCTTATTTATCCTCAAACTTAGTACACTTTTATCTAATTTATTTTTCTGAACTTCTAAATTCTACTACACTGATCTATGGCCTTCTCGACGTTTCTGATCAGAGGGTTCATGCTGCCCGGCCAGTCAATTCAAATTCCCTTGCTTTTCTTGTCACAGGTTTTCATTTTACATAGCTGCGCATTCATTATTTAATTTTTTTCCCCCTCGGATCAGCCTACTAATCAACTATGCATACTTGTTCATTTGATGTGACAGTGCTTCTGCTGTTTATGATATTGAATTCGCACCAAATGTCGCCCAATTTTCTGGTTTGCATCCTTTTCCCACTGAAAACATTTGATTAAATCCACCTGTTGTCAAATGTTTGCAAACATGTAATAAGCATCTGTTTATCTCTGCTTTAAAAGCTTTGGCTGGTGCTCGGCGTCTTTCTAATGGCAACAACTTTGAGGATGTACGCTACTTGTCAACAACTGCAAGCTCAAGCACAGGCTCACGCTGTTGCGGCTAGCGGCCTTCTTGGCCATACCGAATTGCGACTTCACATGCCACCGTCAATAGCACTTGCAACTCGAGGAAGGCTGCAAGGTCTCAGACTCCAGCTTGCGCTTCTTGACAGAGAATTCGATGATTTGGGTATGTCTTATAATCGGTGAAGAATCTTTTGATGAATACTTGGTTAAGGCTATCGCCTTTTTCATCAATACAGATTATGAAACATTGAGAGCCCTCGATGTTGACAATGTTCCGACTGCCTCTATGACCGACGAAGAGATTAATGCGCTTCCCGTTCACAAGTATAAGGCGTCCGACACCCAAAGGTTAGCATCACTCAATACTCTTCCAATTAAATCATGTGCCCTAACTTATAGAGTGTGCTTGTTTGGGGATTTAGGGGTTTGGATGTTGAGTATGTGTTTCGAATAGTAAAATTATGAATTGAAATAGCTGTTTGATGCGATACAAGTCAGTGTTGATGTGATGTTTTGAATATAAAATTAATTTTTAGTATAATATAAAAAAAAATTATATAACACCTCTTGTGTTTTAATGAAAATGCACAAAATATTCAGGGTGCGTTTGTTTGTGGGTTTAAATTTTTGAATAGTAAAAAGTTAGAATTTGAATAGTTGTTTGATATTGATATAAATAGATGTTTATGTGATGTTTTGAATATAAAATAAATTTCTAGTATAATATAAAAATAAAAAATAATTGATTGATTTGATATTTTTTTAGGGAAAAGTAAAATTCTTTATGAAAAACCACAAAAGAACACGACCCTAGTGTTTTATTGTTGGGTGAGACCTCTTTTGTGCATACTTTAATTTAATACAAGGAGTTTTCACACAATAAATTCGTGTTTTATGTATTTTTACTAAAACACAAGGAGTAATATGCGATTTATTCTATATAAAATAAAAAATAAGTGTTTGATTTGATGTGTTTGGAGGAATAGTAAAATCTCCCAAACAAACACCCTAATTTTTTACTCTTGTTTGCCCCAACAGTGTTGGATCATCACTGCAGCATGCATCTTCTTCAGCCTCACCTGAGGTATCGCGCCATTTCCTTTGATTATTACCTCAATTTTCCGAATACCTCATTAATTATTTATCCCCAGGTGCAGAAGAAGCAAGACCTCAATAATCAACAAACTGGAACAAAGACGGGCGACCAAGAACTGACCTGTAGTGTTTGCTTGGAGCAAGTTAATGTCGGAGAACTCATCCGGACGTTGCCATGCCTGCACCAGGTTTCGTACACTTCATTTTTATGCTTACATTTTCTTCGGGCTTAATTGCAAGGATTCTAACACAATAGTTGTTCAGTTCCACGTGAATTGCATAGATCCATGGCTGCGCCAGCAAGGAACTTGCCCGGTCTGCAAATTCCGAGCAGGGCCGGGGCAGGGAGAACTCAACGGCGACGCCTCCAATATGGTATAAGTTTTCTTGTTCACATATTCATTAGCACTATGTGAACTGTGTGTATATATATATATATATATATGCCTATATATCTATATGTGCATCTATCTGCTGCTGCCAATTGTGTTCCTGATTATGAATTTGGATGCATATGTGAATAATGAAATGTGTTTAATTTGTTTTAAGAAATTTGATGAATTATATGAAAATATTGTGTTCAATTGAAAATTAGTTACTAGTACTCACTTTCTTTGTTACTCTGGGTTCACTTTTTTTTTTTTTTGAACTTTTGGCAATATATTTTTGTTGAATGTAATTTTATTTATTAATTTTAAGGACTACTTCTTGAATTATATGATAAGTGGCAATATATAAGGTATGCCTACTTTGGGCTATCTTTGGAGGCCCCTTTTGAAATCCCAACAGGCCTATTTTAGTTTTATTGTTTTAGCTACTATTTCAACTAATGTATGTTTGTTCATATTCAATATTTATTTCTCTAAACAATGATATAAATAAAAATATTTAATATATCTTTTAAGTGTGATTATTTATTATTATTATTTTTAAAATAAAACTTAAATAGTGAAAAAAAAAAAAAAGATAAGTGAACAAATATGTATTTAACACTTATTTTTGTTAAAAATTTAAATAAAAACAGGGTTTTTGGGTTCTTTTTGGAAAAATGTGTGTTTTGAGGAAAAATATTTTTCACAAAAAGAACACACTTATTATTATTATTATTATTATTTATGTGAAATAATATTGAATATGATATTTATGTGAAAAATAAAAATAATTGAATATCTTGTGTTAGTGGTAAATTAGCCCCATATGTTTTTGTGTTTTTTTTTTTTTAGAAAAAAAATAATTTTTAATACTTGGACGAGTGGTGCAATAAAAGGTGAGGTGATGAAGCAATACTTGGACGTGTCGTGATTTGATTCGCTCATTTTGTTTAGGACGCGTTTGTTTTTGCTTTTTACGTTTTTCATATTGTAAGATGCTGCGATTAAAACTGACCATATATGTTTTTACTACTGTTCTAATTACAAAAATAAATATCTGATGTAATTATTGTAGTAAAAATGTATTATCAAATATCATAAGGGGAAAAGTTATTAACTGTAAAATAATTAGTATAAAAATAAATTCAGAAAAAGGAAACAGACAAACACAGATGTGATAATACGATCATAGTTTATATGACCAAAATGCACATATATACTACTATTTATTTTCCAAATTTAATAATTATGATATCAAATCATCGTAACATTAGTTATTTTTCTTTATTTTCAAATCACTTCATTAATTGTCGTAACCTCCATCATTGTGTTTGTTTATTTGAGTTTATATATTTATATATTAATGTAAAATGATAGTGGGGTTTCTTTTGTTTTTTTACTAACAAAAGTACACTATTTTTCATTATAAAGATCAAATCTATTTACTATTTCAATCAAAAACTAATTTTTTAATGATATAATTTTCAATAGATATTACAAGAAATAACATATATATATATACTATATATAATATACACTATTCATTTTTTTTTAAAAAAAAATTAATAATTCAACACAAACACAATTTTTAAATTTAATATAAAAAATTCATACATCCAAAAATACAAAATAACATTTAAATTCAATTTATTTTTTAAAAGTTTAAATAAAAAAGTTGTGTATTTAATATTCTCTTTATTCCAATTGAATAATGTACTATTTTTACTATTTTCATCTGTCTAACTAAAAAATTTATGTATCTTATTATAGTAGAAGTAATATGTACTAATACCAAAACACCCTTTAATTTTTAAGTAAATTACATATATATATATATCATTATGTATATAAAGAAGTCTCATGCCATTTTTTAATTATAAGGAAGAATGATGCAAACTTTTCAAACAATTAGTTATAAGTAATTTTTTCGACTTAATATGCATAATTTATTTATGTCATATGCGAATATTTGCATATAAACAATGTCGAATGAGGAGTGGTGCAACTCGAACATAGCCGTCTCAACTCTATTTGATACCATATTAAAATTTTGGGTAGAAACAAAAAATATCATTAATCAAATAATAAATACAATGTGAGTTATGTAAAAAAAATATGTTTCTTCCGTCCCAATACAATAGTCATGTTTACCATTTTTGTCTGTTCCAAAACAATAGTCTAATTTCCATAAATAATCATATCACTATAAAATTATCCTTACTTTTTCATTATTATTACACAATTGCCGCTATTTTTTATACTAATACACTCACAAGTGCAAAAAAGTCTTTTACTCGTCTCAGACTATATACTATAGTTGACGGAGAGAGTATATTCAAGGCCAACAAAGGTTGTTCATTTACTATTTCAAATTCAAATTAATATTTTCTCTGTCCCACCTAACATGTCTATATTTTTGTTTCTGTCCATCCCACGTCTGATGTCACTTTCATCTCTTAGAAAATAATTACACATTTTAATCTTATTTTATAATTTTTTAAATTTTAATTAGACTAATTACTTATCTTAATCTTGATATATAATTATTTATATTATAAAATAATTATTTTTACTAATACATTATTAATTATATATTAATTATACTTATTTTAAATTATCATATCTAGGACATGGAGATAATATTATTCATTTGATACAGTTTTCAATAATAATAAAAAAAATAATAATTATTATTATTTTTTCTTACAAAATATCACATTACAATTTTAAAAAATAATTCAAATCTAACATTTAGTATCAAATCAATCTTAAACCACAACAAATTTAACTATTTTGTGTGTTATAGCGATGTTTATTGTTATATAGGTATATATGGTAATTATTTTTTTTTGTTAATATTTTTTGTAAAATTGTGTATGGTGAATTAAACACAGTGAACACACTCTAAATAGTGTTTGGTTAACAACCATTTTTTTTTTCAAAAAAGAAATAAATTATTATTTAATTTTCATATGAATACATTATTTCATTATATCATAAAGCAATATATTCAAATTACGTAATTTTTTTTTTTAAAAAAAAAAACACCCCAAATTTACATGAGAAAAGCAAAAGGCAGAAGGATTCGAAATGAGTAAAAATAAGCAAAATATAGAATTAGGTAAGAAAAATATAATGAGAGAGAGAAAGAGAAGGAAACCCTAATTATAGAGAGGAAGAGAGAGAGGCGATGGAGGAGAAAGAGAGGAGAGATGTCTGTCTGTGAGTTTGTCAACTTCAAACGTCAATTTTTATTTTAGGAAGGAGAAGGAGAAGGAGGCCTCTCTTATTGCTTATGCAGGACGCAACAAATCAAATCCTTCGATCTTCTTTATTTAATTCCATGAGATGAGCTAGATACAGATTATATATATATATTATATATCCGCCATTGCTGCAATTCCTCTTCTTCTTCTTCTTCAGCTTCAGTGTACAGTATTACTACTGCAGTGCAATACCCTAGAGACCTAGCTAACCTTTCAATTCCCTTTTCCCATTGTTGGATGCATCCTATAATGTTATAGTCCACCCCCACCCTATATATATAGAGAGAGAGAGAGATGGTGATGATGATGATGGTGTATCGATCTCTTATTAATCTCTGTATGGCAACTGACCTGATTCTGTAAGTATTGAAGTTTCTGGTAAATTTTGGTACCTGGCCGATGGCGATGCTTAACTGTCTAAACCAAATCCATACCCCCCCTCTCTCTCTCTCTCCATCTCTCTCTCTCTCTTGAAACTAGAGATCAGATCAGATCAGATCTTTGGGCACCAACCAACCATTCCTCCATTCCTCACTCAAACTAAACTAATTCAGAGATAGATACATGTCCATTAATCTTCTCTGTCTCTCTCTCTCTCTCTCTCTCTATAAATACCAACCCTTTCTCACTCTCTCTTCCTCATCACCACCTCTTAAATTCTCTTGCTTCAGTAATTTTCTTTCTCCCTTTTAATTCTCCTTCTTTGATTAATTAATTATTCAATCATATAGTTACTGCGTGTTCTTCCGATCACTACTACTCATCGTTCTTTTCTTTCTTTCTTGCTGGGCTAATTAATTATCCTTAGCTAGCTAGCAAGATCTTCTCTTGGGAAATTCATTAATATGGTAATAGTAATGGTTAATTCAGCCAGATCTTATCTCATCTCATCTGATAATCATCCCCTTTGTAGCTACTGCTGTGTATATATGTAGGGTCTAATTAATTAGGGTTTGAGTTTGATTTAGATTTATTGGGTGGGTTGGAGAATGGAGATCTGATGGATGGAAGGATCTGAGTCAATTTCTTGCTGGTGCATCATCATCAAGGTTCACATAATGAAAAATCTCATTTAATTACAAGTACAATTTTGAGATCTGAAATTAATTAATTAATCAATCAAGAATGAATATAGTATATGAGAATCTTGATGATGCTGCAGCGGCAGTGAATGGCTATTTCATATATACATACCTTCACAGCCCAGTTAAGTTCTTTCTTTCTCTTGTTTCTATTTATTATAATAAAAATTAATTATATATATATATTCCATGAATTTGGAAGCTATATATGTCTAATTGTGTTTTGAAGGTAGCCTAGCTAGATAGCACTGCCTTGTTAGTTTCCCTTTTTGAGAAAATATTGATGAGGTTTGGTTCCATAGATAGATAGATAGATACATACATACATACATACATTATCTCATCTCATCTCATCTCATCTGCAGGCAGCCCAGTAGTGATAATGATGTAATATGATTTTCTTTACTTATTTATTTTTAATTATCAATTAATTTCATCCAAGAAGGATGTGTAGTATTATTTCTCATTAAATATTTCCTTAAAAATATAAATATAATTGGTGATATAATAGCTGTACGGAAAATGAAAATGAAAATGAAAGGTAATGGGATGTGGTGGCAGCCATTGTCGTGTGTGTGTGTATTATGGAACTCCACAACGCTACTGCTCTACGTACGGACATCAATCCTCCATCAGATCAGCTCCTTACCTGATCGATCTCTCAGTATCTCTCTCTCTCTCTCTCTCTCTATATATATATATATATATATTCTCTCTCACTCTTTCTTTTAGTTTCGATATACGCGATCCTCCTTTTTCTGTCTTTTTTTTTTATTTTTTATTTTTTTTAAAATTATGTGCTTATATAAAGTTTCCATATATTGATTAACAATCTAATTCGAAGATAACTTTATAGAATAGTCATTGCTATACAAATTTATTTGATAATCATATTGTTATGTATAACCAACCATCAATTATGCTTTTTTTAGGTCTTCTCTTAGGGTTGTAAGATAATTCAAATTAATGCTTTTAATTACCTCTTTGCAAATTAATCTCTTTCTTTATAAGTCTTGATGAGAAAGTATTAACCATGGGCTAAACCCTAATCCTCAATCAAGATTGCCTTTATATAATTTAGTCAACTTAATTAATTTGTAAGAACATAAAGCTATCTGTGTGTTCTTTTTTGCATTTTGAATATTCTGATTTTTGTTATTTTAAGAGTTAAATAATTATTGAATGTAATGTTTTGCACGTAGACTATTTATATTCTTATTACACCATCTCCAACCTATTACTTCATTTTTTAAGTAGCTACAGTTAAAAAAAAAAAAAAAAATAGTTCTATAGTAATTTTACTTCAACCAAAAAGTATATATTCTTCTTTTATATTATTTTATATAACTTTTTATATTTATAAATTACACTCCAACTTTAATTTATTTTTACAATATAACTCATATATATATAATTACACATTATATATCACTTTTCGAAAAATAAAATTATATATCACTTTTTAAAAAATAAAATTATATCACTTTCCAAAAACTAAAATTATACTATTATTTTTTTAAAAAAATAAAATTACATCTCATTTTTCTAAAAAATAAAATTATACAATACACTCCAAAAAAAATAACAAAAATACACAAACACCACAAAAACATCACACAAACTCCACTTAAAAAATGGAGTAGAGTGGAGTATCACCGTACACCGTTGCAAAAATGGGGGGAATTTATGGATGGATTGGAGCCCCTCGCCCCCAATTTTGGCACAATCCACTGCATTTTTGCAGTGGGTTGAAGTTGCTCTTGTGAACGGTAAAAAAGATCGGAAAAAGAAAAAAAAGATAACATAGCCAAGGAGTTAAGTAATTTTGTAATCCTTATTAAAGTTCCTCTCACAATTTAACTGTAAATATATATAATTAAGTACCTTTTTCCCCCATCAAAAATGAATTTTACACTTTCATATTGTATGATAAACATGATCGCAATTGTTCATGTAATTTAGAATAATTCTTTTCTATAATTTAGATTATATTTTTAACAATTTTTTTTTTTCTATTTTGATACTATGCAATCCTTGTATATATTCCTGAAAAAACATATACTACTTGATTTTATAAAATATATCAATCCTCTTATTGATATTTGTTTTTTTTTTAATCTTTCAATTTAATTTAAAAATTATATTTGCTATTCATTTCTATATAAATGATATGCTTTGAATGATTATTTAATTTTATAAAAAATGGAATAAATAAACCATTTGTTTCATTAAAATATAAAATTATTAATATAATATTAAGAATAAATTGAATGGTATATTAAAAAGATAGTTTGAATTATAAATCAAACAAGAAAAAATCCTTGAATTACAGGCAGTATTCAATAGTATTATATTTGCTCTTGATATATCTTTATTAAAAGAAAGAAAAAAAATACTTATTTGGTGGTTTATTTTTTCAAATAATGAAATAAGTATGATAGGATAATGTAATTTTATATAATTGCATTGGATAGCAAATAAAAATTGAGATGTGTTTCTTTCGGTTGAGTTGAAGAAATTTTTTTTTGAATTTGGTATTAAAATAATATTAATCGATGGAATGTTTTATAAGAAGAAAAAATGTATTTCTTTCGGAAACGCTTAGCCTCAATGGTAAAATTTGATTAGAAAAACAAACTCGAATATCTTTTATTTAATCACCGTTTATTTTCTAATAAATGGGGTTATATATAATTATTTATTTGACATGATTACAAATATTTTTATCAACCCTTTATTTTTAAGAAAAAAAAAGGGTTTGTATTATGGTCTCATTTGAATTTCCATTTTTTTTTTTCATATTGTTCAAACATCTATTAATAATTAAATTTATATTAAATAATATTTTAACTCAAAAAGTAGGTTTATTTGCTTTGAATTTCAAATATAATGTTTTACTATTTAATGTGTATGTAATTTCCAATAAAACTATCATATTTTCTCACAAAATATATATTTCCTTCGTTCCAAAATAATATGAACATTTGAAATGAGCACGAGAATTAATATATAATAGCAGTATTATATTGATCGTAATAGTAAAAGTGTTTTCAAAATGGTAAAATGCTCATATTTTATGTAATTATTGTAAAAAAATAATGATAGTTTTGTAAAAAAGTGAGAAATTATTTATAAAAATGGAAATGAGACTATTGTTTTTAAAATGGAACAGTATATTAGTATTTGAATTTTTATTCAAATAAAAATAAACCCAAACGCAAACGTGTGTTCTTTTAATAAAAAAGTACACACCTTTTCTCGAAAATATTAATATATCACATACATATATGTTATTTTTATATTTCATACATAATTCTTTATACTTCATATAAAATAAAAAATAAAAATAAAAAAATCCTTCAAATTTTCTCACAAAATAAACACACAAATAAGGGCATGTTTGAACAACGAAGAATAATCATCATCTAGTCGAGACTTTATGAACAAATGATCCTAGCTAATGATGCGTTGTGAAATTCAAGTTGGAACCAATTTTGATTTTATTGTCATTTTTTTTTTTTGAATCGTACATAATCTAGTTAGGGTTTGGTTAATTATGCATTTATATATTCTTTACGTATTTCTTCTTAGTAATTAAAAATTACTAATGAAAATACTTGATTTGATCGCCTCAGATCATCTTGATTGAATTGATCAACAAATTTTTTGTACTCTTATGTTATTTTTTTGTTAATATTATTTTTTAATTTCCGCGACAACTAGTTAGGATACTACATACCACATAATTTTGAAAATCTTTTGATATATAGATATCACAAGAAAATTACAATCACAACCATTTAACATACACAATGAAATACCAACCACCAAAGATACCATTCAAATTTTTTGCTATTAATTTTAATTTAAAAGATTTTAATTTTATTTTTTTACTTATCTTAATTTACGCATAATTTTTTCTTTTACATTCTTTTAAAAACAATTTTTGAAGCCATTTCAAATAAAAAGTAAAAATATTTAATTAAAAATTACCGAAATTATAGTGCTAACTAAAAACTGTGCTAAATTATACAAATGTGATTTACTAATATACTTTCAATTTAGCATATATTTTGTAAAATTATATCATTTATTGTCTTTAAAATATGTAACATAATTTATATTTATTTGTCTTAATATTACGTACGCTTACGAGAGTTTTACATCGTTGTATTAACATTAAAAATATTTTTATATTTGTATAATTTTTTTTTTTTACAAATGTCATTCTATTAGTATTATAAGATACCAATTGAAATATTTTTGCAATTTTTTCTTAATTTGTATTACATTTTGATATAATAATTAACAGATATAATATTTTGTGAAAAAATTAATGATATAATTATTCCGGATGTACAATATATATTTTAAATAAATATGATACTCCCTCCGTCCTAATTCAAAGTTCTCATATTTATTTACATTTATATATCATTATATATACAATTATATATATATAAAGTCAAATAATAAAAATATCAAAAACTCAATATTTATTTACATTAATATAATTTTACATAAGAAAAAAAAAAAAAAAAAAAAAAACTACCTACCAATTATAATTTAAATATAATATTTTAAAATTTTGTGCCAACAATAAATATATTAATGGGGTAGTATAATGGAGTATTTTTAATTTTAAACCGACCATAGTCACCCACCAACTATGCATACATTCACATTAAAAACCAAAAATAAATGGAAGCTTCACAAATACAGCAGCAGTAAATAAAACTAAATCAGGAGCGTACCTTTCTGTAACGGCTAGTTCGCAATCAATCCAATCCACATGGTACAATAAGGCGAGCCAAGCCAAACCACTGAGCCGAAGCCGAGCCGAAACTCAAATTAATTCGACCGTTACCCCATATATCTTTCCATTACCCATCGATTCTCTCCATCTTCATCTTCGTCGCCTTCAACAAGCTGCTTCTCTCTCTCCACTCTCCCACCTACACAGACTCACAGACTCGCCTTGGAGAGAGAAAGAGATATATATATATTGAGAGAGAGAGAGTCTTCCCTGACCTGCAACAAATAGATCTCACCGAAACCCTAATTTCAAAGCAGCAGCAGCAGAAATGGAGACTCCGGCGACGAGAAGGAAGAGCGGCGTCAATATCAATCTGCCGGCGTCCATGTCGGGGTCGTCCTTACGCCTCGACACATCCTCGTCTCCGACCACCACCACCACCATTAAACTTCCATCGCCGCTCAAATCCATGTCCCCCAGAACCATCTCAAACCTATCCTCCCCCTCCAATGGCGGCGCCGCCTCCACCTGCAGCGACAGGTTCATCCCCTGCCGCTCCTCCTCCCGCCTCCACACCTTCGACCTCATCGAGAATCCATCGCCGCTCAAGGAAGGAGGAGGAAGCGCCGCCGGCGGCACCAGCGACGCCTACACCAGGTTATTAAAAGCTGAACTTTTCGGCACTGATTTCAGTTCTTCTGATTTTATTGCAGGTAATGGTTCGTCATCGCCCTCGCCAAACAGCCCGAGCAAGAACATGTTGAGATTCAAGACAGAGCAGTACCGGTCCGGCCCCAATTCGCCGTACTCGCCGTCGATTTTAGGACATGACAGCCCGCTTTCCAGTGAGGTCTCGACGCCGCCGAAGCCGCCCAGAAAAGTCCCAAAGACCCCTCATAAAGTAAAACAACCTAACCTGCAAATCGTCGAACTCACTTGCTTATTAATGAAACCTACGATAAAGACAAGAATTTAATTTTGCAGGTTCTCGATGCACCGTCGTTGCAAGACGATTTTTACCTGAATCTCGTCGACTGGTCGTCGCAGAACGTCCTGGCCGTCGGATTAGGGACCTGTGTATATCTATGGAATGCCTCAAACAGCAAAGTCAGTCTCCGCCATCGATATCGACATCGACTTCAATCGAATAACTCTGTTTTTCTTTTTCTTACCGCTCTGTAACTCCGGCAGGTGACGAAGCTCTGCGATTTGGGGCCTCAGGACAGTGTAAGCTCGGTGCAATGGACTCGGGAGGGTTCTTACATCTCTGTCGGGACAAACCTCGGACAAGTCCAGGTCTGGGACGGAGCTCGTTGCAAGCGTCTTCGGACAATGGGGGGCCACCAGACGCGAGCCGGAGTGCTGGCATGGGGATCGCGGATATTGTCGTCGGGAAGCCGAGATCGGAACATACTCCAGCACGATTTACGCGTCCCCGGCGATTACATCAGCAAGCTCGTCGGCCATAAGTCGGAGGTCTGCGGCCTGAAATGGTCGCACGACGATCGGGAGCTCGCGTCCGGCGGAAACGACAATCAGCTGTTGGTGTGGAATCACCACTCGCAGCAGCCGATCCTCAAGCTGACGGAGCATACAGCGGCTGTCAAAGCCATCGCCTGGTCGCCGCACCAGAACGGCCTCCTCGCCTCCGGCGGCGGAACGGCGGATCGATGCATTCGATTCTGGAATACGGCGAGCGGGAATCAGCTGAACAGCGTCGACACCGGAAGCCAGGTACGCCATTTCTGCATCGATCCAATTCTGATCAAACCAAACACAAGAAAAGTCGCAAATAAAGTGAAGAAATCAACCGTTGTTTTACCTGCAGGTGTGCAATCTGGCGTGGAGTAAGAACGTGAACGAAATCGTTAGCACGCACGGGTATTCACAGAATCAAATAATGGTGTGGAAATACCCGTCGATGGCGAAGGTTGCGACTCTGACCGGACACAGCTTGCGGGTGCTCTACCTGGCGACGTCGCCGGATGGTCAGACAATCGTGACGGGAGCAGGCGACGAGACACTCCGGTTCTGGAATGTTTTCCCATCTGTTAAGACACCTGTAAGTGTAGACATTCTCTTTTATATCTCCATAACTATCTATCTGCATCGATAAAATTCTCATCCCGGAAATGTTTATTCGAATTTTCAGGCAGTAGTTAAAGAAACCGGCCTTTGGTCTCTAGGAAGAACACAGATCAGATAACGAAGAAGACAATCGATCAAGAAAGAAAACGCAAAATCATACTAAATGTAAAGTGAAATAATATCATTTCTGTTTGTTTTTCGACAGCTTGTTCATAATTCAGGAAAACAATGTACCTCCGAGAACTCATTTTTTCTACTAACGAACTTGAATCCGTTCATGTTCTTCGCCCTTGCAACGACTGGCAAATCAGATAAATCTCCCTCGAACATGATCTCGTAGCTTTAGGCCTCAACCACGAGGCTTTCTTGAAAAGGGGTTTACATATTTGGTTGAATTCTGTCAAAAAAACAAGAAAGATCATAATCAATCAGCATCAATGTTATCAAATAATCGGCGAAAAAGAATGACAACAAAAACAACCTTTAACATCTTCACTTTCAAGTAGCTTAACAATCAGATTCCCTCCCGGTTGCAGCAGCCCGTCCGCGGCTGAGCAACCATCCTCCGGCGAATTACTACAATCATAAGCTGAGCGCCCGACTGCCATATCAATGGCTCTCATCCCCAATTCTGCGGACAAAGCTGCATCTCTGCTTGTAATTCCAGAGACTAATGGACACATATCTGATAGCACAACCGAGAAGCCTTTCTGCTGAAAATCAAACCAACATATCATCAACCAAATCATCAAAGCTTCCATTGAAGAAGAACACCATGAACTTATCATTTACAGAATAAACTTCTGCTGGAAATCAAACAAACATATATCATCAACCAAATCAAAGCTTCCATTGAAGAAGAACATCATGAACTTACTTTACAAAATAAAGTTCTGGATCATACCTGCGGCGAATGAGCTCTAACTTTTTCGATCGGTAGTTTCATAACATCAGCACTTATAGTTTTAACCCTAGCATCACAGTGCTTAGAGGGAACCTTCACCTTCTGCTCAACATCAAATTACAAAAATTATCACAAACTACATCGAATTCACTGCAAATTTTTATAGTTCATATTAAATTACCTTAACATCAACTCCCAAAACAATTCCACCCTTTCCCAATGGCCCTAAACTCTGGCACGCAACCTATTATTATTATTATTCACCACATAACAGAAATCAGATACTACAATCCAAATACATTATTCACACATACAGAGAGACAGCTTGCAGAAGCATGGCGTACCTGAAGCCAAGCACCGGGAGCACACCCGAGGTCAAGGACAGACGCGCCAGGGGTTATGATATTGTACTGCTTCTGCATCTGAAGCAACTGCACTAGCCAGTTCCCAATTCCAATAAAGAATTACCACAAAATTCAACGCCAATTACAAATTCATAGATTGACGTCTACAGAAACATAGATACTTACCTTGAAAGCCGAACGAGCAACATAACCGAGACGCTGAGCTTCTCTGTAGTAGAAATCAGGCGTCCCGCTCATTTCTCCTTCCCCGATTTTTTTTCTCCGCAATCAGGGTTTATGCCTCCGCCATTAACCTTCTGCAACTCTAAACCCCACCCTTTATTAATGGGCCTTAATTGGGCCATTACTAATTAAAACCCATAAATTCATGTTGGGCCCATAAAGCCCATTAATAGAAATCCAACTCTTAATGGATGGTCCAGCTCATAAATTTCAATTTCAATTCAGAAATAAAATATACTAAAAAAAATAAAAATAAATAAAGTGCTTTTTATTATTTAATTTTATTTTAAAGAAGGATTTTCTTGAAAGTCAAGATCTGATCCAACAACCACCCAATTCCAGGTTGTTCCTTTGCTTCTATTCAAGTTAAGGAATAAGTTGTAGTAACAATAACGAAATAGTTTTAATATATTGTGCCCATAACATAATTATTAAAAATTTGTTATAATCAAAGTATGGATTATTTGGTTTCAATAGGGTATTAAATTTTGCAACTTTCCAATTCTTGGGGTGGTTTTTTCATCACAATTTATTTTTATAAAACAATATCGAAATGACCCTTTTATTACATATCACACATTGTATTGTCTCAATCTTCGCATGAAAATACTGTAAATATCGTATAAAAATTTAAATAAACAATACATAATATATAAAATATTAGTATATACTATTACTTCTATTCATATGTAATTGTCAATAAATTAAATTATAATATATATTGTATTGAGGTCAATTGTTTTGTTGTATAAATTTATTATCATATAATGTTAAGGTAAAATTAATATGACAATACAATACTAGTACAAAATAGGGATAATAGTAATGTATCTTTTTTTTTTGTTTCTTAATTTTTCTTTAAATTTATTTAATTTTAATTTGAAATTGAATTTTCTTATTAATTTTTTTTTTAATATTTATATATATATTTTTATTATTTACATGTATATTTTATCAGATAAAAATAATAAAAATATATATACATCATTTTAAAATAGTGTTAAAACCAGACCCTGACAATAAAAAAAAATAAAAAAATAAAAAAATAAAAAAAAAAAAAGACTGATGTAAAAGCTAATTTGATTCTTTCCTATGACAGCAAAGATTCCTGTGCTTATCATTACACTACACACATTACGGGTTGTTTAAGGAAGACGGCACGTGGATATCACGTGACTCAACGTGCTTTGCCTCGGGATTAACGCCGGCATTGGTAGATCCGACGGCGCACAATCAATTTTATTAACATGTAAATTATTACATAAATAAATATACTACACTTATAGTTCCCAATCATTGCTGGATCAATACATACAAAAAAAAAAAAAATCAGCCAGAAATAATCACAATAAACAAATAATAAAAAGCAGAAAAATATAAATTAAAATTAAGTCAATGTTAAGGAATTTATTCGGAGAATTTACAGGAAAAATAACAATAATCAATCAATAACAAATTGAAATCACAGTTGAATCAGGGCCGTCCGTTTCTCTACACAGATCAATCACACAATTGAATCCGGGCCGTCCGTTTCTCTACACAGATCAATCACAGTTCCACATCCTTAGTTTGTCATGTCATAATGTACTTACTGTTCTTTCTCTACACTAACCCCCGGCCATGATCCCTCACGCCGGCGCCGGCGCCGGAACCTCCACCGGCGCCGGCAGCTTCCGCGGCTGCTGCAGAGACCAATACGAGTGTGCGGCGAGCACCCGATCGAGCAGCTCCTGCGGCACCGGCTCGCCCCGTCTCTGTTGCGGCGATATACTCGCCGTATGCACCAACGTCTTCCATTTATCCTACACGAACCCGACTCGAATCTTAAATTCGAACAGTCGAATTTTTTCGCATTAAATCGTAGATTATGCCGAGATTTGTACCTTCAAGTCGACATATGTTCGGTGATCGGCTAGTTCGAAGGCAGCAATTTTCACATCACGCCACCTGAAAAACGAGTCGGGAATGACGACATATTTCATAGCACGACAACAGGTTATCGATCGGTTAATGTTTGTACCTTCCGGTGCCAAGTTTTTCGACCGACTCAACGAGTGCTTCTACTTCAGCTACTGTGAACGGCCTCCGGGTTCGGCGATGCGAGTTTTCGCAACGCTTCGACTTTTGGTCGACCGGAACTATCGCAAGCATTTCGTTCGTCAGAGGGACCGGCACGAGCGCCTTGGAATCAGGAACTGTTTTGTTCGTCGAAGTCTGGGGCGACGATTTCAACTCACTGCTGTTGTTGTCGTCGAAATTAGAGACGGGCGGCAGCGAATCGATATTGGCGTCCGAAAGCCCTGAATCGACAATCTGAGTAGCAGACGACCTGAAAAATACAATGAATAATAGATAGAAGTCGAATAACCACAATTACACGACGTAACCGCTGCCCGGAAAACATCATACCTCAGTAATTCTTGATCAAAATCTTGCGGCAATGCGGAAAAGCTCGTAAAACTCGACTCTAGCGTAAAACCGAGAGATTCAAGATTGCTTTTTTCGGTAATACCAGCATCGTACAAAGTTTTACGATCGTCTCGGAGAATTTCCCCTTGAAAAACAACACCCACTTCGAGTCCGCTTCCGAAAATAGAATTTACGGTCTCCATCACAGCTTTCTAAAGAAAGAATCGAAATCACGACTAAACCAGCAGAGATTCAAGAGGCAGTATCTAAAATGTTTTTTGCGGCGCAAACCTTCAGAGAACCGAGGCTTGCATTTTCGGGGATCTCGATGCAAAGTTCGGGCACCTTAAAGGACTTGATGCTAAATTTCACTGACAAAAAAGATACAGCCTTGGCGTAAGATATTGTCGTCGACGTATATGATTAAGAAATATTTGCATCATAACAGAAATTTCAAGTACCGAAATGATCCTTGGCTTCTTCGTCGCCTCCAACGATCGCCAACGAATCCGTTGCTGCCAGACAGCAAAGCAAATCATTAATTACGTAAAACATCACAACAAATGTGTCCAAACGTCCCAACGCTTTCTTACAGTTCGAGATGCTGTCGCTGCTGTTGTCCTGATCAGACACGACGACCGATCTGCGATCGGACAACTTCCTTTTCTTAAAACGTGCACGCGCCTGTTGCCACCTCCGCGCCGTCAAACTCCTCTTCCTACACTCGTTAAAGAACCTCGTTCCGTCACCTGAAAAATTGAACATACGTCATTACAAGAACGTCGACAAATCCACGACAAAATCGACCAACGCAATAAATTTAGCTACCGGCATTGTGAATTCCTTGCGTCGAATTCGCTTTCCTGTGATTGCACATCGATATCTTCATTACACGCTCACATCCGCCACGTGGCTGCGGCAAATACGACGTAATCTCGGCGCAATCTTTGTCGCGCCTCGAAGAATTTTCGTCGTCATCTCTACGTCCTATATTTACACCGATCGACGCCCCGACGGGGCCGCTGTACACGGGCAAATTTACACTGTCATCAGAATTAATGGCCGCCGCATTCGTATCGACAAATTCATCGGCATGATCCTTCACTGTCGAAGGATTAGCAGTATCGTTCTTGGGATCATCGGAGCAGTCGCGAATGGAGTTTGCTTGAATAAACGCGCTCTCGGCGCAGCTTCCATGATCCAAACTCTCCGATTTCACGGATTTATCGTCGACAAAACAATGCTCACGATTGGCGCCGCGTTCAGCTACATTGCTCGAAGCAGAGCTTTCGCTCTCCTGCAATAACTTTCCGGCGACTGCGGCGAGCAAATCGAATGCGCAGAGTTCATTGCCTTTAATGAGATTTCGATGCTGTGGTCTTTTCTAAGAACACAAAAGAACACAATTAGATTCGATCGATGCTGAAAATTGAAGAACAGTAAGAATGCAAAGTTTTTAAAAAGTTTTGGATTAATTACTCTTATTGATCTTGGAGCTTTGGGAATAATGGCAGCTCGATAGCCATCGAATCCATGATTCAGCTTTCTCTTTGAAATCATATCGTCGAATGCATAATACAGCAATGTCGATTTCTGATATAATCCTCAATCTGCAGAATTCGAATGGACTTGTAAAGGAAGCATGGATGAATTCAAGCTTATAGTAAATTTCTAAAAATTCGAAAATGGATCTGAGCGACGGTTTTAATGTCTAACACAAAATCAGGAAGCAAAAGCACGACACAGATGAGAACACAGATCTGAAATTCGAATTACAGTTTCTGCATTTCGGTTTTTCATCAATCGTCAGAGTTTCAGCAAGTTCGATTGAAGAAATTTTGAAGATATTCATCAACAGAAGCAGATGAAAAGACGACTATGGAGTCTGATTATAGTAAAAAAACTATTTCAATCTTCTTCCCGTCAACGGAGAATTTCGCGAAAATTTCGATTCCAGAAATAAAAAAAAAAAAAACTACACAATTCATGGCTTCAAATCAAGCAACCAAACGCAAACCAACGCTAATTTTCAAAATTCGATTAGATCTCTACAAGATCAATCCGAATGCGAACAGTTTCTCACAAAAATCGAATGAATCAACAGAAGAACACCACCAAATCCGAAAACCACACCACAGCAATATTCAAAAACAAAATTCAACAAACCAAAAAATTCAAACTCAAATTCAGCAAATCACCTCACGATTGATCCTCACCGCAGCCAGAATTCGCCTCTAACCTCTTCTCCAGAGCAATTCAGACCAATCTGAGAGAAAAAATTCGAATCCTCCGGCAAAATTCAACCAAAAAAAATAATCGACCAAGCAACCAACTGGAATCGCAAAAACAGCGCTAAAACCCCAAATTGGGGGTTATTGCTTTATAGTCACTGAACCTCAAAAACCCAATGGATCGATGGAGTCCGAGTTGGGTAAAAATGGTTCGATGATTTAAGGACCACTTTGCTTACGATTTTCGAACTCTTTCACCACACCATCACCGGCACCGCTAAATCTGCTTACACTGCCGCGCGCCACGTGTCCATCGGGTGCGCCGATTCTCGAGAGCGCCTGGACCACAACTCCCGATCGATCCACGCCGTCCGATCTTTCTGTGAAGGAGCTCGGTTATTATTTTCTTCTGTCCCTAGTATCTATACTATAATCTGTATCTATATTTCTATATTAAATTTTAATACGCAGTCACAGTGGATCATGTGATAGTATTATTTATTTATTTAAATATTTAAAATTACAGATAATGTAAACTAATTAAAAGCTATTAAAAATAAATAAAAAAAAATTATAATCATATGTTGTGTTGGGTTGAATTTCCTTAAACTTTTTATAAGTTAAGCAATTTAAATATGTTTTAAATTATATAGGTATAATTTACTAAATAGAATAATTAGGTGAATGGTTAAATATTAATTATTGAAATAGTTGACTATAATTGTTAATATTTCAATAAAAATTATGTTATAAACATAGGATTTTTATTATAAAGATACATTTTAAATATATTTAGATAAAATAATATTTTCAGATTATTAAAATAATAATTTTGGCTACAGATTGGCAGATTATTATATTTCCCTTTGGATCCAAGTTTGGTGTAAAGATTGATTGTTGTAATTATTTGTAGGATCTATTTATTTAATTATTTATTTTATGTAATTAAGAAATTAATTTAAAATAATAAATTTTAAAATAAAAAGAAAGAATAAAGAAGTTGAGATCCAGACGAGACCAGGCGGGGGAAACGTGAAAGGATGGACAAAGAAAAGAAACGGTAACGGCGTTAGTGAATGTAACGGCGTTAGTCTGGAGTAGGGCCCACATTGCGTAGGCTGTACTGAAATGTGTGGCTTAGAATTTTGTGTCCGATAAAAACAACTGTCAGGACGTTTTTTTTTGGCGCTTTCTGTTGAAGTTGGTCCCTTTTATATTATGGGCCTAAATTGGGCCCAATTAATTTTTAAAATGGCCCATAAATTGTTTAATTTAAATCTTGCATTGGACTTATAAATTATACTCCATACTGTGTGAGTTGACATAATTTTTTGTTATAAATTAAAAATACATGTTTTTTGTGAACAGTATATATACTTGATGGATAAAAAATATATATTTTAAGGAATCCAAAATTAATAATTATATATAAATAAATTTGGTAATATCTACTATAATAATATTTTTTAAAGAAATATTATATCGATAGACTAGAACTCATGATGATCTTACTTAAAAGCTTCAATTATTAAAAAAAATATATCATTAATTTATTTATTCATAAGTGGAAGTTCTCAATTCACACTTATTCGAAAAATAATAATAAAATAAATATGAATACGTTTAATGCTCAACACACACATGGTTCACTTAACCAAAAGAAATGTATTAAAGAGTGATATTTTATGATATGTAGTGCACACCTTTATTTATTTTGGAAAAATATACTCATCGTCCCAACACAATAGTATTATTTATCATTTTTGTTCAACTCAAAATAATAATTTTATTTTCATAAATAATTATATCACCGTAAAATTATCTCTACTTTTTCATTATTATTATCCAATTGACACTATTTTTTACACTAATATAAATTATTTATCCATACTTTTTACTAACCAACAATATAATATCAATATTTCTTAAATCAATAAGACTATACTTTTGGGACGAAGAGAGTATATATTTAAGTTAATCCGAAATAAAAATTCAATTTAATTAAAGTTTAAGACACTAAATATATTGTAACACGTCAGCAAAATACATCAAAATGAAATAATTTAAAATAAGACCAATTTTCATGAAAATGGAGTAAATAATTAATCTAGTTTTGAACGTACCAATAGGACTCAAATTGCTTTTCCTCCCCTTAATTAAATTGCAATTTCTTCATTAATAAACATCAAACACTAACACTACCTACCTTCAGTCTCTCTGTATCTCACATTATTAATTATAATAATAATTATTATTATTATTATCATAGTCTAAGTAGAGTAGAGTTTTAAGTAGTTAAATTACCAAACCAACCTTCTAACTTTCTCTATTACCTCCTCCGCCCCTCCGCCGTCGCTCATTTTCCGATCACCGGAAAGATCACCGACACCGCCACATCGACATCGGCGACCCATCCTGCGAAATGTCTCGACTGGGTTCGCACGTTCGACGATTCTTTCTCCTCGAGAGTAGCCGATCGATCGATTGATTTTTCTAATACTCCGGCCGCCAAGCCGAGATCGCGTAAACGATTCGACCTTTCCAGCCTTGCAAGAGCCAATGCCCGTCTTCGTCAATCACGAAATCCTTATGATACGAAGTCTTCACCCGGTTCACGGCCTTCTTCATCATCTCCCGGTCGATCGGGAGCTGCCTGAACCCGGCCCTCACGTTCCGGACCTGCCACTGCTTGTACGTCTCCGGCCTCTCGATCCTCTCCGCGCCCTCGCACGCAATCACATTCCGCGCCTCCCGTCCCAGAATCGTTTTCTCAAGTAGCATCCGCTCGTGGATCTCCCGGGGGATGTTCGCGTCGAGCATGTCGAAGAACGACGAGTAATAGAACAGCGCCTCCCGGAACCTCGTGATGAAGAACGGGGCGTTGTACGAGCCGTTCACGATCCCGAGCACGAACACCGCCGGGTTCATCCTCCGGATGAGATTCAGAACGATGTTCCTCGGGCTGTTCGCCATTACCGTCTCGTCGAGAAGATTCCGGAATCGATACAAACAGTTCACCACGAGAACTTCGTTCTCGTCGAGCTTAAGATCCTCGATTTTGATTGTCTCCCACTTCTGCGCTATCGCGTGGAACTCGAAGGGTACTTTGAACGTCTGGGCGTAACTCGCCAGACGCCGCCCCGTTTCTTCGACTCTCTGTAACGGCCGGAAACCCGGACAAGGAAGATCGATTCCCGTAACGCGCAGTCGAGGAGGACCGCCGGGTCGATCCGAGAGGCGTTGAAGAAAGCACGGCCACTGGAAACCGTAAAGAATACCGAAATCGATAATGTGCAGGCTCGACGCGTTCTCGGCGACAGTCATGATCGTCTTGTTCGCGAAGAAATTCGAGATCTTCCGGAAGGGACATGTAGCGAGGTAAGTATGGTACGCCTTCAGAATATCCGCAGCCGAGGTCGGTAAATTAAGAAGCGACTTATATATCTGAGTTCCCGATCCGGCCATACGAGCCTCAAGACCATCGGCAAAATAATACGCGAGCCTCTGCATCCCGTCTCCGGTAGGCTTCGCGTGCTCGCGGATCTGCCGTAAAAACTCCGTCGCCGTGCGCCGGTCGTCGGCTGCGACAGCCTGCGCGCAAAGGGTCAGTAGCGTTCGTAAATCGACGACATTTCTTTTCCCGCCCCTTTTCTTCGCGCTGCTCTTACCGCCGTTCGATCCCTTCGATTGTTGTTGATTTTGGGGAGCGCTTTTCGTCACTTCGTCCAAAGCTTTCCGAAGGGCAGATTCGTTTCTCCCTCCGCTGCACAAAAGGACAGTATCGAACATTTCCGAACTCACAGTCGATTCGGTGTAAACCGCGGATTGCTTGTTGCTTCTTTCCGCCAAATCTACGCTCTCATCGAACGGATTCTTCTTCCCCCTCGAAATGTCGCTGAATTCTGAAAGATCGGTTTTCTTCTCCACCTTAACTACAAGATTGGCACTGTCTTCCTTCGGCACTGTACCTAACGGCTCGTCGTACCTCAAATCGACGATCAAATTGCTGCTGTTGGGAAGAAATCTCGTAGCTTCTTCGACACCCCTTTTAAATTGAAGCGCGGATTCACTGTCGCTAAAAATATCGGGAATTTTTAGGCTACTCACAGGGGAATCGACGGGGCCATCGACGACGGTACCGTTGCTGCTTGAAGAGCTATAAGTTGTCTGCGAAGTAGATTGGGAGACCGTGTTGACGTTGGCGTAAGACTTATCGACCCTATTGAAGGTTTCGGGATCAGAATTCCAATCGGGACATAGCGTTTCCGTATCGCCGGAACTCCAAAAATCATTCAATACTGCAGAAACACTTTCGTCTGGATTCTCATAGCTGTGATCCGAATTCGATATTAGCTGAGAATTAGAAGATCCGGGATACTCTTCTCCAATAACATCGTAGAACGATTTTTCGGCAACTTGAAGCGCTGTAGACGACTCAAGAAACATGCATGTTTTCTCTTCGACATCCTCTTCCATGAGGATGTGATTTATATACTTTAGAACCCCGTCGCTGAAATCAAGATCCTCTGGAGAATCACCATCAGATGTTTGAGATTGGGGATTGAAACCGAAATTTGAATGGCCAGAATCTTGGGTAACATCTGTAGGATTCGAATTTAAAAACTTGCCGCAAACTTTCATCTTGTTGATCAGATCGGAGTCCAGAAATGTGGGAGCTGATTGGCTGTTAAATTTGATCCCCGACGGTACCCCAGTATATGTGCTAAGATTCTTATCCATGACCATCAGTTAACCAGAGCTACTCCGAGTAAAAAAAATTCCCAATTCCGAATCCTATGTCACCGTAACAAAACTTTCCTTAAATTAAACAACAAATTTACCACGGGTAGAGCCACGTGCGCTTCTTCAAGATTACAAGCTTTAAAGCATATCCACCATTCAAAACCCGGATGCTGAGATCTTTAAACAAGAACAACACGAAAGGAAACTAATTAATACATCAATTAAATCGAGATCTAAACAGCTGCAAAACCAATCCAAACTAAATCAAGACATACTCATACGAAATGTAAAATAACAAAATCAAAACAACAGAGCAGCAGCATCGAACAAAAAAGAACCAAATCTCAAACCACAAGACTCCAATGTAATGATTTATCGATCAAAAGGAAACAAATCATACCTCAAAATCTATCGAAACATAAAATTGCTCCAACTCTATTAAGAATCAACGGAAAAAACTATGAGAGCCTTGACAAGGAAAGAACACGAATGATGGTAGCATTGAATGAGGATTTATCCCTTTTGGCATCTAATTGCTAAAACCGGGACGGCGTGCCTCAGGATAAAACGAAACAGTGGGCTAATCTGAGCCCTTCAATATTTCACATCTAAAGGCTGCGGTGGAAATTCTGCGGTCGATGCAATGCATTCACACCAATCCGAATTCGAGGTCTCTCCTTCCTTCTCTATTTTACAAAGTAATCAAATAAGCACAATACAACTTCGGATTTTTGCATGTCAGCGACAGACACCTCAAACATCCCACCACTAACTTCAGCATTCCCTTTCCCCCTTGTTTTCTAACACTGTCTAATCCTTTTTATCATCCTTTCCGAAATTTCAATCTTCGAACATGGCCCATGTGCAACCACAGCCATTTCTTTTGGATCCAAAATGGACACCATGTCCACTCATTGTCACCTTCATGAGGTCCACGAGCTAGGCTCGTCGTGTGCTATCGCAATCAAACTTGTATTTTCTACCAACTGTATCTACCTTTCTGAAACTTTGGGGCTAATCTCTGGGAGGTTCTGAAACCTTCTCTAGCTAACATTAAATACTATATGATCGTCGGTTTCGATAGCACAACCTTCCTCGAGAAAATTCTTATAAATCTTCAACATAATTGCTCCCAAATCTACCTATATAACACTCAAAATTCACATAAAACTATCTCAAATTCAATCAGTTCAAATCAATCATAAATGGTAAAAAAGCAAAAAACATGATCAAAGCAGGAACCTATGAATTCGAAAGGATTCACCACACGATTCGAACAGCATAAGAGTTCCGCAATTCACGAAATCAACAAATTGGAGTTTCCGTGAGTTTACTAAATAAGAAACGACAAAAACCAACAAAGTCAGCAAATCTGGTATACAAACGGAAACTCCAACCCTAGCTGCTTGGCTAAAAACAAAACAAAAAAAGAAAAACCCTTGATAACCAAAAACAACAACGCATCCTTTCACAAAAACTCGATCAGATCTCAGCAAAACCAACTCCAACCCCCAACAATTCCCAAAACAAAACAACAAACCCCTAACTCCCCGAAAAATCCGGAGATGGAAATTAAAAGCTATAAAAATACAATAAAAAGACATAAAATAATTCCAAGGCCAACAGCAGCAGCAGCAGCAGAAGCAGCATCTTACCAGAAAGGAAATGATGGCGAGTGGTGATTGGGCGTCGTCCAGCTCCAAAAAAATCGACGCGAATTATTTGTGGAATCTCCCCTTCAGGCTTTATCTGGGCGGTTCCAACCTGGTCACTGCGATGTGAGGTGATATGAGACCATTCTTCTACATTGTCCCCACAACACTTATTTATATATACAAAAAAAATTTAAGTTCAAACACTAGTCATTAATTTTATTGTTACTTTCCTCCTCCATAATAAGGTATCATTTATTTTTCTATACAATGTTAATTTTTATTTTTTTTTACATTTATATAATTTATTTGGTAAATATCATCGTATTTGTAGTATAAAAAGTGCTCTCTCCGTCCCAATAAATAGTTTTGTTTCTCATTTTTGTTTGTCTCAAAACAATAGTTCAATTTTTATAAATAATCATATCTATCATAAAATTATTCATATTTTTTCATTATTATTACTGCCACTCTTTTTACACTAATATACTCACGGAGGAAAAAAAAATTCATTTATCTTTACTTTTTACCAACTATCAATATAATATACTTTTGGGACGAAGAAAGTATTATTTTTATTTTTATAAATGAGATGTAATTATACCAAAAGAGTGAATATATACCAACTCTAACAATATAAATAATGTATGATATATCATATATATATATATATATATAAGCCCCGCATAAGATAATTTGATGGTACGATGATTTGTAATACATGATTTGCTAGTGTAATTTATTTTGTCGAGTCTAATTTGCAAAATATTAGATTCAATCAAAAGTTCATCACAAATAACAATTAGAAGTTCTCATATTATAATAATAATAATAATTAATTATTATTATATTAATATAATATAAATATTACACATAAAATATATTAATACCATACAATCATAGAGTATTTTGTATGTACTTAATTAGGCATTCAGGAACGAAATTTTTTTTTTATTTGAGATAGATTTTTTAATATTAATATTATATTGATTTATATTAAAAAAGATAATAATATATTCATTAATGTAGTGCAATATAAAAGTAATAATATTTTTGTAATATATATTTATTATGTTAAATATGTATCATAATTATTAAATTAATAAATGAGAGTTTTTTTTTAAAAAAAAATAATTTTTATTGTTTGAATTCGATATTTTTTAAATATATATAAAATCAAATATTATTTAAATATAAATTTTAAATTAAATATTTCCAATTCAAACACACTTCTATGAGAGACAAATTGTTTTTTCCTTTTTTTTATTTTATAAAGAAAAAAATGTATAATGCAATAAATCTCGACAACAAAATCTCACATGCCTCTATGTAGCTGCTCTATTCAATTAATTAGGCCGGAAATCATATCATATATCATATCATATATATATATATATAAAAGAACTCAGAAATGGACCCCACATTTTGTAAAATTCTGTAATCCTGCAATCTCAAAATTTTGAGATTTTTTTATTTTTTTTTATTATAGTTTTTTAATATTTATTCTTAGATTTAGAGTTTATTTTTTATTTTAATTATCAAAATAAATGATAGATTGTGTAAATGACAGTTTTGAAATAGTGAAATGGTGGTGATTTCAATGTTAATGGAGAGAAACTGAATTTTTTTCTACGTATATATAGACATGTAGGGTAATGCAAATGTGAGAATAAGAATATTGAAATTTATTATTATAAATGCACTTATAATAAATTGTTGTTTTTTTGATAATTTTTTTTATTGATAATATTGAGTAGTTTTGCTATTCTTCTTTATTAATAATATTTTATATATATATATAATTTTTAGATTTTTTTGTTCTTTCTAAATTGTTTATTTTGTTGTGTTTTTTCTGCGTAGCCATAAAGTTGGAATCTCAAATACTTTTCTGATAATTTTTTTTATTGATAATATTGAGTTGTTTTGCTATTCTTCTTTATTAATAATATTTATATATTGTTACGCACAAAAAATAATAATAATAATAATAATAAGGTATCCAGAGTCAGTCGGTGGGTTCTCAGTCGGTTGGTTCTCAATCAGATAAGCAAGTCAGATGGTCCGCGGTCGGGCAAGCAGGTCGGATTATCCGCAGTCGGATAAATGGGTCGGTTGATACAAAGGTTGGCTGCTATGGGGGTCGGTCGAAAAAGGAAGTCGGGCGAAGAAAGGTCTGTTGATAGGTCAGACGATTGAAGAGACCAAATAGTGGTCGTTTGATGGGGCGACCAGTGAGTCTTTTGATCTGGCGACCAATTATGTATCTAGATTGGTCGGTTGGTCGGTCGTTGGGTTATGCGGTTGGCGAGGCGGTTAAAGACATGTGTCAATCAAAGAGGCAGTTCTGAGTTCTGTAACTGGTGGGAACGGTTGGTGAAACAGTGCGACGGTTCTGAACGTTTTCTTCAAAGAATATTTAAGGATTTGGATCATCATTTGGCAAGGTATCTTCAATCAACTTCAACAAAGCAAAGTCAGATTTGGGGATCACCACTTTAAATTTCAGTCTTTTAATTTCCAGTTTAGTTTCTGTACGTTACAGTGTTTAGAGATTCCTAATCTCAGGCACTAATTAATCAAGTTTAAGGATATTTTCTATATCTTTGAATTTTACTTTATTTTTGTTGAAAAAATACATCAACAAATTGGCGACCACAGTGGGAGAAAATTGCTGATCCATATGGCAAATTTTCAATTCCACAGTACAGCCGTTGGCTTTATCACGGCAGAAGAAGCTTCCCAACTACGGGCCGAATTGACAGCAGGTTTTACAGCATGTTTTCGGCAAATGTACGACCAGCAGATAGCAAATCTGCAGGCAATACATGACGCAATGCAAAACTTGATGGAGCAATCAAAATTCATGTTGAATTCGGTTCCTGCACCGCCAGAAATGTCATGCCCCCAAACGGACAACGCCATTCCTGAGCATATACCCAGTCAGACAGACTGGAAACAGGACCAAACAGGAGGACAGGCCCGACCAGGGACGACCGAATGGACGGAGACAGGTCGGCAGGATCACGACGCCTGGACGGACCATGGTCGGGAAGACCACACCGACTGGACGGACCATGGTCGGGAGGACCACACCGAATGGACGGACCGTAGTCGGGACAACCACACCGACTGGATGGACAAAGGTCGGGAGGACCACGCCGACTGGACGAATACAGATCGGGAAGACCACGTCGACTGGACGGACAAAAATCGGGAGGACTACGTAACCTGGACGGATACAGGTCAGGAGGACCCCGCCGAATGGACGGATACAGGTCAGGAGGACCCCGCCGAATGGACGGACACGGGTCAGGTCACCGACCATAACTTTTCAGGCGAGCAAAAGAATGACAGAACAACAGTGGCCGAAAGGAGGAATAAGTCGGACGGGAGTCTGAATACAATGGTAGTGCAAGATCGACCAACGTCCAGGCCAGCACCAGTCCGCGATAAATGGAGGTCGGGTCCAACGTAGCCTCAAAGGATGGAGGTCGGATCTGAGGCTGACGTAGCCTCGGATGCTAACCTACTAACTCCTAAAACATCATAAGAAATTATGCTTAGGAGTCTTGAGGAGGAGGCATGTTGTTACGCACAAAAAATAATAATAATAATAATAATAATAAGGTATCCAGAGTCAGTCGGTGGGTTCTCAGTCGGTTGGTTCTCAATCAGATAAGCAAGTCAGATGGTCCGCGGTCGGGCAAGCAGGTCAGATTATCCGCAGTCGGATAAATGGGTCGGTTGATACAAAGGTTGGCTGCTATGGGGGTCGGTCGAAAAAGGAAGTCGGGCGAAGAAAGGTCTGTTGATAGGTCAGACGATTGAAGAGACCAAATAGTGGTCGTTTGATGGGGCGACCAGTGAGTCTTTTGATCTGGCGACCAATTATGTATCTAGATTGGTCGGTTGGTCGGTCGTTGGGTTATGCGGTTGGCGAGGCGGTTAAAGACATGTGTCAATCAAAGAGGCAGTTCTGAGTTCTGTAACTGGTGGGAACGGTTGGTGAAACAATGCGACGGTTCTGAACGTTTTCTTCAAAGAATATTTAAGGATTTGGATCATCATTTTGCAAGGTATCTTCAATCAACTTCAACAAAGCAAAGTCAGATTTGGGGATCACCACTTTAAATTTCAGTCTTTTAATTTCCAGTTTAGTTTCTGTACGTTACAGTGTTTAGAGATTCCTAATCTCAGGCACTAATTAATCAAGTTTAAGGATATTTTCTATATCTTTGAATTTTACTTTATTTTTGTTGAAAAAATACATCAACATATATATATATATTTATAATTTTTAGATTTTTTTGTTGTGTTTTTTCTGCGCCATAAAGTTTGAATTCCAAATACTTTTTTGATAATTTTTTTCTTATTGGTAATATTTTTTTTATTGATAATATTGATTTGTTTTGCTATTCTTCTTTATTGATAATATTTTTTATATATATATTTTTATAATTTTTAGATTATTTTTGTTATTTCTAAATTGTTTATTTTATTGTGTTTTTTCTGTATAGCCATAAAGTTGGAATCCCAAATATTTTTATGATAAATTTTTTTTTATTGATAATAATTTTTTTATTGATAATATTGAGTTGTTTTGTTATTCTTCTTTATTAATAATAATATATATATTTAAAATTTTTAAATTTTTTTTGTTCTTTCTAAATTATTTATATAATAAAGATAAAAAAATAATTATTTATAATTATTCTTAAATTAAAAATCAAAATAAATTTGAAAAAAGTTTGTCGTCATTTATATATGGTTGTTAGCCTTCAGTTGAAAATAATGTTATTTATTTACTAATTTATTTAGTTTCGAATATAATGTTTTAATACGCCATTATTATTGTACATGTATTTAAATATTTAAAGAAACCATAAAGAAAATTATGATAAATTTTAATATATATTTTTTTTTAAAAAAAATATATTCTTTATGGTTTCTTTAAATATTCTTTTAAACAAAAAAATTACAAATTTAAACATAATCTAAAATATTGAAAAATATATTATAATATAATAATCGAAATCAAATCAATTAGAAAAAACAAATACTCAATAAGAATAAAAAATATTTTATTAATAGAAAATAATAATGAAAAATAAAAATGCATGTACAATAATAATGGCGTATTAAAACATTATATTCGAAACTAAGGGTGTGTTCATTTGGTGGATTTTGACAAATCCCACTATTCATCCAAAATTTTCCCCCCCAAAAACATCAAATCAAACACCTATTTTTCATTTTTTATATTATACTAAAAATCAATTTTACATTCAAAACATCACATCATCACCTATTTATATCACATCATACAACTATTTAAATTCAAAATTTTTACTATTCAAATCCCAACTCAAAATCCAAACCCCTAACCAAACACACCCTAAATAAACTAGTAAATAAATAATATTGTTTTCAACTAAAGCTAACAACTATATATAAATGACTGACAAATTTCTTCCAAATTTATTTTGATTTTTAATTTAAAAATAATTATAAATAATTATTTTTTTATCTTTATTATATAAACAATTTAGAAAGAAATTTTTTTTTTTCAAAATTATAAAAAAATATATATATATTATTATTAATAAAGAAGAATAACAAAACAATTCAATATTGTCAATAAAAAAAAATATTATCAATAAAAAAAAATTATCAAAAAAGTATTGAGGATTCCAACTTTATGGCTGTACAGAAAAAACACAACAAAATAAGCAATTCAGAAATAACAAAAAAAATCTAAAAATTATAAAAATATATATTAAAAAAATATTATCAATAAAGAAGAATAGCAAAACAACTAAATATTATCAATTAAAAAATATTATCAATAAAAAAAGTTTATCAAAAAAGTATTTGGAATTTCAATTTTATGGCTACACAGAATAAACACAACAAAATAAACAATTTAGAAATAACAAAAAAAATCTAAAAATTATAAATATATATAATATTATTAATAAAGAAGAATAACATAACAACTCAATATTATCAATAAAAAAATATTATCAATAAAAAACAATTATCACACATAGTAAATGCATCAATGATAATAAATTTCAATATTCTTATATTACCCTCCCCTTATATGTCTATATATATATAAAAAAAAAAAAAAATCAATTTCCCTCCACTAAGAATTGAAACCACCTCCATCCCACTATTTCAAAACAGTCATTTACACCCTATATCATTTATTTTGATAATTAAAAAAAATTAACCCTAAATCTTAGAATAAAAATTAAAAAACTGCAATTAAAAAAAATAAAAAAAATCTCAAAATTTTGAGATTGCAAGATTACAGAATTTTACAAAATATAGGGTCCAATTTTGAACTCTTTTATATATATATATATATGATACTTTTTAAAGTATTAAAGAAAGCCACGCAAATTTTAAAGTAAAAGAGAATTGGTGAATTTTGAAACCACAGACTAGGAACAAATTTTCCAAAAATAAATGAAGAAGGAAGTTTGTAACCGAATTTCAAATGAGTCTAAAATGGAGCTGATCGTCACCACCATCAATTCACACCTATTTATTCGATCCTTAAAACTGAAACAACAAAGGCTATTAGTACACCAACCAGAGTGATTTCCGGTCCCGATTCTGATTCCAAATTCCAGTCGAGTCGTCACTCCATTCCCCTCTTCCGCTTGAGGGTCGTCCACTGCTTGAGCAGAACCTCGACTCCTTCCTTAAGGGAGGCTCTCCTGTCGTCCCGCTCGTTCCATAGTTCGGTAGTCACGTAAGATCCGCTCGGGTTGTATTCATTTATCTCGACCAGGGCTTTCGTCACTGCATTGTACACTTCCACGCCGTAGTTCTCCTTCAGGTCTCTTAGTTTCTCGTCGCTTTCGTCTATTACGCGCTGTCACAACAACAAGAACAGCAAAATCTGATATTTGGCGAACAAGATCGTAACTAACTCAATCAACGTAAATACGATGATATATATATATGCGCCCGGGATCGGGGAAAATCTATACCAATCAGCGCATACAAAATATGTTGTGTTCACCAAACACTTTTTTGTTGTCACGATTCCTAATACTCCCTCCGTTCCAATTCAAAGTGTACCATTTTTACCATTTTTATATGTTATACTTCAAAGTGTCTCATTCCTGTTCTAGAAAAACTAATTATACACTAATACCAAAATATTTTTATTTAAATTACAAACATATCATCACATATGCAATTATGTTATACATAAATCAATCGACAAAATTATTAAAAAACTCTTATATACTTCCACTAACCGATAAAATACTACTCCATCCGTTCGGCTCTAAGAGTCTCATTTAACTTAACATTAAAAATATTCTTATATTTGTATAATTTTTTGCACAAATGTCACTATAATAGTATTATAAGACACTAATAGAAGTATTTTTGTCTTTTTTTTTTCCCTTAATTTGGACTACGTTTTCATATAATAATTAATATTTAAAGATTAACACGCAAAAAGTAAATAAGACCCTTAGAATCGGATGAATGTAGTATTTATTAATCTACTCTAAAACCCCAAAGGGCTCATTTGACTTAGGACGGAGGGAGTACTTTATATTCAAAACGTCACATCAACACCTATTTTATATCCTATCAAACAATTATTTTAATTCAAAATTCAAATCCGCAAAAGAAGCACATACCTGAGCTTCCTCGCCAAAGGTAACCACTTTTAGAGGATGCCATTCAGGATCTCTAAGGTACTCTTCCCACAGGGAGACCAACTCCGAGGCCCTTTCGTCTGCTTCAGCTTCAGTATACTTCCTTTTCATTGCTTCATGAAAGGGTCGGGAATCAAGTTCGCCCATTCGTCTGAGACCGACAGGACCATTTGTTTGCAATTCTTTCAAAACCTGCAAGGAAATTTAAGCCAATTGATAAGAATTGCAGCAAGCATGTATGAAGTTCGACGTAAAAGAGAAACTAACATTAATCATTTCTTTCCGAGCTTCCTGTAGCTCCTCGTTTGTCCTGCGCTCCTGAACCATTAAACTTAGGTTTAAGTTTAGCAAATCTTTATGCTCTCCTTCCTTCTCCCTCAGTGCCTTGAGCAGCGTATCAATTTTTTCTAACACTTCGTTATCACCCTCATCTTCCATGTGCTTCATTACGTTCAAGTTACCTCGCAACTGCTCTATTTCAAGCTCCAATGCTTGTTTTTTATCCATGTCTTTCTCCAGGTCGATGATTTTTTTATGGAGTTGTTCCTTTTCTTTCTGAAATCATAAAGACGGTACATTGAAATGCGAACATTTTGCACAGAACTAACTAAACTTAAAAATTTAAGGGATACAAGCAATATAATTAATACCTTCTGTTCTTCAGCCAATTTCATTACTTTCTCATCAGCTTTTCTTTGTTCCTCTGAAGCGGCTTTAAGGGAAACATTTTTCACTGCATTCTGGTTGTCATTAAGGATAATTAATAATTAACATGTGTAATATCCGAGTCATCATAAATGTATCGAATATAAGAAGACTTCTTTCAAGAAACTGCGAATTAATGCGTGTACTTAGTAACTTACTATACTTAATAGTTTAACTAGCAAAATCGAACAGATATGGTCTCTTTCTATCTAGAAAAATCAGATTACAAGAATCCAATACCTCTTCGAGCTCTTCAGCAAGTTTTTTACTTTCACTTTCGTTGAGCGTCTCTCTCTTACTCAGTTCCTGTCCACGTGCCTCAAGAGACTTTCTTTGATCTTCCAGTTGCGCTTTCAGCCTCTCATGGTCCTTGGATATCTTCTTTAAATGTTCTTGGGCACTTGAATGGATCTTTCTTATCTCTAATCAAGTCAGAAAATTGCATCAAGTTCAAATTTTTGATATGATTAGATTATATGTACAAAACTGAAACCTTATGTGTGACAAACCTTCATTGTAAGACTGATGAAGATTATCCTTCTCCGTGATCAACTGCCGTAAAGAGTTTTCAGTCTCTATGAATTTATTCTCCATCTCTTGCAAGTGGGTGTTCTTTGCCTCAATCACAGTTGTTAGATTACCCACAAGCTTGTTAGTCTTTCGATCTTCCTCTTCCATGATATCCGACAAGGTCCGCAGATCTCCTATTTTACGGAGGTGTTCTCCAAGAATTGAAGTAGAATTATAGTCATCTGATCGAGCAACCCATGCATAGAGATCCGACTTCTTGCCATTCTTTGCCAACCAGTTCGACTTACCATGATGATTTGCCTCATAAGCTTTCTCAAAAGACATGGCATTGTTAAAACCAGGCCAATTCTTATGAAACTCAACGATAGCTGTTCCAGAATGACCTTGATAATTCCACAGAGGCCGCACTCTAATTGGATTAAACCCCCTTCTCGCTAATTGATCCCTCAATTTACTACCACTTTCCCCAACATAACGACCGTCCTTGAAGTCAGTAGGAATGTTCACAACAACACCAATCCATGGCCAAACAAACATCTCATCAAGGTCCTGATCCGCAAGGGCATCTACCTCAGCAGAAGGCTGGGAAGGTCCAGCATCAACAGCTATCTCATTTTCCAAGAACTTCGCCAGAGCAAGGTGATTCCCCTTGTCCTGCGAAGTTCTTTTCTTTGATTTACAACTACCTATCGAACTTGCATGCTGCAAAAGGTCCTTGAACTGGAAATTCTTCTTTTTCTTTGTAGTACAGAAGGGGCAACGATAAGCTTGTTCTGATAATTTAACCTGGAGCTTACCACTCTTCAGTTTCTCATACGCCTTCTCCACATTCAATTCTTGATAAGCTTTATCCACATCCATTTCATCGTACGCTCTCTCATACTCTTCATCTTCAGATTCACTGACATCAGTGTCTACCTCAGAATCTGAACTTCCCATCTTTACCTCACTGAAAATGAAACCACGGGATGAAAATTACAATTAACAGTGGGAAAAAAAAAAAAAAAAAACCTATCTTGAATTAAGCAACACAAAAGATTGTTATGGAGACAAAACAATATAATTTCAACCAGGAATTTCCTGGGATCCATCTAGCTAGATTGTTATGTAGATATCTACTTGAAGATTGCCTTCTATAATCTCAAAAAAATAAATAAAAATAAAAATGAAAATTTGCAAAAATGAAATCGCTTGGAAAAAGACTACCAAAATCTACAATGCGCAACGGAAATTGACCCTTTCTTTCCCCAATACTTCAATAAGCTTTAAGATCTTTCAATTTACAACCTTGCCAACAACCGAAGCTAAATCAAACATGCATTTCTACAGAAATTTATAATAGGTTATAAAACGCAGGTCGCTAGCTAAATTGGACATAGATCCACCACCACATACCCCCCCCCCCCCCCCCCCCCCAAAAAAATAAATAAATAAATAAAAGAGAGAGAGAGAGAGAACTCAGCTTTGGTGTTTAAACGTAAAAACGAAAAATTAAGCAAAATCGGAGCAGAATGTGCAACCACAGCCGAACAAATTCAACACCAAACACATGCAATCTGAAGAAAACAACAGATTTCCAAGACGCCGCCGGAAATTCAGGGGAAATCAACACAACTAATCAAAACCTCGCAATGAACACCCGAAAATCATAATCAAGAAACGAGCGGTAAAATCTTACACTAATTGGTAGTCAAAAGGAGAGGTCAGAGAGAGCGCACGGAGATTCGCGAGGCCTGAACTGATGCCTCCTCTGAGTGAGAAAAGCAGAAAGGGAGAGGACAATTTATTTCTGAACCAGTAGGGCAGAACAGCAATTAATCGAGTAGGTCGATCCGGGTCGGGCTTTAGAAGCAAAGCCCGGGCTCGATAATCAAACATTTCCGGTATTAACGTAAGGGTGTGTTTGTTTAGGATATTTTAATTCAAATTAAATTTTTTTGTTTGTTTTGTAAAATAATTTAAAAAAATATATAATTTTTTATGTAATGTTTAAAAAATTGTACAAATAATATAAAAATTATAAATATATATAATATATTATTTAGTTAGAAACTTTTATTTTTGGGCACACAGATTTTCATATTTATTAATAAAAATAGTATTTTTATTATTTTTATAAAATATTATCTAAATTTAAATAAAAAAAAAACATCATATTATATTTTTACAATATACAAAATTTAAAAGTAATATAATATAAATGAATATTATAATAAAAATTATTTTTAAATATAATATACTCCCTTCTTAAGATGTCTTATTGAGAGTGGACAAAAATTAAAGAATAATAATATTTAATTGAAAGTAGGTATAAAATAGAAGGTAAAAACATAAAATATCTTTATTTTCTGAATGATTTTAAAAATAAGTTAGAGTAATAATTAGGGGTAGTTTGAAAAAGTATGAATAATTTTGTTATAAAGTGGGATCACGATTACTAAATAAGGAAACAAAGACAATTGTTTTGGAACTGATGAAAATAGAAAAATAAGACACAAACTAGTCTCATAAGTGAAAAAATTTCGCTTGTTTTAGTCCTCCGGCGCCGGAGACGCCCGCGTGGCTCGGAGGGCATGTGTCAGGTGTTGCTGACGTGGCGGACACGTGGATTTTATTTTTTTTTATTTTTTATTTTTAAAAAATTTATTTTAATTTTTTATTTGCTTTTTTAATCTTTTTATTTGGTCCAATTGAAAAAAAATTAAAAAAATATAAAATCCAAGTGTCCGCCAAGTGTAACCTGGCGGGACACCTGGTGGACACGTGGATTCCGGCGAGCCACGCGGGTGTCTCCGGTACTGGATGACTAAAACATCGAAACTTATTAGACGAATTTGCGATAAGAGAGTAAAATGATAATAGTTACGAAACTAAAAAAACAGTTTACCCTATGCAAATATTATTTAAAAAATAAAATATATATAATATATTAACATAATACTATTATATATTTTTATTTACTAAAAGAATTAAAAATTTAATATAAATATTACTCCATCCGTCTCACCTATCATGTCCTCCGTCTCACAATCCATGTGACTTTCATTTTTTGGAAAATGATTATACACTTTAATTATTTATGTTATAGAATAATTATTTTCACCAATATATTCTTAATTATCTACTAATTATATTTATTTAAATTTTTGTTTCTACATTGACCCATACATCCAATGCGGGACGAATGAAATATTTTTTTATATTGCACAATTATCACATTTAACATAAAGAAATAAAATAAAACAAATTACTACAAATTGTCCCACTATTACCACTATTTAACAAGATACTAGGTATAGTATTACATTATAAGTAAATCTATATTATTGATTTTACTTTATTATATAATCTCATTTATTAATATAATAGTATTATTTTCTTCATCTCAATTTAATATTATTATTATTATTAATCAAAAGTATCAATTTTTTTATTATAATTAAATTAGTTACGATATAAATATCAAAATATTTTTTATTTTTGTAATTTTTTTTTAATTTGTACTTATAAAAACAAAATTGTTTTAAATATTTATACTAGTTAATAAAATTTTGTTATTTATTAATCCGCTGTAAAAATAATAATAAATAAATACTTTTCACCGTAAGAAAAATAATATTATTTTAAATTTAAGGTAAAAATAAATATAAAATGTTAGAAAATACAATCAAACGAACCCTTCAAAATTAGAAAGTTCTTTTATTATTTAATTGCATCGAATATTAGTAACTTATTTAATTCAATTACTATTTTGTAATAATTAGTATATTATTTATTCAAGTTACTAATTTGTATGTAGTAACGAGTTGATACCAATTGGGCGTAATCAACAAAAGTTAATGCTAAATCAGAAACTTCATCTGTATAATATTCAATTTAAAAGATTTTATACTTAGTTCAAATTATTTTTATATAATTCAATAATTATTTCTAATTATTTTATCCATAAACATTTAACATAGCCAATGAATTTAATATATATATATATATATACTATCTACGTCACATAAAAAAAAAAAAAAAAAATTATCATTACCTTTTGTGTTATTTTTAATATTAAAATTATCATTATATTTAAATAATTTACTTTACAAATATTATTGTATTTTTTTTATTATTATAAGAGACTAATATAAGTATTTTTATATATATATTTTAATTTATAATATATTTATATAATAATTAATATTTTAAGATGATCAAGAGGAAAGACCAATCATATTCTTCCTCCGTTCTTTTACTAAGGGTGTGTTTGTTTGGGATTTAGATTTTGAGTTGGGATTTAAGCATGATGTGATATAAATACGCATTTATGTGATATTCTGAATGCAAAAAATTAATTTTTAGTATAATATAAAAATAAAAAATATGTATTTGATTTGATATTTTTAGAGAAATTGTTTTTTTATGAATAGTATTCCCTCCGTCCCAAACACCCTACAATATTTTATTTTTTGTTTGTCCTAAACTCACTGCAACATTTTTAAATTTAGAAATAATTAATAATATTTTTATATATATATTAATATACACTTCACTTTATCTCATCACATCACTCACATAAAAAAACAAATAATCATTTCTCTCTCCAATCACATCATTTAATATCTAAATTATCTCAAATTACTATACTTAATACTCCCCACCTAAATTCTCGTGCCAAACACAAATGTTGCATGATATTTGGGATTGAGAAAGTATAATTTAGGAATCCCCAAACAAACACACCCTAAGTATATATTTTGCTGATTTTCATTGTCCAAACAAAAATAATTTATATTTTAATTTTATAAATATGAAATCTATTGCATATTACAAACATATTCACTTTTGTATTTATTTACATCAATATACTCACAATAATTTTAAACATCATAAAAGTAAAATAATTTTTACATAAAAAATTCTTATAAATTATTATTAAAATATAATATTTATTAAACTCCGTTCAAAAAATATATTTTTTTATAAAGTGGACAAATATAATATACAGAGTATTAATTCAATGTATTTATTAGGCAAAAATATTTATAACTCACTTATAATTTGAAAATTATGCACAATTCTTCTCTATAATTAAAAAAATTTATGCTATGTATACTATTTGAAAAAATATAAAGAGTTTCATGTAATTTTTAAAGAAATTTTGTGCAATACTTTTTAAAATATGAGAGAGTGTCACATTATTTTTAAATTATAAGGTAGTATGATACAAACTTTTCAAACCACATGTGAATTATAAACAATTTCGTCATTTTATTATAATGAGTGTGTTAATGTAGTGTTTTTTTAAAAAAAAAAAAATTGAGATATTTTTTTATGTTACACATAAAAAATTATATTTGTAATTTTAAAAATAATACTTGTATTAAATTATTTATTTTTTATAAATGAATAAATATATACATATATATATATATTGTGTAAGTGAGTGTGTATATTGAGTCTCACCCATATTTTTTAATAGAATAATTTCTTATAAATATTATTAAAAAAATAGAAATATACATCTACATTAATTTAATATATACATTATCCATTTATAAAAAGCCAACAATTTAATGCAAAATATTACTTTACCACAGTTCTCTATGTCACACACAAAAAATCAATTCATGTGAACAAATTTATTATTATTTTTATTATAATAACAAAAAAAAAAAAGTGTTAACAAAATTGTTTGATTAATATATATATACTTCCCCCGTCTCATTGAAATGCTTTTTACTTTTGTACATAAATTTTTGAATTTAGTATTATATTAGATTTTAATAAAAAGACAAAACTACCCTTATTGGTATTATGTAATATAAAAGTAATAAATTTGTGTAATATATTGTAAATTTGAAGGATATTTATTATGTTAGATAGGTAGTAAAATTACTAAATTAAATTAAAAAATAATAACCTTGTTTTGGACGGACAAAAATAAAAATGACAACCTTTCAATTGAACAAATAGAGCATATGTTTTGTTGTGATCCAAAATTGACTTGAAATGGTATGTTATACTTCCTTCGTTCTTTAACCATTTATCCATTTTAGTCCGTCCCATAACAAAGTGTCTATTTTCTTTTTTAGTAATTGTACTATCTACCTAATATTACAAATACTCTTTCAATTTATAATATATTACACAAATGTCATTAGCTTTATATCATACAATACTAATATGGTTAATACACATTTCTATTTTGGGACGCTCAATTACAAAGTAAATATTTCATTAAATACTTCATTTTTTCCACAAATATCCTTACTTTACATCACATCGTTACTTTTATGCCAAAAAACAAGAGCATAAATGTCATTATACTACTATTAACTATCAATTATAATTAAAATACTATTATTTTTTAAATACTATGCCAAAAGTAAATGATATTTTATCCGTGGATGAAAAAAATATTTTTTAAAAAATATATGTATAATATTTTATTTTATTATAACATGAGAAGTCGCGGTTGTTAGCTAAAAAGCTCGTGACCTCACGGACTAAATAGGCTACGTATCATCATTGAAGCTATTTCAATAAACATCCATTGTACATGTCTTAAGAGATTCTTCATTGTGTAGATGAACTTGTCACCTAGTGCTTATGTTATTAAAAAAAAATAATAATAATACTATTTTCGTCTCATTTTAAAAAGTTTCGTTTACTTATTGTATGATGTAAATAATTATTGATGTGATGTTTTAAATATGATATAAATAGTTCTTGATGTAATATTTTAAATATAAAATTAATTTTTAATATAATATAAAAAATAAAAAATAGATATTTAATTTGATATTTTTTTAAAAAAAATAGCATGAATAGTCTAATCCCCAAACAAACATACCCTAAATAAATTTCCATTCAAAATTTTGATTATTAATAGAATACAACCAAACGACCCAAAAAACCTCAAAATCAGTTCAACAGCATGAAATGGCTGCCGCGGACGCGTGACATCCTCTTCTTATTTAAATTGCAATTAGGTACCGGAATTGGGAAGCGTACGGCTGAATTTCGACGAGTTTGCGCGACGGCGATTGAGATTCTCCGTTCAGGCATTCCATCATCGATCTCTTCAGAGAGCTCTTATAAGGTAATTGGCTGTAGATCCATTCCAGAAGCGACTCCACATCGTCCGCGAAGTCTTTCATGTGCCAGTGCACAAGCTTCGGCACCAGAATCTTCTTCCTGTTCGTGATTCCAACCGAAGCTTCCAGGTACTCTGCTTTCGCTTTCTCTAATTCGTTCATGACTTCATCCGCCGTGTAAAACCTTAACTGTAATTAAGTGTTGGTTTGTTAGCTGCTGCGGTTATGAATTACATAATTAATGTTTCCATGGTGAACTCACCGCCGGCGACGACCAGCTGCCTCGGCAGAGACCGAACACGACGTTCGGCTCTGGATAGTCGAGTCCACAAGCTTGCGACAGACGCATTTCCTCTTCATCGGCTAACTGATCCTGTAGTTTAACTTTGCATATGATTGATTGAAGGAAAATTTTCATCCGTTTTTATTCTACAATTATGCTTAAAAGTAATGGCAACATCGAACATTCGTTGCAGAAGCCTATCACTGAGTAATTCAGGTCTTTACTCACAAGTTTAACTTCAGCTGGATGCCGAAGAATAAAGTGCTCTATAGTGGAAGCTTTAAGCACGATTCCACCAACATTGATAGCAGCCTGAAAACAACAACATAGCGATACGTTTTTGGTTTTTTTTCTGATATTATAAGCCCGTTACTGCTTAAAAATTGTTCTTATGATTGATATAATTACCTCTTTCACGATTGCAGGTATCTTCTCCTGAATGGAATTCAATCCATGCTGCAAAAATGCCTGGAATCGAGGTAAACTGTTTAGATATGGTTTCCATTTCTATATGGAAAGAATTACTGAAAAAATGCATTTCATACGTTCATAATGGAGGTGTTATAAACATTGATCCAGAAAGCCAACTTCTGCTTGTGTGTAAAGTAATTCAAGTTTACTTTACTGAGTTTCTGCATCAATCCCCTGTCGAAAAAGCCACTTAGAAATAATTTTTTTCGCAACGATTCGCATAAAACTCTGAAAAAATTACAGCACTTACTTACCTCAGCCGCTGCATCGCAGGAAGACATTCAGAAAGGCGCCTTGAATCCAGCGTGCTCCTTGTGATCTGTATAAAATTCTTGTACGCTCCAACGTCTCTGACGCTTACTTCAGGCTCAGGCAATATATCATATGGATCAAGATGAGATGCGACACCGTGATTAACTGGAAACACCGGCGTCCTGCAGCTGAATGCAGCTTTAGACACCAAGCCGGAGTTCATACAGGTAACCGTATGCTTCGTAAGGTTAGTGCTTCCTTTGCCTTTACACGATGCTTCGTTCAATTTCATAAATATGCCTATCAAGCACTTGATGAGTTCCACCGATACCTTATTAGGATTCAAATAGTCATTTTTCATGTCCTGTGGAGTGCAGATTGTTCGACTTTTCGTGCATCTTGTTTCCTCTTCTGTTCGTAGAGTTAAAAGACACCATAGCTTTAGATAACTAAAAACATAGAGAAATCTAAACAAAAACTTTAGGTGCATACCATATTTTCCTTGAAAAGTGGTGCTTTGAAGCTCGATCGAAGAGCCTATCGAGGCTCTTCTGTCCCGAGCAATTTCACAGTGATCGTCACAAATCTGCCCCGGCCGTCTAGACGCCAACTTCCTTAGCTGTCTTCGCATTGGTTGTGGCACTTCCGATGATTCTCTCGTCTTTTTCTTCTCTTTGTAGATACATAGCTTGAGGTCATTAATCTTACTCTCCATCCATTCTATCTCTTCTTCAACTGCAGATAGTTCTGCTAGAAGCACTTGTACCTGCAATAGATTTGATCATTAGCCCAAACCCTCAGCCTCAAGAAAGATTCTCTCGATATAATATGTGTGACACTTCAGTCCGCAAGTCACGCAAAGCCGGACATGTCGAGATTTTAAACTAGTCTCACAGGTAATACAAATCCTTTGAAGGCGCTTCTGTCCTCACTCACGCGCATCCTGGAAAGTATCTCGAGGGTTACCCATTCTCAAATTACTCTAAAGCAAGCACACTAGAGTTTTTTAAGTAGAACTCCCAAAAAGGATTGTACACATTGATTGTTGACATGAGTAGTCTATTAAATCTATTTAACCTCTAATCAAACTTTGGATATCTATTCAATCTATTTAACCTCTAATTAACTTTCGATGACCTAAGACCGGCTCATCTATACACAGAAGTTGGCTAAGCAAAGGCCCAACTCTGGGGTATCACACATCTTATGGATGAGCCGGTCTTAGGTCATCCAAAGTTGATTAAGGTTAAATGAATTGAATAGACTACTCATATTAACAATATCCACATTCTTTTCCGGGAGACCTATTGAAAGAACTCTAGTGCGTGCTTGCTTGCTCTATAGTAATTTAAGGATGGTTGCCCTGGGAAGTCTCTAGGGTACGCGTAAGTGAGGACATAAGCGTGCTGGAAGAATTCGTGTTAACGTGTGGGGTAAATCTACAATCCCGACACACCTGGCTTTGCATGGGTTACGAGCCGGGTGTCACAATATGTAAACAGTCTATTTTCCAATTAGCTTAATCATTTAGATGATGGCGAATTGTGTAAAAGAACAACCTTGAAAGGAAGCAATGGGGATAGACACGAGCAGGATTCGCAGCATCCGACCGGACCTTTGACAGCACATTGTAGAACCCTGTTGAGCTGAAGCTCCCCCTCCAATTCTTGCTGCAGTCTTTCAACCTGCAGCAGGATATATGATCGAAATTTCGATGGTTTGTCGAGCTTTTAAGGTTTTAAAGTAAAGAATGGAGAGTAGGAGGGGTTTAGGACCTGCTCTTGAAGTAGAAGTTTGGTCTGTTTTTCTTCACTTGGCAGGCGGTGTTGCTGCAATAAGTCCTCGAATTTCATAGTAAAATCATATAAGAAAATTCTTGGGGATACGATTAGAGAGATAGCTACAGAGGGTAGAGGTTGTGTTGTGTGAGAGATATGAATGAATAAATAAATAGCGAGGGGAAGAACGTGAGAGAGTTGAAAAGCCTGAGAGGCGATGGACGTGAACCCCATGATTAGTTTTAACACCATTCAACTGTTCTTAGGGAATAAAATCAACAGAGCCTCAACTGTCCACCTCTTCTTTTTTCTCTATTTTCCCCTTTCTATTATAAACAAGATACGTAAATGTCAACTACTCGAATTTTGTCACGGGTTTGACACTTAGGACGAGTTTATTTTAAACAGTTGACAAAATATCTGTAGATGTCAAAGGAATGCCATTAGCCATATGTGTCCATTAGAAGGTTGTTGTACACTTGTATGCATAATGCATTTTGATATTTTTAAAAGTTTTATTTTTTTTTTATGCATAATAAGTTTGATTTAAGAGTATACATAGATGTTAAACTAATTTTTTTTGTCGCACATGCTAAGCCACCATACCAATTCACTTCCAAACTACTTAGACCAGCTCCTCCTAAACTTAAAAAAACTAAATTTTTGTTGGAATGCATTGTGGGAATAGGAATACATGGTGCATTAAATTTATTAAATCACATTAAAAGTTGTCAAAATACCAAAGAAAATTATATATGTTGTAGAAATACACTATTTCTACTAAACTTTTATGGAACGCACTTATAATACTCTACATTTGTCAGCCATTTATATATCAACTACGGTTGTAATAACAACATTCACTAAACTCCATGGCTAATAAAATCAAACTCCAAACACTCTGTTAAGAGATGTGTGGTGGTGTGAACGTGGACTGGTGCGAATTCCCACGTCATAATAATAATGATAACAAAAAAAAACTAATTTCTCTACAAACAAGTTTCAAATTTGTTCTGTCATTTCACGACTACATTAACAAGGCTACAAAACCCACATTGTAACACTACGTTCGAAGAAGTAAGTAGAGCCACTCAAAACCACAAGACAAGAATCATTATTATTACTCTGTAACATGGAAAACTGCTGAGAGTTCAAAACTCCTCATTGGTTTCATTTATTCTCCAACATATTATGTTGGCCAAAGAATAGGGCCCCATGGCGTATGAAAGTCGTGAGACTGTGGCCAACAGGTCTCGGACAACCTTTGTTCGATTGGCTTATGCTAACTAGTCTGAAGTTGGTTTTTTCCTACACTTGGAGATTGTTGAGTCTCGCAACGTGTGCATGCCTGGCATGCCAGAGGAGCGGTGGCATTATCCGCAACACTTATCCGGAATGTTTGTTGCTTCTTGTCGTTCTCCGGGACATGAACCAGCGCATCCAAAATGAGAATTTCCCAGTCCATTGGACGTAGAAACGAAAGCCAACTACCATCTGTTTCAAGACAATGCAAACTTAATAAAGCAACTGAGCCGAAAAAACAACCTCAAATCTAGAAAATGCAATCCAAAACATATGGAGAAATTAGGGTGCGTCGTACTTATTTTCAACACCTCAAAACATCATATCCAAAATCTATTTTCCTTTAAAAAATTTCAAATTCAAACCCCCCCCAGAACACTAACAAACACTCCCCAAGTCACTTATTTGCCTATCTAGCGCATGAAAGATAGACATACAATATCATGTGCTAACAATTCATATTTATAGAGAGTGTTGTATAGACATATTTCTAGTGCCGAAATTAATGATAGTATGTGTCGTGTGGATAATTGCCATATGATGTCAGTTCATAGGCTATATGTGAAATCCCGGCCCGCAAACCCTACAAAGTCAAGTGTGTCGAGATCGTAAACTGGTCCTACAGATCAACACTAATCCTTCCGGCGCGCTTATGTCCTCGCTCACGCGCACACTGGGAGACTTCCCAAAAGTCATCCATTCTCAAATTACTCTAGAATAAACACATTTAACTCTATAGTTCTTTTAGTAGAGTTCACGAAAAAGAATATGCACATTGTTGACATGAGCAGCATATTCAATCCATTTTAGTTACTATTCAATCTCAGATGGCCTGACAAAAGTTAGTTTAGCACCAACCAACTTCGAGTGTATTACACTACATTTGTATTATGTTAACATAAATCGTATGTTAGCTTTCATTCACTGGTGTGTTACTAGCACTGTGCTGAATTATAATAACCGCCGCCACCCCCCCCCCCCCCCCCAAGTGACTCATAGTGGTCTAACAGGGCAAGACTGAATAAGATGAAAAGACTAAATTGCAATGGTCTTTTGAAGGCGCAAATTTTCAGTACAAAAAATAGAACTAACCTCCATTGTGTACTGCTTTCAGCCGAAACATCCCAGAGCCTCTTGGCCCCGAAACAGGAAACGAGCACGAAGCAGATTGGTGCTTGTGAGTGACTGCAAGCGCCGCGCTATACCAAGGGCCCTTTACAATAGGTTCTCCAATCGCTTCAATTATCCTTTTGTCATTAACAGCTCTCTCCATGGCCTTGCTGCAGCAGCAAAGCAGACGAGTTAATGACAATAAAATACTTTAGCATCATAACATCACAAGAAGTTTTTAGTAACACTTCAATTTCATCAAATAAAACAACAAAAAAAGGTTATATGAGAAAGGATTTTCTTTCCATGGCTTTCGCCTTTTTGTTATGCAAATCAGTTCTGAATTCAGAATTCGATCCCTGCATATATTATCTCTATCAAGCATGAGAAAAATAGGAAATTTCCAACTTACTTCCATTTTATCAAACATGAACAGTTCTATCCCATAAATGGATGGTGCGGCAGAAATTTGAACTTAGAAAACCTCACAGTGATTCCTTATAGTACTTACTGTCAATTCAAAACGGACTGCTATAACTCCAATCCCTTAACAAGTTCAAAAACCAGAGGAATCGAAACCACCAGCACAATCTGTCGATTCAATCATCAACAGAATAAAAAAATGAAGAAGAAACACATAAATCCAGTAGCATAAACCCTAAAATCGAAATAACCATCCATCTCTGTCCCCAACACACAACACAAGGAGGAAATCTGATAAAGCCACGGCCATATATAATAAAATCAATTACCTGCTGCATCGATGGTAAATCAACAGATCATCGATCGCGCTCAACGCCACGCCTCCTGTCAGGCAAATAAGCGCGCCTGACATTATTTTCCGACCAAACGACATCGTTCTAACCTCATCCGCCGCCGCCGCCGGCGTCGAAGCTGCTGCTCTGGTCCGCAGCAGCGAGAGCACCCTCCGCCCCACCATACCTAATTTGAACTCCGGTTAGTTGAGACTCGAGAGGGGATCACATTTCTCGTGAACTATTTTATTTATTATTTATTTATATTTGAGTTGTCCAATAATATAACCGACTTATTTATTACTATTAACAAAATTCTCAGTAGTACTAGTCGCGTTCCAAATATTGTTCATTAACAGTAATTTTATTTTCAAAAAGTATTATATTAGATATTTTTTTGTCAAATACCATATTAAAATTAATGATTTTGTAAAAAAATATACTTATATTTAATATAATGACTTATAAAAAAGATATATATATTATTATATTAAAATTTCCAAAATTATATATGAAATTAAAATATCTGTTATTGAATAACAAGACTTTCAGAATTAGAAATTATCTGGACTGGACAGTCCTTGCAGCATTTTCGGACAGCCAAACCGAAGATGCGAGAACAAACAGACAATTACAACACAAGATCTACTCTCCACTGTACATATCCCTAAATACATATATATATATATATATATATATGTCTCTCTCTAATTCTATCCAATGGTGGTGGCAAAAGAAAGTAAAAACTCTCACAACACCAACTCCGGCCACTTCATGCCCCACTCAAGCAGCCGTCGCCGGCGCCGGAGACGCCGCCGCCGCTGGTCTCGGATAAGACATGCCTTTCCTGCCGGAATCTCCGCCCCGCTGCCTCTGGGCAGCTTCTTCAATTTTGACGCTCCCCGTCTCCTGTAGTTGTTCGAGCACCTTAACAACCTCGTTCATCGTTGGCCTGTGCTTCGGCTCTAAGGCGAGACATCTGACCGCCAGCGTGGCGGCGCGCAGCGCGCCATTCGGCGTGTACTGCCCTTCTATCCGCGAGTCCATTACTCTCAGCACTTTCCGTTTGCTCGCGAGCAACGGCCGTGCCCACTCGATCAAGTTTTGCTCCCCGTGGGGACGGTTCTTGTCGAGCACCCGTCGCCCAGTCAGCATCTCGAGGAGGACGACGCCGTAGCTGTACACGTCGCTTCTCGCCGTCAGATGACCTTCAAAGAAAAGTTCGAATAGATGATTAGATTAGAAGAGACTCCGATAGAACTATAAAGCAAACGAACTGTTCGCGAGTTTAGCTTCGGTATGATAAACGAGTGAAAAACAAACACAAATTTTAACTCGTGTTCATTAGGGGTGGACGAAAAAACCAAACTGAACCGCCGAACCGATGAACCGAACTTATCGAATTTTCGGTTAACCAAACAAGTTCAGTTCGAAAACAAATATTGCATATTTGACATAGGTTCGGTTCGGTTCGATTTCAATTTTTTATATTTTTTTCGATTCGGTTAACCGAAATATATTTAGATATTTATATTATTATATTTTATATTAATAATTATATTTGATTTGTTTCGAATTATTTGCAAATATTTTCAGTTAACCGGAATCAAATTTTCGGTTCGGATACGGTTTGCAATTTCAGATATTTGTTCGGTTTAGTTCGGATTTCAAATAACTGCGTAATTGCAAATAACCGAACCGTAGCCACTCCTAATGTTCATGACCGAGCTCAAGTTCGAGCCGAGTTTAAATATAAATTTCAAATCTTTTAACAAACAAACACAAGCTGAACTCAAACATAAAAAGCACAGCTCGGTTCGACTCGTTAATAACCATCCCGTAAGGGGTTGCTAGTTCAAATTCTGCCAATGCCATTTTGGTCGAACTATATATATATGTTCCGAAAATTTGTGTATACCTGTGGCCATATATTCGGGAGCTGCGTAACCGTAGGTGCCCATTATTCTAGTCGACACATGGCTTTTACCGTCGACAGGGCCGTCCTTAGCCAGCCCGAAATCCGAAAGCTTTGCATTGAAATGCTGCCGACAACAAGGAAAGTGCGTCAAAATACTCGTGTAAACGATATACTTAAAACGCGGTGTAACATATGGAATTTCCGAACTGTTTTCCTCACCGAGTCGAGCAGTACGTTGGAGGTTTTGAAATCGCGGTAAATAACTTTGGCTCCAGGGCCGTGAAGGTATGCAAGTCCTTTTGCCGCATCGAGAGCAATCTTCATCCGTAGGTTCCAAGACAACGGCTGTACATACGATGCTCCTGATAATTCAGTTCGATCATTTAACCGAATAGATACACATATATAAATTCGATATTGTGATCGACAATGGAAAACTTACTCCTGAACAGATGATTCTCCAAACTTCCGCGAGGCATGAACTCGTAAACAAGAAGCCGGTGTTCGTCCTCCAAGCAATACCCGACCAATTTGACGAGATTAGGATGGTAAAGCTGCCCCAGATAGTTAATTTCCGTCTGAAATTCAATACGACGCGGTAAATCACCGACAAACAATATGGTAATTCAAGAAACACTGTTAAATCGACTCAGCCGCGCTTACCAACCATTCCTTGTGCCCCTGGAAACTTTCCTGGTTCAATCTTTTCACCGCAATTACCATCCCCGTGCCGGGCTTGGCAGCTTTGAACGAATTCTCGTCGATCCATCCCTTGAAGACGCACCCGAAACCACCTTCACCTAACACACTGTCCGGCCGGAAGTTTCGCGTGGCTGTTTTCAGATCATTGAATCCAAAGCTCTTCAAATTACTCGAATCCAAAATGTCGGCCTCGTTCCTCGGAGTCAGGGGAACAGACGACGAGGATGAACGCCGGCTGCTCAAATCCCTTCCGTCGATACTCGCAAACCTTGAACTCGTTCCTGCAGTATCGACTTGGAAAATCTTTACCACAATACATAAGAACACTAGGATGATAATCAACTACAACTTATCTTATAATCACTACGGTTTCTTTTGCACTATTCATCAACAGTTTGAAAACGCTATACCAAAAATCTATTTTCTATTCAAAATCATACGAGAAAATGCTTCTCTACATAATCTCTATCTCTACAAAATTCGACTGGATATTGATATCGAAGTCGAAATTGAAATCAAAATCGAATTCCTCCATTGATTGAACAACAAGAAACTACACAGCATCTCATACATAATCAAATGTGAATCTGCAACCATATCTGATACAACCAAAAACACAAACTACAGGATCATCTTCCAAATTTTCAGTCCTCCGACTCAAAATCACAATATATATATACATATATGTATCACACCAAATTAAGAACAATCGAGAACAGAATCATCCAGAGAAACTCAATATCCACAACTGAAACACGAACAATGTGAACACAAGAAGAAGAAATCCCCAATTTGCTCAAAACCCTAAACAAATCCAATCAAACCAAAAATCGAATAGAATTAGAGAGTTGGTTAGTTAGTTCGCTGACCATCGCCATCACCGTCACGACGAGGACTGTGGTGCGCCCTAATTCGAACGCTGCAGCAAATACCCATGAATCAATCAATCCCCAAACCCTAGAACAAATTAATCGACCAAACAAAAGAGGAGAAATGTCTGAGCGATCGATCGATCCGGTCTATTTAAGAAGACTCAGAAATCTGATCATAGATAGAGATAGGGAGAGAGAGGTAAGGATAGCTTCTTCACGAGAAGCTTCGAAAAATTTGTCTGCAATTTTGCTGGGTGAAGACTACCACAGCAACAAGGGTGGGTAAGGTTGACTTCTCCTCCACAACAGCAGCAGCAAGTTGATTCATGTACGGACGAGAGCATTAGATACAGAGAGGTGTATGTATGCATGTATGTATGTATTGGGGGGTGGGGGGGGCGTTGGGGGTAGTAAATGTGAATGGTGGGAGTGGGAAGCAGACAACACAGTGGTCGTCTTCTGCTTCTTTTTCATTATATCTATTCTGATATTTTTTATCTTTTTTCTTTCTTCCTCCCATTTGGGACCCACTTATGATTCATCTGCTTCTGCCTCGGCCGTTGGATCTGCATCGAGATTTTCTAACGGTCCGGATTCGCTCTTGATCTTGTTCCAGTTTCACACACTCGCCTCCAAAATTTGTTTACTCATTTTTTATTACAATCTATATTAATTATATATTCATCCGGTCCAAGTACATAGTATAAATTTATTTTATAATAATATTTTAATTATAATTGATAGTTAAAAATAGTGTAATAATATTTTTGTTATTATATTTTTAGTATAAAAAATAATAATGTAATATAAAGTATAAATATTTATAAAATAAATATTTAATAAAATATTTACTTTGTCTCAAAATATAAATATATGTATTTTCTAACTAGTTATATATATTATGTTGTTTTAACAGTAAATGTATGATGTGTATTATTACTCACAATGAATTAGTATGAAAAAAAAGAAAATCAATTTATTTTAAATGAATATTAGAAATTTGTAAGAAAAAGAAAAGATAAAAACAACTAAACAAATTCAAAGAGGATATTTTTTAGGTTTGTATTTGATTTTTATTTGAATTTAAAATTTTGCTTTAATATTTGGTTAAAATAGTATTTTTTATATATAATATTTTATATAATGAAATAATATAATATTATAATTTATTATAATTAACTTATTAAAAGTTTTATTTCAAATATCATCATTTTTGTTTGGGGATTGGATTGGATTTATATTATTCATCCAATTTTTTCTACAAAAAAAAAATCAAATCAACACATATTTTTTATTTTTATATTATACTAAAAAAAATTAATTTTACATTCAAAACATCACATCAACACTTATTTATATCACATCATACAACTATTCAAATTTAAAATTTTTACTGTTTAAATCCCAACTTAAAATCCAAACCCCAGAACAAACAAGAAACGTGAATTGTTCCGGACCGGAAAGACTATTTTCAATGGAAAATATGTAGGCCAAATAGTGTGAAAAATGGATTTGAAATAATAGAAAAACAAAAGAACAAAACACCAACTTAAATTTTATTTTAGATACTTAGATTGACATGATATTTTATAAGATAGAAATATATAATATTCCCTCCGTCTGCTTACAAAGTTTACGTGTTTCTATTTTGAGACGTTCAATTACAAAGTTTACATTTCATTAAATACTCTATTTTTTTTCACAAATACCCTTATTTTATATTACATCATTACTTTTACATAAAAAATAAGGGCAAAAAAAATGTCGTTACATTGCTTTTAACTACTCAAAGTAAATGTAACCCTTGTAAATGGACTGATGGAGTATTTTTTATAAAAAAATATGAACACTATGTTTTGTTTATCTAATATATTTTTAAATTTTCAAATACATATTTTTTTTATAAAACATCAAATCAAATATTAATTTTTTATTTATTTATTTTCTTTCAAATTTTCAAAATTTCAAAAACTTTTGTCTAAACAAATCCTTTACCTAAAAAAATGTTTTTTTGATTTGGATCGTAAAAATTTAATTTAAAATTTATATTCAAACATTTGATTAATATTTTATAAAAGAATTGAAGGGCCTAGAGTTTATTTAAGGGTGTGTTTGTTTGGGAGATTGGATTTTAAATCTACTGTTCATTCCAATTTTTTTTTCCCAAAAATATCAAATCAAACACTTATTTTTTATTTTTTATATTATACTAAAAATCAATTTTACATTGAAAACATCACATTAACACCTATTTATATCACATCATACAATTATTCAAATTCAAAATTTTTACTATTCATATCTCAACTCAAATTTCAAACGCCCCAAACAAACACCCTCTTATTAGTAAAAATTTAATAAAAAAAAAAACAAAAAGCCATCATAAAAGATTGAAATGAAATCATAAAATTTACTTGATTGTAATTTAAAATAAAATTTAAATTTAAATTATTTGTAAAAATAAATTGAAAAGAAATATATTAATTTTTTAATTTAAAAGATCAACAAAAACATAACCCAAAAGTTGCACAGCTTGTACATCTCGTGAAGTGATACGAAACGATTCGATATTAAATTTTGGGACACTCTAAAAAGTGAAAAAAAAAAAAAAGATGAGACAGTGAAAGCTTTTCATTTGACCATTCCTTATTTCCATTAAAATATTAATAATTCATTTTAAATTAAATTATGTTACTTGAAAGCCTTATAAGTTTATTAAATAAATAGTTTTGTTGATATCATCAACAAAATTTTGGGCAGAAAGTGACACGAAAAAATACTTTTAAATATTCTCAATGATTTTATTATTAGTCATATCTGATCACCAAAGTACGAGCCACAAAAAATTAAATATATATATATATACTTAATTAATTTTATTTGGTTTCTGGTGACATGTATTTTGACTTCCTTTATTTGTTTAATTTTAAGTTTCTAGAACCAATAATATATAAAATATTAGTAATTAATTGTTTATGAATCAATCGGCAATCACGCCAAGTTCTATGTTCAAACCATAATTTAATATTTATGGTCCACTTTACGTTATTATATTATAAATTTTGGATATTTAGTCCGTCTTTTTTATAATTTAATTGTACTTTTTATGCTTTTTTTTTTAATATAATAAAATTAAAAATTAAAATTAACAACCAAACTTGCATTCATTTTTACATGTAATTATACTTATAATGTCATATTTGTTTATAAAAATTAAATTTATTTTATGAAAAAAAATATATTATTTCATTCTAAATTCAAAATATATTTTTTTTTACTATTTTTGTGCGTCTTATTAAAAAATATCTATTTTTTATTTTAGTAAAAATAAGTTTATACTGATATCAAAATACATTTAACGTACGTTTACCTGAATTGCAAATATATAATTACACATACAATTATTTTATACATATAAGTCAAAAGATAAAAATATCGAAACTTTTTACATACTTTCATTAACTAATAAAATATTACAGTACGAAATATCATTTTATAATTTACTACAAAACTTCAAATAACTTTTTGGAGTGGAACGAACGGAGTATATTAACAGAATATATATATATTTATTTATTTTGGGTCCACATTTTTACATAGCCAATCAACAGAATGATTATACAATCGATTTTTAAATACAATTTTTTATACATGTTCTTCGAATATGTGGTTTTCAATATATTTATAGAATAATAATACAATATATTTTTATCATTAAATATATATATGTATATAATATTGATTTTAATAGAGCCAATTGTTCATAATATATTTATTTTGGGTCCACATTTTTATGAAATGAACAGAAGATATGAAGCAATGTAATAAAAGAAAAATCTTTAAAAAATGGTCAAAGGGTTGACTTGTAAGAACAAATGTAGGCCACATCTTGAAGACTTTTTAGACAAAAATTGTCCCGAAGGGATGCATTGCAACTATCACAATGACATAAATGACCTTTGGAATAAATAAATAAAATTATTTCACATAATAATATAAGAGTTATTTATATAAATATTTTTTGAATCTTTTATATTGTTCACTAATAGTAGTATTTAAAAAAGAAAAAAGAAAAAGCAATTTAGTTATAAATCCATATTTTACATATGTATAATAATAATATAAGGAGTAAACAAACCCAAAAAGATGTGTGTTTCATGATAAATTGACTAATTTTTAATATATATATATATATAAGTATATCTATTTTGAGTGTGTTTGATCTTACATTTTGATGTAAATAACGATTAGATATATTATGAAATTTTTACTATATTAAAAAATAAAAAATAAAATGAAATAAAATCGATGTTAGTTTTTTTTTTAGGGTTTATTTCATTATTTTGTGGTATTTTGGTATATTTTAAAAATAAATAAATTATAAATTATAATGATGGTATTATTTGATATATTTTCTACCTTTCAAATATGTAGTTAAGTGATTGGATAAGAATTTTAATAAAAATAAATAATAATTATTATTGTTTACTTTTTTATTTTAAAATGATATACTTTTTTTACTAACATAAACAATATTTTTTTTTATAATAATAAAAATAATTTAATATAAATCTAAATGACAGAACGAAATCAATACTATTTTTAATGTAGCAAAATGTAATTAAAACATAAAAAGGAAATAAACTCATTATTGGGCTTTGGCCCATAAAATTTAAGTCTCTAGACCCACAAATACCACCAAGGCCCAATTATATTGGCTCATTAGAATGTGTCCATTTGGGTGTTTATATGGGTGTCAAAATTCAATCCGACCCGAAAAATCGAACCTGTTCGACCTGAAAATTTTCGGGTTCGGGTTTGGGCATTTCGGGTTAAAAAAATCGGTCGAACCGAATCCGAAACCAAAAAAATCGTGTCGTGTTCAGGTCGGGTTTCAGGTTGACCTGATAACCCAAAATAAAAATTCAGGTCAGATGTCGGGTTTCAGGTTGACTTGATTTTTTTGTTTTTTGTTTTCAATTTATAATATTTATGTTATATTAAATAAAAAATAATATTTAAAAATAAATTTATAAAATATAAAAAAATAGAAAGAAAAACAAAATCCCACACACAAATTATGAAAGAACAGAAAGAAAAATACAGACACCCTACGGCTACCATCCACCCAAATAAAAAACCCTACCAAGAAGAAGCCGCCCTGCCGCAGCACCGCGCAGACGCCAGTCGAATTGAAATTTTAATTTGAAAACATTATTTTTCTCTCAAGTTTCATACGGCGCCGAAGTTCATTTAGAGTAATTAAATTTGAAAAACTGTTTGCTCCAGCGGTTCATCTCTTCCGGTTAATTTTTATATTTTCTCATATATTTTATCTTTTAATTTTTTTTTTCTTTTCTACCTTCAAAATATAATTTATTTATAGTTCAGTTTAAAGATTTTGGAATTTTTTATAAAAAATTTGAATGTATGAACTATTTCCTATTTAGTTTTGATTTTTAGATTTTTTTTAAAAAATATTTTCCGTATTACTAAAATTTTAAAAGTTTGTTTTGATTTTCAAATTTTAGGCTAGGCTATTGAAATATTTTTTTTTAAAAAAAAAAATTCTTGAGTTTTGCCGTAATAATTTTTTTTTATAAAACATAATGAACATTAAGATGAAATATTATCTAAAATTATGCTTTGTTTGTTTTAGTTGTATTTATATATATAATCAAATCTTTTTTTCCTCGTATTTTTATAGTATTGTCATTATTTAATTTGGTGTTTGCATAGTCTGGATGTGTATATTATAACTAAGTAATAAAAATTTGTTTATGTTGTATAGGTCATTATGAACTCAAACGAAGATCTTGAGATTTTGGATGATGAGGATGAAGTCAGTATGGATCCCCAAGCCATTTTTATTTTTTTTGATCTAACTCTACAAGTCAAGAGACCGATCGAAAGAAATTGGAAGCAACATGGGGTTCCAAATATAAAAGAAGACTAAAGTCTAAATATGACAACATTTTGAGTTGTTGCCACAAGAGAAGGGCAAAGCATTGAAATGCAAGTGCAAAGCATGCGGTTATTTATTGGGAGCTGATTCAAGAAATGGTACAGGTAACTTACAACGTCACATAGATAAATGTCCAAGAATATTATCTAAAAATATGGTCAAGCTTGATTAGACTGTGCTAATAATAATCTTGATGTGAGGACACAAAAATTTGATCAAAAACAGTTTAGAGATCTTCTTGTCTTAAGCATTATCAAACATGAGTTGCCTTTTCAGTTTGTTGAATATGAAGCATTTCGATCTCTTTTCACTTATTTGAAGCCACAAGTCAGTCACATATTTAGAAATATTGCTAGAGCCAATATCATTAAGATGCATAAGACTGAAACAATTAGACTTGGTGAACAAATGCGTGCATGCTCTAGTAGAATTTGTTTTACATGTGATTTGTGGACTTCTATTGCCACGGATGATTATCTTTGCTTGACAATACATTATATTGATGATAATTGGGTGTTACAAAAAAAAATAATCAATTTTTCTTATATGCCACAACCTCATTCGGGCATTGCTTTTATGTGATAAAATTTCTGGCTTGTTAGCTACTTGGGGTATTGATAAAAAAAAGTTTACTATTACACTAGATAATGCATCAGCCAATGATGTGTTTGCCGAAATTTTTGGGGACAGACTTTCTTTTAAATGCAAACTTATATGTCCGTGGTGAATTTTTGTATGTTTGTTGTTGTTGTCGTATTATCAATTTTATTGTGCAAGATGGGGAGTAATTTATTAAAATATCTTAAATACTTTTAATAATCAATAAAATATTATTTTTATTAATTTATTTATAAAATATACATTGAATCGGGTGTATTATCTACGTGGAGTAATTTTCCATAAAAAAAAAATTGGTATAATGCATAAAAGATCATCATCATTATAATATTTGATATAAAATATAATGAGCACTATGTGAATAGTCTTACGAAAAAAAAAAATAATATATGTGACGGGGACACTTATTATTCCATTTTAATTATCATCAATCATAAAAAAAAAAAAAAAAAAAAAAAAAATTTGGAATCAACATGCAAATAAAAATAAATTTATTTGTTGTTTCTTAATTAATTCACTCAAACTTTGTCATCAAAATCCAATTATAATTCAACTGATTTCGGTGTTCAGCCAGCTAGACCCAACGTATCATAGGATGACACGTGTCAAGCTATAAATTGCCGAGACCTACAAATAAATTATTACATTATTTAGCTGACAATTAGTTGCACATTAGGTTCATTTCAACAATAAATAATTAGGCCATCTTCGCATGCTTTAGCTGTATTTGCACTAACTATTTTGGCTTTAGTTTTTTTTTTTTTTTTTTTTTTTTAAACTTTTAAAATTTTAATAAAAAAGTTGTCTCTTTCACGTGTTTTTGTTTAGGTTTTAATTTGAAATATATACTCCTTCGGTGTAAGATTGTTGTTTACTTTTTGCACTTATTAGTATTATAATGAGTTGTAGTAAAAAAGACGAAAATACCCCTATTGGTATTGTATAATATAAAAGTAATGACATTTGTGTAATATAATGTAAGTTGATAGGGTATTTATTATGTTAGGTAGACAGTATCGTTACTAAATTAGGAAATGATAACTTTGTTTTAAAACGGATGAAAATGGAAAATGACAACGTTTCAATGGGACAGAGGGAGTATATTAATTTGAGTTATGAAAAAATATACAAATAATATAAAAATAATGAAATTATTTATTTAGTATTTTAGTTCGATATATTTTCTTGTATGAGTTATTGAAAATCCTAACAATATATATTAAGAATTGTGTTAGTAAAAAACTTAATTAGACGAACAAACTCAATATTTTTTTGAATATTGACTTTTCTTTAGAAATAATAATAGGTTTCTTTGCCCAAAAGAATAAAATTCAACCGAATTCTCAATATATATATTTTATTATTTCACAAAATTCATCGTTCAACGTCAAATATTAACTTTTATATTACGAGCACAATTTTGTATATCTTATATAAAAAATTTTCAAATCAAACCCATCAACAAACAAAAACAAGATAATAAACAAAACCAATGGTTTCATATCAAAACAAGGGATTTCAGTGATATAAATTTTAATTTAAATAATAATTTTGTAAAATTGTCAACAAGTATTATATCATATGTTTTGTAAATTTATAAAAGGATAATTTAATTTAAATGAAACAAAAAGATATTTATATTTAAAATAGTATTTAATATATAAAATAATTATGCATGTAATTTTTATGTTATTTTAAAACTGTGAATATTCTATGTTTTGTTATTTTAATAAAAAATTTCAACACATTAAAAACATATATATATATATATATTACACATACTTTTTATTTTTATGTTTCCTTCGTGTTCACTTTACTTTGACATAAGAATTTAGGATGAATATAATTAATAAATAGTTAAAAATGTATTAATAAAAATAATTATCGGTATAATAATATTATTATAAATTAAAATTAAAATAAGTAATTAATATAATTAAAAATTAAAAAAATTATAAATTACAAAATTTTAAAATAGACTAACTATAACGAAAAGACAAACATGACAAGTGGAAGTATTATTTATACAATTATAAAAAATATCAAAACACAAAACAAACCTTAGTATTAATATAAAATTGCTATTATTAGAGAATATATTGTTAATAAAATTATATAAATGCAAAATGGACATAAAGCCACATTGGTTCTAGTTACCGAATGGATATAACATAAATGCATGTGGGTGGAATTGCGTCCAAATTCACGCTCATAACCTTTATCCTTTTGTTATGCTTGGGCGTTACGTAAGCCCTTTTTGGTCATTTCACAATTCCGCCCTCAATACATTGGCTGGACCTTCGCTTGCGCAGTGTCTTTTTTCCTCTTCATTTGAAGAGCCTTTTTTGTTTTTTTGTCACCTTTTGTTTTGTTTTGTTTTGTTTTGTTTTTTTTTTTTTTCGGTTATTTTTTTATATCAATAATTGTTGTTTCATTATTTTCAATAATTATTTTTGAGTAATTTACCTCTTGTTTTTTTTTTTTTTATTTGAGGTTTTGGGGATAGATTGATTCGTTTTTGTTTTTCGATTTTGTTTGATGGCTATTTGTGGATTGCTTGATTTATCATCTGACAAGAGGTTTCAGGTGATTGATTTGCTGAAATTAGGGTTTTTCATCGTTTCTGCAAATCGAATGGTTGTGTCGATTTCTAGTTTACAAAATTCAGGACCTTTGAAATTTGAATTCGATTGAAGTTAGAAGTTTGATTAGGGTTCGTAATTGCGTTCCTCCTCTAAAAAGAATTACATATATAGATTGATAAATCTCTTTTAATCCGAGTTTCTGAAAGAAATATGGCGGAATTTGTTTTTTTATAGTTACGGTTTTATAGCTGTATAATTCGAGGAAATTCGCAATTTAGGTTTTTGAATTATCCAGAATTATTCGGGGGATTAGTTTAATTCATTCGCGTATAGATTTTTGAAAGAGGGAAACGAAAAGCTAGAGGTAGTGGCTGGTTGTAGAATGGATTGTAAGATATACGCGCCGCCGTCCGATGAGTTTTGGACAAGGCATTCCGGCGGTGGCGATGGTCGGAGCCACGACAGCGAGCATGATTTGGCAATGATGGTTAGGGATTTTGTGGAGAATGGGAATAGTGGTGGGACTGACTCAAAGTACAGCAGCGACAGCGATTCTAGTCTTCCCGATCTCCCTCAGCTGGCTGACAATATCTCGGTGAGTGTGATTTATTTTATTATTTTTTTCGAGATTAGAGGAGACAAAGGAGTAAAGGTTTTATATACCTTTGATTACAAATAAGGTATTAACAATGGCGGAGTGATGCATCAATCTTTGATTGATTTATTGAAACAGTCCTCTGTTTAAGCCAAAATATTCATTTTCAATATCCAGCTTTAGGAATCGTGTTTGGTATTTGTTTTCAATTGAATTGCTTCTTGGAATTCTGCTTTTCGAAGAGTATAGATTTTGTAAATGGCGTTGTGAATCAAATGGCTGTAGGTAACAGTCACATGGTTCTTAGATTGTTGTGTTGTTGGATAAAGTTTGTGCTTTTTAATTTTTAATTCACAGCCTTATTTTTGCTGCTGAGTTCTAAAATTCTTGATTGGATTGCACTCTGTATCGGGACAGCTACGATGAACTCATACAATGTTCATTGTTAATAAGTAACCATCTGTTAATGATGTTAGACAATAAGGTAGTTGGATAACACCCTATATTTTACTGTGATGTTTAACGGTGATGGTATAATTCTTGCTTATATATTTGTGTCGTGTCGAAAAATTATAGTAATCGTTTTTTCGAGCTTCTTGGTATGATTTCAGATTGGATGCCTAAATCCTTGATTTGCTTCTAGACTAATCATGTTTTAACAATGTTCATTGAAATGGCGATGGTACAACTCTTTTGTGTATGTGTGTCGAGAAATTATAGTAATCATTTTTCGAGCTTCTTGGTATGATTTCAGATAGGATGCCTAAATAGTTGATTTGATTCTTCAGTATCTCAAATTGAAGATGGACCAATATGAGCATGATCTGTCATCGATTGTCAATTCTCTCGCTCTTTCCATCGAGGAGCGTGACCTTATTGCGGCAAATCCCGCCCCCTGCAGCGCCAGCTGCATCAGATTCTCCCTTGTAAAGCTTCTGAGGCTCTCTGGTTTCGACGCTGGAGTGTGCACATCAAAGTGGCAAGGCAGCGGGAATGTTCCCGGAGGTAAAGATTTTATGATACCTCTTGAGATATTTTTGAGTTTTAATTTTAGATTTAGATTTTGTTTTTTTATAAATTAGATTATTTAGATTTGAGTTTAGTGATTAATAACAATACAATTTCATAATTTAGGCGACCATGAATACATCGATATAGCCCATTGCTACACCGGCGCCGGAGGCAGAGAGCGACTGATTGTTGACGTCGATTTCCGAAGCCACTTCGAGATTGCTCGAGCAGTGGAATTCTACGACGGGATACTGAACTCCCTCCCCGTCATCTTCGTGGGATCTTTCTCAAAGCTCGATCAGTTTCTCCAAGTAATGGTCGATGCTGCCGTATCTTCTTTGAAGCAGAACTCCATGCCTCTACCTCCATGGCGATCGCTCGACTATCTGCGAGCCAAGTGGCAGTCGCCGTACAATAGGAAAACCAATTGGGACGACGATCATGATCAGAACTGTAACGACGCTGCCGTTTCCAAACATGGTAAATGTGGCGGACATCTCAGAAGCCTCCATTTGTCTCTCCTATCGGAAATCGAAGCAGAGAGAATGGTGAAGTCGTTAAACCGCGACCGGAGGCTGCTGAAATTCGAGCACCACCGGAGACGGCGTCGGACTTTGAGCTAGCTGTGATGCATCTTATGAGGTACTTAAAACTCCTCCCTTCGTCTGTTGATTTTTTTTTTTTTTTTTTCAAGAACTGTATTGTTTTTGGAACTGAGTTTTTTCTGTTGAGGCGTTTTTTGAAGAATAAGTATCCTTTTTTTTGACTGGGAATTTTTGGTACAAATAAAAACTGATTCTTTATATAGGTCATGTGTAAACCATCCATGGCAATGTTTACAATTCATTTTTGTTGTGTTAATCTCTTTTATCAGTTGTAATTACATTTTTGTTACGTGACATGCTTTGCATATATAAAGTGGGAGCAGTAATAGATGTTTTTATTAAGATAAAAATAATTTTTACATTGATATTAAAATACTTTTAAATTTTTATATAAATAACCAACCTACAATATGCTTTTAAGACAAGTAAGATTCATTTATCAAATATTGTTACATATTTCTATTCATCAGGAAAATGATGATATTATATCAACATTTAACCAAAGTATTCAATATTTATTTATAACAAATATTATTTTTTATTATTATTATTTTATCTCTTTTTTATTTTTTTTTTCTAATTAAACTTTTAGAAATACTTGGATTATCTTTTTATGTTTGTCAATTTTTTCATTAAAATATTCAAGTTTTTTAATCTGTACACCAGACAAATACTCTAATATAACTAAAGGAGTATTATATTTTTTAATATACCAAAAAAATATTTTTTACTAGTCCGTAAATAATCTATGCATTTTTCTTACTAATTATACTTTCTAATGATATAAAAAATATGTAAAGTTATAATATTTTACACAAATTTTAATACATTTATCACTGATAAAATTATTTTGATTTATTTTACTTTATTCATTATTTTGATTTATTTTACTTTATTCATATGGATAGATAAGGGAGAAAGGGAGTAAATTTAAATGAGGTCGATAGAGCATGGTTGAATAAGTTTGACAGCTGATTCAGAAATGATTAATACTGTAGATTAATATGTATTTATATTAAATTAAATTAAATTTTCTATTATTTGAACCAACCGACCCCGTTTTCCACACCTGATCAAAGACGCCCCAGGTGTCACATGCGTAGGAGGATCTTACATTAAATTAATAAATCTTCTTGGACCTCTAACGGTAACATGCAAAACACTTTAACTACAAAAGGTATTAAAATAAATACCCCCTTTCTTTATTTTAGCCTACTTTACATCATTACATTAGCATTATTTATTACAACAAATATAAACATTAATCCACTAATTACCGTTACAATAAATCAATTCACTACAAATTAATCAATCCCTACTATATATATATCATAAAAATATTCTCCACTCCAATCAATAATAACCTTCCCCAACAATTAAACCATGGCCGGCGCCGCCGTCGTCCTCCTCCTCCTCCTCGCCGGAGCCACCGCCGCGAACTCCATCGGCGTCAACTACGGCACTCAAGGCGACAACCTCCCGCCGCCGTCCGACGTGGCAAAGTTCCTCAAAGAGAAAACCATAATCGACCGCATAAAAATCTTCGACGCGAATCCCGACATCCTCGGCGCCTTCGCCGGCACCGGAATCCTGGTCGCCGTCACCGTCCCGAACGGCGATATCCCCGGCCTCGCCGACCTCGGCGGCGCCCGGCGGTGGATCTCGGCCAACATCCTCCCCTTCCACCCCCGCACAAAAATCAATTACATCCTCGTCGGCAACGAGATCCTCCACTGGGGCCCGCAGAACCTCCGCGACAACCTCGTCGCCGCCGTCCGTACGCTCCACGAAGCTCTCCGGCTCGGCGGCGTCCGCGGCGTCAAAGTCACCACCGCCCACTCCCTCGGCATCCTCGAGTCATCCTCCCCACCCAGGTATCTAAGCATATATAAAAATTATGATAAATTTTAGTAATGATTAAACTTTATTAATAATATTAAAATAAAAATTTATATATTTTTTTTTGTTCAATACAATTTTTACAATTATATAACTTTTTGGGAGGATTGAGCTTTATTTTTTAATTTTTATGAAAAAAAAAAAAAACTAAATATATGCATGTATTTGAGGTTAAAAAATATTTTTTCACTTCTAATTCAAAATTTAAATATTATTTTTATATTTTTGTTTGTCTAATTTTGAAAAAAATAATTATATATTAATATCAAAATATAATTAATTTTTATTTAAATTAAAAAAATATTTATTACACGATATAATTACTGTATAGCAAAATTTCTACACATTTGATATATTTCCACTATCTGATAGTCTGAAGAATATTCCCAAGATCTACTATTCATATATTATATTAAAATGTCCGTATCAATATCTATTTAACACACCTTTGTAAATTTAAAATTTAATAATTTTTTGTTAAGGAACTTCGAAAAAAATATAAATTGTATGTACATTTCAATATATATCCAAATAGATCGGAATTTCGGAGTTTTGCCCTATATTTAATACACTGCTCTCCGTCCAGCCTGGCCCGATTCCGCCGCGGCTGGGACACGGCCGTGTTGGCGCCGCTCCTCCAATTTCACCGCGAAACCAAAACCCCATTCATGGTCAATCCCTACCCTTACTTCGGCTACAACGCCGGCGCCGGCGGCAACGCCGACTTCGCCACTCTCCGGCCGAACAAAGGCTTCTTCGACAAATTCGTCCGCCGCACCTACGGCGACATGTTCGATTTGCTCATGGACGCCGTCTACATGTCGATGAAGCGGTTAGGGTACGGCGACGTCGAAATTGCGGTGGGGGAGACCGGCTGGGCGTCGCAGGGGGAGGCGTTCGAGCAGCCGAAATGCTCGCCGGAGAACGCCGCGGCCTACAACGGCGGGTTGATCCGGAAGTACAATTCGGGTCGGGGCACTCCATTGATGCCTAAAAGAAGGTTCGAGACGTACCTGTTTGGGTTATTCAATGAGGATCAGAAAACCGGTCCTTTGTCAGAGAAGAACTTCGGTCTTTTCCGGTCCGATTTCTCCCCGGTGTACGATGTCGGGTTATTGCGGACCGCGGCGCCTTCTTCTGCACGGGTAAGTTTTGGAATTTTATTATTTTTCCGTGCCTATTTTGAAAATAAGACGAAAATTCCCTAAAACATTGTTATTATTCAGATTAAAAAATTTAGTATTATTTAATTAGATAATTATAGAATATTATAATTAAAGGTGTGATATGAAGTAGACAGGTGTGATATACTCAGGATTATGTGTCAATTTGATATTGATATATAACGATGTGTCATGATGTGTGTGTGTGACAAAAAAGATAAACTCAAAACATTGAAATTGATAGCTGCTTTTTGATTTGTTTGGACCTGTTTTTGGAAAGAAGATGGGTTTTGAAATTATGATTTAAGTTTTTAAAATAAAATATATATATATATATATTTAATATGATATAAGCAGATATATATTTGAAATAATAAAATTACTTTTTAATACTATATTTTATAAAATAAAATAAAAAAAATTATTTAATTTATACTTTTTGAAAACATTGCCGCCGTTATGTGGATATATTTTAAAGTGGATGTCATGTGCTTTTACTTATTTATTTATTTTCTTTTATAAAGTGAAAATCTGTTAGCCGCTATTTTTTTTTAAATTAAATAGTAGTTTTTGCCGACGTCGTCCGTTGTGGCTTTATTTCAATTTATGCCTTTTCCCCTTTTTATAATTCGCAGAGATACCCTTTATTCGGCCCATTGGGCCTTAGTTAAAACCCACCCCTGGGCTGCCGTGCCCCTATGGACCAATCGTAAAAATATTATTTCAATAATAATAATAATAATAATAGGACTATTTATATCTATAATTATCATCAATAATTGTGATTACATAAAATTAAATTCATTTTTGAACAATATTCTAATAACTATTAGTGTATTTATGTAGTATAGTTTTATGTGATTTGTTTTGTGAGACATAGGGAAATTCTAAAAATACTACATTGAAACATACTTTTTTTGTGTTTTTATTGATTTTGAGGCTTTGTTTTTTCTATTATTATTTTCTACACTACATAAAAAAAAATTTCATTTCCAATTATCTCACGAAACAAAACACACCCGAGATGTTTTTGTTGATTATATATTACATAGATATTGTACATTTTGGATAATATTATTAAAAGTTGTATTACTTTAAAACACTAAGTAAGCGTACTCTATGTATATACTGTGTAGCCTATTCAGAAACCTAAATTGTCCGGTGGTATTCAAAATAGTAAAAAGTGGTGCGTGCCAAAACCGGGCTCGACCGATGCAGCATTACAGGCCAACATAGACTACGTGTGCAACCAACCGGGGTTCGATTGTGAGCAAATTAAACGGGGCGGTGCATGTTACGAGCCTAATACAGTTAGGGCTCATGCCGCGTATATAATGAATTTGTATTACCAAAGCGAGGGCCGGAATGACTTCAATTGCGACTTCTCTAGCTCCGGTTTTATAACCTCTATCGACCCGAGTAAGTGTCTCTTTCTATTAGATTGTTTTGTGTAATAAAGTTCGACGAAATTGGTTTATTTCGATTTTCTTGATTTTTTGATTTTTGATTTTTGATTTTTATTTTATTTCAGGTGTTGGATCTTGCAAGTTCTTGTCTTGAATCTACACATACTCGAGGATGATTCTAAAATTATTATTATTATTTAAAATTGTTGTTGTTTTTGTTTTGATTGTGCTGTGCAAAAGGTCTACATGTGTATTTTAGCGTGCTATAGAAGTAGTACATGGTGCTTTGTGAGTGGTACTCTTCTATTAGCTTATAGATTGGATATATATAAAATTTCTACAAATCCATTTATAAAAAATAGCGTAATAATGATTTTATTATTATTTTTCATCTTTGTATGTTTTGTTATAATTTAGCACATAATTCTCATACAAAAGGCTGCATTCAATATAATTTATTATTTTTCATTTTGTATGTCTAGCTATAATTTAACACATAATTATCATACCAAATGCTGCATAATTCAATATAATTTATTATTTTTCACATAATTCACATTTAACACATCAATATACTTCGGAGCATAATTTTGAAATTTGTTTGTTTAGTTTAGATCAAAGTTTGAATATAAAATGCTAATACAGCTCATACAATGTTGAATAGTTTAAAATAATTTAGTTAAATATATTTATTTTAAAATTTATATTCATAAGCTACATAATTATATATGTTGGTAGAAATTAATGTTGGATCGGGTGTAACAATAAATAATGAAAATTTAATTTGGTCAGATATCATTGGTTTGAAAATAGGGAGAAAGAGAGTTGCATTGATTCTCTATCTCACTACAAAGATAACAACCTCTCTTATCAATTCATTCATATCTCACAAAAAAAAAAAAAAAAAAAAAAAGGTCTATAATTGAATAATTTATTGCGTTTACTAAAATGTTCTTGTTTTCATATCTCACAAAAAAAAAAAAAAAAAAAGTCTATAATTGAATAATTTATTGCGTTTACTAAAATATTCTTGTTAATATATATATATATATTATGTAAGTCTACTACTACTACTATATTATTATTATTATTATTATTATTTTTATTATCATTATTTATTATATGCACATTTTATAATTTTTTATAAATATAAATTGTTTTATCTTATAAAATATTGTATTTGATTATTATCTAAAGTATAAAATACTGACACACAAAAAATATATATTTTAACTATAATAAAAATAAATATATTTAAATATCAAAATATTTTTAAATTTTATAAAAATACTCATTTTTTTTTTACTTTCAAAAATAAAAATGTTAAAATCATCTTAATGTTGAGCATAAAAAAACAACAATAATAATAAATAATGGCAGTAGGATTCTGGATGGGTCTGAATATAAGCTAAACGGTTTAAAAGTCGGGCAAAAGAAAGTCGGACAAGGAAAGATGACGGCCGATACGAAGGTCGGGCAAGATGAGGTCGGTCAGGGCTAAAGTCGGGCGAAGAAAGATAAGATGACAGACGCGGAGGTCGGTCGGGACGAAGAAGGGAAAAGCAATACGTACTCAGGTCGGTGAGATAAGGTCGGGCTTTAAGGTCGGACATGATAAGGTCGGACACTGAAGTCGGACACGGGGATCAGACAAGATAAGGTCGGGCACGGAGATCGAACGTGATAAGGTCCGGCACGGAAGTCGGACCTGATAAGGTCGGGCACTGAGGTCGGACGTGATCAGGTCGGGCTTGGAGGTCGGACAAGATAAGATCAGACATGGAGGTCGGTTGAAAGAGGAAGTCGGGCGAAGAAGCACGGCTGATACTGAGGTCGGTCGAAAAAGTAGGTCGGGCGAAGAAGGACAGCTAATACGGAGGTCAGTCGAAAAAAAGGTCTGTTAATTGGTCGCCTGCTTAAGTAAACAGTAGTTCAGTCGCCTGGTTGGGGCGACCATTGAATCGTCTGGATGATTCATTGTTCAGTCGATTGGAGAAATAAGATGGTAGTTGCTTGATGGAGCGGCCGATAAGTCGTTTGGTCTAGCGACCAGTTAGTCTTTGGATTGGCCGGTTGGTCAATCGATGGGTTATTCGGTAAGTTCAGTCGGTTGGTCTATGGTCCGTCTAAAAAGCCAGAGGTTATTGCTGGGCGGTTGAGTAGTCGGTCGGGACCAGCCGCCCATTTAAGGCGGTGAGGTTTTCAGAGGCGGTCGGCCGAGCCATTTGAGTGTTGTAACTAGCGCGAGAGGTTGATGAGTCGGTTAATGAGTCAGTTAACATACGTGTCAACAGAGGAGTTCTTGGTGGGCGGTTGACAGCGGTTGCTGTAACCGACCAGACGGCGGTTCAAACCGTTTCTTTAAAGGGTTATTTAAGGATTCGGGTATGTTCTGAAAAATCATCTTCAATCGACATCAAATTTAAGAGAATTGCTTTTGGGGATCACCACTTTATTTTTTCAGTCTGCAGTTTTATTTTCATATTTTATTTATGTATCCTACAGTGTTTAGAGATTCATAATCTCAGACACTAATTATATCAAATTCGGAGATAATTTTCTATTTTCGAATTTTACTTTTTATTGTTGAAAAATTGCATCAACATTTACTAATTCTCACTGACTAATAAAATAGATACATTGAATTGGAAGAAACGATAAATTTTTTTTTCTTTAAAGAATAAAAATGTATATTTAGTACTTTACTTTAAAATATATATTTTTTTTTAATGTGAAATATAATCAATTATATCCGTATAAAAATAATATTTTATGAAATATTAAATATATTTGTTGTGAAAAATATAAAATATATATTGAAAAAAAGATTATACATTTTTTATTGGACAAACAACCCCAAAATGTATAATATGATCAATGAGTGAATGGTATCATAATGGAAATGTATCATACTTCAAATCCTGGAATTACAATTGATATTACATAATATTGGAATATTTTTTTTGTGTTTCAATTCAAAATTTATTAAACTTTTCATGTTTTTAATAATTTTTTAAAAACATAAAATATTATATTTGTTGTTGTAAAAAAATATAGCTACGGACTGCTTAATCAGAAAAATCTGTCGGAATTGATTTAATTGTAGGGTTCCCCGACCTCCTAAAAAAGGATTCGGGTTATCTCACGATAACCGAAAAAATTAACAAAAAGAAAAAAAAGGTAAAATTAGAATTAGCGGTAAAAATTAAATTGAAATTATCGAAAAAAAACAGTAGAGGTCTCAAAATAATGCAAGAAATTAAATTGCAGTTTTATTTTCCTAATCTTTGTTTTTCTCAGACTTCCCTAACTTCTTATTTTTCAAATTATGTCTTGTTTGTTTACTTGTTGATCGCGTCTTATTTACTTATTTACTGGTCTGGACATGTTTCTGAACCGTATCCTCCCAAGTCTTGGACTACACCTAGTTGGGTAGGCCCGGTTAAATTTTGGAATATACAATATTAAATTATTATTATTTGAATTAAAAAAAAAATATATATATATATATATATATAAAAGCCCCGAAAATAGCAAACCCAAGCTCTTGTTAGTTGTGTTAGAAGATATCCAACTTAGTAATCATCCTTAATTTCATCTTATCATTGGTCGTATAAATGTTTATTTTTATGTATATATGGATATGGAAATGTGTTTTTGAAATATGATATTTCTCTTTTAGGCATCAAATTGTGGCCCACTTTCCTAAATAAGTGTGCCCATTCTATTTTTTCTCAAGAGTTATCGGACAGTGCTTTGTATTTATACGAAATCATTTATTATAATATAAAAATAATATTTTAAATTAGGTTATTGAATTAAACCATGATCTATCTGTGTGACTTCACTAGACCATTCTAATGATTCTCTTTACTACAAATTAATCACTATTATAATTATTTTATTTATTTATTTATTTACAATACTCTCGTCTTATTGAATATAGACTTTCTTTGTCTACTTGTTAGGAATATATTTACTCTCTCATTTCCAAACAATGTGCAACATTTATTTTTGACATATATTTTTTTATGGGTAATATTAAATAGGATAATTTAAAAATTAGGTAATATGATGGAGAGAGAAATATATATTTTATTTTTTTATTTGGATGATGTGAGAGGATAAAGTGTAGAGTAGAGATCAAGTATAATTAATTATTTTCTATTTTGAAAATATTGCAGAATGTTTGGGACATATTAAAAATAAAATATTGCAGGGTGTTTGGGACGGAGGGAGTATTATTTTTGTGTCAAAACACAAAGTATTTATTTTAGTTTTTAGTATATAAATTTCACAATACATTACAAATAGCACACGTTTACATATACTTTTTTTTGCCATTTAAATATATATATTTTTTGGTTATCATAAAATTATATTTTTATTCACTTTTCTTAACATACAGTACTGATCAAATGAAAATAAATATCCATAAAAGAGGGAGTAGATCCTAAGACAGAATGGTTTTTAATTACTAAAATTATCATTAACTATTAAAATACAATATTTATTAAACTATATTTTAAAATATAATAAATATTTATTTTTTTAAGTGGACGAAAAAAATATAGAAAACTAACAAATACAACATTTTAAAGTTGGCTTGGGCGAACAGAAAATTTCTTATAAAAAAAATAAATAATAATATTATTTTATTTTTATTAATAAAATACGATTAAATACTAAAAAATTAAACAAACAACAAACCATTATACAATCCCACCTATTTCGACGGATTATTGAAGTTTTTAAATAAAAGTATATATTTATTTTTTTTAAAATAGTTACTAAAAATTGATAATTGAGCGGTGGCATAAATAGGGACGTGACGGAAAATGCATTTAATAATTTGATTTAAAAAAAAAAACTCAATCGGCACCATTAATTGCGTTTTCTCTTTTCTCTTTTCTCTCTCTCTCACTCATCACTTTCACGCGGAACGTCACTGGTAACCGCCTCTCCTTCACAATCTCGCCGCCGCACATCCGCCGCCGCCGTCGCACATCCGCCGCCGCCGTCGCCGCCGTTATGATGGAAGAGAAGGCGAAGAAGAAGAACAAAAAGCAGAAGCAGAAACATCCGAACGATCAGACGGCGAAAACCGCTTCCGATTTCGCATTCAAGCCTGCCTCGGAAGTCAAAGGACTACGATTCGGCGGTCAGTTCATCGTCAAATCGTTCACGATCAGACGCGCGCGGCCTCTCGAGCTTATCCGCCTCCTCTCGCTTCCGCCGACGAATTCGGCGTTCGCCTCCACCTCCGCCTTCCTTCCGACGAACTTCACGATCCTGGCGCACCACGCCTGGCACACGCTCACATTAGGCCTCGGAACGAAGAAATCGAAAGTTGTGGTGTTCGTCTTCGAGTCGGAGAGTATGAAGGCTGCGGTGGAGCGCCTCTGGCCGGCGGAGATTCCGCTCGGAGAAGTCAACAAAAGGCTGATCCGAGGCCTCACCGGCTGCGAAATGGCGCGATTCAAGTTCCGGAAAGGTTGCATCACGTTCTACGTTTACGCCGTCCGTAGAATCGGAAGCTCAGGCTTCCACTGCGCCGACGATCTGAAAATCATCCTCCAGTCTGTGGTAGCGCTGAAGGATTTTATCGACCACACGGCGATGCTCGCCATGCCTAACCAGAGAAGTATCAACTACGCGCCGCCGCTCGCCGTCGTTCACTGAATCAATCAGGCACGTCTCGATTCTCTAAAGCTTTTTAATATTCTCTTAATTTTCCAGATTTGACCGACAATATATTTTTTCCTTTGTTGATATTATCATTCTATTCCTCTTTTTTTGTAAATCACTTTTAAAATATTATCATCCTGTTCAGATATTTAGAAAATAAGCCTAAAAAAAAAAAAGTAGGAAAACAAATAGCATCATCGTAACTTTGTTACATTTACAATTTTCCTGAAGCAGTTACTGGTCATGTCATTTAAACCGCAGTTTAACGTTAATTTACAGGAAATAGCAAAATAATTGGCTGAAAATGGATTGATAATTTGATACTCACTTTTGTGCAATAGAAGATTCAGAAAAGAGTGATATATTAATTTTCACCTGCTGAATAGACTACTTTTTCATGATTTCTTCCAATTTGGTGATTCACCTAACGAATGATGTGCCCTACAAAGCAAATTACTTTTTTATTAGCAGTATTTAGAATTGCAATCTGTATAGATAGACAGACAGGCTGCTAGAATCATTTGGAAAAGTGGCTTTCTGGCTCCAACTATATTTCATATTCAAAAAATAAAAGTTATGACACCTCACTTAGTGATTAAAAATGCAATTTCTATTTAAAACAGAATCAATAATATTTTTAGGAATGTGCAATTGAATATTATAAGAGATCTCTTAAATCACAAAAATATAAAAATCAATCTATAATATAGTAAATAAAATTAAATGCTTATAACTGCAGTTAATTGATTAAGGAATAATGGATATATATATATAGTGCAGGTGAAAGCCTAAAATGCTCTTAGGGTTAATGATTTACATCTAAAAAGGAATTTGTATTAGAAGATTATTGTGATTCCTTTAGAATATACCTATTATTTGGCGAGATTGTTAAGTATTATTACTATAGAATAATTGTATGTTATAGCATGTTTTTATTTAAATAAAAAATTATATATGTTGTTGTCTTTTTATGATGTGACGGATGTCTTTTATATATTTTTTTGTTTTTGTATTATATTAAGATAGTAATTTATGTATTATTAGTATGATTAGAAATGTGTTTGTTCAACTAAATCATATCCAAATGGTGATTTAAGTTACATTGTTAAAAGTTGAATTAAGTAAGAGTGAAATCAAATGAAATAAAGTAAGGAAAGGTAAGGTAAGGTAAAGCAAAGGAAAGAAAGTGGTTGTTGTAACATCCTCCTTCCTAACCAAGAAAAACGACAACCACTAGAATCGTTTCTTTTATTTGTTATTAGTGAATTCTTCTTTTGAGAAAGAAAGGAAGAACCAAAGAAGTAGTACATTACATGCATGTATGTATGTGTATATATTATAATTATAGAAAATGAATAAGAAAATGTGCAGAGGAGAGGATGAGATATGTCTGAAATTGTTGTGAATAATGAAAGTGAAATAGAAGGTGGGGTCAAGTAAACCAATGGAGAGATGATGAAGGTGGAGTCAATAATTTGATGAGAAAAAGCAATGCTCAACCTCATCCAAAAAAAGTGACTCTCTCTCTCTCTCTCTTCTTTTTGTGGATTGTTCTTATATGATTTAATTAATATAGAGATTAGGAGTATATTATAGTTGATGCATGGAGTGATGACTGTCTTCATTAATCTTTTCTTTGATATGGTTGTGTGGTGGTGGTGGTGGTGCTGTTGCAATGGTTGTAAGTAATGATGGATTTGCTTGGTGCCCACTTTGTCCCTTACTTTCCTTACATGAGTCATCATGATTGATGAAGAAACCCTCCTCATCTCATCCTCCTTTTGTGTTATACTCTTCCGGTCTCACCTATCATGTCTGTTTTACTGATAATTTAAGAGTAGTATAATTAATAAATAGTTAAAAATATATTATTAAAAATAATTATAGATTAAAATTAAGATAACTAATTAGTCTAACTAGATTAAAAAAAATATAAATGTTAAAAGAAGTTAAAATATATAATTCTTTTTTTAAAAAAAAAAGTAACAAGTGAAACAAGACATAAATGGAATGGTAGATATGGTAAATGGAACTCAAAGGAGTATATAGTATTTATTTGTTTGTTTGTTTGTTTATTTAATTCTACCTGCGAGTTAAATTAATTTGTTGCAATTAAATTCAGTGAAACTAATTTGATGCTTCTGTATTGCGTATCATGTGTGTGAGTAATTGGTTGTCTATCTGTCACTCATTTGGACATTCGTGTTTAATCATCTCACTCACTCACTCACCCTTTATGATTCTCTCTCTCTCTCTCTCTCTCTCTCACACTCGAGTTATTATATATATATATATATATATGAGAGTCAGAACTTTTTGATTTGAAAGCTCGTCTTGTATAATATAGTACTAATAAATATGATTTGAAGTAGACAGATAGAGAGGATTAAACACAAGTACTATATCTCTATATGATTCTTGGCTAGTGGACGTGTTGCTTTTCGATTTGGATTTGATGTCAAATTATTTTTTATTTAAAGAAAAAATTAATTATAGTTTTTTTTTTTGTCTCATACAAATGTATTTTAAATTTTTTTGTTATAAATTGTTATTTTATTAATTAATAAAAGTGTGTAAAGCGAAAAACTGTGCAACCAACATGGCTATGAAACAGATAAAAAATAAAAAATAAAAAAAATCTATTCTACTTTGATCCTATAAAATTCAATTTTATTTTTGCAAAATATATAAGATGGTGTTAGATTTAAAAAAGAAATAAATTATACTTATATAATTATACATATATTTAAAAAATATATCAAATAAAATATATATTTATTATTCTATTTAACAAAACTTTTGTTATGAAAAATGAAAAAAAAATATATATATTTTAATATTTTTTATATACTTTCAAGAGATAAAATTAGAACTTTTATAAATATACAAAATTCAAAAATTGAATAGCTAAAACCCATGAGGATTCGATTTAGGCCGACAGCTATGGGCCAAAATTATGGTGGGCCTAGAACCGGTCGGCCCATATATTTGTGGTCGGCCCATTAAGAGTGATAAAAAACCTAGATAAGTACAGGGGGTCTAAAATTAATAACAAATTACTATAAGAGTAGTTGATTCAGATTATGTAATGGTCAATTAGGAAAAATGAAATACCAATTGATAATCACAAATATATATAGATTAGTGAACCACGTAACTATAATACCACTTGCTACCCTTACCACCCCCGCAAGCAACCTGTTTATCATTAATTAATTAATTGAAAATATAGATGGATAAAATTGCTGATTCGGCCCCCCACACAAAACATTAATTAAAATCAAAATTCATTAAACGCTACACATTACTTAAAAATATATTGACTTAGAGAGTTGATATGGAAAAAGCAATAAGAAAATAATTGGGTTTGTGTGGTTGCATAATTTGACTAATTTTTTTCATTTAAAAGATGTGTAGTAAGTCATATATACGTAACCAATATAATTAAAAAATTAAATTAGTATATTGGATTATGGATGATTGAGGTACGGACACCGCTCCATCTTATATCTCAGAAATGTCATATTAACTCCTACGTCATGCTTACGTGAAGACCAAATCATCTACGATGAATATTATTCATATCCACACCCTTCATTATGGATGGATAATTTGGCGTTGAGATTAACTTATTGTGCTTTCTTCTTGTGCATGCATTTCACACTTCAATCATAGGCGATTGTTACTAATATTGATTAAATATAATCAATAATCAGCACCAATGTTAATACCACAATAATATAAACTATCATGCAATACATTGTGTGTTTGTTTGCGGGATTGGATTTTAAATATACTATTCATTTCATTTTTCCCCCCAAAAACATCAAATCAAACATCTATTTTTCATTTTTTATATTATACTAAAAATCAATTTTATATTGAAAACATCACTTCATACAACTATTCAAATTCAAAATTTTTACTATTCAAATCTCATGGCAAAATCCAAACTCCCAAACAAACACACCCATACAAAAATAAACAAAAAATGAACAACACATTCTAATATTTTATATAATATCTATTATATTTTCATATGCTATTTGTAATACTTTTATACGCTAATTGGTGGTGATTACCAAAGGGTCAATCATATTACATATGCACTTATCACATTTCCATTTTCTTTGCATTCCTAATTTTATCCATACTATACGGGTGTAACTACCAAGAGTATCGCACACCACACACATCTCCCTATATAAAGATAAATTGTGATTTGAAATTGAATTAATAAAAATAAATAAATATATTTTTATTGAAAAATATATGTTTATAGAGGGAAGAGAGAACTTAATTATATCTAATAAAAGTATGTTTATTTGATGTCATGATAATATATCTTATTTAAACAGCTTGCACACAACTTGCAATATCATCAATGTGTGTACGTACGTATATATATATATATATATATATATAATACCCAAATAGTGTATGTATATCTACATATATTAGGCAAAAAAAAAATTAAAAACACTGAAGAGGCGAGGCTGACTTAATTTAGTATTAGATCATAATAGTAAAGTATAGTATAGTGTATGGGGTTTAATTTCATCCATTTGACTTATTTAATTAATTAAAGAACTTAAGGGTGTGTTTGTTTGGGGGATTGGATTTAATTTCTACTATTCATCCCTTTTTTTTCCCCAAACACATCAAATCAAACACTCATTTTTTATTTTTTATATTATACTAAAAATCAATTTTATATTCAAAACATCACATCAACACCTATTTATATCACATCATACAACCATTTAAATTCAAAATTTTAACTATTCAAATCTCAATTTAAAATCCAAACCCCCAAACAATCACACCCTTAGTGCTTTTTCTAGATGTATCTCTCGACTCTCAGTTTCTTGTCACATTTCAAACCTCAATTATTTACCATAAATATATAATCTACCTCTCACTAATCTTCAACTTCAAACCCCTATTCTCACACACACACACACACACACATATATACACTTTCTTGCTTAAGTCAAATAAAATACATATACACACATACACACACATATATATATATATATAGAGAGAGAGAGAGAGAGATCTATTATGATGATCATGAAAAGAAAGAAAGAAGATGGAGATGAGGTTACCTTGGAGGCAATAAGCATGGCCACAGCCAAGTATTTCATGCTATTCTCCGGTGGCGGCAGCAGCAGCGGCGATGGATACGCGCGCGTATTTACCTGCAAGACATGTAAACGAGAGTTCTCATCATTCCAGGCGCTGGGAGGCCACCGCGCCAGCCACAAGAAGCCACGGCTGGCGGCGACAGCAGATGATCAGCCAACGACAGATTACCCTAAGAGGAAGACGCATGAGTGCCCGGTTTGCGGGCTGGAGTTTCCGATGGGACAAGCTCTTGGAGGACACATGAGGCGCCACAGACCTCACCATCACCATCTGAAAATCGAGGAGGAAGCAAGTAACGAAAATGACAATGATAATAACAAGAAGAGAAGGATCATGAGGCAAAGTACCGAAGTAGTGTTATTGTGTGTCGATTTGAATTTGACACCGCTGGAGAACAGCATTTTGCCGCTGCAGCAGCCGCCACCGCCGCCGCCTGCTTCTCCGGTGGCTGCCGCCGCCCTTTGCCTTTTCTGATCCATCGATCTTCTCCCTCACACACACACACACACATACATATGTGTGTGTGTTTTTATATATATACATATATATGGATGCACAGACCATCTTCGCTATTGTTGATACTTTTATTTTACCAGAATAACACTTTCAGATCTGAACCATCCGTTACTACTTTTTATTCAACGAGTAGAACGCTACCATAGAATAGATGTTAAAGAGTAGTTAGTTCATTAGAAATGAACTTTAGAATTGACAAGTCAAATCAAATCAATAGTCGGTAAGGTAATAAGCAAGAAGGTAGATAGATATTCGAACAAATTCACCTGCTTAATAGCCATAAACAATCTTATAGAAACAATAGTTCAGAATGGAACTAATCAGAATAGTCACTCATGTTCAAACTTCCAAAATGATCTAATCTAAACTTGACACGTAATCAATCATATTCAGATCTTGCTACAAATTGTTCGAGACGAACCAACACAACATCACACTTCTGATACTACTTTCAATAGCAATAGAATGGCTTTCATAGGCACTCAAATTCAGATGTTGCTACAAATGGTTCGAGACGAACCAACACAACAACACACTTCTGATACTACTTTCAATAACAATAGAATGGCTTCATAGGCACTCATGATGATTCTTCAAAGATGCTTCGAGTAAAGCTACAAACACATGCTTAAATACTTAGGCACTTTTCTCCTAAACACTACCAAACTAAATTAACTACTCATATCAAAAGCATCACTCACTCAAGTCATCCAGCGATTCAGGTTAAAGAAACCGAGCATAGTTCTGAGATGAATGCCTTCAAGCACTAATTTCCGGGGGTAGCTTAAGTTGAAATGTTGTCTTCATAATGAAATGTTACAATAATTATGCATGATCAAGAACACAAAATGCAATGCAATGATCATATACTCAAATGATTTATGACATAGTAATAAACAGCATCGCAAAAGGCGAACCAAATCAATGCAAAAACTAGGCTACACTATGTCCATATTCTGAGCATATCAACAATTTCAACAGCAAGAGAATTCGCAAAAGACTAGAAGGATTCGGATTCCCAAATATCAACATGACTTTGAGATTTTCTAGACTAGCATTTGAATTTTGATAGCATCATACCAAAAGAGCATTGATTATCCATGAACATGAAATCATTCTCCGTTTATTATGGCTCTGCATTTCGATTCAACAAAGAAGAAGTAATAACAATACTTAATCACGTAAAATAACGAAGAATCGTGTATGTAATCGAGGTCAATCCAACTCACAACTGCGTAGACGCTTTCTCGCTAAAAAACTTATCACCGTAAGTAATTTACTGACGACCTTCACTAGTTTCATCGGAACTCGTCTCCGAATTAAGGTATCGGAATTTCTCCTTGAAGGAATCCTGCTTCTGCATCCACATCATATGCCCCTGCAGAGTGAAATGAAGTGAGACTAACTGAACAATTTCAGCCTCTTTATAAAGAGCAAACTGAAGAGATAAATACCTGGAGAGCAGCAGCCCAGACTATGAGGGCGGAGGCAAACCAGAATCTCTTGTCCTTCAGCAGCTGCCGGATTTCTGGCTTTCTCGTTTCCATCCCCGCGCAAAAACCGTTCAAGCCTACAGAATCAAGTCTCCGGGAGAGATTCAACCGACGCAGCAGGAAGTTTCTCGATCACGAACGAGTTGGGCTCGCATAAATCGGAGGGAGTTCGTTCTCAAATGAGTGCCAGATTGGCCCAATACTACGGGCATTCAATGGGCTTTTCAAACCCTAGCTAATAAATACTTCATCGATCTCAATTCACATATATGTTACTCTTACTTTTTAAGAAAATTAATATAAAATAAAATAATAAATATTTTAAAACAGTCTAAATAAAAAAATAAAATTGCAGAAACATAGGAACTAACATATAACAAAGGTTTGGTCATTACCAATATATGTGTTATTCTATTTGACATTTAGATTTCAATATAATATATTAGCCAATGTTATTAAGATATTTATCCAAAAAATTAAATATTCCGAATATATACATTTACCTTTTTATTATTTTTTTCCATTAATAATACTCACATAATTTATCATATTTACTGTACGGACTCGCACTTACTTTCCATTCAAAAACCTATTTTACATTTAAAGAACACATTGGGCATAGCAGTTAGATTTGAAGCATATATTGTGACCAGACCAGCCGTATATTTATATATATTTCAAGCATATTTATAATATAATATGTATTATATAACATATGTTATATAACACAAGATAGACTAAAGATCTCCCACATAACATAGCACTTTGCTGAGCATCAGCAATTAGCAAATATCAAAGCATAAAGCATTGTTAAATACCAAAGAAAAGTACCCTATATATATATATATATAAAATAATAAAATAAAATGGAGAGTTCTGCATAAAATTAAAGATCCAAACCCAAAAATTGTGGTTAAAAATGGTAATAATATAGTGAAATTGGTTTTGAGAGGAACATGAATAAGCAAACCCAAAGTGAGAAAAATGGGGATTCTACCATCAGCCCTACCTCTTCAATCTTTCCTTTCTGATGAATTCGTATCAACAACTGAAGAACAACATATCAAGATCTGCAACTATATAATATCATCTATGATCCTCATCCAAAACACATTACTCGGCCTCTTGCTACGGAACCTCATCTCGACTCAACTCGTCTCATCTCATCTCATCTCATCTCATTTCAAAAACAGAGCGAGTTGCGCAGCTCATACCTTTTTCTTAGCTTCAGTCACCGCTGCCACCCGTTGCTTCTTCCTCCAAGACGGCATTTTCCCGGGGAAAGCCCACCTCAAGAGTCTTTCCCAAGTGTAGCAAATTACGAACATCAGGAAAGCCCACAGCAGCAGCTTGTTCCGCAGCTCTTTCGGCAGCGGGACGAGCTTCAACCAATCGTTCAAGTCCCTGAAAACATCAGAAGTTATGGCAGTGAAGAAACAGACAGCGGCGAGGAGGGCGTACAGAAACGGTCTGTTTTCCGAGATGCTCTTGTTGAACGGATGGCCCATGTAGTTCACGGCAAAAGTGGCGACCTGCAGCATCATCCCGACCATGTACGACACCGTGTTGACGAGGTTGGGGTGGAAATCTGAGTCGGGCTCGATGCACTCATCCGGCATGTATTTACCAGCTTCGTTGACGGAAGACATCAGGAAGAATATGTGGACGGCGAACTGACCCATAAGGGAGAGGAAGACGTACGCACAGAAGATGTTCGGATGGGGCCTCTCCGCCGAGAGCGTCTGGAGGGGCGACGCGTGGGATATGAACAGGAAGAAGGCTGCTGTGAAAACCCCGCTGATCGTTGCCTGGATGTCGCCCAACTTCACGCCGTCAAGGTACATTACGCTGAGGACGTAGGCGGTGGCGAGGCAGTTGAGTCCGAGAATCTTGAACATCTGGAGAGTGGTCACGAGGGTGCTCCGTCCTTGGCGGATTATGTCGGTGGTGGGAGCAACTGAAGCGTGCTTTGCAGTGAATGGCGAGGCCATGGAAGCGTCTCCAAGCTTGACCATTGGAGCTGATCGACCGTCACCCTCCTCATTCATCTCCTCCATTAGTTTCTTCAGCTTTTGGCGTTGCAACTCTGCGGCTGTCAGGTGACGGTTTGCAGCTTGATTGCTAGTTGATTCGGCTTTGGAAAGAGCCCGGGATTTAGAAGAACTATCTCCGCTTCCACTGGCGGGCTTGGGTTTCTTTGATTTAGCCGATTTCTCGCCTTCACTTTTCGATCCTGTTTGAGCTGACTTGCCTGTTGTTGGAGGAGCTGCATTAAGTAGAGCTACCCCAATATGTGCCTGCAAACAAGTACAAAAGTTACACAATATAGATCATAAAAGTAAACGTGACTGAAAATTCGACATCAATTGAAAGAGCTTAGACTTGCTTATTTTTGTTTATTAGCTGTCCCTGAGTTAATGCTAAGCGAGGAGATATTTCATTTATTAGCAAACATCAAATATATTACGATACCTGTTTCAGAGCTCCGACATCATTGGTTCCATCGCCACACATCATAGTCATCCTACCCACCGATTTAAAAGTAGTAATGATGAGTTCCTTCTGCTCAGGAGCAACTCGTGCAAATACCTGTCAAATGTTATGAGCTGATTTAGAGGGAGGGAACAAAAGAAAGTATCGAGAATATAAAAAAATTCACACATCAAGTGCCATATGTTGGCACCTTAACATAAGGTATGACTTTCACTGTAGAAGAGCTTTGCTGCAACATTTCCATGCAGTCGCCTCCAATGCAAAGGTCATGATCCTCTGATAGAGCTTCGACCTCATCCCCACTGCTCAAAAGTAAAACAATGATCATTTCAGTTGCCAAAAATTGGTGGAACTGAAATGTGTCTTTCTCACTTGTCCAATAACCTCAAAAACCTATTAGGTTAGGAATAGAATACAGAAATAGAGATACCATAAAATACTCGAACTCCATCATTTTCGATAATTACCATAACCATAATAAAATTCCAGTTATAAACAGCCATATTCCAGTTATAATCAGGAAAAGTGTAAAACATTGGCTAACTTATTGGAATATAAGGACAGACAAATGAAAAAGAGCATGAGCATGGTTGAATATATAGATAACTAACAGTATTCTTACTTGTAGCTAATTGTACATGTCTCGTCTGGCGAAATCCACTCATATCCTGCACCACCTTTTGCAGGGCCAAGTATTAATGCTGGTTTGGTGATAATGTTGACTTGGGCAGCAACATGGCAGGCCGTCAAAGCTTGATCCCCAGTAATCATCGCCTGGATAATATTAGCACAAAATAACATGAAACTTACTTATTTGGAGATGCTTAAATTCTCGGTCGATTTGCGACAGTATTTTTGGTAATGCAAATTTGTATGTGTGCCATAATCTGAACCTATATGTAGCTAAATCCAGCGTGCTTACTACAGAAAGCACCAAGCTGAGATGTAGCGGTGAAGTCAGCAGATCAACAAATACATATAGCATAAAGCAAATGAAAGCACATGTAATCTAATAAGATTTGAAAAATGATTCAAAGCACACTATTAGTTTATTCACGGGGAAAATGTTGATGGAAGTAGCTCGTTAACTGATGGGGCGTAGATTTATCGACAGTTGGTACAATAACTAGATCACAGCATCGCATTTATGTGACCAGATATTCAGGAGATGCCAAAACAGCAAAAGACAAATGTTTTCATTGGATGACATTCTTTTTATATATGTTGCTCACAAAATGCAACTATCAAAATGAAATTCAAGTTGTGGCATATTAACAAGACGCAGCACCATGAACCAATAGAATGCAGCAGGAAATACTCACCAAATCATGTGAGGACTGTTTTAACTCTGACAGTATAGTAGCTGAATCTCCTCGGATGGGACAATTGAAAACCTGAGCCATAAAGGCACCAGATACACTAATATCAGTTCCCGCCAGGACAGAGACTTCCATCATAATGTGGCTTTAGTATATATGTGCCTACTATAAATTTTGCATATTTTCTTAAGGATAATATATGTGGTGTTCTTAAAAGTAAAAGATTGGGTAAAAACTGTACCGCAAAACCAGCAAAAGTAAGGCCACTTTCCACAGTCTCTCGATCCAAACTTCTAGCTTCACTAACCTTCAAATGAGTTGAAGACATAGAAAAGATTAAAAATTAAAGAGGATACATTTTAGTAGGTGATGATAAGAATCTGATATATTGGGGAAAACAGAAACAATTCATTCTTGCATATCACACCCTCAATTATGCATCTGTATTCAGATATAAAATAATTCGGAACCATATTTTCACACACATGCTGGCTGGCACTTTAAAAACCAAAGATATGCATTATTGCATAGTCAAGTTAGTATACCCCATACAGAAACAGTTCAAAACTAGCAAACTACAATATAAAAGAATTATTTCTACCTATCTAGAGATAATCATATCACAGACACATCAAAACCTTCTATCCTCGAGAACAGTTTCCGATCCTTAAATCCCATGGTGTTAAAAAATGTATTCAAGATGCAAAATAACTGTTATGATCCCTGTTATGCTTAAATACAAATAATAAATTTACTGTGCCAGAATTGAAAACCTAGCTCTGACAAGATTTGAAGAGACGAGATTAAAATAAGATACTGGTGCCTCAGCACATTAGTATAAGAATCAAGAACCATGGAACTTAAATTGCCATTATTGGTAAAACTAAGACATGAGGAGAAAGGTAATGCATGTTAATAGGTGCATAAAAGAAGGCAAGCATGGCTAGCATACAGACAGAAAGAATTCTTACTGTCATATCTGGAAGAGGCTTGTATGCCAAAGCCAAAACTCGAGATCCTTGGCGCGTGTATTTCTTATAAATCTTAATATACCATGAAGGCACCTCATCAAGTCTTTCCTGGATGGTTTCTGGTGCACCCTGAAATTCAATAAGGAATTTGAGATATTGAAGGAATAGATAATGTGATATTTCACAGAAGGTCAAGTGCTTGATCCACAGCTCTCATTGTTAAGAATTTTAATGTGAGGTTGACAGGAATTGATAATCAGGCTTGTACCTTAACAAAAGCAAAAAACTGCTCCTGAACACGAACAACAACTGCCATTCTTTTCAAGTAGGAAGCGAAATGATGTCTTTGTACAATCTGGACAGAGTTGGAATTTCCCCTGAATTTTATTTGAACCGACCGAAAGAAAGTAACAGAAGATGTCAAAACATATTCAAACGACATTTCACTAAGAAGCAAAATAGCAAACATAGTCAATGCAATTTGTGGGATATCATAACAAACTCAGAAACCTAGTCCATAACAGACTTAGAAGAGAACAGTAGATACTTTTCTAGTCCTTCAAAAACAAATTAAAATTGCATCAGAAACAAATATATTAAACAGAAAAATGATAAAGAGAGATGCTCATCACTTCATTCAACACTCGAGTCATAATTCTACCATGAATTTGATTTTAGTTGCCACCTTTATATAATCCCTTTCAAGTCTAAATATGAACTAATAGAAATTTTCTTTCCATTAATTCTCCACCAAGGCATGCATGCATTACTTGTCCAGGATTTCTTTGGTCTAAGAATGAACTAAATCATCATCATCATCATCATCATCATCCCAAAAGCCTATAATGTCAAGTGTCAAATGCATACATATAGAGGTTTCAATTATGAACAATGTTAAAAATAACAAAACAAATTTGAAATTGACAGACATGTTGACACATAAAACAAATCAACTAGGAAATCCTGGTAAAAATCGAAATATAACAAATTTGATGCCATACTTTTTTGGCATGGCCTTTTCATCTGATTTGTATGTCCACTCAATTCCTTTCAGTGCGGCTTTCTCAAGAGGATCACCAACCTACATCCAAAAAACAAAAAAAAAAAAAAACAAAAAAAAACTGGGTGAATAAACCTATATATAGGAACTGACATCTCTGAAGACACTAATTAGGCTGGTAAACAAACACCTTTCGCTTCTCCATATATCACAATTCTTTGAAAGTTAATAGAGAGTTTTTTAATTCCCTTGACAATAAAAAGAAAATGTGTGAAAATTCTCTATATAATATTTCCAAATGCCAGATCTTGTGATTAAATAGGAACCCTAATGAAAGTATGGTAAGTTTTCATAGATGTTGAATTTCAGACTTTCCATAACCAAATTTTATAATAAATAAGGTTCTCTCTTTTTTCTTTCTTTCTTTCTTTCTTCTCTTTTCTTTTTATTTATTTAATTATTTTTGTTTTTTTTTCAAATATAAATCTGCTTGTAAACTCACTATTAGAATTTGACAATATAAATCACAATTCAATTAGTTAACATGAAAACTGATCCTGAACCTGGACATTTCATTTTCAATGGCCTTTTGGATCAAAGATTGGATTTAACTAGATACTTAGATCCTAAACAGTTTAATTGAATTGAACAATCCATATACAAGTGTGTTTGTGTGTTTTACCAGTTTGTTATCCACAAAAACCAAAGCATGACAAGAAGCAAGTATTTCCAAAGTTCGATCAGGCACTTTAGACATTTCTGTTTCTAGCTCTTCATTGTCTGATAAACCACCAACTCCAGAAAATTCCTGAGAAACAAAGTACAAAAGTAACACCACTTAATAAGGCTGAAACAAGAGATAATTGCAAATTAGCAATAGAATTTGAGTAGGCAGGCATACCATGTCATCAGATGTCAGTGTTCCTGTCTTATCAAAACAGCATATATCAACCTGGAAATTGATCGCAAAATAAAGAGACAGATGGACAAAGGAAAAACATATGAGTCATTGTAAAAAGGCCACTCATAGATCATAGATCTAATACACTTACCTTTCCAGCAAAGGGAATCCTAAAAGGCTCGGTACAGTATATCCCACGCCGTGCGAGTGCAATCAATGATGTATTAACGGCAATTGACAGTTCCATGGGAAGTTCAGGGGGAATCACAGAAGTTATAATCAGTGAACAACTCAGAAAAAGTTTGTATCTACTCCTGGTTGGATCCTCAAGCCCCTGTAACAGCATTCAATTCAATTAAATGAACAATATTATATTCATAACAAGCATCTCCCAAGATGACAAACAGAACATTTCTGTAATCTTTCGAGTCTAATTTACCTTCCTAAGGACATAGCCAGCAGCTATCAATGCAAATACTACTAAGAACAAAATAAAGAGTCCACTTTCCCAGCTATTTGCAGTAACCTAAAGATCCATGTAGAAAAGTTCAAATATTAACAATGAAATAAAGAATGCAATTAAGCATAATACTATTCACATCTCGTATTAGGATACCCTTTCTGTGGAAAATAAAATTGTGCGCATTAGCTTCCCTTGGCTTGTTTCAAATCCAGTTCTCAGAACAACTGCTACACAGCCTCCATCTGGGGCTTTTAAGTGAAATGTCTGTATAGTAGTAAACAAAGAAGTATCAAATTATAAAATATGTTTGGCCAACAAATTATTAATGTGCCTGGATAGAGAAGGTACAAAGAGAGAAAAAGACCTTATCTGGTGTATGTTGTAATATTTTTGTACCTCCAAAGAGAACGTGTGCTTTATCTCGTCGAACTGACAGTTTCTCATCACTTCCTCGACCATTTACTGAAACCTGGAAAGAACTGCTCTTTGAGATGAGAGCTTCACATGTTAATAATATATATCCCTAGGGTTAAAGCGTTAAATCTTCTTTGAAGAACTTATGTTAAAGACTTACAGTGCAGCTGATGCATGAGCTGTTGTCATTATATTCTGCATTTCATGCTCTAGTATTGAATTGCTTAGTAGAACTCTCCTTAATAAGCAAGGTTCTGTTTTTCTAAATAATCTTACCACATTTAAAAGCCCACCTTCCATATAAATACATATTTAGAAATTTTCCACCTGGCACATATAACAAGTTCATATCTAATCCTTTCCTTGCTCAGTTACCTCAATTTAAGTTCAATTCAACATGTGCCTATGTCCACACCTTATGAGAATGAAGGATTCAGAAGCAATCTAGACAATTTTTTAGAATGAATTTCAGCTTGAAAATTTCATTTCACAACCAACCTGTTCTAGGATCACTACTGCAGAATGCACATTACAGCATTGTTATTAAATTTTGTTGTGAAATGTGATATTAATGAACAGAAAAAATCACTTAAAAAAAGAGCATTGTGAACATCAGAAAAAAACCTTCCATTGTGGAGTGGATTCTCCTGTTAGAATAGCTTCATTTACAATAGTGCTTCCAGCTAAAATAAGCATGTCAGCAGGTACAGACTTGTCATCTCCATCCAGACCAGTAGAGCGCCCAATAGACACAACATCCCCAGGAAGAAGTTCTGTCCCAGAGAGTTTAACCCACCTAAATTTGAATTCAAAAGATAAAAGATATGCAGGCATTGACTATGCAAAACATAGTCCAATTTAAAAATGTTTTTTTAAAAAAAAAGGAAAAATGTGAGGTTTGCATATCATACTTCCCACATCGATACACCATCAATGTCTGACTATCCACTTTCACACGTCTAAGCTCGGACAAGGTCTTCAAACGGCTTTTGGCCATTGTTGACTCAAACATGAACAGCATAAATAGGGTGAACAGACTGTAATACCAGTACTCGTCTAAACACCATAGGCCAACACAGAATACCTATATGCAATGAGCAATTCAATATTATGATAAGCCCAGAAAATTTATAAATCAAAAGATTATAAATTAAAGATGAACACATTTATTCAAATAAATGGTTAATACATTCACTATTAAAGGTGAAACAAGAAGAAAGTCAGAATTATCACAGACCTGAAACACAAAAAATGGTTCCATGCATTGCTCTTTCATAAGTTTCTGAAACGTGGGTTGAGGATATTCAAATCTACATAATTAGGAAATATTATTAGCAGAAGAAATGACCTTATGAATGCAAAAGGTATCAAGTAAACCAGTACCAACCGACAAAGTGACAAGGTAGATATTAATATTCATATCGATTATTGCACAACGTAAATTATCATAACATGTTTGCAATGAAAATATAAAACACAAATAATTACACCCCAAATGATTAATTAGGTGTAAAGTGGTTCGTGCATGGACAATCTCTGAAACAACAATAATTGTGCACTAAAGGCACCAATAATAACCAATAGCTTAGAACTTCAGTTTAACAAAACTGTGGTTAAGTATACTTCTTAAAAGTTTCCAAAGTCTATGGTGTGTAACTAAAACCTGGAGATGAAATAGCACAGAAAAAGTACCATTCCAACATTTTAAAATTTCCGACTAAAAAGTTGGAAATGAAAGAAACTCACACATTTCTTCCCCATTTCTCAGTAGCCGAATGAACTTTAGCCTCTGTGCCATAACCAGTACTCTTAAGATAATAACCAATGGTTTCTTTGGAAGGATATGGAAGTTTACAGAACGTATTTTTCTCATTTGAGTATATAAATCGTTGCTTCCTGAAATCAAAGTAGATTTCTTCTGTGTCTGCAGATGTAGAAGAAGCTGCCAACTGAAGAATAGTAAACACAGCAGTTAAAACAAGGAGGGAATAATGGCAACACATAAGAAATTTTTTTTATTGTAAGTGAAATAGAAAGGTAAAGGTCTCTGGAGGAGTTAGCAGACAACTGAGAAGGATCTCAATAACAACTTGAATTACTGATATATTATTATGTAGAAAGGATTTCTACAGCAATGAAAAAAATGTGTCAATTACAAAGACCACAGAACTTTGTGATTAAAATTAGGTAGAAACCATTGCTCTCGTATACTACTAACAAAGCAAGGGTAATAGACCTACCCAACTAAAAGCTTCTCATAAAAATGACTTCAAAATCTTCAGATTATTTTACACCATCTATAGAAATCACAAAAGCAAATGTAGAAATATGCAAAACAAGGGTGCAACATTGCCACTTCAACATGAAACTTTGTAAGGATTATTGCATAAGGAGGGATCCCAAATGTCAATAAAAATGTGATTTTATTGCAAGAAAATAAGGAATTGTAGCCTATCAGGTAGAGTTGCTTCCCTTGTGGAAAATTCCTAAGTGTTCTCCACATTAACCAATTAAGCCCTACACGAAAACACTCTATGAGGACATCAACTTATGCTAACAAATTCAACCACAAAAACCATTCGAATAGATACAGTGAGAAATGGCCATGGTGATCATCAAATTAGACCACCACAAAATTCATACCAAAAAGAGCTTTAAAATACATAATAAAGAGGAAGCTGCATAGAAATACAGAGTACGTAGGATCAGGTAATGGATTTTGTTTAAAGCATACCCATCTTGAGTGGGGGGAATATGAACAAGCGAAAACTATGTCAAACCATGTCTGCAACCATCTTGATTCTGGGACTTGTACACTGATCCCACTAGAAAGCTATTAGGTCTATTAATCAGTCCTTATGAACTATTAACTTAGAGTGTAAATAGATTGTTTGATCAAATAATTATCGAAAACAATGTAGCACCAAATCGAGACTCTTAGGATTCTTCATGTCAAGTTGCATCATGGACTTCGATTATGGGACACTGTAGGGTAATGATGAATCTTCATATTAACTGTAACCGGATCTAGTTAAGTTGCCTCTACTTGAGTATTCATTAACGAGTAATACAAGCAAATTTGCATGTCATGTTGTTGTCTTTGAGCTTGATGATTTCTACATACAGTTACAACCTACCCATGCAAGCATTCAAAGCATATGTAGGCCGTGCAAGTTCACAGTAGTAGACACGCAATGTGTCCTATGGCAAGATACAAAGCACAACATCAAATTTAGCAACACGGTTAATTAGAATAATCTAACTAATATCCCACCACAAAACTCAACTTTGTATTTATCAAGATACTTCTCATATAAAAAGGATGAGGAGATGTTCAACAAAGTAAATAGTCAACATAGGATTATATCCATATTAACATTGAAGGTGACTATGAATCAGGGAGAAATGAACAAAAAAGGGTATGAATTAAACGTTAAACCTTCTGGATGTGAAGAGGCACAACTTCTTTGGAGCCAGAAAATTTAGCTGGGGTAATCTTGCATGCATCAGCACGATAAATATCCTTAACCTGCCATCATGCATTATACACATCCTTAGAAATACATGGTAGTAAATTACGCGAAACATTATTAGTCCAGTTGTAAAGAGCAACAATAAATTTTCATGTGACAGGCAGAGACCAAATTATATGTTCAATAAAAACACAATTTATTGCAAGCTTGGAAATATAAGATACGAAACAAAGAATATCACAAAATAGTACAGAATGAGCATTTAGGGTATGAAAAATGAACCTTAGAGTACTGTATAAAGCACTTGAAATCCACAGACCAAACAGTGAACAGAAAAACCAGAACATGAAATGCCATAAGGCTGCCCAATACTATCGAGGCATCCCCAAAATCCAAGCTAGGGACTACAGCTGCCATCCAGATCCCATAGATAATCATAAAAGGCCACGTGTCCAAACGCCATCCCAAATGCCTCTTCCGCAATAAATCAACAGTATCCACCACTTTCCCACCAACATGAAACCTCGACATCTCCTTCTGTTAATTCAATTACAAAAATGATATGCAATTTCTACAAGAACAAAAGTTACAAAAATCATCAGGGGCAAAACATACAGATGATATACAGAAAATATGAACTAGATTTGTAGTTTTGACTTGCCAGCCGGAAAAAGGCAGCCGAATTCTAAATTCCATCTTTTTTCTTCATTCATCAGCATCATGGAAAACAAGGCTTGTCAAAGAAAGTAATGCAAATAAAGTATACCAATAATTGACGTATACTTTGAATTTGAAGTAAGTTTGGGTTTAGAAGATTATGGTCTCTCCAAGGAATTAAGGGAGCCAAATATTTTCAAACTAAACCAAAACTCGGCCTACATTGCTTTTTACCATTCGATTATTGTTGCATCAGTCCATCACATCCACAACCAGTCCAGAAAAAGGAATCGTTCATTACGACTAGTACAATGATTGCAACATTTTCTTGTTAAATAACGAAGGAAATTATCACTAGTTCAAGCCGCCGAATTCCCAATCTACCTTGATCCATCGGCTAATAAACTCACTTACCAAAACCAAATCACGTATTACACTAAAAACCACAAAACAACCCAGAGAGACAAATCTTGAAATCCAAATAGCAACAACCAAACTAACTGCCTAATAAAACTCTACAATTATGAAATTCCTTCTGCACTCAGTAAAATAAGAACTTGACGACTCTCAAGCGAACTTTTTCGAAACCATACCCGGCAAGATCGATAAAGAAAGCGCTAAAGAACACATCGCAACAAGATCGGAAAAACCTATCAAAATAAAACCCCCACAATACCTAGGAATTTACCGAGATAAACAAAAAGAGGAGCCCCGACGAGATCAAAAGGCATGAAAGAGCACTGACCCGTTGCTGTGGAGTTGCGTGGAAGGTCGCGGTGGGCCGGCGGCGTAGGGCTTTGAAGTGATTCGATACGGAGGGGTGGAGGCGCTCAAGAGGAGCAGCGGCTTTTTACTCTCCCGTTTCTCTAACCATCCAGCATCTCTCTAATTTTTACTTTCCTTTTTTATTTAAGGGTGGGTTTGTTTGGAGATTGAATTTTTAATTCACTGTTCATTACAATTTTTTCTAAAAAAAAATACATCAAATTAAATATCTATTTTTTATTTTTTTATATTATATTAAAAATTAATTTTATATTCAAAATATCACATCAACACCTATTTATATAACATCGTACAATTATTTAAATTCAAAAATTTTATTAGTTAAACTCAAAATCCAAAACCCCGAACAAACTCACCCTAATTAGTTTTGTACGTTTTAAAACTGTTTTTTACACGTTATTTATATTTTTATAAAATGTAATAGTAGTATTTATTTACTGCTCATATTACAATATATAATAAACATTTTTTTAATACTATTAAAAATATATATATAGTAGCATAAAAATAATCTATCGAGAATATTACAAATATTTCAAATAAAGTAAATAAAATTATTATTATAATATATACCACGCTAAGGTTATAATGATAAAAATATTTTCATTAATATCTTATAGTAATAGAAATATATTTGTAAAAAGAAATTATACTAAAATATTTTTAAATGCAAAAGATAAATATGACTTTTTAGAGTCGGATAGAATGAATATTAAATATATATTTAAACACTTAATTTCAATCCACGGTCGCTATGTACTTGAAGTTGCGATTTGACCATGATGAATGTGAATAAAAAATAAAATTAGAAAAACAAACCAATTAAAATTGCACGCCATAATCCAGTCTCAAACTCCTTGAATATCTTCTCCGGATTATTTTAAAGTAATTTTATTTGGAGATTGAATTTTAAATATACTATTCATCCTATTTTTTTAAAAAATATAATATTTTTTCCACATTTTAAACTCTACATAATCACAAGTCCAAACTTTTAATAGCAAAGTAAAATCTACATATAGTATTTTTTCTACATTTATAACTCTACTTAATCACAAGTCCAATCCTACACAACCCAGATATCCTTTAATGTGCGTCAATTAACCGTGGCTAAGATTGTACTTCCTCCGTTCCAAACACTCTACAATATTTCATTTTTTTTATATTCCAAACAGCTCGTAATATTTTTAAAATAGGAAATAATTAATTATATTTAATCTTTATCTCACATTTTATCCTCTTTTATCATCCAAATAAAAAAATAAAATATATATTTTTCTCTATCACATCATTTAATTTTTAAATTATTCTATTTAATATTATTCATCTAAAAATTCGTGCAATCATCTCATTTTTAAATTATTCAACTTAATATTATTCATCTAAAAATTCGTGCGAAAGTAAATGTTCACCCTGAGACTGAGTGAGGGAGTATGATATTAACGACTTTTATTAATATTATTATGTTAAAGCCGAGACTCCTTCGTCCGTGAAAGCAAAAGGAGCAGTCAAGATCGATGGCCCGTCAAGCCTCGAAACTAATCGGCGACTTGTCGCGGCGCCTCCTGCAGGTGCAGCAGCGCCGGAGTTTCGGATCGCCGCCTCCTGCGCCGGCCGTCTTCGTCGACAAGAACACGCGCGTGATTTGCCAAGGGATCACCGGAAAGAATGGCACTTTTCACACGGAGCAGGCCATCGAATACGGTACCAAAATGGTATTATATCTCACCACTCACTGCCATCACTGCGTTTCATTTTTAATTTTTGGTTTTGTTTTTCTGCGCCTCATTGCATCGTTTTTATGCGCGAATTTGTTCGCGAGGTGGATTGTTTGCAAGGAGATCGGTGAAATTTTAGTTTGAGAATTGAAGACGAGAGCCATTCACTGATAGGCGAAATCATTTCGTTATTCTTCTTTGCTCGTAGAAATGAAACTGTAGTTAGGCTACTGATCTCGAATCGGTTGACGTGAACGTTCCTTGAATATACGTGTTTTGCTCGATTGTGCTGGAGCTCCATTAAAATCAGTTCGATGGAAAATGTAACAGAATTTTGTTAAAGTTAAGTGAATCAAAGCTTGGTCTGGTTGATGTAAAATTACTCACATATGTATAATCATATCTCAAAATTTTCATTCCAACAAATTTCAATTTCAACCCAATCAAGCTGAAGAGCATCTATAGAAGATCAATGAATATTCATATGATTTCAAGTCTAACTGCATTTTTAACTTGATTGTTTATACAGTAATTTGCCAGCTTTTTCACCATATCTTGCATGCACAGGTTGGAGGAGTTACTCCAGGAAAAGGTGGATCAGAGCATTTGGGACTCCCTGTTTTCAATTCTGTGGCAGAAGCGAAAGCCGAAGCAAAAGCAAATGCATCTGTGATCTATGTTCCTCCACCCTTTGCTGCTAAAGCCATCATGGAGTCTTTGGAGGCTGAACTAGATCTGGTGGTTTGCATCACTGAGGGAATACCTCAGCACGACATGGTAAACACGTGCTAAAATGTATCACTCGCTTGCAGTTTTCTTCGTTAAGATTTTTTGCGATTCATCAATGAATGAGATGATAATGGGATTTGTGTATGCGGTATGATTTTAGTTTTAAAAACAACCTTTTGCCTTTATTTTACAAATAAAAGAGAATGTTTGTTATATCTAGTTAAGCTAACAATCATACAAAATTTATTTTTACATATGATAATTCAGATGAATCTTTGAAACCTTTTAATTTCTCTGATTGAAGTTGGATATGGCCCTAGATTAATTAATGGATACACACGATCTTAATTGCTTCATTTGAAAGTAAGACCAGTACTTATTTATTATTTTTATTGATATTTTCTCAAATTATGACTGAAATGTGAGTGCTCTTTGAATAATTCAATGATTGTAAATGCTTGTGCTACAAGCAGGTATCTATGCGTCGATTTTAAGTGTGAATTGAGAATGAATTGTGTCTGTTGTAAAACCTGGACTTTTTGATTCGCTTTAAACTTTTCGGGTGATTTCAAACTTTTCAATCCATTCTACAAAATTGTGGCGATCCCCCTTTATCCTACTTATTAAAGATCTGCAGTTATTTACATACTACCTTATCTATATTGACAACTCCATCATTGAATGTTCTGGTCTCAATTTCAGGTCCGTGTGAAGGCTGCTCTTAATAAGCAGTCAAAAACACGACTCATCGGTCCTAATTGTCCTGGCATTATCAAACCTGGGGAGTGTAAAATTGGAATAATGCCTGGATACATTCACAAGCCAGGACGTATTGGAATTGTTTCTCGATCTGGTACATTGACTTACGAAGCGGTGAGACATCATGTTATACCATTTATGACTCTCAAAGGCATTATTTTATTTACAACCAAAAGTGATACCATGCATGTGTTTTACCTTTTTCATGTTACAGAAAATTTTTAGAATACAAATGGAAAACTATATTCTCTGTATAAAGTTATTTATGATAGCATAATTGGTGATAATCATGGTAAAGAGCAACTATTGCATTCTAGGCATGGAAGACTTATTCAATCATTTCAATGTTTTGTTAATTTTGGATTTCATTAAGCTCATTAAGGTAAAGTGGGGACAAACATGTCATGAGGGGTGATGTTGTTCTTTATATCTGATAAATATGGATCTAAGATTATACCTACTTATTGATACTCTTTTCTATAAATGTTCGAGCTTTTCTACTTCTTCTCATGGTCTATCTAGTCTGCTTATTGACACTATCCTAATAGCTTTGTTAATTGTGTGTTCGTTAGGTTTTCCAAACAACTGCTGTCGGCCTTGGACAGTCAACGTGCGTGGGCATTGGTGGGGATCCATTCAATGGGACAAATTTTGTGGATTGCATGGAAAAATTTCTTGTAGATCCACAAACAGAAGGTAAAGCCCGTCAGAATTCTTTTCGTACCTCTTTTTCTATGCCCCTGTATCTGGAATTCTGGATTGACAGCGTACTGATTTATGTTTTTTCTTACTTTTGCCATTCTCCTTTCACATCTGCAGTTTCTATCTCTGATGTTCGATTATCATTTAATGCACAATTTCCCATTGTATGTGTAAAAATATAACAAACCTCGTATCATTGATTGTTTGAAGTTTCCAAGGATTGGCTTTTTACTAAGCAGTTTTTACATGAACTTTGTGCAACTATTATCCAATCAGCAAGACAGAGAAAAGACTTCTTGTTATTCTTGTTAAATTTCGAAAATTTGTTATTTATAATATCTTTTTCAGTATATGCATGCTTTATAGTTTACTCCTATCCGCATTAAATATATCCTTTTCCACATTTCAGGCATCGTTCTCATCGGTGAGATAGGTGGCACTGCAGAAGAGGACGCCGCCGCCCTCATAAAGGTATAGTTACCCATACAATTAATATGAAAAGTTCTCTTTTCCTCAGTGTCGATAGATCAGTGTCTAATTGAGAAAGTTGTGAGATATTCTTGTAGAAATACAAAGGATATAGTAGCCTTATATTTTGCCCTCACTCAGATGCCGGTAGTCACTGCCACTGGTGTTCCTGGTGGCTCCGTAAAGTTATCCAAATCTTGATGTTACAACACATATTGCACCAGATTAAACCGGGCAATAGTTTTAGATGACTCTCTTCGACACTGTACCTCATTTTGTTTTAATTCTCTGAAATGTTTAGGCTATTTAATTTTATTGTGATGTTTCTCACTTAGTACTTGCTGATAAATGAATTATACTCCTATTTTTTCATCCATGTGACAGGCAAGTGGGACTAACAAGCCGATCGTTGCTTTTATTGCCGGACTTACTGCACCACCAGGTCGAAGAATGGGCCATGCAGGAGGTATTCTATTTCCTAAACTTTCACCAATTTACAAAAATTATTCATACGTTAATTGTCTGATATCATTCCTAACAAAAATTACAATATACACAAAATTTATAAAGCCTCTTTCTGTTTCTTTTCCGGACACATATTGCCATAAAATGACATTGCTTTGCTGCACATCTGCGATAAAACAGTTGTATATTTCTCATTTTATCCACATTTTCATTTCCTTGCATCCGATTTATGTCCATATCATGTCTAAGAAACATCTTGGCGAATTATTCAAATTCGTTTATTTAGTGATTACTATAACATTTCTGGCATTTGGAAGTTTTGGAGATTTCGAAAATTTTAGAAATGGTAAATTTGGCGTGATCTTTGAAAAAGTTACTGTCGATGAATAGTGCCAAAAGTTTCAAAAATGTCTATTTAATGTGATGCTCTTCTACCATTTCACATCTATTTACATACACACAATTAACCGAATTTTCCATCCCGACTTTGCAGCTATTGTGTCGGGCGGGAAAGGCACTGCGCAGGACAAGATCAAGACGCTACGAGAAGCTGGGGTCACCGTGGTCGAGTCTCCTGCCAAGATAGGCACTGCCATGCTCGAAGTATTCAAACAGAGGGGCCTTGCTTGAGCAGCAGCCGTCGAGCTTTCTTCCAATAATAATTTTTTGCCGTGAGAATCAGATCGATGATCCATTTGTCCAATCCCGAGTCGGCTTGGGTCGGTTCGAGTTAGAGTTGAGTTGCAATAAAGGAGGCATAACAAACCTGTTGTAACTGGATTTTCTCTCTGGGAAAATGATGTTTGCAGCTTCTTGGGAGGACTCATAAATTTCTATATTAAGATAGGAACGCTTTATTGTTTCCACACCTTACCTTGTTTGCAATGGACAAAAGGTTTACATTGCTATTGAATATCCCATTCCAAATTTGAAATATCTTCTTTTTTTTTATATATATATTATATTGTACCCATGATTCAAAAATTTTATTATTTCTAATTTTAAAATTTAAATTTCAAACCTATATAGACAATTTGTTCACCGAATTAATTTTTCTTATAAGATTTTCAAAATATGTAATATTTATATTTTTTTTCTTCCAAATATTGATAATTAATATAAAAAACTCTCTCAGCCGGCTACGGTGTTTTTTACTGTAAATATAGAAATTGAAAAGGAGTATAATTAATAATACATTAACAAAAATATTATTGTATAATATAAATAATTTTAAATTAAAATAAAAATAATTGATTAGTCTACAAATTTTAAAATAAGATTAGATGTATAATTCTTTTTTTTTAAAAAAAAAGTGAGAAATCAAGAAAATATTACTTTTTATATTATCAATATATTTGTATTTCACATTAAGGGTGTGTTTGTTTGACAATTGGATTTTAAATTAACTGTTCATCCCATTTTTTCTCCCAAAAAAATATCAAATCAAACACTATTTTTTATTTTTAATATTATACTAAAAATCAATTTTACAAATACTTGTTTATATCACATTATACAACTATTTAAATTCAAATTTTTTACTATATAAATTTCAACTCAAAATCCAAACCCCCAAACAAATACACCCTTAAAATTTCAAGCTAAATCACTAAACAAACAAATATCAATATGTAAACCGTTGTTAAAAATATTAATCACCATTAATAAAAAGAATTAAGGAAAAAAAACAAAGAAGAAAATTTTCCAAAATTTTCAACATATTCGTCAAATTTGAAATTTGAATAAGTAAATAAAAACGGATAGAAAATATCAGAGACCGAACAGAGATAATCTGAAAAGTGAAGGGCCTAACTGTAATTTACCGTTCTAAGTAGAATCTGGAAGCCCCTGGACGACGAAGAAGCTCCAGCTGTCGGGAGAAGAAGCAAATAGAACACTCTAGACTCATCGATTGCTATATATATTCGTCATCTTCACCACGCGTTGAAGAACGCATTTCGGAGTTGAATCGAAGCAAGCGAGCGGTTTTCTGTGGAATTTCTTCTTCTTTTGCGTAGATTTGTTGAGAGTGAGTTTTCTGATCGATTTGTTGTCGAGTTGATGGCTGGAAAGGGCGAAGGACCGGCGATCGGAATTGATTTGGGGACGACATACTCGTGCGTCGGAGTATGGCAACATGACCGCGTGGAGATCATCGCCAATGATCAGGGTAACCGCACGACGCCGTCGTACGTCGGATTCACCGACACCGAGCGTCTCATTGGCGATGCGGCGAAGAATCAGGTCGCCATGAATCCTACCAACACCGTCTTCGGTAAGGAGTTAGCTCCAGTTTATTTTTAATTTTGTTTATTAATTTTTTTTTTATTTATTATTATTATTTTTTTATGTTGCTGTTGGTGTGATATTGATTGAGTTTGGCCTTGTAGTTATCGTGTGATTCGTTTCTACTGTTTATGGGATTGGTTTGAGGATTTGTTGTGGTATTTGTTCTGTTTCACGGTTGATTTCGTTTCTAGAATAAGAACACTGTAGCTGCCTGCTAAAATTAGGGATTCGATTCATCTTGTTGGAGAAGAACGAACAAATATGTTGATTAATCCTTAGTTGGCGATGAATTGGTTGTTATGAACATATGATCATTTCGATGATGTTCAACTGTTTGTTTTATGTCACACAGATGCGAAGCGGCTGATCGGACGGCGATTCAGCGATCCGTCAGTCCAAGCCGACATGAAGCTATGGCCGTTCAAGGTCATCCCCGGCCCCGGTGACAAGCCGATGATCTGCGTCAACTATAAAGGAGAGGAGAAACAGTTCTCTGCGGAGGAGATTTCATCTATGGTCCTGACGAAGATGAAGGAGATCGCCGAGGCCTATCTCGGCGCCACCATAAAAAACGCCGTCGTCACAGTTCCGGCGTACTTCAACGACTCTCAGCGCCAAGCCACCAAGGACGCCGGCGTCATCTCCGGCCTAAACGTCATGCGAATCATCAACGAACCTACCGCCGCCGCCATAGCCTACGGTCTCGACAAAAAAGCCGGCACCGCCGGCGAGAAGAACGTCCTGATCTTCGACCTCGGCGGCGGCACGTTCGATGTCTCTCTCCTCACCATAGAAGAAGGCATCTTCGAAGTGAAAGCCACCGCCGGCGACACTCACCTCGGCGGCGAGGATTTCGACAACCGTATGGTGAATCACTTCGTCCAGGAATTCAAGCGGAAGAACAAAAAGGACATCAGCGGCAACCCTAGAGCTCTCCGCCGATTAAGAACCGCCTGTGAAAGAGCAAAGCGAACTCTCTCCTCCACCGCCCAAACCACCATTGAAATCGATTCTCTCTACGAAGGTATCGACTTCTACTCCACCATTACCAGAGCCAGATTCGAAGAACTCAACATGGATCTCTTCCGAAAATGCATGGAACCAGTCGAGAAATGCTTGCGCGACGCAAAAATGGACAAATCCACCGTCCACGACGTCGTCCTCGTCGGCGGCTCGACGAGAATCCCCAAAGTGCAACAACTGTTACAGGACTTCTTCAACGGCAAGGAGCTCTGCAAGAGCATCAACCCCGACGAGGCCGTTGCGTACGGCGCCGCCGTCCAGGCCGCCATTTTAAGCGGCGAAGGTAACGAGAAGGTCCAGGACCTCCTCCTCCTCGACGTCACCCCCCTTTCCCTCGGCCTCGAAACCGCCGGCGGCGTCATGACCGTTCTAATTCCGAGGAACACCACAATTCCGACGAAGAAGGAGCAAGTCTTCTCCACCTACTCCGACAACCAGCCCGGCGTCCTCATCCAAGTCTACGAAGGAGAACGCACACGAACACGCGACAACAACCTGCTCGGAAAATTCGAGCTCACCGGAATCCCGCCGGCGCCGAGGGGCGTCCCGCAAATCAACGTGTGCTTCGACATCGACGCGAACGGGATTCTAAACGTGTCGGCGGAGGACAAGACGACGGGGCAGAAGAACAAGATAACAATCACGAACGACAAGGGGCGGCTGTCGAAGGAGGAGATCGAAAAAATGGTGCAGGAGGCGGAGAAGTACAAGGCGGAGGACGAAGAGCACAAGAAGAAGGTGGAGGCGAAGAACGCGTTGGAGAACTACGCGTACAACATGAGGAACACCATTAAGGACGACAAGATCGCGTCGAAGCTGACGGCGGCGGACAAGAAGAAGATCGAGGATTCGATCGAGGAGGCGATTCAGTGGCTGGATGGGAACCAGCTTGCGGAGGCGGATGAGTTTGAGGATAAAATGAAGGAGCTTGAGAGCATTTGCAACCCCATTATTGCTAAGATGTATCAGGGCGGCGGCGATGCGGCCGGGATGGATGAGGATGGCCCGGCTCATGGCGGCGGCGCAGCCGCCGGTGGCAGCGGCGCTGGACCTAAGATTGAGGAGGTGGATTAAGGAGTTTTAAGTAAGTATTGCTGGATGATTGAAGTTTGGGGTGTGTTTTGGTATTTTTGATTTTGGAAGGACGGATTTGATGATGATGGTAATATGGTATGGTTTATGAAGTAGCTCTTTTGATGGTATTAAATAAAATATAATGCTTTCCCCAATATTTCAATTTCTAATTCTCGGAATTTTCTGGTTGGGCTTTAGCGAGGCCTATTCTATTAATATATAAATCTTGCTAGATTTTTTTTGAATTGTTTGCATAATTTATACCTAGTTTGTTTATTATTATTATTTTAATCAATTTTTTTTGTACATCTAATTTATTTATTTTTATCTACTTATTGTTATATTTTTTAATATGCTAATATTTTGTATCCGTACACCATTGAGAACATTCTCTGTGAAAGTTTTTATATCTCTAATTTATATTTTACTTTACTCTTATATACTTGTCTTTCTATTCTTCCTCTTTTTATATATATCTTACTACTATTGGTTGCCCTCTCTCCCTCCCTCTTTACGTACTTCTTTTTGTATTTGGAGTAGATATGAAGTGGTGGTAAAACACTATCCACATTTCCACACACCCTAAAAAAGCCAAGATCAGCAATTTCCTCTCCCTCCTCCTTTCTCCACCAAATATCTCCTCCTCCTCCTCCTCCTCCTTCTACCTACCCCCAATCTTCCTTCATCTACAAACACACACACACACCCACATGTATGTGTGAAAGAAGGATGAAATCCTTGAGTGGAGTTGGTCTTGGCTTAAGCCTAGTGTTTGGGTGTCTCCTATTAGCTCTCATTGCTGAAATCTACTACCTCCTTTGGTGCAAGACCAAAACCATCCACTCCACCCCCCACTCCCACTCACACCCCCACCCACCCCCCAACATAATCCCCCAAATCCTCACTACCTGCTGCACACCCACCCCCCTCCGCCTCTGCTCCTCCACCCCACTTGTCCATCACCCATCCAAGACCAAGCCACCGCCCAACCCCATTGGAACCCTCCCAAGATTCCTCTTCACCATCACTGAAGAAACCATTGAAGACTTGGAGGAAATTTCTGATCAAGAATATGGATTCCCATTTCATGTGGTGAGAAGAAAACAACAGCCCACTACCCATTTGGCTGATCTTCTTCAAGTCTTGGAATTGGATACCCCCACCCCATTCCTCACCCCCATTGGCTCCCCTGCACCTAATTACTACACCCCACCATTGACACCCACAGTTTGGATTAACAACAACAATGGTGATCATCAAAGATTAGGGCAGTTTTTTCAGGTAGCAGAAAAGGAAAGGGAAAGGGATGCAGCTTTCAATAGGATGAGGGCTTCCCCACCCCCTACATTCAAGTTCTTGAGAGATGCTGAGGACAAAATGATTCAGAGAAAGAAATTGATGGAGGAACAAAATGGAGGAGGAGATAGAGATAACATTTGGATTTAACAGTGGGGGTGAGTTAACTTATTAATTAATTAATTGCAAGATGAGTTTTTTTTTGGTTAATTTTCTTGTCTTGTGTTTTACCACTTGTTGTATAAATGTGGCTAAATTTGACCACTTTGATGTTTCTTTTTGGAGGGTTTCTCATTGACTAGTAATATTAGTGGCTAATTTTTCATTGCAATTTTATTTTTGCTCATTTTATTACTCTTCTTGATTCTCTTTGCTGTTTCAGATATGTTTATGGGTGATTATATAGTGTATAGTTTTGAGAATCAATCTTAATAGTCTGATGAATATGTAGCAAACAGACAAGATCCAATTTTTACAATAATTTTTTTTTTTTTTCCAATTTTTTCAATTTTCGATTGTATCCGGTGCACACCCTATTTGGCCATAATTTGCTTAGAATAACTCACATATTTTTGTCTATTTTTGGGTAATTTTCATATATTTGACTTATATTTATGTTTCAAATCAAAGAGATTCCTCTTGACTGAACCTTTCATTTGTATATAGTAATTATTGAACACTCATATATGCATGTTCATTATTTTACCCCAATAATGCTTGAATCAAAACCACAAAAAACACAATAAAAGACAAACCATAGTATGCAATTTTGAAATAGGTTAAATTATAATTTTAAAAAGCAAAGAATTTTATGGAAGTCTGAGAAATATTCTCAAACAACTATTATTATTATTATTATTGAAAGAATATGAATGGATGCTTTTAACAGTGGGAAGGGTGATGTTGGCTGTTTCAAAAAGAACAAAGAGGGTGGTTTCCCGTGACACAATTTACCTTCTGTCATGGCCAAACGCGCCCTAATAATTGTTGCCTTTCTTTTAACATTTACCGACCCAAAAACAGAAAATGTAATATTTAAAACAATAATAACTTTCAATACAGTAGCTTTTGTTCACTTTTGGAAATACCAGAACACCCGGAACAAATACAACACATATTTTAAATAAAAACTGGTACTATTTTAAAATAATTAAAAATGAATACATATTTCTTTGAATTACAAAATCAATACTTTTATTATATTTTAAATAAATACTGCATTAATTAATAAGAAAATAAAAACGAATAAACAGATAACACATTTTTTTTTATTCCAAACTAACATATTTAAATGCGCATTGTATTAAAAGAAAACTTATATTGTATATGTGCTGTACGATTTTTTATTTTTTTTAAAAAAAATATTTATTTATTTTGTGCTGATATCAACACAAAACTATATCATATATTGTATTTACCATAAATCACGCTAAAATATTTATTTGTGCAAGAACCATATTTTACTAAATCATAAACACTCAAATCACAACGGCAAATCCAATTTCTCTTTTAACTACTGTTAGATACAAACGCCAGAAATATAACACCACCTCATTTAAAGCATACCAGCATTATTCGATACGATTCGAAAAAACTAAACCCGAAAACAGAATCAAAACAATAATAATCCAAATAATATTCAAGGTAATAGATCATAACTTGACAATTAATTTATATCAATGGAAATTGAAATCATACCTGGAACACAAGAAATGCACAAATTGAATGTGTAGAGAGGATTAGGGAAGAGTTAAGAGCCCGACGGCAGCAGCATCGGTTAAACCGAGTTCGAAATGTACAGACTGGAGGCTCGGTTCATTAAGAAGACTGAAAGCGCAGAGCCCGTAATAGGAGTGGTAAAGGTCGGGAAATAATCCCGGGAATTTACTGAAACCGCCGTACTGAAACAACATAACACGATATAGTGAGAATATATCATAGACTCAAATATGACCCCGTATTTCGATTTTCTGAGGATAATAAAAGCACCTTAGATTGACAAGTTAACAAATATCCGCGTAATGCTCGCTCGTTGATGAATTTATCTGCTCGTAGGATTCTTAAGACTCCTCCAATCCTGCAGATGTAAAAAAGTTCTCTTTGAAGTCGTCATTATAGAAATATAATTTTTTTTTCTCACCAAATATATTACATTTAATCACACTATTAAATCCAAAACTAAAATAAAAACACCAAAAAGAGCATGCCTAACTAGTCGAGAAATGGATATATGTATATATATTGTATGAAAACATACCAAAAGGCATAACAAGTATCGGATGGCTTGTTGGGTCTACCTTGAAAGCCACCATCTTGCGCTTGCCTCTGTAATGCAGATAAATGAAAGTAACAAAAAGATTCCATTACATGAAACAAAGAGACATCGATTAATTAGAGAGTGAGCTATTTGTTGACTAAACAAAAGATACATGCTCTTCGGAATGACATCTTTATGAGTTAATACAGTTCCGATGTTAGTGCTAACGCACAAATTTTACATGGAAACAAACATTCACAAAGCTACTGTTGTTGACTTTAGATATTAGAACAGATATATGTATATACATCGATAAACTCATGCATAAGTTTGTTTGATGGACACCGATGCATATTTACTGTAGATAATAACCATATAAACCAATTTTTATTCTACGTTTCTAGTAATATTATAGATCGAATTGCAGTCCCCAAAAATCGATGAGAAGGGTTTAACCTGCAAGCACCAATCCAGAAGCAATGGCACGTCGATGATGTGACAGGAAGTATCTTCAACGAGTGCATCCTCCTCCATGAATCCCATCAGTTTAAGAGATGCAACAGCACAGTAAGTGGCACCGCCTGCAACACTAAAACAATATCCATCCATAAGTGAATCACAAATCCGCAAATAGTTCCTACCCTCCAAGGATCAAGAACAGACAGCTTGAAACCAAATAAAAAAGCAACCAGAGTGCATTTCATTGCCCACTTTTTGCACCGAGGGGAGCTGTATATTGCTCAACGAAATTTTACATACAATGCTCATAAAGACAGGAATGCGGATGTACGGATATCCTGTGTGTAAAAATTAACATATGCTTCAAGCAATCTGGTTGGTGTCAATTTCTATTAAATTTTCAAAGGCGTGGTGGAAGAAAGAAGAATAGAATCATACGTAGAAGTTCAGAATTTAGTGGTGGAGATTTCAGAATTTTGAGATGATTCTGATTGTTGAAAATAGAACAAGTTCCAGCAGACTAGCAAGTGAATCTTGGCTGTTGCTAATGAGGATCGAAAACAATAGTTTGTTATAATAAAAATAGGATTCAGAGCCTTTGAAATAAACTGTGTGAGATAAGAACATAAGATTAATACGACAGAGTAATTATATATTGTACTCACCATGAGATTCTGAACCTGGAAGCAATCCAAAACCACCGTCGTACGACTGCAGGGACATTTTTAAGCATTATATTTTGTTCAACAATTGAACAGAACTTATATAGCTGCAATTTAAAGAGATGAGACATAACCAGGATGTTGAGTTTTTTAGATACTCTACCTGACAAGATACTATATAATCTTTAGCTTTTTCCCGATCCATACCATTCCAATTCTTTAAAATGGAGCAAATGGCCGCTGATACATTAACCAATTAAATGTTTTCTTGTCCAAACAGAAAGCAAAGCTTGAAATTTAATCAGAACTTTCGATAGTACCTGCACAAAACACGAAGCGAAGATCTCTCTCTCCACCAGTATGAATTGGCATAAAACTGAGACATCAAAGCCATAAGGAGTTACGTTGTTAACAAAGGCACCTGAACTGATGCAACTGGTACTCACAACCTATCATCACGGTTTGCCAGTAAGTGTCGAAATGCTATGTTATGTGCATCAAAGTTGGATACCATGAATTCCCAGATAAAATTTAAAGTTAATACAATAATTTTAGCTACATCATCGCAATTTGCAATTTTATATTAATATGCCCGAGCCCTCACAAGCACATTACCACATAAAAAACACAAGATTGCATCGGTCAAACGTAAAAGAATATAAAATTACTCTTAAGTTATAAAATGACAGCAACAAATGCAATGTAGAAGCAATCAACAAGTGAAGAATGACAAAGATCAAGACAAATATCATATGATCCAGAGCTAATGAAGTTCCTCAAATTTACCATAAAAAAAAAAAAAAAAAACACACATTCATGTATGAAACTATTAGACGCCAGGTCAGGATCACCAATGATATGGGTTGCTTTACATTTGTATTCGACTGAGAATCTATTTCTATTAGGGTAGTTGGTAATCAGTATCATCGTGTACAAAAGCGTACCACCTCCATGAAATGAACATCAACATTCTACAAAAAACATCATCATAAAAGAAACCATAGAAAATTAAGAAAATTAGAAATGACATACCATCCATTCGGCTGCTGGAGGCATTTCATTGATTTCAGTAGTAATTCAGAGTCAATTAACGATAAATCATAGCCAACAGTCTTTAGTATAGCCAAAGCACAATATGTGCTTGCCAGGTGACTGCCATTATGGATTGCTGCCTGAATTTATACAAACACCTAATAAAAACATCCCGGAATTGCTACAAGGAAGGAATAAACATTCATATGTTAAATGACATTAATTATGTACCCCATTGTTGTTAGATTGGTACTGGGAGCTTCTGGAACCATGAAATCCATAAAATTGCCCTGTTCAAATACAAATTCTCATGCTAGCATAAATCTCATCTTCTACACCATAGCAGTGACACAGGAAAACCGAAAAAACTTTGGAAAATAAACTACCTTACCCTTTTCCAATGTATCCTCATTTTTCGGACGAGCTTGTAGTGATAAAACCCAATTAATAACGACTTCTTTGTCCACCTATAATCAAAACATCATCACTCAATGGTGTATCTGTCAAGAACAGTAATTGCATTTCAATTCAAACCTGCTATAAATTATAGTTATGTCTCATGACTTGAAATGAAGATGATTTAGGTTAAAGACAACACAAGTATTCGGAAAAAGAATAAAAAAAAAAAAAAAAAAACTAAAATCTAAGCAATCTCTATTAATCAAATAATTGGAAGACTAACTGAATTTTGCTGCTTAATATCCTACACAAATCCTGTGAACCAGAAACTTGTTCAAACCCTAATTATCACCCTAATCAAACATCACCCGGATGTGCAAAGATTAACAATAAATTTCACCAATACACCAAAAACTTTCAGAAAATCCAATTCAAAACCGCGCATTAATTATAAAATTATATAAACAAAACCAACTCAGTACAGAATTTCAGAACAAAAAGCAGGAGGGGAAAAACGAGATCAGAATCGAGTGAAAAAATGAAATACTCGATGGAGAGCGCGTAGGATGTCGAGGCCAGATACAGTGAAGTAGGCGAGAGTGAGACGGTTGATCTCTTGATCCTCATACGGCGACGGCAACAGCTGATACATCATCTCCATAAACAATACGTGCCGATCTCTATCGAAACCCCGCGGCTCTGGATCGGCTTCCCGGCGCACTTGCTCCTCCTCCATAGTTAAAACCTCCGAAATTCAATTCGGGCAGAGTGGTCTGTGTCCTGAATCTGAGAGTACGAGAGCTGCTCTACCACGCCATTGCAGATTTCTTCTTTATATCGTCGACGAAGGTACGAAGTTCGCAGTTGAAACTTCGAATGCAAGGAAAAATATTCTCAAATATTATTTTATAAAATCACAATGTAATTTGAAACGTGGGAAAAATTTTTGTTCCAATATAATTAAAATTCATCAATTTTTATTCTAATATAAAATTTTATCAATTTTGATTTTAATATAATCAAAATCATCATTTTTTTTTATCTCAATATAACCAAAACTCATCATTCTTTTTTCAATATAAAATTAACTATCATTTTTTTGTCTCAATATAATCAAATTTTTTTTTTTTTTTCCACCGTCAACAAACCGACAAAAAATGTTGACGTGAAAAGAAATCAAACCTTATATTTATATTCGAAGAAATTGCACAATCTTGCAAGTCCATGTCAGCATTTTTTTTTATATGTTTTTGATTATATTGAGACAAAAAATGATAAGTTTTAGTTATATTGAGACTAAAATTAATAAAAAATTTATATTGGAAAAAGAATAATGAGTTTTAATTATATTAAGTAGAATTTTGATTATATTAGAACATAAAATTTTTATATTAAGACTAAAATCGATGAATTTTGGTTATATCGAAAGTAAGAACATCTTTTCCTATCAACTTTTGCCCTACTTTTTTGCATATACTAATATTCAATTTTAAAAATTTTGACAATGTTTGAATTTCACATTCTGCCGATTTTTTTACTATAATAATCCATATTTTCATTGTATAAAAATCAGAAGTGTGTTCTTTTCCTTTTTTATAAAGTTCATAAGAATTTACTTTATTCTTAAGAAAAAATTATTTTATAAAATATTATACTATTAAATAGCCGTGTAATTAATAATGAATTATAAATTTATAATTTTCTATTTCATACGTATTCGTTACTAAACTTATTTTTATATTATTTTATTATTTTTTATATAATTAAAATATTGATAATTTTAAAATAAATGTAATATATATAACTAAAAAAATAAAATATATATTTAAATATTTTAAAATTTATATCGCAATAAAAAATAGACATAGGTGTGTTTGTTTGGGGATTTGGATTTTAAGTTGGAATTTGAACAGTAAAAATTTTGAATTTGAGGTATGATATGATATAAATAGGTGTTTAATATGATATTTTGAATGTAAAATTAATTTTTAGTATAATATAAAAAATAAAAAATAGATGTTTGATTTGATATTTTTGGGGAAAAAAATGGGATGAAAAGTAATTTAAAATCCAATCCCCAAACAAACACACCAATGTATATTATTTTGTGAGAATAAAATTTTATATAATATAGTAAATAAAATTATTTTATAGAAGTACAAAATTTTGAATAGAAATAAAAATTCATTTTCTTATTGGAAAAAAATAAAAATGAAGAAGTTATGAGCATATAATATTTTACTCCCTCCCTCAAACTAAAAAGTATACATATTTATATTTTGGGACGTAAATAAATATTTTATTAAATATATATTTTTTCCCATAAATACCCCTATTTTATATCACATCATTACTTTTACACCAAAAAAACAAAAGGAAAAAATGTCAGAGCATCTCCAATCCAACGTCATTAATGGCGCTAGGTTGGCTTATCTGGAGTCGGTTGGAGAGACGCCAAATCCAACGCTACTTTTTGGGTTGCTAAAGTGCAACGCTAATTTTGGTGTTACACTTTATTATTTTTTTTTAATTTTTTTTATATTTAAAAAAAAATTATTTTAAATTATAAAAATAATTTTTTTTAAAATAATAGGAAAATTTGAATATTTGAAAAATAATACTGAAAAATGGCGTTATTGTTGGAGTAAAATTATTGTAGCAACGGCTAAAACTGATAAATGGAGTTAATGGGTTAGAAATGACCTCATTACACTACTTTTAACTACTCACCATAATTAAAATATTACTCTTTCTCCCACATTGAATGTCTCAGTTACCGTAGACACGAGAATTTAGAATAAGTATAATTAGTAGATAATTATGAATATATTCGTAAAAATAAATAACTTATAATATAATTATTATAAATTAAGATTAAGATAATTAATTAGTTTAATTAAAATTAAAAATTTTAAATTAAAAAATTTAAAATGAAATTAAAGTAAATGACATGAGATGTGGGACAAACATGGCAAGTGGGACAGAAAGAGTATTATTTCTTAAACACTTTGTCAAAAGTAATTTATTTACTTTGTGTGTGGACGGAAGAAGTATATTATATAATTAATTAAATTGATTTATATTTATTAAGTATATGTTAATTTAGCAAATTTTATCCAAAATGAAAAAAAATATTTAAACGTGCAACATTAAATACAAACCATATACTAATTCCCTGTGCACAAAAATACTAAACTAACAACTTGCATTTCCTTATTCTGCTAGTGTTTTTTTTTTCTAAAAAAATAATGTAGAACTCCGTATCACTATTTTTCGAAGACGCTCCAAACAAATCCTAGTCGGACTCAATAGTTTGCAAATTAATTACCATAAAAACAAGTTACACTAAGGCATCTCCAACCAAGCAACTTCATTTATGCCGTTATAATTCTAAAAATGCAATTATTACACTGATTTTACTCCAACCCACAACTCTATTTTTTATTCCAAAACTAATATTCTTCTTCAAATATTTCATCTTATATAGGAGTATTATTTTAAACCACTTTTTATATCTACAATTAATATTTTCTTTTTAAAAATTAAAAAAATTAATTAATTAATATACAATTTTATTTTATTTTTTTTTAAAAAAAACACAACACCATAAAAATGATGTTGCACGGTAGCAAACATCATTTTTGGTGAAAAAAATAACGCCCGATTGAAAACTGAGAACTCCATTTATGGGGCTGCAACGTCAAAATTGTAGTCCCGTTGGAGATGGCTTAACTTAAGCCATCCTTTACCGGACTATTTTCTACTAGTGTTTTGTGTATTGCTGTTGTTAGACAACCACATATTGCCACAAGTCATTTGATCTGAATATTTCTACATGAGAACTCCAAATATATTTATGAAATCACAACAAATATAAATCCTCATAAACATACCAAAAGTCTCAAAATTTTGCCTATGAAGGAGATGACGAATGAGTAGCTTAAACGAAAAAAGCCCCAACAAGATTGAGTAGTAGGAAGTCAGTACCTTCAAAAACTCCGACGCCGCCGCCTCTCGTCACTTTCGGCAAGATTACGAACAATAGAGACAGCTCTACGCACGCTCATATGCCGCTGAATTCCGAGACGTTCTTCAGGGCATCCTCCTCCATTCGAACGAGGTGTTTGCAGAAGGACTCGACATTGTGTGCCTCGTCTTTGAACGTAAATCTCAACTCCTTCCATCGATACTCATGAGAGCCAGCATCGCCGACTGAGTCCAAAACTTTTCCTAATACGTCGAATCCCTTCCTGTCTATGGAGAGAAGAAAAGCATCCTTTTGGGCAAAGAACAACGAATCAGCAAACAATCGTAGTATAAAGTCCTCTAGCCTTTACCGGAAGATGATCGTTGATTTTTAAAGTATGTTCAATGCGTACCTTAGCATGTTCTTTTAGGAAGGTGATGCAGAAAAGAACAAGGGCACGACGCCGCGTTTCACTCTGATTGATTCCGTCGATCAGAGCCGTTGAAAATGGAGCTAGAGAACAAAGATACAACGAGTCAGAAGAAAGTGTTACGGCTCCATTTAGACAGAGACTTTTGAAATTTTGAAAAAAAATTAAAACTAGTAAAAAAATTAGTATTTGATGTAATTTTTGTAAGTAAAAATATATATTTAATGAGATGCTTTTGAAAAAAATAAAGTTTATTATTGATGAATAGTGTCAAAACTCTAAAAGTGGATGGGTAAAAAGAGTCAGAGTAATTGGACAAAGAACGGAGCTAGAGAAGAAATATACAACAAAGTCAAAAGAAAGTGTTACAGCTTAGTTTAGTTAGAGGCTTTTGAAATTTTGAAAAAAATTTAAAGTAGTAATAATTAGTATTTAATGTGATATTTTGTGAGAAAAAACATATATATTAAATAGATGCTTTTGGAAAAAAAAAATTATTGTTGATGAATAGTGTCAAAAGCTCTAAAATTGAATGTGTAATAAAAGTCTTAGGAATTTGACGAAGAAAAAGTGCGATAGTGTTCGAAGGAAACAAGTCTTACTTAGAGGATCAGCTTTACACTTTTCGATGTCTTCAAGATTTACTTCATGAGTTCGACCACTTCCATCGAGGTACATGCACGAGCTGCATAGTTTAAAAACCCGTCAATAGTCGGTGTGTATCTCAAAAAATTTTTGAAACTGATGAACAAAAATTACTTTAACTTCACCAACGACTTCTTTAAAAATTATTCCGTCAAATATTGAATAAAATGTAGAAGGGTGTTGTTCTAAGATTCTAACCTTGGGTCGAACTTATACACGGCGTAATGTTCCTTGTCTGTGAGCAATTCTTTTAGATTTTCACTCCGAGAAGAAGAAGCATGTGACGATGAATTCAATATGCCTGAAACTGAATAGCTTAGCTCCTGAGTATTACTTAGGTCTGCTTGTAGGATTTCCTGAAGGCTTTCAGCCACTAAATTAACCTGCAAACGGATAAGAAATAACATTCGTATATTTCTCATTAGCTAATCAGTCGAGCATTCCATTGGCTTAGTACATAGTGGATGAACGAACCAACAATGATAACTGGAAAAGGTAATAACGCAAACAAATACGTCGTGGCAGTTTTGATAACTCAATTTTGAGGAGGTAAAGACTAATGTGGTTTTAGTACAAGATTTAGCTGTAAATATCACATAAGATGGCATGTAAATAATTCCGTCACAAAATAAGTCTTAATGGTTACAACAAAGACTAAGAAAAATGTAAATTAAGTGGGAATTTGGTAATATTGGGGATTTAAAAGTGACTGAAAAATATGCTCGAGGAAGATAGGAGGATGTCGGAAACTGGAAACTTGCATATTAGGCAAACTTCTAGTAGTGAAACACAATAAAAACCTATAACCTTTAAAGTATAATATCAAGAAGGAAAAAACCACGGCAACATATACAGTTTTAACCATTGGATACCTTCTCATCTTTAAGGCGCAAGACATCACCAACCAGAGCAACCCGAGTTGGTAGCTGTATAATGCATAGCAATTAATATGTTAAAGATTATTGTAGTGAAAAGATAACGAGACTATAGATTAGTTGTAACTGGAAGAGAACAAAAGCATACAATGACATCTAAACGACGAATATTATGTAAGTATCAAGGACTAACTTTATGTATGCAGAATCAGTTTTTTATTTTCTTTTTTTTTTTTTTTTTTTTTTGTTGTTATCATGGATTAAATGAGCAAATGAGTTAGGAAAGGGAAGGATACATAATAACAAAAGCACAATGGAAACGGAATTAAATAAAAGGAATGCATATAAAAGGTTTAAATAGTAAAGCATATATAATTTACTATAACCCGAACCTTGTTTATTGATTTAAGCAAATATGCAAGAGGCCCTGGAAATTGACTGCTAACAGCAAAAGAAGCACGTTCATCAATTATGGTATTCTGCAAGAGAAACAGAGAAGAAAGAAATAGATAATAGTCCGATCAACTATACAGTTAACAAACCATTACTTTTTGCTCGTTGCATAACAATTGCTAAAGATAATTACACTAAAACAACAAAAAGGTTAACAATCCAATGATATTTCAAACAAAATCCATCAAATTAAACATTTATAACAAAACAAACAATAATGCATTTGTTTGTCTTTGTATCTACGGTAAAATATTTTTTACCTCCAAGAAACATCACATCCAACACGTATTTTCTATTCAAAAAGTTGAAAACCAAAATTTAATTCAAAACTTTACAATTAGTACTTATTTTCCATTTAAACCATTCAAATTCCAAACACAAATAAAAACAGTGACTCGAGCTTCCAATAATCAACAAGAGTACGGCATTCCCTACCAAGTACCAATGCAGCTATTTCACAGGAATAGTTTTCAGATATTCGATATGAAAAAAAATCACAGAGCCAAATATCCATCTTATAAGATCAATTCAACATCAACATCAATGAACATCGCATTCCTATTAGATAATTTCATGTCAAATCATACAGAACATCATCATAAAACACAGCTCTCAAATCCATCTGCCTTACACAGAACATTTCAAGCGCAGAAATGTAATCACAACCAAACAGAAACAGAGGCATTTCCAGAAGGTACTTTACCACGTTATGCAACTCCTTCTCAGGCACCCAAATATAAGGCTTCCCTTTCTTCACAAAATACTTCACTTTTGATGAGTAAATCTCCTCTTTGCTGAATTCCGGAATGAATCAAAACCAAAATAACCACCAAAAAGAAAAGTACTAATTAATTAAATCCAAATTCATCTCACGCAACCTGCATACCTTCCGCGGGAATCAGCTTTAATGGTGTTGAGCTTCCCCTGCCAATTCGAAGCTAATATAGTCTGCAAATCCACATACATCAACACGTCAAACGCAAAACATCCTGAACGGAAACACGATTGGTAAACCATTTCCTACCCTGCACTTCTCGGATATTGTTAAGATGGATGATTTCCCCCTTCTCATCATCATTCGTAATCCCGAATGCTTCAGCTGAAGGGTTTTGGACATATCTTCGGGGGTGGGGGTTTAAGCTCCGGTTTTGGAACTGGGCAAAAATTATCGGGTCGGGTTCGGTTGCGGACCGTCCGGATCGGGTTATCATATTGCTCTAATGGGCCACCGGCACGAGCTCCCCTCCGCCTTGGGTAAATTCGATTATTGTATGGACCTAAATTGGCCCATTCTATTAATTTATGAAAAAATTTAATTATTATTATTGTTGTGTTTTTTTTTTTTTTTTTTTTTTGAAGGTATAATAACTATTTGTTGTAAATTTTAATTGAAAAGTTAGTGTTAAATATACTATGGGTACGTTTTTTCGAGGGTTTTCACAAAAATTCTGCTATTCATTCAAAAAAATATTAAATTAAACATATATTTTTTATTTTTTATATTATTTTAAAAATTAATTTTCATTCAAAATATTATATCAATCTATATTTATATCACATCGTATCACTATTTTAATTCAAATTTTTGACTATTTAAATCCTAACTCAAAATTCAAACCTCCAAACAAACACATTGAATTTTATAAATACTACAAATATAAAAGTATTTTTTTTTTTTTGTTTGATTGTGGAATTTAAAGGTTTGTTTGTTTTGTGTTTTGGTTGGAAGATAAAATATTTACGTGAGGTATAATAAATTGTATAGGTAATATAAAAATAATTAATATATATAATATATTAATTTTTTATTTTTTGACAGAAAGAACATAAGTTTCACTCTTAAGTTTAAATACTTTGGATCTAATGTTAGTGTGTTTGTTTGGAGGTTTGGATTTTAAGTTGGAATTTGAATAGTAAAAATTTTGAATTTGAATAGTTGTATGATGTGATATAAACAGGTGTTGATGTGATGTTTTGAATGTAAAATTGATTTTTAGTATAATATAAAAAATAAAAAATAGGTGTTTGATTTGATATTTTTTTGGGGAAAAAAATAGGATGAATAGTATAAATCCAATCCAATCCCCCAAACAAACACACCCTAAATATATATATATATGTGTGTGTTTATAATTATGAGGAATCAAAAATATTATTGTACAATGAGATTGGTTAATGTAAGGGTATGTTTCTTTAGATGAGTATTGAAAAAAAAAAAAAATTGATTTGAGTTTGTTATTAAAATAATGTATGATGAGATATTTTGGGAGAAGAAAAAATATATGTTTTAAAGAAATGTAGAGTCCAAATAGTAAAAATTTGAGGTTTTGGACAAAAAAAAACATATCCTGAGATTTATCAGCTTCAACTAACATATATTTTGGATTTGTTTGATTGTGATTTTAATAAAAATTTAAATTAGTATTTCATTTCAAAAAAATATATTATTTTTTTATATAAATGACACAATTTTATTATTATTACTTTATTTATTTTTTTGGATATATTGTAACATAACATTCCCACCATTTTAGGGTCAAAGCACGACAACATGACACCAATCCACGTTGTATTCTAACCATGGGCGATAATTATTATTCATTGACTTTCGATTAAGTCAATGTCAACCCTCGAGCCCATATATAAACTCATCCATTAAAGACACATTAATCACAGCCCAAACGTTAAGCCCTCTCTATTATTTCCACCAATAATTCATATTACAATAATTCTCCAAATTAACTAAATCTTAATTAAATGGCTCCGCCGCCAGCGCCGGCAACAACCCAAGTCGTATCGCCGGTAACTTCTTTGGTTGTAAGAATTCTAACCATAATTTGTCTCTTTGTATCGCTCGTCGTTCTTTTCACTGCCTCTGGATACGCCTCCAACCGATATTATTACGTCAAAGTTACTTTCAAGAATGTCAATGCATTCCGGTGAGTATAGATCTTGTTAGAATTTTACATATGAGGTAATTTTTCTTGTATGTAAAAATATTTTTGCCGTAAAATAATCGTATTAAATGAACATTTCATCTAAAACTTCTAGTTGGAAGGAATATACATAATACATATTTGTTTGGTTCTTATTTGAGTTTGTACTAAGTTTTTTTTGTTTGATAACACTACTTCAGACGATTTAATAAGTTTATATTTATTTTTTGTGTCCCTGTATTTAATATTAAAAATATTTTTATATTTATTTTTTTTTGTACAAATATCATTCTATTTATATCATAAGACACTAATAAAAATAATTTTTTTTATTTTTCTCTTGATTTGTACTACATTTATAATCATTAATATTCAAATATCGATAAAAAATAAAAAATAAAAAATAAATGTAAACTTTCAAAGTAGACAAAAGTAGTATTTGATATGATATTTTGTAACATAAAATACTAAATAGTACTCCCTCCGTCTAAATACAATAGTCTTGTTTACCATTTTTGTCCGTCCCAAAACAATAGTCTTATTTCCATAAATAATCATATCACCATAAAACTATCCTTATTTTTTTTTATTACATAATTGCTACTACTTGTTACATTAATACACTCACAAGGGCAAAAAAGTCTTTTATTCATACTTTTTACCGACTATCAATATAATATTAATATTTCTTAAATCTCATACCCAACTCAATTAAGACTATATTTATGGAACAGAGGGAGTATATTAAAATATATATATTGATAGTACAATTTTTATTTTTTTTTTTAAACAAAAAGCAAACAAATCCATTATTCAAACAATGTTTATTTTTGTTTATATTCATTTTTCACACATCAACAAAAATATATATATATATATATACATAAAATTATAAAATATTGAACAAACTCACTCTTTATACAAATGTTGCTCTAAAAATTTAATTATGAATTATAAAATATAAGAGTGAATTAATGAACTATGAGAAAATTTAAATAGTAGTACCAAACAATTATTTACTATGTATAAATAAATAAATATATATATATATAAATTCCGTGGAATTTTTATTAACGTGTATTAATGTATATTTGTAAATAAATATATCAGTGAAGAATATAAATAAAATAGTAAGTAAGAATTATTTACTATACATAAAAAAAAATATATTTTGTCCCAAAATATATATATATATATATATATTCTGTGGAATTTTTATTGACTTGTATTAATGTATATGCACACGCGCAGGTACTTATGTTCGGCTTTGGTGATCGGGTTGGTATATACATTGGCCCAGACTGGCTTAGCCGTGTATCAAATTATTACCGGCAGTAATTTTGGAGGAGATACTTTAATTTATTTTGAATTTTACGGTGACAAGGTAAATTTATAATTTTGTCAAACATAAATTAAATAGTAGGTGAGAAAAATTTATTTCGAAGCAAATTAATTATTTAAATTTTTTTGAACAGGCGTTATCATATTTATTGGCCACCGGCGGTGCTGCGGGACTTGGAATGACACAAGATGTCGAAGGAATAACGGATCGACTAGGACTCGACCGCTTTATAAACAAGGCCAATGCTTCTATTGCTCTTTGTTTACTTGGATTTGCATTTTCGATTTTATCTTCAATTTTTTCGTCTTTTAATCTTCCAAAAATGTCCGTAAAGGTACCATCGAGTGTTTAATTATATTATTATATGTGCGCTCTACGTTACGGGTAAAAATGTTTTTAAATTTTTTTGTAATCAATTGTTGTATTTTTCTAAACTCATTTGATTGTATTACTTCTTTTGTTGAATGTCTCGGAACAATTTATGTACTATTTAGTTTATTGTATTTTGTGGTCATGGCAATAACATTGAATTTTAATTTAGTAATTTTTTCTTTGTAGGTTTGATTTAAGTTTTTTTTTTTTTAAGAAGTAAATAAACAAATAAATATTTTTTAATTCAGTTGAAAAATATTAAAAAAAAAAAACAAAAAACATAACTATCTAAATAGACCGAAAAATAGTACTCTCTCCGTCCACGGATAAAGTATACATTTACTTTTGGCGCGGTGTTTAAGAAATAATAATATTTTAATTATAGTGGGTAGTTAAACGTAGTGTAATGACATTTTTGCATTTGTTTTTTGGGTATAAAAGTAATTATGTGATGAGTAAAGGTATTTGTGGAAAAAAAAAAGTGAGGTATTTAATGAAATATTTACTTTGTATTGGATGTCCAAAATAGAAATGTGTATACTTTCTAGCTGACCAATGGAGTAAATGATTAATTGGACAAAAGACTGTTTTAACGAGTGTGAATTCATAAAAGAATATTTTTTGTAACTTTTTTTTTAAAAAAAATTATAAATTATATATGATATTTTGTAATATCATATTTTAATACATTTAGGTGTGTTTGTTTGGGAATTGGATTTTAGGTACATTATTCATTTCATTTTTTCCCAAAAAATATCAAATTAAACACATATTTTTATTTTTTATATTATACTAAAAATCAATTTTACATTCAAAACATCACATCAATACATATTTATATTACATCATACAATTATTCAAATTCAAAATAATATACTTTTTAAAATTAAATATTTGAATAATAAATTTAATTTAATTTTCGTAAAATTTAAATAATATAATTTTTAAAATTATATTAGTTAAATAGTACAAAAAAGATAAAAAAAATATTGCAACATTATTTCTCTAAATATGTGAGAAAAATAAAAACAGATAAATAAAAATAATTTATTTTAATTCTCATTCTTTACTCAATTCATTTTCTCTCCAATTCCATCGGTCTACTCTCAAATTCAATTATCTATATCTACTCGCAATTTTATTATCTATATCAAACGTCCCTCTAGTATTGATTATTTGCACTTATTTTTTTTTTTTTAAATTGATATATTTTTATAAATTATTTTATAAGGGTGATTTGATTAAATCTTAATTAAAAATAAAAGTGAAGTTGAATTTCGATATATTTAAAGTATAATTCAACTCAATTTTTTTAAAATCTAAAGTCATCCAAATAAATGTCATCGTCCCAAAATTTAATTAGAGTTAAGAATTAATTAATGCTTCAGTTAATATGGTTGGCTAATTTCAACAAACTAATTAATGGCATATTAATTCCTTAATTAAATACATATACATTAGGCATTATTAATAATTAAATACAGCATTAATAATTTCATTACCGATATTTCCAATCTTACAATCATATATTAACTGCCGTATGGACTAAATGACAAATGTTTAATTATAACATGCTAATTTTACTTTATTTTAAGTCATGACTTTGATCAAAATATAAGCTTCAATTATATAAAAGTTGGATAAATTATATAACATTCCCTTGTGTGTTATTCCCTCTATCCCAGAAGTAAATATTTATTTATTTTTTTCGTGTAATTTTAGAAATATTAGTATTATATTGAGATATAATAGGCATAAAATATAAATTACTAAAATAACCTTATTAGTATGTATGAGTAATGACATTTGTGTAATATATTGTAAGTTGTAAGGGTATTTGTAATGTTAAATAGATAGTACAGTTACTAAAAAAAGAAATGGATATTTTGTTATGAGACGGACTAAAATGAAAAAATAGATACTTTGTTATGAGATGGAGAGAGTAGTAAAAATGCACAAAACAATCTGTGTTTTATTTATTGCGTGAGATTCCCCTTGTGTTAATGTAAATTTTGCACGAAACACTCTTCTTGTCCAAAACTGATATTTAGTTCTAAATAAATACATAAATTACGCAAGTTTTATATAAATAAAAAACGCAAAATATCTTAAATAATTTTTTTGCATTAAATAAATAAATAAATAATTTATTAATCCTTCATTTTATAGTTTTTGGAGACAAGTTGTTGTCTGATTTTTATAAATATTATAAAAAATAAATGATTGATCTATTATTTATTTATTTATTTTATTCAAAAATATTATTTAAGATATTTTATGTTTTTTATTTGTATAAAACTTACGTAATTTAGGTATTTATTTCAAACCAAACATCAGTTTTGGACAAATATGGTGTTTCATGCAAACTTTTCATTAACAGAAGGGTTTCATGCAATAAATAAAATATAAGATGTTTTATGCATTTTTAGTAAAACACAATAATGTGTTATATAATTTACCCATAAAATTTTTGAAAATTTCGAAGTTTCATAAAATATTGAGAATAATTAAAACTTTCTATTTAATGTGATATTTTATACTTAAAAAATAGATTTGATGTTAACTAATAGTAAAAAAAAATTAAAAATATCTAAACAAATAAAGCCTAATATATATATATGTTTTTTTATATATTGAATATACTTCTACAAACTAGACATAAAATTTAATGAATTTAACTTATATTGATTGATTATGACATAATTTTGGAGTATTTTGAAAGTGTTGATAACATAAAAGAAAGTTAAACATATAATAGTTATGATATATTTGTAGATAAACATAATATTAAAAACTACATTAAGACTTTTTGCTACAAATAAAAAGTATAACGGTCTACGAAATTTATGATTATTTGAGTTGAATACGAATTTAATAAATATAAAATTATATTTATTATTATAATCTAAAATAAAAATATTTTGAAAAGTATATGAATATATTAATAAGACAAGAAAATCTTGTTGATAATTTGAGTGACGGATTATATAGAAGTAAATTTTAGTGGACAAACAAAAATAAATAACAAACATAGGGCTTGTTTGAGTTTGATTTGAAATTGGAATTTTTATTTAAATAGTATTGTGATATAATATTTTATAAAAAAAAATTGTGTACTTTTATTTATAATTTAAATAATATTTTTTTGGAGAAAATTTTATTGATAAATGAATATATTTGTAATTTTAAGGATTAAAATTAGATATTATAAAACTGATTTGTTGGTCAAATATCATTAAATAATAACAACTAAAAAATTTATGAAATTATAAAGAAATTTAACACAATTTTAAAATATGCAAAATTTGACCCAATTTGATAAAACTATGAATGAATTTTTGTAGAATTTAACCAATTAATTCAAACCATATGCTGACTTTTATTTTTATACGCTGATGTGTAATAGACTGCCACATGGGCTTTCAAAAATGGCCACATCAGATAGTTTTGCAAGAAATAATAAAATATATAATTAATTTTATACAAACTATACTGAGACTAAAGATTTTTTTTTTTTCCCCAATAATTCAGCAGAAAAATAATTGTGATTTAATATAATTATTGATGACGTAATAAATACGTTCATTGAACTGAGATGCAGAGAGAAGTTAATGGAAGCAGAGGTTTGTTGGAATGCTAATGGTTAGCTCATCAACCCCAACGCCAATCTAACCCTATTTATTGCGCCACAAAATCTTGTTCAGTTCCATTCCGCCATCATCAAATCTCAATCAGCTTCCAACCTAATTCGCATCTGCATTTCAGCAGCACCAATCATCCTGGTTTCGTTGTGTGTGTTTCGGGAGAATTTCGAAGAAAAAAGATGAAGGTGATTGTGACGACTCGGAGCGGCCGGGAGTTAATCAAGGGAGGAATTGATATAGGCGATTCGGTATGTGAAATTTATACATTCTAATTTTGGATTGGTTGGATTTTGTGCGCTGTCGATTCGTATGTTTGGGGTTTATCACTCTCCTCTTTGATTTTGGAATTGAGAATTAGGAGTAGTGATAGTTTCGATTTCTTTGTATTTGCAGGCAACTGTTGCTGATCTGCAGGAGGCGATTCACAAACGAAGTAAGTTTGAGTAATACTTCATTTGTGCTCGTAATTTGTTTTGTTTTTTTTTTTTTTTTTGGTGGATCTTAGCATATCTGTTATAGAAATCCAGGTTCTTCTCGCTCCATGTAGCAATGTGTTTTGGAAAATTCCTCCAATTCCTGCTTCGATCCAACAGAAATGATTTAGAACTTTTTTGTTTCAATTTTTCCTAATGAAATCAGATATGACTTGTAAAGATCTGAAAACCTGTTTTCCTTGCACTCACCATAGTTATTACCAAAAAAGGATATAATCCAAGGGAAACTCCAAGCTCATAACCAAACTTGTATGGTGATTTCTTGATTCTTATATATGTCCAGAAACTTTTTGTTTTGAGTACTGAACTGAAGAACTTCTACTTATATCTAATCCAAAATCCTTCATGTACCCCAAACTCATCAATTTTCACAACTACTTACATCTTATGTTGAATCAAACTTGTATTGCTTGTGTTGAATGGCTTTGTAATAGATATAAATTTTATCCTTCATCCAACAGCTTCTTTGAATGATTCTCGAGTCTCGACTCTTCTGAAAGTCCCAAAAACTTTAAATTTGAGCTGTAAACTCCCTGTAGGCAAAAGTTATTTTGCTGTTCTGGCTCCTTTAGTTATCTATTTTAAGCAGATCGAAGTGACTTAAGCAGTCCTTGATCGAAAATCTATCAAAACTTTGAGACTTTTGATTCCTAGCCAAACCATTTGATAGAAACGAGCTATGTTTAATGAACATGGAAAGATGAATTGGGACATGATATGTAGCAATAAATGGAAGGAACTTTGAGTTCCTAGTCTCTTACATGTATACAGATTTTTATTGGATATTTTCTGAATTGAACTTCCAAACTTAACAATCGGAGTATGTTTCACTCGGCACATTTCCCCCTCTGTGAATTTAAAGCTTAAAAAATTGCATTCCAACGAACTCTTTCTCCAGCAATCCTTTCAGTTTTTGTGTTTACTGTATATATCTTTCTTATGTAGCTCTCTCTTTGTTTGATCAATACATGTAACACAGTTGAGTAATATGCTTAGCGGGCTGTTTCATTATTTCGTAGTTTTTCATTCTTTCAACTACAAAACATTGAATTTTCTTTGTTTTCCACCTACAGCTAAAAAATACTATCCGTCCAGGCAGCGATTGACTCTCCCTCTCCCGTCCGGCCTCAAGGAGAGGCCGACTGTTCTTAACCCCCAAAAGAATCTGAAAGACTATGCCGATGGAAACAAAGACGAGTTAACTGTAGCTTTCAAGGATCTCGGGCCGCAAGTTAAGTACAGCACTCTTTTCTTCTGGGAGTACTTAGGCCCTCTGATCATCTTCCCGATCTTCTACCACTATCCCATCTACAAATTATTCGGCTACAACGAGAAACGCGTCATGCATCCAGCCCAGACGTACGCTATGTACTACTGGTGCTTCCACTACTTCAAACGGATAATGGAAACTTTCTTCGTGCACCGTTTCAGCCACGCGACGTCGCCTATTAGCAACGTGTTTCGGAACTGCGCTTATTACTGGACGTTCGGCGCCTGGGTAGCCTATTTTGTGAACCACCCGAAGTATACGCCGGTGGATGATCTCCAAATGAAGATTGGCTTTGCCTTCGGGTTACTTTGCCAAGTTTCGAACTTTTACTGCCATATACTTCTGCGTAATCTCCGGGGCCCCGGCGGGAGTGGTGGATACCAAATCCCGCGTGGCTTTTTGTTCAACATTGTCACCTGCGCAAACTATACGACGGAGATTTATCAGTGGCTCGGCTTCAATATCGCGACGCAGACCATTGCAGGTTACGTATTTATGGTTGTTGCCGCTTCCATTATGACCAACTGGGGCCTCGCCAAGCACCGCCGACTGAAGAAGGTAACTTTGTCGATTGGATATGTTCTCTGGACCTATCTGAAGGTTATATTTAAACATATATGGACATTTTTCTTGCAGATCTTCAATGGGGAAGATGGGAGGCCAAAATACCCCCGGCGATGGGTGATTCTACCGCCGTTCCTGTAGATGCAACGACTCGGGTACGGTTCTTGCTGCATAAGGTCTTGTTCTAACGTTATGGTGATTGAATGCATTTTCGATTATTAAGTATTGTTGCTATTGGATATGTTAGGTCGAGAACTTAATGTCTTATTGTTTCTTGATATGGAACATATTTGTCGATTCTTGGTTTTGTTTTTACGTGTATCGACGGAGAACTGTTGATCTCCTGGCCGAGACATCCCATCGAACCTTAGTATGTCGTCGTCGTCGAGACACACTTAACGGCTAAGTCGATCCAGGTGTGTTTGTTTGAAGGATTTTGTAGAACTTTTACTATTCATACCAAATTTTATATCATATCATACAACTATTTCAATTTAAATTATTTACTATTCAAATTCCAACTCAAAATCCAAATTCCCAAACAAACACACCCTTAAACGTTTGGCATGCCTCGGTCGATGACCCGTGGAGAATGTGTTCAGTTATATGCTATTTCTTTGTTTTCTTTCAATCGATCGGGCGGTTGCTTATCCGTGTGTCGAAAACATGAGTACATTCGTTCTAGTGAGGGTGGATTTATGACCATGAAGTCATGGTTCAAATTCCCAACGCCTTCAGGTCATCTGTTACACATGATTTACCTAATGTGACTTGCTCTATCGGGTTTACTTTGTAGGATATTAGGTTCAGCTGGAAGTTTAGTCAGTTTGCATTTTCGCATTTTCGGGTAGCGATTGCGGATTTTTACGTCATCCAAAAACAAAATAATAAAAATATGAGTACATTCATTACACAAAAATTCACTTTTAGATCTCAAAACCTTGTACACATACACATAATAGTCATGCTTGCTAGAGCCTGTTGACCGTTTCGCCCGCTACACCGTGGATAGCAGCGAGGCTCTCGTCCGGTGTTCCTTGTCCCAAAAGGGATGGTCGCGATCTTCTTCCTCGACGTACCCGCTAACGAGTGCGTACGTCGACGTCGACAATCCCCGTGACATCCATCCCTTATTGGCAACCATCAACTTCGTGTACTCGTCTGAACCCGGGAATTCATCCTCATCGTCGTTGTCCTCTGCTTTTGGAGGATGATCGGCGGTGAATCCCTCGAGTGACTTTGACCTCAAGGCTCGGGCGGTGTCAGCTTGGGTCGAGCTGGTTCCGCCGTGGCTAAAGCTCCCAAAGCCTTTGATCCCGACGGTTAGCTTCCTTGCTCTTGTTCTTTCCTCCTTTAGATACTCCCTATCTTGGAGAAGCTTCACTATTCTTTCGGATTTGTTCTTCACGCTCGATCCCCAGTTGAACCTATGGAGCGTAAGTATGTTAAAATTTAACGTTTTACTTCTGTCCGGACTAAAAATATTTATTTGTTTTTTTAATAGATTGATAAATAATATTCCCTCTCCAGGAAAGATGAGGCATGTTGTTAGAACATGTTATTTTAGAAATTATTAATAATAAGTTAGAATATTATTTTATTATTTTAATATGAGTAGTGTTTTAAATATTTTTAACATTATATATCAATGAAAAATATATATCATATGAATATAATTTTTTAGAAAATTATTTTATTTATTTATAATTAATTTAAAGTTAATTTTATAAAAGAATAGAAATTTTAAATATAAATAAAAATATTTAGTTATTGAAAAAAGAGATAGAAATAAACGTGTTTTGAATAGGTCAAATTTAATTAAATAGATTTATATTTGTTAAATATATTTAAAATGAATAAATTTACTAAAAGTAAAAATGAATTATTTTTTTGGGATGAGAAAAATAGGAAAAGGAACATCCGGACGGAGGGAATAGTATTTTATTAGTTATAAGATTATATTGATATTTTTGTCCTTGTAAGTATAAGTAAAAAAAATGATTTTGTAAAAGTCATGCTATTATTGAATTTCAACGTAAGAAATATATCATATAACACACCTACTACACAATATAAAGACATGATATTGTAATACCTACAAATATGAACTGTTGTGTTATTTGAAAATATTTTTATGTGCTAACCAACCAGCGTGTATACAACTAATATTTTAATGATACTTTTACATGAAATAATAATCAAAATATTCTATTTATATCGCGTGTTTATATTTACTACTTTTACATGAAATAATAATCAAAATATTCTATTTATATCGCGTGTTTATATTTACTACATAAAACGAGTATATTCATTGTTTGTGGACATTCTAAATAGCAAGCTGTATCTAATTTTAGGAGATGTAGAAAGTATTAAAAATATGAATCTAAGATCTTACCAAATTTTATCAAATTTATGCGACTTAATAATCCTTTTTTTTTTTTTTTATTAAAAATATGAATTTACGATCTTATCAAGCTTTATCAAACCTATGCGACTTAATAATCCTTTCGAATATTTTTCCAAGACCAATTTTTAAATTAAGCTCGGATAACAGCTTTAGTCATCAATGACAAATTTGAATAAGGAAAAAAAAAAATTTTAAAAAAAGGCAAAAATTCTACGTACCCTTTTTCATCGACATGGTGGAAAGTCGCCATAGTTGTAATACTATCTTGATGGTGTTCGAATTCCTCGGCTGTTCTTTGAGGTCCATGAGTTAGAAGATGTTCTAACAGGACAAGAGCCTTGTAAGAAGCCCGCCAATTTGAGACCTCGAATTTCGACAACCTGAAAATACAACATCGCTCGATCATTCGATCTTGATATATGATTATGACGCGTATTATTATGTAATCACTCGAAGTTACCTTTGGTGTAGAATTTGCACGATTCTTTCGTAGTCGTCGACCTCGAATGCGGCCCGGGATATCACTCTCATGGCGTGCACATCTGTTGCCATTGAATCTCCATTGATCAGTTCTTCTGTTAGCCTGAAATACATCTCTCTAAGATGAAGTATTTCTTTGGCTAAAGTTTGAAATTAATTTAAAATTGAATGGTGAATTTAAATTTTTATTTTAAATAATATTTTGATATGATATCTTTTTTATGAAAATAAATAATATATTTATATTAAAAATTATTCAGAATAACTAAAGTTGTTTTTGGCTTTCACGGGGATTTGACAAACTCTACAACTACGTTAATTTTTTGAAGTCTAACTTTGATCTTATATTGTTCATTAATTTTTTTTTTAAAAAAATTATGAATCCTTTAAAACCATCAAATTATGAATATTTTTTTTTAAAAAATATATTACATAAAAATTATTTTTTCATTGAAATATCACATTAAATACCATTTTAATTTAATTTTTTACTATTTTTAAATCTCTAATTCGATTTCAAATTCTTTTACACTATTAATCAAAAATCCATCTTGTACAAAACACACATCAAATAGTTATATTCATTTAAAATATTGCACTAAATTTTATTTTCAATACAAAAGCATCGAATTAAATATTTATTTTCATTCAATTTTTAGGTTCGTATTGGTTATGTTTTCAATCATATATTTTCACTATTAATCCATAGTAATATATATATTTTTTTTTTAAAAAAAAAATATCATATCGAAAATATATATACTTTTTATAATATATAAAAAAATTATATTTTATCCAAAATATTATATTAAATAATTATTTCAATTCAAGATTTTATCGTATAGAAAAACATACCAAAAAACAACTATTTTTAAAACTTCAAAACATTTTCAAAGCATATCTAAAACATGCTACAGAGAAACACACCCTTGATCTTCAAGGTTTGTGAGATGATTACATGTAAAAAATTGATGTAAGAACTGTGTGTATGCATATATATATATATACATACATATAGATATAGATACACATATACATACAGCTGTGCATAGGTAGTATCTGTCAAAGCCAATCTTGCTGTCTTGATTTTCTCCCTCAAGAAGAATGAAGCTTGCCTCTTGAAATCTTGCATTAAGGAACCCATTTTTAATCTTGATCAAGATTAATTCTTTCTCCTCTCTCTCTCTCTCTCTCTCTCTATATATATATATATATATACATGTTTGTATGTATTTGTCAAGAAAGAGAATGGTGGATCTACATGACGTTGGAGGCATAACCACTCCATTAAGAGGGGCTTAATGTTAATCCAACCACTCTATAAAAGTGGGATTTTATTTTATTTTTCGTTTTTCATTTTGTGACAAGCTAAGATTTGACTACATTTAGATAGAATCATATATTATGAAAAAGGGGATATTTATATATTTATTTATTTTAGTTTATCTAACTATATATTGGGTCTTGTCATAATCTTACAACTGATTGACCTAACATTGATATTAAATTCTTTCATAGTATTTGCCAACTTTTGTTGTTTGACTGTCATAAAGTTGCTCAAGGGAGATATTTGGCCAAAGCCCAGAAGCAACTAAATTGGAATGTTAGAATAACCAACATATTATATTAATTATTAGTAGTATTTTGAAATATTTTATTTAATTTTTTTTACTACTATATAGTTTTAAAGTTTCAATAATTAATCTTTAATGTAAAACATTACATCTACCAGCTATGTTGCCCCAAAAATTAAATTGTATCCTCCATTCCTTGACATGTTGCTTGTCTTTAAATAAAGGGACCAAAAAAAAAAAATGATATATATATATATATATATAAAATTAAATAAAGGGACCAAATTAATTTGGTACATACCATTTTGCAAAATCTTTCACATTACAAAATCAACAATACTGAGAGAGTCAAGAATGCAGGAACTAAACCAACCATATTGATTTTGACTTCATAAATTGGAAGGACACTCAAACTACCAACAAAAGTATTTTTAGTTAATAAATATTGTTTTATAAAGAATTTTTTTTTACCTAATATAAATAATTTTTTTTTAATACCCTGGTAGCCACGAAAAATCGATTAACGCAACACACAACAACAGTAAATTTCGAAAATTAATACTCTCTCCGTCCCAAAAGAGTTGTCTTGTTTTTCCATTTTCGTCCGCCTCAAAACAATTGTCTCGTTTCCTTATTTAGTAACCGTGGTCCCAACTTTATAACAAAATTATCCTTGTCTTTCCAAACTATCCATAATTATTACTCAACCTACCTTTTAAAATCATTCAAAAAGTAAGGGTATTATAGTCTTTTACATTCTACTTTATACCTATTTTCAATTAAATACTATTATTTCTTAATTCACGTGCTAACACCCAATAAGACGTCTCTTTTGGGACGGAGGGAGTACAAAAAGATTAGGGATGTCAATTCGTGTTTTTGGGTCGTATTCGTGTCGGGTTGAGCCATGGTGATAACAAAAAAACTGTCAACCCGAACCCGAAATCTGACCTGAAACCCTAGACCCGAACACGACACGAATTCTTTCAGGTCGGGTTCAGGTTGACCTGAATTAGTTTCAGGTCACCCGAAACCCGAATAAATCCGATGCGAATCCGACACGAAATAGACCCGAAAATTTTAAGAAAAATTAAATTGACCTAAGAAATATCATTTTTATTTTTTTATATTATTTTATATTTAAAATAATATAAATATTATAAATTAAAATAATAATAATAAAAATTTCAGGTTAACCCGAAACACGAAACCCAAAACCTAACTTGATTTTTATATTTCAGGTTATCAGGTCAACCCGAAACACGACCCGAACACGACACGAATTTTTTTCATTTCGAGTTCGGGTCGACCCGATTTTTTTCAAACATGAAATACCCAAATTCGAACCTGAAAAATTTCAGGTTGAACAGGTTCGATTTTTCGGGTTTGGTTTACTTTTGACACCTCTAAAAAAAATATATCATCACAATCCAGTTCAATCATCAATGACCTTCGTTTGGGTTTCCAATCCAGACGTGATTCACTATTAAAATCATTGAAACACAATGATAGGTAAATACGCGAAAAAAAAAAAAAAAAAACTAATTCCTTGATCATTCCCAAAACCCCTATTTGCTACTACAATGTTGAATAATCACCGACACTTTTTCATCCAAAAACGCAAAACATATTTCCCCAACAGCCAGCCACAGCTAACACTCCATTATCAATATTATTGTAATAAACTTAGATATAATTCACCAACCTGCTACACCTACACCTACACGTCTGGTTTTGGGACCACCGCAAACAGATTTCTGGGACATAATAACGTGGATCTTAATAATCTTTGGGCTCAGATCGCGAAGGTGTAAATCTCCTACTGCAGCCCATCCGATCTTCAGACACCCCGCAAATATCAAACAAAATGTAATAAAAATTAATAACTACAAACAATATCTCATTTTTTGCTGATATTTCCCAAACACCAAAGAACAAAAAGAGCATACTACTGTAACATGCCAGAAATGAATCTCTCCATTTTATACAAAAATGAATTGTCATTTGCTCCTTAGTTTTGAAAGATAACAACTATCAAATCACTATTAGAATTCTAATCAAATATGTAAAAAAATAGTTTACAATAACATTAGGCTAACATTCCCTTTTTAGTTTTAATTAATTTATTTATTTTTATCTTTTTTCGTGTTTTTTCCTTGCATATTTTCTTATTTATATCGACAATAGATATATTTGGCATTCATCGACACATTGACAAGCCAAACCCTATGGGCTTTCTTTCAAAAACTACAAAAAATATTAATCCAACCAAGATTAATTTATGAAAGAAATTACCACATCAGTACGACCATTAGTTACACAATATATAAAGAAACTAAAAACTTTAAAATGCCGCAAAAATAATTTTTCTTCGGAAAAGTCCATAAAAGACTTGTTTGGATTAAATATATTTTTATCACTCAAAAATTGAATTTTCTATAGAGTAAAATTTCAGATTTTAAATACCGAACTATTATATTCTCAAAACACTTAAGTTATGCTCAAAACTCAAATTATAGTGACCAAAGATAAATTTCAATAAGTCATTTAATATAATGTCTAAACACTGAAATATTTTACCACAAAAGCACGATCAAAGCCAATCCATACAACCGACATATATTTTGTTGGAGACTCCCGTTTGCGAGTAAATAAATTAATAATTTGAGTTTTTAGGTAACACGGTCATTTTGAGCATTCAAGTAAAATTAAATTTTATTAAAAAATTTATCAAATCAAATAGTATTTATTTATTTATATTTTTTATAATATAATAAAATTTATTTTACATTTAAAACATAGCTTAATATCAAATAACTATTCAATTTCAAAATTTCAAAATTTTAATATTAATTTAAATCCAAACTCTCAAACAAACATGCCAAGATTTTAAGGATTTTTTAAAGATTTATTACCTTTTAATTATTTAAAAAAATCAAATCAAATCAAATTTTATTTCTTTATATATTATATTAAAAATTAAACTTGTATTCAAAACATCATAACACTTTTTATATAACAATAATTTAAATTTAAATTTTTATTAGTAAAAAATTTCAATCCTTCCAACAAATAAAATAAAAAAATTTCATCACTTTTCAAAAATTTTCATTTCCTGCATATGGAAAATAAAATAAAATATATATATTTTTTTTTCAAATTTCAATTATGTGGTTCAACCAATCAAACCAAAATCCATTTCTCTATTCTCATGGAAATATACCAAACGAACCCTCAGGGTCAAGGTTTCTCCCATTGAGGGGGTCCAATGACCTCAACACCTAGAAAACGTTAACCGTACATCTGGACGCCGCAGGCGCAAAGACTCATCAGGAGTTAAGATCCCGGACTCTCTAAATAACACTCTCCCAAATTAACCGTTTGGGTAAGGGTAAACCCAACCGACCCGTAAAACCATCCGGGTCGGGTTAGAACGTGAATATTGTAGAACCTACGGCGATTTTTTGACACAGAACTCTTCACCTTCTCTGCCTTTTAGTAAATAAATACCCTTTGCATTGCGCGTTCGTAACCCTTTTCAATCTCCGTCGTCCATTGTAGAATTTTCCGAAATCCATTTGTTCCAGAAATTCTGCTCTTGCTGATGGCGTCTCCCTCGCAAGCTAGTCTGCTTCTGCAAAAGCAGCTTAAAGGTGCTGTTTCCGCATTGTGCGATGTGGTTTTATTCGGTCGAGGAATGGGGTTTTTGCGGTAGAATTTTTTGGGGTTTGATGATCTGTGAATTTTGTGTGCAGATCTATGCAAGAACCCTGTGGATGGATTTTCGGCGGGTTTGATGGACGAGAACAACCTATTTGAATGGAGTGTTACCATAATTGGACCTCCGGATACTCTATAGTGAGTGCTGTCTCTATCTCTCGGGATTTTAGGGTTTTTATTCGTGAATGAGAATTGAAGATTTGTTTGATTATGCTTTTCCTTGAGTTTCTTGAATCTGTGTTTGTGTTTTGGGGTTATTATGCTTCGTGGATTTATTGGATTTTTGAAGTATTTGGGGTTTTGTGAATTGTCTGCGTATTTGGTGGTATTTGTTCATCTCTGTCGGGGGAAGGAATTTCGAAGAATTGGAAAGTGTATATGAATGGTGTTTTTATGGTTTTACTACCTTCTGCCCTGCCTTGATACGAGAAAATTAGATTTCTTGTTGCAGTCTAATGTTATGTCTAAAGCCGTTAATTTAGTTCTCAAAATTTGTTTTTAAAGTAGTTTGTTATGCACATTCGAATGCGAAATTGAATTGTAAAAAGCTTCATTTTCTAGTCTTATCATCAATGGATTGAGTGTGTGCCGACTATTGGTAACATGTGAATCGGGATATTCTCATTATCTGAGCTTTTTTGGACGACGGCAGTTAATGCTGAATAAAAAAGTGTTGATACTTTTCGAAACTTTACAATACTGTAAAGTGGCTAGACGTGTAGTAAGTTGTGTCTTTAGAATTATGAAACATTCGCTGACTGGCTGTTGTGTCAGTGATTGAAATAACCACTGGTATGTCACTCTTTTATTGAAGCTTTATTCTGTTGTATATTTCCTCGAGAATACGGCCAAAAACACAACTGTCGAGGCCCTCCCTCCCTTGCTCGTGTTATATATACATAATATTTGGTAGTGGTATTCATGGTATTACTAATTTATTTAGCTTTGGTGACTAAATTATTTATTGTTGTTTGTTAGACAGAGTCGTGATTGTTAAAGATTTGTATAGTAAATGTCTTCCCACAATACAGTAAATAAATTATTCAAATTTGATGTGGTTATTGATAGCAATGCCATGTTTAATGTCGTGAGAATCAGAGCGAGCTTTAGAACTCGAGTTTTTTTGGCATAGTGCAATAAGAGACTGTTGTTCATATTACTCACGTAATTTGAATTGAAGTAAAGATTTATAAGAAATCAATCCCACTTTCGAAGATAGCTGTTGCTTCATTCCTGCAAATAAGATTTTATCCTCTATCTTGTGTCTTTTCTCATTTCTTTTATGCCTCTCATTTTTCTTTCATATCTCGTTTACTCCCCTGTTTCGCCCAATACTCCCATGCTTGTTGTAGTTCCTTGGTTTCAAGCTTTTTTCTGTCTGTAAAATAGTTTTTATATCACTGCCATGGATGTGAGTTTATAGAATTATGCTTTAGTGCGGACTAACATGGGCTTGTTAAATCTTTAACAATGTTGTGTTAATTTAATCCATGAGCTGAAATTTAAAATGCATTTCAAACATTTTGTTACAAGTAATATATGTATCTATATAAAGAGAAAAAGACTCTGAATAGATTGGATGAGCCTCTGAATATGTGACTGGTATAAGATAAGTGTCTTATAAAAGAATTACTCAATAATGACACACGATCACGAGCAAGGGATTTTACTTTTGGGTTTTTTGATATTGTTCCCATTGTATAAGAATGAATTCCCGGGGTTTTTGAGGTGTTTTTGAAATATTTAGAAATGGAAGTTGAGGAGATTGGATTATTATCATTATTTTAATTTATGTTTAAATTCGAGTGCAGCGAAGGAGGTTTCTTCAATGCTATCATGAGCTTTCCCCCAAATTACCCAAACAGCCCTCCCGCAGTGAGATTTACTTCTGAGGTTTGGCATCCAAATGGTTCGTATTCTTTTTTCCTTTCCATTGAAATTGCTTACTGGCTTCGAAGATTCTCATGTATGCTCTTTAGTGAATTGATTTAACAATATATGTGAATGCAGTTTACCCAGATGGGAAGGTTTGCATTTCAATACTTCATCCACCAGGAGATGATCCAAATGGTTATGAACTTGCTAGTGAACGGTGGTCACCTGTCCACACGGTAAGATCTTGCAAACGTTTCATTTAGTTCCTTTTGTGTAATATTTGTGTTTTGTTTGGCTTTGATAACTGTCTAATCATGACTCCTGGGTTAAAAGGCGTACTATTTTCGCTTAAAATTTGTGTGCTGCCTTGTAATTTTACCATATAGCTGATCATTGCTTTCAAATATTATTTTTACATAACAAAGTAGATATTTGCGGCTTCTGAATATGTCAAAATCTTGAAGAAAGTCTACTAATATTTCACTATTTGTCTTCTTTCTTGATTTCGTTCTTTACTTGAGCTCTTTGTTTCCTAAAAAAATTCATATCCAGCCAATATTTTTCTCCTTTAAAACATAAAAAAACTCAAGTACACACCCTAAAAACTTCTTTATCTTGCTCCAATAAGAACTATTGAAGAACTGCAAAATATTTTTTATTTGTTGACAAAGAATGGTGTAAATTATTTTATAGCTTTTGTGTTTCAGAATAGGACTGCTTCTCAAGAATTTTGTTTTTCTTTCGTCATTTCTTTTTTCCCTGGCTTTAATTTTAATGTGACTTTAGTCTGGGATGAAGTGATGATTGGTTTATGTGTGTGATTGATTGTATATCTTTACCTTACCTGTTTCAAGCTTTCCGGCGTACTTACAATGGCCATTGAGCATTCTGTCTGATGAATTTGCTTACTGTGATTTGGTATAATTTTTACATATGTCTCGTTTTACACAAACTTACATAGTACCTTGTTTGCAGGTGGAGAGTATTGTTCTAAGCATCATATCTATGCTGTCAAGTCCCAATGATGAGTCTCCTGCTAATGTTGAAGCTGCTGTAAGTGCAATGCATCATATTAGTTGGTTCTTTATCTGTTTCTTTATCTATCGAACTTTTTATGGTACTCTCCTCATTTGTTTTCTTGTCATCACTATTTTACATGGGTAAATGTTTCGAGCTTTTTAAAGCAACGATTCAAAAAGATTTAAATGGCGTATGGCTTACACTCAATATCCCTCTGCGATTAATGTTATATAAGGCAAAATTGTCTTTACTCTGCCGTGGTTTGAAAAGTCTCCATAATATTGTATAGAAATTTCTAGAAGTTGTGAGTCTCTCTTGTGTTATATAATGAAATTTTGTGCAATGTTTTCGCAACACAGAGCGGTGTATAATCACTAAGGGAAACAAGGCATATTTTTCAAACTATATGTGGATTATAAACAAACAACTTTTCCTGTTGGATGTTATCAACTTGATGCAAATTTTTCCCAGACTCATATATATGTTGGTTGATGCAGAAGATGTGGAGAGAACAAAGGGAAGATTTCAAGAAGAAAGTTAGCCGCTGCGTAAGAAAATCGCAAGAAATGCTGTAAACAGAATCCATCCTTCAAAAATGGAAGAAGAGATTCCGGTGGTACCCTACCCCTACCCTGCCCAAGAATTTGGTATTGTTTTTTGAGCAGTAGCAACTTGTGCAGACAATGCAATTTTATGAAAATGACCATGATTTCTTTTGCTTTTTTTTTTTTTTTTTTTTTTTTTGGTTTTTTGATAATGATGCCCTTAACGCCCCTCTATTCCCCATCCTCCTTGCATTGAATGAAATTCTCTAGGGTCGTTGTACTGCTTTGCTTTCTTTATGTTTTGCCTGCCCAATTTCTCTCATTTCAATTACTCACATTTTTTTTTTGGTTTTGTTTTTACTCACATGTTTGTTTGTATGTGATATTGGTGAATTAGGCATTGCTTTTATGCCTAAAACTCGTGGAGTTTGTGCACTGCTTGGGTACACCTTTCCTTTGGTGGTCCACAATTAGATTGGTCATATTATATGCCCCTCCATGTCTAATCGCACCACTTTTAATGAAATGGGTCTATTTCTCTCTATATATATGTATTTAGGCGTGGCCCATGTCCCTGCTAGCCCAATGGTACAAACCTATTAGTCGACCCGGCCCAGTCCAATTTAGATGGACTCCCCATATTCAGCCCAACACACATGGATAGGCCCATGCTTCGATCCAGCTCGTTCCAACCCGCATACCCGGCCCGGCCCAAACGGATCGGCCCATATCGACCCTGTCCAATCGAACGCATATGAACCGGCCCATCTATCGACCTAGACAAGCCCAACCCACATGAGATGACCCATATATCTATCTAGCCCAACCCAACTAATAGGACCTGGCCCACATGAAACGGCCCTTAACTATTATTCTCTTTAATAACTGATTGGATTTCTACAAATAACCTTTTATTATCTCTTGTATATATTTTTTCTTAATTATATACTCATATTTACAAGCAAATCTGCACTTATGGGTAATATATTGTGTGTGAAAAATTCAGTCAATAAAAAGAGCCAGGTAATAATATACATACAGAGTAGAGAAATGGAAACTAAAGTCAGCCAGGCAGCCATTTCATCCTCAGGCTTCACCATCTTCATCATCTACAAGTGCAATTATACTAAACTTCTCATCAAACATTTCTTACATCACACCCCTTCTTACAACCCCATTTCTTTTTTTTCTTAACGACGGAGAATCCGCGGCCGTTTTTCTTCTTACAATACATTATCGCTCAAAGGGCATAAATTTTCTCGACATCCGAATTCGAAAACTCCGAATGATGCCACGAGTTCGACCCGCTGCGGGCGTGCTTCTCCCGCTTCCTCATCGACCTCGACCTCTTCGACCGCACCACATAGTACGTCATCGTCCCGAGAACCCCCGCCATAATCACCCCCCCGACCACCGTCACCAGGATCGCCGCCCACTTGTGCTTCCGCCCGACCACGATGTACGACGACGCCATGAACGCCGCCGATGTGCACACCGATGCCAGCCACATGAGCTTGTTGATCACCTCCACCACCCTTCTCTCCGCCTTGGTCTCCCCCCGGACGAGCGTGATCTGCACAACGACCACCGCCAGCGACGTGAAGAGCGCGACCGCGTTGAAGATGAAGAAGATCTTGAACGACGCCGTGCTCACGACCACCGCCGTCCCGTCGTTGTGGTCGCCGCCGGGGACGGTGAAGATCGCGGCGAAGGCGACGGTGGCGAAGAGTACGGCGACGACCGTCACGGAGTTCGTCGCGTTGTTGATCCCCTCCCGGTGGAGCTTCCGGAGCTCCTTGGCGATCCCGTAGACGTTCTTGTTCGTCCGCTTCGTCTGCTCGAGCTGCGTGTGGACGTCTTTCTTGATCTGCGTCACCGTCTTCCGCAGCTCGTCCCGCGGTTGGTTCAGCTCGTTCGCTCGGAGCGCGCCGTATCGACATAGACACTCCTTGATCTCCGACGACTCGACCGAGAGCGGAAGATCTTCGGCGATGTCGAGCGCCGTTTTGAGGTCCCGATTAAGCGCATTCACATTCGTGTCCGGCAGGTGTAGCAACGTATTCACAATCTGCAATCAATCGAGCAATTTTATTACGATAAACGTAACATTTCGAGAATTCCAAACGATCAATGAAAGAAACGAGAGAATTACCTCGACCCGCTTCTTCCTCGTGGCAACGTGTAACGGCGTGTTGCCGAATTTATCCGGGAGCATCACTGTCGCTGCGTCAGCTTCGACGAGTAGCTTAACGACGTCGGAATTAACTCCTTTTACAGCCATGTGCAGTGCCGTCTGGCCTTTCCGGTCGTTGCTTCGAGCCAACTGATGATCTCTGTCGAGCAGGGCCTGGACGATTTCGACGTACCCTTGCCGGGCAGCCAAGTGCAAGGCGTTCTTTCCATTCGATCGAAACATTCCCAGCAAGCTACAATCTTTCGACAGAAGCTCGTTAACCACCGCAATGTGCCCTCTTGATGCTGCAGTTATTAGAGGCGTTGCGTTCGATGGGCCGAAGGTTTTGCTCAATCCGGGGTCGTGCGCCAACAGCACCTGCACGATTTCTACACATATAATTCTTGATCAATGTTTACGTTCAAGCCGATAGAAAGAAGCGACAATTAGAAGATATGATATTCACCGTGATGTCCTTGACTTGCGGCGATATGCAGAGGGTCGAACATTGATCGATTCTTCTTAGTGAGAGTTTCGTGATTCGAGTATTTGAGCAGCTCCTTGACGACTTCGATGTGGCCTCGATCTGCTGCGGTGAACAGCGCCGTCTCTCCCAACTCATTCAATTCACTTACAACCGATGCCCGAATCTCTGCAACCTCCCGGTCAAAATCCGAACCAGAATTCCCAACCATTTGGCAGTTAATGTCGTCGAGAATCTGCTTCACTGCCGCCAAGTCGCCCCTCTGTGCTGCCAAATGCAGCTCTGTATCGTTGTGACGACCAGTCACCTGTTTAACATACTTCTTTTTCTGATCGATTCGCTTCCCTGAATTGGACAGGACCAAAGCAGGGGGAGTCGACGCCGACGGTGACGGCGCCGGCGATGGCTCCAGCGAAGGATTGTGTTTCAATGTCGGCGTAGTGAAACCTTTCTCAATATCTCCATCAGCTGCTGCAGATTCAGTTTGTTCATTAGATCAATCTCAAATGAGTACTTGCGAAGTTGAAACATTTCTCTACAAATCGTTTCTTCAAGAAGAAATAGGATCGCTTATACATCAACCAAATGAAATTACGAAAGAAATTAGGGTTCATGTATGATCAATCGCTCTATGGAAACTGGAGAGAATTGAGGAAGATCAGCACAACTTTCCAAAAAAACTGAATCAATAATTTATCATTTACACAATTTCACACCAAAAATTCTGAAACTCCGCAGCAGAATCACAAAAATTCAATCGTAAAGGTAACAATTCCGTAGAGTCACGAATAAACCCTAAATATACTTACCATCCGCAACGTGAGAAGCCATGATCGCACGAATCGACCGGAAGAACTGGAAACCCTAAATCTCCGAGAGCGAATTTCCAGTGGTCATACGACGAGCGAAAGAGAGCGGAGAAAGTAGGGGAAAGAGATTGGCAATTGGAAAGAAGAAAAGAAGGGGCAACTATAAAACACTAAACGACAGTTGAGAGGAAAGTGTCGCGAAGTCGCCCATGGTCTGGCCTTTGATGCTGACAGCCCTAAACTCCATTAGTTTATTCGATCCGACGTTGTTCCTTGGCTCGTTACGATTGGATTGGAAAGCGCAGATCATCGATCCTGTGAATCTAACGAACTGATTGTAATGGATTCAACTCAAGGTTCAACAATGGTGGCTACTCTTGGGAAACCCTATAAGCGCGTGAGGGTATTATGGACATTTCATTGAATAGGGCTAGTTTGGAAATAGTGATAAGTTGGGTGGGTGAAGTGATGATAGTGGGAAAAGTGGGGGTGGAAATGAAAATTTGCTTTCTGTCTCTTTTCATCATAGGGATTTGGGGAATTAGGGTTCGTCGGAGTAGGGATGGAGCAGCCGGACGGCGGCGGCGATGGGAAGCGGAAAGATGATGCTGCATCTTTTACGATCAGAGTGCCGTCGTACGAGGAGGTGGTCGAGGCTTCTCAATCCAGGACTGCTCCGCAGTCTCTGTTTACCCCGTCATTTTCTCAGGCGTTTAATTTTGTAAAGAATTCGGAGTTCTACGAGACTCCGGTTCCGGCGCCGGCGCCGGCGTCCTCTTCTCAGACTTCTCAAGCTTCTCCTTTGACTTCCCAGACACCGCCTCCAAGGTCACACCTTTCCTTCATCTGTATACTTTGATGGAATAGTACTGTAATTTTATTTATTATTGTTTTTTTTTTTTAATGGTTTTTTAGGCAGATTGGACAATCAGAAGGTCCGTCTACTTCAGTTTCTACATCCGGAGGGAATCGGAATGCTATCCTAGTTAGTCATAGGCAGGTGATTCGTTGATCATTGATAGCATTATTTTTAGATACTTGTTCATTGAGTGCATGATTTAACAACATAATAGTGCTGTGGACATGACGATGAGATAGTAGATAAGCTTGATTGGCTAAATGTGGCTTCGAAACTAAGCAGCATTGTCGAACTTTTATTTGGTGTCTTTGCTTACTTACAGTTGCATATCTTTGGTGATCTTGCATGTTATTAGGGTTTAACTGATCTGATCAAGAGGGTTTTAGCTACCTGTGACTGATGAAATTCGGAGGATTTATTTTCGATGTGGGATTTGATGGCCACAAATTTATTTTTCATTTAAAGACTTGGAATGGTTTTCATATTGGATTATCGTAAACTGAGTTTCTTGTTGCTTGGTGGGGAGTAGATTAGTGACCCTGCTTTTTATCTTACTAAATTTTAAATTGTAAGTTTGTAACATATATCGTCATGACAAATTGAAGAATATTATTTTCTTAATAATGCAGAAGGGAAATCCACTATTAAAGCATATACGGAATGTGCGGTGGGCTTTTGCTGATGTTGTCTGCGACTACGTATTGGGACAGAATGCTTGTGCTCTTTATTTGAGGTTTGAATTTTAAATTAGTATCAATGCTTTTATATCAGGCGCAGAACTTAGTGTTTATATAATGAACTAATGATGTGTATATGCTTTGTGATACGATGGGCTGAATGTTATATTGTTTATTTGGTATCATGATTGTACTGTATGATTTCTTTATTTTAATTTTTGCAATGAAGTTAAGAATGTTTTCAGATAATTTTGTTAAGTGGTGTTTCATGATGCATGCCGTTAGCTTGAAGTTCATTGGTTACATAATTGTATACCTTCTGTTATGAATTTCATTGTTATTTTATTTTTTAATTTCATTATTGAAGTGATTGCTTGAGTACCTGTTCAATTACAATGCAACTTACTACTTCAAGGATCTGTTTCTTCTTTTAGTCTTCGTTATCATCTTCTGCATCCGGATTACCTGTATTTTCGGATAAGGGAACTGCAGAAGAACTTTAAGCTTCGTGTTGTACTATGCCATGTCGATGTGGTAAGCAAATGGAAATGTAATCAGCTTTTACAACTTAATAATGAATGGTTTTTCTAAATTCTTGCTATCACTGTCAGGAAGATGTCGTCAAACCTTTGCTAGAGGTCACCAAAACAGCTCTACTCCATGACTGCACTCTTTTATGCGGTTGGAGGTATCTGCGATCCCCGTCCCCCAATATATATATGTATATATATGTATCATTAGGATAATGCAATATGAACAATAAGTAAATCATTCTAACATTCTTATTTTCTTTGCTTAGTGAGAAACAAATACATTACAAATTTACATTTTTCTTTTTGCTCAGTTAAAATTAGTTTCACCTCTCACTCTGGAATGACGAAAAATATGCCCTGATAAATCCTTTCAGACGACAAATTAGTTTCGTATTTAGGTGCCACAGGATATGTAAATATGCCCTGATAAATCATTTTTGTCGTGTGTGTTTTATCTTAGCTTGGAAGAATGTGGTCGCTACTTGGAAACCATCAAAGTTTATGAAAATAAGCCTGCCGATCTTATTCAGGGTCAAATGGATATGGACTACCAATCACGGGTATCTCTTATTTATTTCCCAATTGCTGATGAGCTACTGATGCTTCAAAGAATTTTAGTAATTATATCACAACAAACATTTGGCTTGATAACAATCTGACGAATCTAATTTCCATCTTTGTTATAGTTACATCATGTGCTCACATCAATTCGCCATGTTAACAAGACAGATGTTGTTACTCTCGGGTCTACATTTGGTGTGAGTTCATGATTTGTGTTGTACAGTTGGCTACTTGTCTCCAAATTTTATTCATTTAATTAATTATTTATTTGTTTAACACAAACACCGAATTTTCTTTTCTTTATAGTCCCTTGCAAATATCATGGATGCTTCCATGGAAGATTTATCCCGTTGCCCAGGCATAGGTGAAAAAAAGGTAGACTTTATGCTTTTCTTTATATATATATAAAAATTGCATATTCCGGTCACCTTAGTGTTGAAGAAACTTTATGTTCCCTTGCTACCTCATCGATCTTTAAAAATGACGCCCCATTTGTTTCTTTGAAGTGTAGTGCTGAGTTTCATAAATAAGAATCTACCTTCTCTTTTTTATTTAGACTAGTTCCATAAATGATGCATACTTGAATTTTCCCAACACGAAGGTGAGGCTTTGTTTAGTTTTTATTCGAATTCTAGTATAAATAGTATTTTAATGCGATTTTTTAAGGAAAAAAACAGTGTATTTTTATTGGGAACCGAGCTCGATGATTTTGGTTTTGATTTGTGAGCTTTTGGGGGTTTGTTTGTGTGGAAAGACTCCACTAGTTTCGGTTAAAACATTTACTATATTGCATCAAAAATCATTTCTGCATCTTAAAATACCTCATCCAAACATTTACATACATTGCGTAAAATTCTATTTCAATTCAATTTTATTATTCCCAAACCTTTGTATGTTATATCTATGTTTAATTGTTTATCATACTTTCGAATGTTACTTTGTTAATTTGATCAATCAGGTAAAGCGCCTATATGATACTTTCCATGAGCCATTCAAGCGCACTGTTCCCACGCACACACCTGCTGCCGGAAACCTTACTGATGCCAATACTGCTCCTGCTCCTGCCCCAGACACTGAAGAAAATGAAGCCAAAAAGAAAAGTCCAAGAGCGAGCAAGCGCAAGAAGATAGAACCCGAGGTAAGTGTAAAATCAGCCCTGAAAGCTGCATTCGCCAAGTATCCTCGTAAAAAGAAGGATCCATCCGAGGCAGACGAAAAGGGAAAAGGAACAAATGAAAATGACGACCATGTGAGTTAAGCTTTCAAACCCCTAAAATGCAGATTTCTTCGATTATGGAAAGCTAGCTCCACTCTGAACATGAACATGGTTTTCTTCTCAGAACATGTTAGGCTTCTTCTTTGTTTTTAACCTATAGTTGTTTCGCGCTTTTAGAGTGGAAACCGGGACCGGAAGAGCCACTTTAAGTAAGATTTGGATAACAAGGTTCAATCGGTAGGATTTGAACTGGATTTGAATTGGTGACCTTGCAATCGATCACTACTTGACTGTGGGGGCATGTTAGGCTTTTTATTTGTAGATGATGTTGGATGTTGTTGAGCTTGTACACGAATCGAATTGAAATGTATTTTCTATTCAGCCTCCGAATTAATATTCACATAGGTATGTATTATTCTCTCCATCATAATTCAAAATATATGTGTTTTTACTACTTTTATTAGTCTCATTTCAATGTATCTTTTCTTATAAAAATATTAAATACTATGTTTACCATAAATTTTGGAAGTTTTGAAATTTTATAATTCTTAGGAATAATAATAAAAATTATAATAATTTGTATTATTTGAGATTATATTTAGGGTGTGTTTGTTTGGGGATTTTTCCTCAAATACACTGTTTGTCAAATTTTTTTTATATTAAAAATTAATTTTACATTCAATATATCACATGTATACCTATTTATACTAGGTCATACAACTGTTCAAATTCAAAATTTTTTCTCTTCAAATTCTAATTCAAAATCCAAATCCCAAACTACCGCGCCCTTATTTTTCGAGTGTTCACTGAATAAATTTTCAATCGAACATAATAACTTTGCAAATTATGCTGGCAAGAAAAATCACACTAGGCATGCTTTATATACTAAGCAAGACCAAGATGTGCCATCCCATTCGGTTGTTATGATGTCTTACATCTCAATATTTCTGCATTAACACCAATTACGCGTACAAAACCAAATAGGCATTAGATATGCTTTTCTACTTTCAACAAATAAGACCATCACCTGTGTTGAGAGAAACCAACATATGCTTTCACAAATCATACACATACATACATTCATAAATACATACTTACAAACACATATCAGCCACGTCAAACCGAGCCGGTGGTCAGTCGATGGGAATCGGATGTCTGTTCAATCAAGGCTTTCGCCTCAAAAGTGGCTCGAGATGACTACCGTCGTCTTTAAAAGAGAAGATTTCGCGGCCACCTGACTCCAGCTGCGATAGGGACATTTCGTCAGGTCTATGTTGCATTAATCTTTGGATAATGCTCGGTTTATTGTCCTGGATCGAGGATTGAGCTCTTGGAGAATCGCTTAAGCTCTGCACGTGTTGCAGACAAACCTGGACTGCGTCGTGTACTCGGACGAAAAACCAGTTCTTGCCGATCAGGTCGACCACGCCGGATTTTGTAAGGGTCAGCAACACATCCTTGTTGGGATTGGAAATGGCTATCTGAAAATTCAGTTTTGTGAAAAATAATGTAAAAAAATCTTCATTATTAATGTCCTTGCTGTGGGAGCTGTTACTATGCTGAATTTTATAATTCAGTAACGATGATACACAATATATAGACAAACAAGAAACGATATAAAGAAAAACAACATATTTATATTACTGTAATACAAATACTGCAGATGAACTATAATTGATTTGAACCAAAATAAATATATTCATACGGCGCACCTACAATTAAGAACATTTCAAAATAATTTGAAAAAAAATAAATTGTCAGTCTCGCACTCTAAAATGAAATTATTTCAAAAACGAATTCGTTTCATAGGACATGATATTTATCTAGGTATTATTAAGCCAATAACTACGTCAATAGAATTTTTATTTTTTTTTATCCGAGCTAGATCAATAGAATTTGCAGAGACAATACATGGTTTTAGTAACATAGCTATATTAACTAAAATGATATGTTGTATGCTTGTTTTATATGTGCTGACAGATAGAAATCAACACATTGCTATGAATCTAGGTGCCTTTGTGTCGCAAATTGAAAGTGTATTGCGCTCTCGACTATTTAGATAGGCGAGCATTTTTATCGATCATACCTGAATGTTGCGCGACTTGTATTCCAGGTGCAAGTCTTTCAAAGCTTGAACAGCGCTGGAGTCAATGTAAGTGATAGCTGGAAAGAAAAAGTATTCGACTACATCATTATCCGGGCAATCCAATTCTGAGTTCAGAAAAAACTATATATACGAAATCTCACGGGCCATCTCAATTATGACAAAATGAATTCTTGTAACTTCAGGGCCGCGCTTTGTAGACAGGTCAGGCTCAAGTTCATATTCGCGAAGCCTAGGGAAAGAAAGTTAGATAGTAAGGAAATGGTTTGCGAGTTTCTCCCCTTTCATGTTAGAAAAGAAAAAAATTGTGCTTACCGGTCTTTGATGTAACTTATATTTGCAAAATAGATTGGTGCATCTATCCGGACAATGACAATCCCGTGGTACGTATAAGCTTCCGGATATTGCTGGATGTTTCTATACACGGTCGTTCCAGGCAGCCGGCCTAGGATAGCTGCAACACAAGCCATGTAAAAATGATCGTACATATGAATTGCGCAATGAAAAAAAACAGAACACTTGCATGAACAAAATGATTTAAGATAGCAACAAAACTCACCAATGTGTGGATTAGCCGATTCGTGTATTACGAATGCAAGCGACACACCAACCTACACAGTGAAAGAAGAAAAATTTATCGATGCCAATAATTTAGAAAATGAGATGCTCAAGTCGAATGATTCCCAGATTTTATTGTAATGGTTCTTACACCAACAAGGACACCAATCTCTATGCCGAGGAACAAGGTAATAAAGCAAGTAATGGTCCATAGAAGAAAGTCTCTCTTGTCCACACGCCACAAGAAAGCAGCCTCTTCGTAATCCACCTGAAACAAGAACGAGTGAATTATCGATGCATGTTAGAATAGGAGCAAAGGAAAAACCAAAGATATTACAGAACAAAATACGGATATCTGTGTGAGAGAAATTATATATATATATATAGAGAGAGAGAGAAGAAGAAAGGATTGAATTCGGATTGATAGTAAGGAGCTGATATCTACATAAGATCAAACCATGTTAAAAATGCGAAACTTTTTCTGCCTAACAGAATGATGCATACAACGACTAATTTAAAATTATAACTGACAAATTGCTCACCAGTCCAACAACAGCAGCAATAACAATGGCAGCCAGGGCACACTGAGACATGAATTGCAGAAAAAATATGTAATTATAATCAAGGGTCAAGACGACGAAGAAAAAAATATATGTATATATATATTCCAAAAGGGGGAAAGATTGCTGTTGTATGTGTACCTCAAATATATATTTGGCCTTAACAACTTAAGGTTTTAGTTCAAGTGAGTGTTCAATTATTTAACAGCAGACGAAAGAGCAATTTACTGATAACAACCTGGGGTATGTATTCGAACAAAGGGGTCAGGAATTGTAATGCACAGCCCATAATTATTCCCATGATTATCCCAGACAAGCCAGTTTTTGCCCCGCTCTCATGATTCACAGCTGACCTCGAAAACGATCCTGTATAATGTAGACACATACAGTCAGTTTTGTGAATGCCAGTTATCCGAAAGGCTGTTGTCAGAGAAGCCATTTGTTGGATCAGTAGAGCAAACTTACCAGTTGTAGGGTACACTGAAAAGAAAGAACCAACGATATTTGCCACACCGAGGCCAAATAACTGTCAAAAACAATCTGTAAGGTATGGACTTTATAGTGGTGTTGCAATTATAAATTAGAAAGACAATGCACCATAGCACGATCTTGCGATAAATTTATATGAACTAATTAATATCAAGCAAAGTAGAATTAAGGGTAAACAAAGACAAACCTCTTGATTGGAATCCAGTTCATATCCATTTTTTGCAGCAAGTGCTTTCGCAATCCCTACAGATTCCTGTCGAGAAAAAATGCATGATAAACGTCGTGCCCATAAAAAAGAGCTATGTTCTGTCAAAGTAGATGCAAACAATATAGCATGTAAAATATCTTACCAAAATAGCTACGCCAGTAATGAGAATCGTTGTAGAAATCAATGGCTGCACATACTCAAATTTCTTCGGGACTGAGAATTGAGGCAACCCCTGGGGTATTTCGCCAACCTAATGCAAAGCCAAATTACGACATATAAGAATTCAAGACAGACAGATTATTGTTTAAAAAGCTCTGTAACTTGGCTATTTACTAATCATTTTGTGCAGTTCTCACCAACGAAATTGAAGACGGTTGAAATACTTTTACAAAGGCTGTACCCAAAACAACAGCTGTAAGGGGACCAGATGCTCGCAAAAAACGCAAAGATTTACTGGATTTCCCCTGTCATCAAAGTCCAATAATAGATATCAAGTCTACAGAAATCTAATTGCTAAAAAGCAGGTACTGGATCTGATTATAGTTAAAAACCCATACCAAGTGTTTCATGATTAAGAGAATAGCCAATATAGCAGATCCCATTAAGAAAGGTGGCCACGAGAACTAGATCAGAAAAGGAAACATGAAAAAATATCAATATACGGAGATAAGATAGAACAGAAGCATGTACGATCAACGAAGCAAAAATGTAAAATTAAAAAGTTAAAATCAAAGCTAGGTAACATTAGTGGCTGCCCACCAACTGTAATATGACAAATAGAACAAATAAATGAAGTCAAGAGACTTGACACAATCGATCCTTCACTAATAACAAGATCCTACATTTCATTGTTTATAGGATTGGATATATCAATTTTTGCATGTATACTAAGAAGAGGAAGATTGTCCATGATTATTTTTCAGAAAGTCCCAAGTGTATAATCAGGCAAGTTAAGTAAGATGTGTGGAGATAATAACATTGTGTTACATTAAAAGCAATTTGATTCGAAGGCTCCATTTCGACAGAGAGCATGCATTAATATTAGTAAGTAATTAGACAATAATAATAGCTGTTGCAGATGAAACAAACATGAATATATAAAGAGCACTCAAAAGTGGTTGCAGAACTCATAAGAAAACATGCCTTGTCTATTCCTTGAAAAATGCTTTCGAACAGTGGAATAATTTCGCTGCTGCGTGTTATTTCATAACCCAGAAAGTATTTCGCTTGAGACAACGCAATCACAATGGCTGAGGCTGTAGTAAATCCAGAAATCACAGAATGGCTGATGAATCGGATGAGCCATCCAAGCCTTCAAGTAGAAAAAAGGAAAAAAGGGAAATATTGATATAACAGTAGAGACATTATATAAACTAAAAATGTATATAACGAACAAATAACAAAAACAACATTGCATGTATGGTTAGCAATTACTTTGAAAGCCTTTTCAAATGTTAAAACTGAAAACTAACGTTAGCTATTACCGGCACTTCTACCTGTTGAGTTGAAGAACAGACTTACATAATAACTCTACTGTAATATAAAATTTAGCAGTATCGAACATCTAACTATGCGAAAGACGAATAAATTAAAAATTTCAGAGAAATCATATGTATAATTTAGAGAATGCAAGCAAGGATGACAAACATCAGCACCTTAAAAGCCCCATTATGCATTCGAGAACGCCGACCATAAGCGCCAACAGTATTGCAAGCTCTGTGTACAATTGTTCCGACGAATCGACTATCTTCCCCAATACATTAGACACCAATAGGGATGTCAAAGCAACAGGGCCAATTGCAAGCTGGCGTGAGGATCCAAAAATGGCATACACAAATATAGGTACAAAACCAGAGTCTGAATTACAAAAGTAAGCAACAATTAGCCACAAGGATGCATTCATCCATATCCACAATCCAATTACGGCAACAGCAACATCATCAAAATTTAATATCAAACACAAGATCGACACGTTGTATCGATGAATTTTAATGGAGGAAAGTAGAAACTTACATAGTCCGTAGATTGGGTGAAGTCCAGCAAGCTTTGCATACGACATTGACTGATGACGACAATCGAATTTCGCAGAAGAAAAGATGTTAATCCACAAATATATCTACATACATACATACATATATATATATATATGGAAAGACAGATAAAATTCGTATACCTGAGGGACGAGCATGACGCCGACGGTGGTGCCGGCCATGAGATCCGCCTGGAGGTATTCACGCCATTTATACGTGCTCATCCAACGGTAGCACGGCAGGAATAGCTGAATCCACTCCCTCCGAGTCATTCGATTCATCTTCCCCTTCCATTTCTCCCAAATAGGAGGCCCCGCCGCTGCGGGTTTGCCGGTCGGATGCTGAAGCTCAATAATCCTAACTGGCCGTGACGGAGCGTGGACGACCGACGAGAGGTCGCCGGCGCTGGGCGAAGAATAGCGTATCTCCGCCGCCATTAAACGCGCCGGGGAAAACGGCGGTAGGTCACTAATGAGCAACCAAACCTCCCTGAGATTTCAGATTGAACAACAACAAAACCTTGACGATGATGAAGTTCTGCCGAAAATTGCGAATTGCGGAATCTTCCGGCTACTCCTCCGACGTCAAACTCGAAAAATCAACGAACGCAGCCACCAATAGGATATATGCTCAAATCAATCGAAATTCCATTGGGTTATAAAGTCAAGAATCGACCAATAATTCGAATCAGAGAAGATAATCGACACGCAACTGTAAAACATCAGTCATTGAACGAAATCTGCATCACGTCTTTTCTGTGCTGCCCCGTTTCCTTTTATTGCTTGTTCTTCCTTCTCTCTGTATGTATGTATAGCTAAAATTAATTAAATAAATATTATCGTATAGTAGTTTAATAAATTTATCATACTCCCTCCCTTCCAATTATTATAGAGTTTCTCATACTCTAAAACATTAGAATTTAGAATGATATAATCCATAAATAATTAAATATATATATTAGGGAAAATAATTATATTATATATTAAAAATATATTTAAATTAAAATTAGTATTTTATTATACTTTTTTTATATATACAATTATTATTATTCATATTTTCAAAATAATAATTAATATGGTATCGTAAGATGGCTTAGTGTGAGGAATAAATTTGTAATAGTTGGATCATGGGTTGAAACTCCTATACATTCAAGTCCACCTACCACATATGGTAGAATGATTTGTTTTATCGAGCCTAATTTGCAAAATTAAATGGACACTTTCGGATAGCGATTATAAATTTTTACGTTATAAAAATAAATAAATAATATATGTTATATTATTTTTATATTATCAATATTATTCCACGTTAAAACAATAACAAATATGCCCATTATATAGTAAAAAAAATAAAAATAAAAATAAAAAAGTTTGATATACAATACTTATTAGATAATGATTTGTGTTTTACAAGACCACAATTTATTGCATTATATATAAAACATTAATATTTTAAAATTTATGTGCAAAAAATTAAATAATTTTTTTTTTTTCGTCTGTCAAACTAAAATATATCAAGTAAATTTTTTTTGTTAACTTTAATAATAAAAAAAGAAGAAGATATTCATATAATTTACACAATATTACAAATAATAATATTGAAAAATAAATGAGATTAAGGCAAGATTGTTTTTTGTTTTTTATCAATCTATTATACTATTATTTATAAAATATTAATATATTAAAATTTAAATGCAAAAATTAATAGATATATATGACTCGGACAAACGGAATAGTAACTTAGATGGAATGAATATTGCATGTAAACTTTTATATATATATATATATATTTAAAACATTTAGATCAAAATATTTATTTCTATCAAATAAAATAATTTAACCATTTCAAAAGAGAAATAAAGCAAAACAAACAAACCAAAATTTTTCAAAACTCCAATTAGTACTTCTTCTAACACAATGAAAGTCATGGAGTTGATGATGGATGTTTTCATTTAATATTCAATATAAATTATAATAATCAAAAGTTGATGACATAATTATTGAATTTATTTTCCAATTTCTGCCATGTGCCCATGAAACAATTATTTCGATTTTTATGCAAAATATGGAATATTCTGAATATACCCTTTTCTTCCCACTCACAAGAATGTCATACCTTATTATTGTTATTATTTAATCACAATGATAGTAACACACTTCTTATTATTATTAAAAAAGTATATATTTTGATATTATAGAATCAAATAAATTTTTTTCAATGATATGTTTGTATTTTTACTATATAATTACTGTCATTCTTTAAAAATTAAAAATAAAAATAAAATAATAATAATAATAATAACAATCAAACAAAAACTGACCACGAGATCCGATCCGATGCCCATGGACCAAAAATAGGACAATTATTTTAAAATTTAGTCAAAATATTTATCTCTTAAAGACGATGTCCCTTATGTTTTCCAAAATATTGTATCAAATGAATTCGTATATATTTTATTAAATGTAAATTGTGGGGTTTAATGCAATTTTTTTTTTTCAAATCATACGGTAGAATTATGCAAAGTTTTCAAATCTTATGGACAATTTTATCAATAAACTTGCGTCTTTATTGCAATTTTTAATGCATTGTTGGTACTCCTTGTATAAAATATAGTTTGAAATTGATTTAAAATGTAATATTGATTTATTTTATTTTTTTAATAATGTTTTTATATGATATTTTATATAAAAAATAAAATATTATAATTTTATTGAAATAGTATGAAATAAATAATTTAAATTTAAAATCATAAAAAAAAAAAAACATTCTTATAATTATTTAAATAATTGGCTGCATTCAGAAGCCTGTCTGGAAACAATATCTGTATGTGGATTTATTCCCGTCCAGGTTCAGGATGGATTGTCACCAATTAATATAGCACGTTGATGGATTTGTATTTTCATTGACAGCTGTCAAATTTGCTATTGTGGTATATAACTGTGGGCATTCTTTGAGAAATTATATACTCCTTAGTCCCATATATCGTGTCTGTTATACTGTAGACACAGTATTTTAGGAGTAGAAAAAGTGTAATCAGTAAATAATTAAAATTATATTAGTGAAAATAATTATTCAATAATATAAATAATTATAAATTAAGATTAAAATAACTAATTAATTTAATTAAAATTTTTTAAAAAATAAAATTTAAAAGTTTAAAATGAGATTAAAGTGTGTAATCATTTTCCAAAAACTGAAAGTTATATAGTACGTGGGACGGACAAAAACGGCAACGTGCACATGGTACGTAAGACGAAAGAAGTATTATTTTTATTATTGAAAAAAATTAAAATATTTATCTCAACAAATTTAAATTAAAATATTTTATTTATCTCGACAATTTTACAAAATGTGGCACTTTGACACTTTCTCAATTCATTGTCAATTTTATTATCTTTTATTATTCACAGTTAATAATAATAAAATAATTTAAAATGATGATGATGTCTACACACATAATAAAATAATTTAAAAGGATCAATATATTACTATCTTGTTACAAAATAGACAGAACTACCACGTAAATTAATTTTCTAAATAGAACACTTTAATTGCTACAATTACAATAACAATGCGTGACACAATCAACATTGAATTTGTTCACATAGTGTTTTTTAATTAATTATTTTTTTAGGTTAGATATATAAAATTATTTTATAATATAAAATAATATTTTATATTAAATTATTGACATTTTAGTGGATAAACATATATATTATACCATATTATGTTAATATGTATATAAAATTATATTTTTTATTTAAGAAACAATAGCATCTTAAATGTAGTAAGTAATTAAAATAATGTAAAAAAAATTTACCTTCTTTTCTTTTTAATGCAAAATTAGTAATACAATAATAAAGTAAAGATATTAGTAAAAAATAAAATATAATTCATAATTACTAAAAAAATATTATTATTTTGTAATTAGACCATCAAAAGAAAATTATATATGGACGAAAATAATATAAAAAAAAAAACACACAAAAAAATTAATATGTATAGTAAAGAAGGCATCAATTAATTATGTAAATTTAAATTTTCTAAATCATTATTATGCCGTTGATATTCACAAATTAACACACAAGTGCTACTCAAATATGTCAACGTCGAGTAATTGGCCCACAAATGATATCAATCATTATAAAAATAAATAAATTCTATATTATTTTTTTACCCTTCTTTTAATTGGGACCAACCATCTGTCCACAAAAACGAGAGCATCAAATGCCACAGAATCACACCTGCAACTTTAGGACCGCACAGAAATTTTATTATAATGTGGCAAGGTTTGTTTATTTCGCTGTCTCCTATAAAGAAATCATTTAAAATAAATCACATATAGTGTTAAATTAAATAATCAAGTTGGATTATATGGCATTTGCTCTATCAAATCCTAACCATTCATTTTGATATAATATATAATATAATTAAAATAATTAAATATTGATTAAAGACAAAGATTAATTCAGCATTGTCACCACATGATCTATTGTCTATAAAATAATTGTATTCTTATATATAGTACATAAAGAAATATTACCATTTATTTTTTTCTACTTTCACATTACAAATTCATAAAAATAAATCACTAATAAACCTCATATATTTCTCATACTCAAATCATATTTTAACCGAATGCCACCTCAAACTTTCGTAATTTTTTTTCCTTTAATTTTTTTTTTCAAATGAACACACCCATGTATTTCATTTGTTAGACATAGTTCTAAATACATTTGTTAGACATAATTCTTGTTAGAACTATGTCGCACATACCGGATTGAAATCTCCCGGATGAAAACCACACTCGCCATTCAATTTAGGCACTTCTTACACAATTTACGGTTAAATCCTCGGACATTGCAAGTTCCCTATGCTCGACATATAAATAAATAACTCAGAAAACTCAGCTCGATGATGATAGTAGTAATGACGACTAATTTTCTGATTATTTAAACAGCCTCATACACCAGCCATAGTCGAGATACAAACAAGCACACATTATTATTATCATTTATATTTTGCTTAGAAATTTTTCAGAGAGAACTTCAAAGCCGGGCACGCGAGCTAGAGAACATACCGGAAGATATGCAGATTGTAACTTCATGGGTTAACTTTCGGAGCCCAACCAGCAACGACGAATTTCTCCTCAGCCTTTGTTTTCTGGAATGACTCCCGGGAGAAGAGCAGCTATGGAGCCACATATTTTACACAAATATAGTGTTATTATTGAATGCGTAATTAGATAACAGTACGCACATTTTGCTAATAATGCACAGTACCTTGTACTGTGTATATATTAAATACTAATAAAATGATCTACGTGCAAAAAGTAAACGGAGCTGAACGGAAGGAGTGCTGTTTTTCCTTAATTTACTACAGAATTCTTTTGAGACAATCCCGGTGGAACGGAGGTACAGTAAAATACTACTCCCTCCGGCCATTAAAATTAGTCCAGTTGGGTCCGGCACGGATATTAAAAAAAACGAATATTTTTATTGAAAAAATGAAAAGCAGTTGGGAGTATTTTTGAAAATTTAGTTAAAAATTAAAATAAATTAAGAGATAATGCAATAAAATTAGTGATATTTGTTGTAAATAAGTGTTGAATAGAGGGTAATAGTTAAATATTAATTTGCTGATTTTGCCAAAATTAGTAATGAGATAAATTTAGTGGACGGACTAAAAAGAAAGTGAGAATAAATTTGGCGGATGGAGGGAGTACTATCATGTCTTAATTAACGTAAATGTATCTATTCTTTGCGGATAGAGGAAAGGAAGAATATATATTTTACCTTAGTGTAGTTGTGCACATGGGTCAAGCTTTCGGGTATTTTCCACCCCTTAAAGTGGCCAAGAGCCACAACAAGATGGTAAAGCTTAGGGGCTAAACTCAAATCAACGGCGCATATATTAGCTCCATTAACATACGGCCCCTGATCAAATATGCCAAAAGGCGTAATTTGTTAGCCAATCAAGAAACTGTTACTTTTCTTCGTTTATCTTAGGTTTGATGTCCGGAAATCTTAAGACAATTTAGTACCTTAGCTTTCAGGTGTTCATCCAATGCCTTCAATTCGACAAGGAGTGCCTGTTCACTTCCATCCGCTGGATCCTTGCTCTTCAAGAACGTGACAAAAGAAGGAAATATTTTGGAGCCCCTGTCGAGAAAGATGAAGGAAAAATAATAAATTCAGCATCACCCGTCGCCTTAAATATGTTGTTTTTTATGAAGATAATACAAACATGATAACTATTAACTGGAGATGAGAAAAAATGATCCACGGTTTGGGAAGTTTGTAATGTCAAGAGATTATATCATATTTTGCTAAAAGAATTCGGTTCGAGAGTTAAAAACAAAATAGTTGAGCAATTTAGCAACACAAAGAAGGTAAAAACAACATATATATATATATATACAACAAAATAATACAATCAAGTTCTACAGGGGCATATGCTTTAACAAAACAAAATAGAAATCAAGAGATCATAGATATCAAGTTAATAATCCATTTGCCGTCGGTCCCATTTTCAATAGTGCTATTCAATGTGTCCAAAAGCATCAAATTTGAAGGTGTTCATACTTTTAGAAGACAAAGAACAGCAAATCAAGAGAGAATAAATTTATGTCAAATCTGTTTTATAGAAGTTATTTCTCCAAGACGCCATCCATCGTATTTCCAGAAAAGATAATACTTAACAGAATTTCAATTTTCTCGACACATTTTCATCAATCAAACATCATATTCATTTGGTTTTGCTCTGCTCTACTCTACTGTCTCACTTACAAAAAAGTTTACAACACTTTGGAAGCAACAATGAAGAAAAACAAGATCAAATCCGATATCCATGGATGCAACCTAATTCTAACAACTTGAAAATCAGCTCACTTCAGGCATGCTTGCCTTCATGGATTAATTCGTCAATCCATGAGAGAGTAAACTTCCCCTAAAAGAAAACTATGTGAAAGATCTTCAAGCAGGAACATTTAAAGCACACATATTCAAGATTACATAATTGTACAGTAAAAACGCAGCATTCGAAAAACATGATGATTAAATTCTATCAACAAGGTGAAGAAAGAAAGGAGAAGATGCGATTTCATACACTGATGAGACTTCAGAAGGAGCTGATAGGGGAGGATTAGGGTATTTCTCCTCAATTATACCAACAATCACATCAGAATCAGCAATCCATTTGTCGTCAAATTTGATCACCGGCACCTTCCCCTCAGGATTCACTTCCACGAACCTAATTGTCCAATCAAAAACATAGTTTCTAGCTGAAGATGAAGCATTCTCATACAAACACTTCAAAAATGAATGAAGCAGTGAGACTTAAACACTAACCACTGCGGCTTCTCAGAAAGGTTGATCAGATGCGTCTTGTAAGCGACATTCTTCTCTTCCAAAGTTAACAAAACTCTCTGGCAGAACGGACCTGAACATCACAAAAACCATTTCACAAATCCCTCAATCAGTCGTGCTCCGATTGCACGCATCGGAGATTACATTATAAAATTGTAGAAGCACAAGAGAGTAAAATTTTTACAATCTCCCAGAATCTCCGGAGCGCCTGCTGCTGCCTTGACGCAAACCTCCACCGCCATGTCGAGATCTTCGAGCTCCAGAATGTTCGTGAAATCCAGCGTCATCTGGACGCGGGGCATATATAACTTGTTGGTGGTCGTGTATTCGACCCGACCCGACCCGACCGGACCGACACTGAGTTTGGGCCGTACTAAAGATATTAGAAATTGGTCCGGATCTATGTTCTATCGTAGCCCACTAGAACGAAAAAATATATAAATATACATTTTGAGTAAACTAGTACTTTTGTCAATTTGACAGTTTCTTTATTTATTTTTAATAAAAATAAATAGATAAAATTGACATATATTCGGATAAAAAGGTTGAGATACAAAATTCAGACTACAGCAAAAAGACTCATAAAAAATATCAAACAATACATACATGAATAGACATACTAGTCATATAAAGACATATAATATTATATTAATATTGTAATCCGTGTAAGGGATGACTGGTGATGGATTTTGAACTCTGCCACATATGGTTCATCTAGTATCTAGTGTGACTGGTCTGCCAGTTAGAGGTTTAGTCTGCTTACTTTCAAACAACCGACATAGATTTATTAAATTTATATTTTATTCATAAATTTTTATAAAATTTCATTTAATTTATTTTAATGAAACATTTTTTAATAATAAAAAAATCCTAAAAAAAAAAAAAACAGCTTAAATAATTCTCAGCACTAATAAAAATAAAATAAAAAGGAAGAAAGGTATATATATAATATATATACCTTTGTTAATTTAAATATATTGATTTTAAAAATAAGTTAGTGCATGAAAATTGGGCGGTGAGAAAGGGCAATATCCATACATAACAGGATAGGGAAAAAAATCCACACAGGAATGGCGATTTCCTCTACGTCGCTCACCTTCATTTCGAAGCCGCTGAAGGAACTGGTAGTTTCGATGATTCGACCATGGATTTCTGTATTGTGTTTTGAATTAATTTGCCTTTTGTCGAGGTGTTAGGTTTTTTTTTTTTTTTTTTTTTTTTTTTTTTTTATATGTTTGTTTTCAGCCTGGCGTCGGTAATTGGGAGTTTGCAGCAGCTTCCGCACACCGGAATGTGGTGGCGAAGTGTTCGACGAACGCCTCTCCCGGTGAGGAAACGTTCAATTGATATTGCATCGTGGTTACTCTGCATTCTAATCAATTCGTGAATGTTCCGACTCGTTTAGCAGCAAAGATAAACTAGTTGATCGTTTGAATGCTTTGCTATTCTGATGAGAATTTTTGTACAGAAATTTGTGAGTGAACTTGATCATTTGAAAATGTTTTGTTGTTCTGATGAAATTTTTTGTTCAGAATTTTGAGTGTGGATATGTGTCTTTCAGTGTGATAAGTTAAAAGCTAGCAAAGTTCGTTTCTAAAATTTTGAATTGTGTGATGTATTAGCGGCTGTTATAAGTTTTTCTGTAGTTTTGTAGGGAAAAGAGATCGAGGTATATTATAAGTGTGTGATAAAGTTGCTAGCCATTAAAAAGTTAACAAACAAAAATCAATTTGCCGGAATAGAACAGTTTTCTTGGACGTTTTGTTATTAGCTAGTTACAATTGCCCATATGTAACAACTTTTTCTTATCTAATTCTTAGATAGCTTGTATAAAGTAGTATAAATAGCACTTTTACATTGTATTTACGGGTTGGAAAGTTTCGATACGTAAGCTACATGTCATCTTTTAATGTATTTTCCTATCAAGTCTTTGGAAGAATGTCTTTTGGCTGTTAGAAGCCTTACGTTCTTATCCCGGGCTAGCAAAAGCTCTACATTTGTATTTACTTGTGTTCTGGATTTGAACTTTTGTGGAGTAGAAAAGATGTTATGTTCTGTATAGAGTTTAGGTTATGAAAACGAAGTTTTTAGTTGGGAAAAAATTTTTAATGGTACATCATATTCACAAGTAGACACACCCTTATTAGTGTATATAATCTAAGATTTTTTTTTTCTTGGGATATGGAGAATTGTGAAGCTATTATAGAGAATGATATTTTCTGTGTTCTTGTTGACTTATATTGTTATTGTATTTATTGGGTAATAGTTTTGGGAAGTCTTGCATGCTATAAACACTAAATAAACACGGCTTAATATGTTCATATTTGTGAATATGACAGACATCGAGAAACATGTATACAATTCCTTGGTAAAGATCCTTATGGTTAAACCTGACTAAGTATATACACTTGTAACAGCTCAATGCACAACTCCGGGAATCTGTAGACGAAGTGCATTTGCACTCGGAATAGGAGCATTGGCTGTGAATTTATTCCCTACAAGCCCTCTTCTGGCAGAAGGTATCACAATCAATTGTTATACAATACTTCAATGATCTACAAACTTTTACATGCCATTTATTCTGCCTTTCCACATTATTTTCTTTTTCTGCCATTTAGGTGTACCAGAAAATTATACCAGCTTTGTCGATAAAGTTGATGGCTATTCATATTATTATCCCTCAGATTGGAGAGTAAGTCCTACTGGCATTTGCATATCCATGTCTCGAATCTTTTTTTAACTGCATAATATCTTTTGCAGGACTTCGATTTCTTGGGACATGATTCAGCATTTAAGGATAGATTAATGCAACTTCACAATGTAAGATTGAGTTTCATACCAACAAAGAAAACTGATATCCGTGATTTGGGACCGATGCCGGAGGTAAGTACACCATTATTTTTAGATCTAATTTTTTTTTTTCCAGTATCTTATTGAACATTCTCTGAATAAATTTAGTTTATTTGTATAAGGTTGTTCAACATCTTGTGACAAATATTTACTCAGCGCCCTCTCAAGTAGCAGATGTATTAGATATGCAAGAGGTAGTGTAGCTGTTCATGCTTTTGTTCATACTGCTTCTATACATCTTATTTTTCAGTTTTTTAATTGATGAACCAGTTTGCCAAATTGAAAATTTGCTAAAAAAAAAATCTCAAATTATATATATATATATTTAAATATATCTGCTGCTTGTGCTGTGTTTGGATTGCTTTACTATAAGACTGAAAAGGCACCTTACTTGCATTGATCAATCTCCTGTATGCAGAGAAATATTGATGGCAGAAACTACTACACGTTTGAATACATTCTCACGTCTCCAAATTTTGCCCGAGCAGCCTTTGCAACAATAGCTATTGGAAATGGTATGACAACTTGTGCCTTTTATATGAATTACACCACGCATTGCCTTTTGGGTTTAATTTTTCTAATGAAAAATAAGTGTTTTACTTATGTTGTAAATAAAAAATATTTGCTGAAATTTATAGCTTTTTTAGGTAAAATATCAATTTCTTTTGACTCAAACCTTCAATTTTTTACTAATTAGACTCAGTATTTTTTAAAAAAATATATAATTTATTTTTTATTTTAATATTAAATCTAAATAATTTTTTTTTTCAAACCAATAAAAAGAAAACAGACCATAGTGTGTTTGGATTTGCGTTTGAGGTTTAGGTGTGATTTATCAGAGAAAATATTGTGTGATTACAGTGAACCATGATAATTGTGTAAAAAAAAGTGAAACTAAATTTGAAGTTGAAGAGAAGCATAAGCATTACATGAGATGAGAACCATTGCAAAGTCTCCAGTTTGTCTGCTTCATAAATACTCCCTATAATAACGACACGTTTTTCTCACCTGAAGCAAAAAAAAAAGGACAATCTCTATTGTACCTGTTTATTCGCTTACTCTGTAGATCAATCAATATTTCAGCAAAAGTATGAATAGGTACAACAATCTTTTTTCTGCAGGAAGATACTATACATTGATCGTCGGCGCGAACGAGAGGCGATGGAGAAGATACCGAAACCAGCTCAAAGTGGTGGCCGACTCCTTCAGAGTTCTGGACATCTAAACACAAAAAAACACCCGAAAACTGTGTATGTCTCCTTCCCTCCCTATGCTTTTCACTCTATAATTCTCCTGAAATACACTCTCTGTTGATATCTCACTCTGTTTTAGATCATAAAACTTGCTGAACAGTTTCTAATAAGATTTCCCACAACCAAACTCTAATGCAAAAAAACAACCAACCAAAAACAAGGATCCTACGATCCTCCTCTGTACAAAATTACATTACAAAGAATTGCCCTTCCAATAAAAGATGTACACACTAAAAACACATCCAAAACAAAACAAAAAAAAAAAAAAAAAGAAAGAAAAATGAAACGCACCACTCCAATACAACCATATATATCTAAACTGCCTACTACCTACAAAAGAATATGAACCTAGAAAAGGTAGTAAGTATATCACAAAGAAGTAAGAAACCAACACAATTCTTTACACATCATACATATATATATATATATATGTGTGTGTGAAAACCCGGCTCGATGCTTTGGTTGCGTCATTAATAGTTTGATACGAAACTAACCGGAATCAAACTAGTCTGTGTTGCCGCATTCCCTTACCAAAGTGCGGCTGCATCAAGCTCACATACAAACCGTTCTTACTCATTAATGAGTCATGAGATCCTTCCTCCACAATCCGTCCTCCATTGAGCACGACGATACTGTCGACGTGCCTCATCATAGCTGCCCGGTGCGCTATGAGAATAGTGGTCTTGTTCCCCATAACAAGAGTGTCTAGAGCTTCCTGTACTACCCTGCTCGACTCGGATTCGATTGAAGAGCTCGCCTCGTCCAACAACAAAATCGGGGCATTCTTCAAAACGACCCGCGCAATGGCAATCCGTTGCTTCTGACCGGGCGTTAAATCGACGCCCCTCATCCCGACGTGGGTGTCGTAACCGTGCGGCAAGCTGCTTATGAAATGATGAGCGTTAGCGATCCTCGCAGCTTCCTTCATCTCTGCTTCACTAGCGTTATGCCTCGCATAGATAATGTTTTCCCTTATAGTTGTCGAAAATATGATCGGCTCCTGCTGAACGAGACCCAAGTGGTTCCTCAACCATCGCAGGTTGTAAGAACTCAAATCCCGTCCGTCCAATAATATCTGCCCTGCTAGAGGGTTGTAGAATCTTTCTATCAACGATATAATCGTGCTTTTTCCCGACCCCGAAACTCCAACCACCGCTATTGTCTGCCCGCCGTTAACCTTAAGACTGAAATTACTTAGAACCAGGACCTCCGGCCGAGTGGGATAGGAAAAGTCGACGTTCTTCAACTCAATGCTGCCATAGACATTCGGGGGTTTCAGAGCTGAATTATCATCAGGCTCGATCTTAGGTACTCGGTCAATTATTTCAAAGACTGATCTCAAGGACTTCCTTCTTTTAAGAATGTACGGCGCCAAACCAAAAGGCTCGACCAGGGCAAACGTAGCGAACGAAAACACCATGTACTCTTTGATAGCCGTAGCCAAATTCATGTGCGAGTTCTTAACGGAGAGGGCCGTGTACCAAAGGAGAAGAGCGTTGCAAGCAAAGAGAAGAAACTGAGAAAACCCGAACGCAAAACCGATCGCCATCCCTTGGAGAAAGCTTTTCTTGAATATTTTCCGGAGTTGAAATCTGTACAGCTCCATCACCTTGTTCCCGGCACAAAACGCCACAACAGTGTAAATATTGCGAACCGCATCTTCCAAGACCAGAGATGCCTTCCTGTGCATCTCTTGGATGCCTTTTGAAAATCCGGCGAGCCATAATTTCTACATAAATGGGAAATGCAGAAAATAACACTATGCTCATAAACAAAAAACACAGACCGGGCAATTCAATTCCAAAAAAAAGAATTACTAGTACAGAAAAGACGATTATATATATGCGAAAATACACATACCTGAGCTATGGCAGATACCATAAGAACGGGAAGTGTAGCCAAGGCCACAAGTGCTAACTTCCATCCCAGCAGCATCCCAATAAGAACTGCGACTATGACAGCTGCGCTGTCTTGTATGAATATCGAAAGCCGATTGCTGAAAGCAGCTCGCACAAAGGTAGCATCATTAGCCAACCGCATAGATAAGTTATCGGCACTGTTTTCCTCCTCGTCGAACCATCCAACTTCATTCCGAAGCATTGCTACCAAAAAAAAAAAAAAGATTCCTCAGCTGCAAGGAGAATCTATTTATTAATACCTACAAAGGAACGTACCAGAAAACATCATTCGACGAACACGTTCGGTCATCTTCTCCCCCATTATACCGAAATAGAAGTGCTGCAGAAAATTAGCAATCACCGTGGCGATTCCCATCCCGGCAATGATCGAGCACCACTTGTCTATCTCGTTGTGGGAATGTCTGTCGACATTCGACCTATAGTACGCCGTAACTATGAGTGCAATGACGTAGGCGAGAACGGGATTGAATGAGCCGAAGATTGCAGCACCGATGCTTCCCAAAACAGCATAAAGCCACTCTGCTAGGCTAAGCTCTACAAGCCTCCAGAAGGGGGGCACCCGTTGAGCTTGGTCCCCCTTCGTTTCTTTCATCATTATAAGCCCGCTGTCGAATTCGCTAGGCGGTCGACTGAATGTCTGCGAATGCGACCGTTCATTCTGAGGATCGGATGTCAGAAGAGGGGAAACAGGAGATTCAGGATCCGATGCACTTGTTTGTCGGTTTGCAGAGTGCACGTCAATTTTCGGCAGCTCCGGCAGCCTCATCTCGAAACTATCCTGTCTCTTGATCGCTGGTTCGTTGCTGCTATTTTCCATGGATCCGTTTTCAGTCCGATCTTCGGGAGGAGGGCTGAGAGTCGTAGGAGATTCTTGCGAGTTGAATGGAAAATCGGAGGGCCGGAAACCATGGTGGGCAGCTGCTCTTTGGAGAGACGGCGACTTCGCCATTCTGGGCGAAGATGGTTCTTGAAATATCCGACTTGCGGATGAATCCCGCTCGATTTGAAAAGTTCCACTTTCCTTGTAGGTTCTCACCGGCATCCTGAGTTTGGACAATTGGGCACATTATATGCATTAAAATTAGGCAAAATTGTTTATAATTCTCTTTAAGTTTCGAAACTTGGCGTAAATCTCCCATTAATTTAAAAAAATTTTGTGGCGCCCCTTATACTTTCAAAAACGTTGCATTGAACCCCTTTGTAGTTTCGAAACTCAGTGTAAATTCCCACATTAATTTAGAAATTGTATGACGCCCCTTGTACTTTCAAAAATATTGCATGACACCCTTTGCCATACAAAAAAATATAGATAGGAAATCATTTTCTCATCACACAAGGTGTTTTTATAGCGGTGGGGTTTCATGTAACATTTTTTAAAGTATAAAAAGATATAATGTAATTTTAAAGTATAGGAAGATTTTATGTTGAATGTCAAAACCACATGAGAGTTATGAGCATTTTTATCTTAAAATTAAAGTGCAGAAGTGCAAGTGCTAATAATAAAAGCTATACCTTCTCGGTAGCTTTGTAGCTTCCTCGCACTTGAGGAGTTCGGCGTATAGGCCATCCAAATTCAATAGTTCGTCATGCGTACCCATTTCAACGAGCTGACCTTCCTCCATCACAGCTATGTAATCGGCATTTTTTATAAGACTTAGCCGTCTTGCTATTATTATGGTTGATCTGCCCAGCATGAGGAGATCCAGGGCCTCCTGAACAGATCTTTCAGCTTCAAAGTCGAGTCCACCTGTGACTTCGTCGAGAAGCAAAATGGATGGATTCGACAACACAGCCCTAGCAATCGAAAGCTTGATTTTCTGTTCTTCCGTCATTTCTAGGAAAGCCCTACCAACCTGAAACCAAACAGGATTTCATCAGGGGACAACAAACAAATAGAATTCAAAAAAGCAATGCGGACGACACTTGAAGGGAAAAAGACCTGAGTATTATATCCTTTCTCGAGAGAACTGATGAACGTATGAGCATGTGCTATTTTTGCAGCTTCTTGAATTTGCTCTAGTGAGACGTTTCGTCCATAAGCAATGTTATCTTTGATGCTCAAACTCAGCAACGCCGGCTCCTGCGTGACTAAACCGATTTGACTTCTCAGCCATTCCAGCTTTAGATTTTTAATATTTTCGCCATCCAAAAGGACTTCACCTGTTAGCAAAATCACAGAAATTCGGAAATGTTGATGGGATGAGATATATAGCCCAAACATAACTAAAAATTAACATGTTAGCATACCTAAAGTAGGATCGTAAAACCGCTCCATAAGTGGTATAATACTACTTTTCCCAGAACCGTTCCTGCCAACAAGTGCTACAGTTTTCTTAGCTGGCACAGAGAGGTAAAACCCGCTCAAGATAGGAATTTCAGGTCGAGACAAATAGCTGAAGTACACATTTCGAAACTCAATATTTCCTTGAACAGACGGAAGTGTTAGGCCATCATCGTTTTCATTGGAAGATGACCGAGCTATCATCTCAAACAATCTATAAGCAGCAATTCTCCCTTGTTCAAAAGAATAGAAGTTCGTTGCAGCCTGATTCAGCCCCCTGTTACAGACGAGGTCAGCCCGTTCATTTCCAAGCAGAATCATAATAAACATTCGAAGAAATGGAAAATATATAGAGTGAGAAAGTTCCTTACAGGCCACTCAAAATAACGGCAAATAAGGCTGTCACTATTTGTCCCCCGTGAGCTCTTCCGTGCCTCACAAGGGACCTTCCTGCCCAAAGTTGTAAGGCACATGAACAGATTGCAAGTCCGTATGTGAAACCAAGTCCAAGCCCTTGAACGAGACTTATTAATATGCCGTATCTAAGTGTAGCTTGAAGTGAAGTTGCATATGAATATTTTGCCAAGGTTTCATTGGTAAAGGCATACAAAGTTCTAATATAAGAAACTGCCTGCAGAACAAAATTTTAAAAAGATGTTAAGAACATACGACAAAATCGCCAGAATAAGATGAGCTGCTAATGAATTCCTCATCAAATGCCTGATCTATGAGATGCGGACGAAATCTTAAACATTAAAGAATTGCAACAATCTTTCACAGAGACAGAGATGCCAATAATGTATAAACTCCCGACTGCAGAATAGGTTCCTTATCTTTTCCTACCACATCATTAATCTTAAAATGACAAAGGGAACCAGTAGAAGGCCGACCAACGATTATGTCAAGACCTAGTGATAATTGAAGTGATACTTATAAACCTGAAGCATATCTTTCAACAAATGTATTTGCAGATTCGGAATATTCATATAAAGATCTTCACAAATCCAGTACACTAATACTGTAATACATAATTATTTCCATCCAATCATATGTTAAGCACGGCAAAGGTAATAAATCATATAGACCATCGACTCAGCAGAGAAACACATAGTTGGAATTCTTGGGGCACTCTTAGTTCCAACCCTAAAGCTCATATGAAATTTGCAATTCAATACTCCAGAAGAAAGGAATTCACCCACAACTTCAAGTATCCATGCGAAATGGAAATCAGGAATCTGACCTGCTCGGCAATACTCGCTGCTTCAGCATAGGCATCTTGAATATTTTCAGCGAGCCTATGAAGAAAGATGTTAGATACTCCTCCCGCAGCAACAATTAAGGGGCCAGTGGCTAAGGTAATAAGAGCAATCTGCCAACAGTTGACAAATCCAATTACTAGACCACTGAAGAAAGTTGCCATGTTGTGGATGTAGTTGCCGACCTGTCATATCAAACACACGAGCAGATCTGAGAACTTTCTACTAGTAAAACTGGCATAAAAATTGATAAACTAATGCATAATTTGGGGGGGGGGGGGTGGGGTTCGAGAGTGGGAACAGGGAGACCTTTTCGCTAAGAGCAGATTGGATGAGCAACACATCGCTCAACACTTGGCTCACAATGTCTCCATTATTCCCATAAGTATCAAAAAAGCTCATGTCTTGACTAAGTAGAACATGAACATATCTTGACCGTATCACAGCCGTTTGTCGTTCCCCAGTAAGTATCCAGCAAGAAACCTCTGTTGGGCAAAAGATAAATTCATTTAAATTAATAAAAATATAGCATACACTCATACAGCAGTAAGGAAAGAAAACAGACCATCATTTAAAAGAGAAGACAAACTCCATGAGAGAAAATATAAACTTACCAATCCATGCTGATACAAACACTCCTCCAGCAATGTAAACAATGCATAAAGCAAGCTGCGGGAATTCCAAAACAAAGTCAGCTGAAAACAATTTGGATCAATAATTCATTAATATAGGAAACATGTGATGAAGAGTTCTCATTGATCTAAGGAAAATGCAGATGGCAATATGCACATATTTCAAAAGTAAAATGAAACATGCGATGGAGTGCTAACATTGATCTACAAATGTTAAGTGTATTGATGCATATGCATACGCCAATAAATTTCTCAAACAGTTTCTATTGTCATTTAATAAGCATAGATAGTGGTCGTAGACTCAAGTTTGGGATGTTGAATTCCATCTACAATTGTTCATTGTATTGGATTCAGTTCACTCAGCATAGACAGTATTAATGTAAAGCTTCAGTGTTAAAATTCTCGCATAAATTTCAGAATCAATTTATTCATTTCATTATTCCCTGCTGAGCCTATCAACGGCATGTGCTAGATCCTCTATTATCTGGTCAGAATAGCTACTACTCAAACATAATGTACTTAAAAGCCAACAATGAAACTATGCACTATGTTTTGTACTTAGCTCGGTGTGTAGGGGCAATATGTAAACTACTTTCTTTGGAATAGTTTAGAGGTATTCTATGCATGCCATAATCAATTTATGTGTAAATGATGTACTATAAAAGAGTAATCATTCAATATATAATATTGTGTATAAAAAGTGATAGCATGTGCCACACACACGGGTTTAAATATAAATATTGAATAAGTACAAATTAGATTGGGGAGGATATAAACAAGCACAGTATTGATAAACATCACAGTTTATATGTGAAGTGAATAATATATACATGAAATGAAAAGCACATCAAAATAAAAGAAGAATTAGCTCATAGTCAATCCACCCTATATCTAGCAATAAATGTCGACATGAATAATTACATATTTCGTGCTAAAAGGGATAGCCATATATAGTTAAAACGGAAATTAAGAAACAATGAGAATCTTCCAAAATCTGATTCACATAATCATTCTGATCATGTAATCTTGCATACTTTATTCGGCTCGAAAATTTTTTCCAAAGAATCTTAACTCGCACCATCAGTTAGATACACTAATCATTATTAGTTACTTAGATTCGATCAATTATGGATATAGACAAGACACTATGTATCAACAGGCCTAGGTTCTTACAAATGCAAGTTTAAGAAAACAATGGCCTAACGATATACGTAAGTAAGCATGCATTTACGGATGCGTGTATATATATATATAAGTATGTATATATAGTGGGAAAACTTAAATCCAAACCTAATTAACAACATGAGAATATCTTGAATTCTTCAAATCATTTTGTAAGCAACAGTATATGTATGCAGAAACACAAACATAAACAGCCCAACTCAATCAAATTCTGCCTAAGATCATCAAACAGCATTAATTTACTACACTTTAATCACTTTTTCCGGAAGTAAATTGCTCGATATACTGTAGAGAAGAACCAAAACACATTTCTATCCTCCCCACCCCCTCTTTTATAATTACAGAGGCAACATTATGTAATTCCCAAAGAAAGAACAATATAAGAAGGCAATACCATACCATAATGATCTGATAATTTGAACCTAACACTGTAAAATTGAAGCATAAATTAATTAACTCAGAATTACCTCAGTGAACTTACGAAACAGTTCATCATCATCAATGTTCACACCATGGTGGAAGCGGAGCAGATGTATGATTTTGGCAAAGAAATGCAAGTAGACAACGAGAGCAGTGCCGTGTGCGGCGGCGGCGAGAGATCCTACAAACATAAGAACCCAATCAAGGCGGTCGGCGCAAGCAAAGAGCTCGGAGAAAGGCACGGCAGCCGGCGGCGGCTCCATCTCCTCCCCCTCGGCGTCGATCTCGTCCTCCACCTCCACCGGCTCCGCTTCCCCTGTCCCCGTGTCCATATACGGCGAAGGAGACTCTGGCGGCTCCGATACTTCCGACACCGGCGTTAACGGTTGTATGTGCGGCGGCGACCACCCGAATAAACCCCTAGATATCATCATCTTTCCCACACAACCTTCAACCTCGAGAAAAAAACAAAAAATACTCTCCCTAGCGAACTATTCAATTTCCCCAAACAAATCGAAAGTGAAAACCCTAGCCTAGGCCTTAGATCATCGCAACTGCAACTCCTCCGTCGAAACCCTACCTCCTCCTCTTCCTCCTCCCCCTCCGCTTGCAATCGAGACCGAAACTCAGATCAAAAAGGATCTCCAATCTAGCAGAACAGAAAAATCTCCAACGATCCCTCCCCAATCACTCGAGAAGCACCACCTATTCACCGCCAACAATTGACTGAGTCAAAAAGGCGGCTCGAGCGAGCTGCTGCTTTGCTTTGACTCACTCAGCACCACGAGCTCCCGTTCTCGACGAACAAAAACGACGTCGTTCCGATGCAAATCCTCACCTCCTCAGAGCTCATCGCCGGCGGAGATCCGAAGCCGAGCAGAACCAAAAGAGACCTTGTTAAGAAACTGCAAAACCTGGCAAAAATACAGCTGCGCACTGCACATAAACTCGATTACATCCGCCTTTTCAGAGGAACAATGATAGTTCGGAACCACCATTTTCACAGGATTGGGAGGAGCAATAAATCCATAGGCAGCGCACAACATGTGATGCGAGTTGAGGAAGAAAACAAACAAACCGTATTCGTGATTTCCAAAATTCACTACTAATAAGTATAAGAAATATCTCTCTCGAAATCAACGGTCAAGATGCGCTCGAGAATCAACGGTTAGATGTCCTCAACGGCTGGATGTTTTCGGAGAAAATGGACGGCCCTGATTCGAACTTGCTGCTCGCGGCTGCGGTGTTACTGTCTCGCTTTGCTAATTCGTAGTCGAATTGTTTAAATTAAAACATGGCCATTTTGAAACGTTAATTTCGTATAATTTGTTTTTTGTTTTTTTAATAATTATATATTCTAATGATATTTTAAATTTTAGGATTTATAATAAATTTAAATTTCTTTTCTTTTTCAAATTAATTTTAAACCACAGCCAAACTAATTAAGTATATAAGTTCGGTGTTTATCCAATAGGCACTTCGGATAGCAAAAAAAATATATTAATAAAAAATTGAAAGAATAAAATTTTATAAAAAATAAACATATAGATATCAAAGCATTCAAGGTACAAGAAATAAAAGAGGTGATAAAATAGTTGATTTTTTTTAGACATGGCTGTCATTTTTATTTTTTTTTTCAAACCATAGAGCTAGAGTTACAAAAATTTGATGTTAAAATTCTGGGCAGAAATGTCACTAAGTGACGTGGACGAGGGCGTTTGCAATTTGGAGTGGTGGAGAGTGTCACGAACTGACATTTCTGCTAGGGTTCTCGGTCATAGTCCGTCTTATGTGTGCGAGCCCCGGTCCTGTACGATTAATCAACGGCATATGTCTTGGTGCGTGTACGGTATATTTAGGCTTGTTGCGCGCAAGGAACGGCTGACTTGGGCCTTTGGACTTGGGCGTCGGGCGTGTCAACTTCCGGCACGTTACAATGTCTATATTGTCACACGACTTGATTAAAGGAAATGTTTTCACTTTTACTAGCTGAGTTTTTACGTGGTTATGAATTTGATACCGAAAATTTCTCATCTATTTTGGTCGACGATTAGCACGGAGTAGTTTCAAGACATTTTATTTGGTTGTATGGATAGTATGGTATATTGTCATTATATGATTATGTTATCTTACACTTGCACATTTTCTTATATATCAAGTTAAAAATAATCGTCTTGCAAGAATTATTGATGGGTCTTATGTCACTCGAAAGTATTTGATGAAGTGATTGGAGAGTTTTGTTCTACTATGATACTGTGTGGTATCTGAACACTAAGGTAAGGACACGGGGAATTGGAGAAAAACGATACGTATTAACTAACAGAGTTGATAAGGCGACGGATCAATACGAAATTGAACGAGAAGCTGAGCGAGTTTAGCCTCGTTGTCGAGTTTAGCATAAAATATCCGATGATGTGTCAGCCATTGATCAGTTGTGATGGAAATGCATCGTCGTATGAATATTATTCAATAAGAGATGAGAGCATCATTTGAACGTATTTATGAGCATCTTTCGATTCTTATTCCACTGGTAGTGCCATCGCATGCACCAACACCTAAAGATGATACTGCAGCGAGACAAGAAGGTGATGATATCATCGATACTAATGCTTTGTTTAATAGATACAATGGGTCGGGTTGGATTGATGATGTATAATTTTTCGTTAATTTTTGTACATTTATTCAATGTGTGATGTGTTGTTGTTGGTTTGATAATATTAATTATATTAAATATGATTTGTTATTTGTTTACTGTGTCGAAATTAATTTTAATTATATTATAACAAAATAATTCAAAACGGCTGAACTAAAATTAGTTTTTGTGGAGATATGCGAAAGAAAGTATTATTATTTTTTGTTAAAATAATAATTCATATTACATTTATAACCAAAAAAAAAAAAATGAAAATCAAATCTGTTGGTGGAATAATTTATGCTGCAATATTATAATAGTAGAAGTTAGAGTGTTATTAACCCTGCTTTGATTATCTCCTTACGAAACTTAATTAATTAGTTATATGTGTGTGCTTGATTAGGTGAATTAGGTCAGCCACTAGTGTTTTTTTTCTAAACTAATAATCTCTTTGTTTGGTGGGGAGAGCTTGAATTTTGAATTTTGAATTTAAGATTTTGAATAGAAAAAAAAAATAATAATAATAATAATAATTAATAATCAAGAAAATTGTATAATCGTGATATAAAAAAGAAATTAACATGATATTTTAAAAACTAAATTAAATTAAATTTTAATATAACATAATATATATATATATATATAAGTACTAGTATTTGTTTGAAAAAAAAATGATAAATAGTTAAAAACTATCAGAATCCTCCCATCAAACATAATTTGAGATGAAGGCTTCTTTTAGTTGCAAATATTGAAAATATATTGAAATGGTAAAATTGTTTATTTTAATATAATATTTATGAAATATATATTTGATATTATATTTTTAAAAATATATATATATCGTCGAAACACAAATTTAAAAAATATCATAGTCTAAAGATATAGTTAGACTATATTCTATAATATTATTCTTAATATATATAACAATTCTTTATTATTATTCGAATATAAATTATCATACGCAAAATTAAAATTTAAACTACAAACAAACATAAAAACATAAGCACCGCTATTGTATACTCCGCTAAATAAATATTCGACCAGGAGGAGCTCCCGGGTGCAGTGGACCCATTCCAGACAGTAAGGTCCACAGACATAAGCACCGTTATTGTATTATTCTTAAAATATATTTTATCAGTTCGATATAAAATTTGTAATTTTTTTTTAAAAATATAATTATAAATTTTAATTACATTCTAAAATTTTATATTTTATAATTTTTTAAATTAAATTATTTAATTATAATTTATAATTATTTTTATTATATTATACTTATTTTTACTAATATATTTTAAAATTATTTACTAATTACACTATATATCTAAATTCGTGCTTAGTTAAAACACCGTTATTGTATGCTAAGTAAATAAATATTCGACCAGGAGGAGCTCCGGGGTGCGGTGGACCCACTACAGTAAGGTCCAACAGACAAATACTCCATAATGCTAGATTACATCATACCACTTAAATTCGTACACCCGGATCCATGATCCCAGGAGCTCCGTACAGCCTGAAGAGTAGGGAGCTCCAGGGTTCAGCAACTCCAGAGTATACGGTCATATAAATACCTTACCCACTGGATCTGTGCTCCAGGGACCTTCCAAGTTCTCCACCCACTCATCCCCTACAAACGCCTGCTCTTTCGTTACAACCGCCGTACATGGCGGCCGAAACAGAGAAGAGCCCCAACTCATCGCGATTCGCCGCCATTGATGACTTCTGAGAGCGCTTGCAATGTGCAATCGCCGCCTGAATCGGATTCTCCATCTCCGAGCAGCTCTTCATTAATATCTGCCGATAATTCAAATTAGGAGCCGAAGAAATTACCAGAGAAGAGGAGGATATGGAGCAGTTTTTAGGCTTCGATAGCCTCTTAAAGGCGCCGGAAAACGACCGCCGGTGATTCGCCTTGCTTCCTCTCCGGCGAAATTCGTTTTCCTCTGAAACATTGTGGTGGTTGTTGTTGTTGATTTCCTTTTTATACCTAATTTGACCAAACGGCGTCGTATCGCTTCTGAAATTGCCGTTTCCACCGCTTTGCTTACCAGGCTTCGGAACCGACCGGACTTTGCTGCTCGCGGCGGCGACGGCGGCCGCGGCGGAGTACTCGCTCGAACAACCGGCGGATTTGGTGAACAGAGACTTTATATACCGCCAATTGAGCTTCGATCCGATTCCTCCTTCGCTGGCGGAGGATTTTTTACCGATTTTAGATCTGGATTTGGCGTCGTGCAGATCTGAGAGATAATCGAGGAAATAATCCGCCGGATTCAGCTCGGCGCTGACGTGGCAGGAGGCGGACGGCGAGATATTGCAGGATTCGAACGGAGTGTTGGCCGCCGGCGTGCTGAAGAACTCGTGGTCGTCGTTTTGGGCGAGGATTTGGAGGCGCGGCGGAAGGTGGAGGGGAAGGAGTTTCCCCATGTAGAAGAGCTCGTCGGCGGGGGAAGCGGAGGCGGAGGAGCTAGAGAAGCTCTGGAACTCGAATTCCTTGGCGGAGCTGGAGCGGTGGTGGCAAAGAGAGTAGCTGAAAAGCGTCGCCGCCGCGCCGGCGTTTTGTACCTCCATGTTGATGAAATCTTCTTCGGAGGAAGAGAAACTGCTGCGCAGATTTGGTTCCATCACCATCCGGTTATGAATTCGGTTTGGTTTGTCTCTACTCATATTTATATGCAGATGAAGTGAAGCACCCCGTTTGCATGCGCCTATGCACGTGCTTTTTATTTTTATTTTTATATTTCGATATAAAAAAAATAAAAATAAAATTGTAGTGGTTCCTAATGTGATAATTATGTCATTGTCCTTTTAATATTTATTAATTACTCCATTGGTTCTCGTCTTTCTCCTACGGTCATACTTTTTCATTGTATTTAATATTAAATGTATTTTTATATTTTTATAATTTTTTTTGTACAAATATCTTTCTATAATATTACAAGACACTAATGAAGTAATTTTGTAATTTTTTCTAATTTGTACTCCGTTTTGATGTAAGAATTAAAATTTAAAGATCAACACGCTAAATGAGACCCTTAGAGCGGAGATAGTATTTTTTTTTAATCGTTTTGAATCAAAGTTAATATTATTTATTTGATACAATTTCAATAATAATATATTATTTTTTTCACAAAATATTACATCAAAATACTATTTAAATAAAAACTCAAATTACTATGTCATTTCAAATCAATTTCAAATATAATCAAATAAACCAATGTATGCTAAATTTATATATTATTCATTATACTCATTTTATTTGTAAAAATTAATATATTTTTATTAAACTTATATAAATTGATTCGTGATAATATTAATTTGAATCCAAATCAAACATACTCGTAATATTATAATTATTTTGATATACTATAAAAAGTTTGCACATACAAAAACAAAAAGAAAATCACAATTATTGTATTGTTTAGAATTTGATTTTTACTTCCTCGGTCCTTTGTCATTTCTTTTTTTAAAAAATATAATTATACACTTTAATCACATTTTAATTCATAATTTATATTTTTTAATTATTTTAATCTATAATTATTTTAATTAAATTATAATTATTTTTACTAATATACTTCTTAATTATTTATTAATTACATAATACCTAAAACTCCGTATCTAAACTAAATTAGACAAATTAGCTAAGCCAGTGAGAGTATGTTAATATAAATATGAATTTGAATCTCATATTTGATAAGAAAAAAAATAAAAATAAAAAATTATGATTGCATGTTAAAAAATAAGAATAAAATCAACTTCTAAAATCAAGAGTTATATGTTTATATTGAAGCTAATATATGATTAGTTCAGTTAATATTAATGGAAAAAAAAAAAAAAAAAAGTTAGTCATTTTAATATAATACTTTTAAAAATTATTATTATTGCCTTAGCAATTATGATGTTTTTTGACAAACCAAGTGATTAGTAATAAATGTAAATATAATTATATGATTAAATATGGTCCACAGGGTACCAAATTGGTGTGTATTTTTGGAATCATTTGTTGATTTTAAAGAAATAAAATATTGGACAACAGTATCACATTAAATACATTTTTTCTCTCACAAAACATTAAATCAAATAATTATTTTTTTGTTTTTTTCCCCAAACTTTCAATTTTCTAAAAATTTCCAAAAACCTCTCAGCTAAACCAACCCTTTGTTTTATACAGTACTTTAAAAATTCACATTATTCAAATTTTGAAAAAGATCACATCAAATTATCTTTAATAAAATAATACATCAAATATTAATTTTTTAATAATTAAAATTTCAAAAACTCAAAAAAATTTAAAAGTATGTGTCTATGTGGACTTAGATTATCTATATAATACTCCCTCCCGTTCCATATTGAATATCTGGGTTACCGTAGACACGAGAATTTAGGATAAATATAATTAGTAGATAATTAAAAATGTATTAGTAAAAATAATTATCATATAATATAAATAATTATAGATTAATGTTAAGATAACTAATTAGTTTAATTAAAATTTTAAAAAATTAAATTAAAAGGTTTGAAATGAGATTAAAGTGTATAATTATTTTTTCAAAAAGATAAAAGTGACATGGAATATGGGATGGACAGAAACAGCAACGTGGACATGGTCGGTGGAACGGAGGGAGTAATGTTTTTATTAAGTAATATTTTTATTTTAAACTTATTAAAATTATAGTATTTGTAAAATAATTTATTAAGAAAATAATAAAATCATACGCCCTTACTATTTAAAAAGGTGACAACACACATATTTAACAAAATTATTGATAATATTATGTAATAAAATAAAAATGGCAATAATTCACAATGGCAACTTGCTATAACTATAAAATTAATCACTGATTTGTCTCATTATCACTTAAAGTCATTAAAAACTCTTTTGCCATCAATTTTAATCATTATGGAACCATATATGCAACAATAATTATTTTGTATTTTATATATGTATCAAAAATGAATTATACATTTCAAATATATAGAGTATTATCTTTATTTTTATTTTTATTTTTGGGTTTTTTTCTATTAGTGTTTTAATTTGAGTGAAAAAAATAATAATAATACTCCTTTTTTTCTACTCCAAATGGGCGTTTCGAAGTTTCGTAGTAGATTAAAAAATAATAATATTTTATTGATTAGTTAAAGTGTGTAAGAAATTTTGATATTTTTGCACTTTATGTATAAAGTAATTGTACGTGTAATAATATGTTTGTAATTTAGATAAAAGTTAAAAATATTTTAATATTAATACTCCTTTCGTCCACCGCCAATCTATCCATTTTTCCATTTTAATATGTCCATCGCAAATGCATTCATTTCCTTTTTTTAATAAATGTACCTTCCACTAAAATATAAAATTACCCCACCCTTTATATAATATTACACAAATGCCATCAAATAACACCACTTAATACCATAAATGTTAAGGGGTATAATAGTCTTTATGTATATCAATTGTACCACATTTCAATATAATACTAATATACTACAATCTACGTGAAAAAGTAAACGAATAGATAGACGATGGACGGAGGGAATATATGATTATTTTTACTAAAATATAAAATAAATATTTTGAAATAATACAGACAAAAATGATAAAATGAATATTTGAGTTTGATACGGAGATAATATATTTATATATATATATATATAGTTTGGTTGAAAATATAAAAATAAGAATACTATCAAAGTGAATAAAACCTTAGTAAAATAAAATTTTAAAAGTAAGAATAAAATAATAATGCTTTATTAACATCTTTTACTGGATTTAAGGCTATCTTTCTCCTTTGTCTCCTTTGTCTTTTTGAGCAGATGAATTCACGTGATTTTATTTTTTATGAGAGTTAAATAATATAAAACATTTTAAGGTTATTTTTATTATAAATTATATTTTATGAAAAATAAAATTAAACAATACAATAATTTTTCCCAATATAAAATTACACATTGGCAACTACTAAATAATATTGAATCAATCAAATATATTTATTTTTATATATGTATTGATTTATTTTATTTTCAAAAGTCCGAGTCCATATGGCAAACGAATTTGTTAATTTAGTTGCATTTTGATTTATTTTAAAAATAGTAATATTAATGCAATATATTTATTATTCACAAAAATATTTAATATATTAGTATAAATCTATTGGACTTTGTTTACTTGATATTTTGTTTATATTATATATATACATTTGCTTTTAAATTTAATTTGAATATATTTTTCATAACAAATACTTCTTCCGTCTCAAAACTATAGTCTTGGTTGTGTTTGGTACGAGATTTAATGAATATTGATATTATATTGATAGTGAGTAAAAAATATAGGTAAAAGATATTTTTGCCTTTGTGAGTGTATTAGTGTAAAAGGCAGTGACAATTATGTAATAATAATGAAAGAGTATGGGTAATTATATAGTGATATGATTACTTATGAAAATAAGAACTATTATTTTGGAACGGACAAAAATAGTAAACATGACTATTGTATTGAAACGGAGGGAGTATTATTATTTGACATAAGAAAACAGCAATAATATTGACATTAGCAATAGTGATGATATAAAGGCAAAATTGCCCATAACTCCCTTATGGTTTCGAAACTCAGCGTAAATTCCCCATCTACTTTAAAAATTGCACGACGTCCTCTTATACTTTAAAAAATATTGCATGAAACCACTTTGTGGTTTCGAAATTCAGCATAAATCCCCATTTTATTTTAAAAAAATTGCATGACGCTCACTTGTACTTTAAAAAATATTGCATAAAACCTCCTGCCATACAAAACATATAGATAGTAAATCATCTTCTTATCACACGAGGAAAGTTTCATGGCGGTGGGGTTTCATGCAACGTTTTTAAAAGTATAAGAGGGTACCATGCAATTTTTAAAATATAGAGAGATTTTACGCTAAATTTCGAAACCACATGCGAGTTATAAGCAATTTTACCTCATATAAATTACATTAAATCACGTGTGGTAATAATTTTCTTAATATAATTATAAAATCAGCGCAACTAATTCAATAATAAATAATACTAATACTGTTTTTATTTCAAATATATTATTATCATTTTAATTTAGAATATCTAAAAGAGCAGCAATATTTGTAGTTTACACACTGTATTTCTTCTTTACTTTCTTATACAATTTATAATAATATTATAAATATAAATTGCTAAAATTGTAAATAAAATAAAATAAATTATACTATCTCAAAAAATCAACAAAAACTACAAATATAAACAATATTGAACAGAAAAAAAATATTATGTAGTACTCCTTTCGTCCCATAACAAAGTATCCATTTTTCTATTTTAGTCCGTCTCATAATAAAGTATTCATTTCCCTTTTTAGTAACTGTACAATCTATCTAACATTACAAATACCCTTATAACTTATAATATATTATACAAATGTCATTACCTTTATATCACACATACTAATAAGGTTATTTTAGTTATTTTTATTTTATTCCTACTATATTCCAATATAATACTAATATTTCTAAAATTATGTGCAAAAAGCAAATAGATATTTACTTATGAGATGGACGGAGTATAATATTAACATCCGACATTTTCTGGTGGAGGGTAGCTCTTACTTTTCTCATCTTTTTTATTATTAT